CTGGTCGGACCGATGTGCACGCATACGAAGAAGGAAAAAAAAATCTTCCAGCATCCTGTTCCGCCCCCCTGCATTCTCATTATCGCGTTGGGTCTCACGAGATAAAATAATTCTCCTATTAAGGCTTTCCCCTGGCAGATGAGGCGGCTTCATGGTTGAACGGCAATAGGGGCCTGACGATGGCAGAATTACTGGACTGCAAGGAGATGACTGTTCACATGATACTGTAGACAGGCCTTCGAATCGAAGAGAGATGCCCTCGCTTAAGTGTCACACGGGGCCATTGCATAATAGAACTTTTCTCGAATCCAGGGCCCAACATGGTTTGACCCGCCTGGCTCCTCTGTTGCACCCCCTGGTCCAGGTCAAATCGCAGAATGGCAGGCCTGCACATGGGAATACTAGTAATTGACTGCCGCGCCACGAAGCCGGACTGTACCGTGGCTAGAAGGTCAAGCCATCCTCCGGATCCGGTTCCGCGAGTCAGCCTGGTCCAAGTTATCACCAACACGGTATTGTCTGGACGTGGGATGCTCTTCGACCGGTGATCCGCCACTCTGTAAGTCTCGTGTTTCTGGTTCGATTCCGCATCACGTCGCCAGCAAAATCCTGATTTTGAGCCTCTTCCGATGCGGCAACAGGATTCTTAATCAGCAAGCATACTGATAAGAACAAAACTGAAGAGAATGATTCGCCATTTGAGAGAAAATGCTCAGCGGCGATTCCGAATGCGCTAAGCAAGTTCCTCTGCGGCCCATAAAAGCAGACATAACAAGGCCGAGCAACCGGGGCCCAATTCTTTGTCATTGCAGAATTTCTGATGCTTGCAAGGGTAGACGTGTGAAAGCCCACTGCCAGGGATAACTCTCACCCATTGCCATTTTTCGTAAATAAAATAAAAAATATCACTCAATTTTTTTTTTTTTTTTTATTTTATCCATTTCTATCCCGGCCGAATGCCCCGGACAGAGCCCACCGTTTCGGACCGTCTCCGATGAATTAATATAGCCAACACCAAAGTGCTGAGTGGCGTCAATGGCATCGGTATCGTTTTGGCGATGAATCTTTGCTGTGATGTTTTAGTTCTTCTCGCCGACAATCCGCGCCGACAATCCGCGAAGTCGTGGCAATGGTTATGTAGATGAATGATCTTCAAGCCAGAACGCCACAGCCGGGCGGCTGGGCTATCAGAGGCTACTGCTTCGCGAGCCAATAAACAGCCATGGTCGCTTCTGGGTGGAAAAAAAAAAACAGATAAAATAACTCCGTATTCTGGACGGTCAAGAAAATAAACAGGATGAAAATAATTCACCGACGGTAACGAGAATCCTTCGAGGCCACATGGAAAAATACTGTAACCAACGATTAAAAAAAAAAAAAAAAATATAAAAAAAAAAAACCGAAAAAAAATATGCCCGCGGAATAAAATTAAGGAAATCCCAGTGGATCGCCAAAATCTGCAACCAAGGGCCAAGGACCAGGCCCTGGAGTGACGACCACGTTTTCAAAAGTGCCTCCTTTTAGCACACCGGAAGGCATCCGGCGGCCAGGGCCCGACCCCATGTCGAAATCTTGCCCTTGTTGGCCTTGTGACTATGCAGCGATCTGACTGTACGGAGGGTGGGCTCCGTCCTCCATATGTGGAATTTAACGTTACGTGGAAATCTGATCGATACTAGCTCGTTGACGGAAGAGGATGCTGCTGGTATCTGGCTTCTGCTATTGGCTGGGAGAGTGCCGAAATAAGCTCGTCGGCAGGATTGTATGGAACAATGTACTGGCTATGCGATTTGCATTAGGAGGCATAGTGCGATTCCTCGGTTACATGAGTTTGCGAGTGCTTATTCGAGCGTTTCGATTGGTGTTTCGTGTTCGAATCACGTTGCTAGCTGCTCGATTTGCGCTCTCAAACATTACAGAATTGCTTCATTTCCCAATCTTGATCCTCTGACGTATGCCCCCTGGGCAGGAAGTCCGAGCAGTCCGAGCACAGAGCAGAAAGAGGAAATGAAAGCGCCTCAGGAGAGGCGTATCGAGCGGTAGGATAGCTTGGTGAGCCATGCGCCTCTGAGCCGCATCGGATGTCGATGAAGCCTCCCATTGGACGCAAGGAGGGGGAGTCTTGAAAAGCGGATAGCTTCTGGCTCTGACAGCTGTGGACCGTAGTTCTGATGCGGCAGATCACCCTGAGTAGGGCAACAAGGCTGATGTGATGAATTGATTTACCCCTTTGATCGCCGTCTAAGTGGATGCCTTGGCAGGACGCCCCATCTGAAAGTTACAATACCACTGCCATTGCCCAATAGCAACTAGCTGTCGAGAGGGCGCCACCACGATGAATTGTAATCCGAAGTAGTATCTGCCCTAATAGGCATGCATAAAAAGCATAAGCGGTGATGTGACTTGAATCTAGTTGGGCTCCGCAAGGAAAGGCGTGGCTCATCACGATGATTTTAGGTGAGTCGTTAACAACCACACATACGTATGAGTGGAATAATTTTATGATATGGCACGCGTAGCGGTACGACGTGTCACGAATCTGGTGGCCCTGCAGTTCTCTGCACTCAATGCAACCACGCCCCCATTCGGAGATATGATTCGCTCAAGACTCTGTGGGCATCTGCAGGTGCTTCATAGGTTCATGTAGACTCTTGCGTGTGCAGGTGAGAGATGTTATTCCCGGCCGAGAAGGATCATGTAGATGCCGAAAGTTGAAGCCATGTTGCTGTAGTTCAGATTGCTCCATAAAAGTCTGAATGGAGGCGAAGACAACACCAGCCGGACCAAGCCACCTGAGACATGAAGCCGATATGGAGGCAACTCGTAAGCAGTATGAAGCTACGCCACTGGTTTGAAACTCACCGATCATTGCCGGTGCTTGTTGTCGTGATGAGAAATACTGATAATTCCATGACAACACAGAATGACAGCGGGAGGTCTAGCTTCGAGAGCATCTCGGCCTCACTGGCTGTCCAACCATGAGAAGACGCCAATGCAGATAAGCATGGCACTAGCGGGAGATGCTCCATCAGGAAAGCCGAGCTGCATCTACTACCACTTCACTACCTTCTGCTGATCTTATAGAACGGATTTGTTAATCCGTGCCTGGAATATGCATGAGTGTCTTGATGGCTGCCAGTGCTAGGGTTTGATGAATACTGGAACTCACTTCTATGATGAACGCATCTTTGATACGACGACCTGTGGGCCGGCGAGAGATACGAAACGCATAATTTCTTCTTCCTCCAGGGTCTTTCTTTGCCATACAGATTGACCACGAGGATACGAGGTCTTTAGCAAGAAGGGGGTTCGGCCATTTTGCGGGGGAACGAAGATCGTCACGAAAGCTGCCTAGTCCCAACCAGTTAGAACGAATCAGCATTAGTTGTCGCCATCGTAAAAAACGTGGGAAGATGGGCAAAATGCATGAAACGTGCCTCTAGGCCCGCTCGGCCAGAAAGCTTGACTGACAGCTGCTATTATTTTGTCTGGACGCGCATGCACTGACAGTCGTATGGCCGCAAGAAACACCGTGGAAACGGGCGCGCAGATCCTGCTGCTTCCCCTCCGCTGACAGCCTGCGAGACTCGCCGCCGTGACAGGGCAGAGCGAAGTCGGCGCGGGATGGTACAGGTTGTCAGCAGCCCATGTCTGTGGCAGAGGCTGTGGTTGTGTTGATTCTCCGGTTTTCCCCAGGCATATGTACCGAGTACGTGAGCCTCAACAAGGCCTTTCTCACGTGTCCGCTGTCGGGAAAACCTGAGCCACCAATGGCCGGCTCAGCCTCGTATGACCTTGATGCCGCGACAAGTACCCTGTACTTGATAGCCTTCACAACACCATCTCCAGCATCCTGAAAACGACGGCCAAACCGAACCCAGTTGTGACTTGCGATCCAATTCCCCATTCGGGCCTGCTCATCACCACGGCCTTCTTGCTCCTCCACAGGCTGATCTGCCCGGACCTCTAGCCAACCCCCCCTGTCTTTTTGAGACCGGGAGGATCATGTTCGCTTGCTTTGGTTCCCCATGGAGACTCAACGTGCGCACCTCAAAAACTCCCCATGACACTCTGTTCCTGCCTCCCACGGGGCCTCCCGGATTTGTCGCGGGATCAGCAGGGACGCATGGAATAGGTAGGACGGGGGGCCGCGTAACGACGGAGAGCAGAAAAAGGACGAGCTCGCACTTGGACGCCCCCCCAAAAGCAGATGCTCCCCCCCCTCAAACATCCCCCAACCTCATCCCACCCCCCCTGGAGATTGCGAAAGGCAAGGAAGAAGAAGAGGAAGAACGAACACCGGTTCTCGCAAAAAAGCTCGATGGATGCTAGATTTAGATTGCGCCAGTAGCATGGCGGGTAGATGGTCTTGGGGGGGGTTTCCGAGCTGTCACATTTCCAAATCCGATTCGGGGTTCCGTTGCATTTAGCCGGTATTTTTATTTTATCTTTTATTTTATTTTATCTTTAATATTCATCAATTAATAGCCGCTCCAATATACTTCTTTGTTTCCCTGTTCTCTCCGTCTAGTTACGGAATCACGATCGAATACGTAATGGTTCACGGAGCTCACTTACATCGGGGACAGTGTTATTTCCAACCTCGGGTTGCATGTGCTTTCCCATATCGGCACGGTTGTGCATAGTCAAAATCACCAAATCCATGCTTGACATACTATTGGCACGCTTCTGTCTGTCCTCTGTTATGATGTGTAAGATTCGTAAATATGTCTTCTCTATATTGGGTATCACCTCGTTTAAAAAAATTGAAGCAACACGAATCTGGTTGGGTTGCTTATCCGCCATTTCTAAGATGATACACGTAGAAAGTAGATTCTCAATAGTTCAGCAACCCGCCTTCATGTATTGACTAGCTAATAGAGCATTTACTGTTGTACTCTGCAAACACTCTCCAAGTAAGGCGCCCCCTAATCTGCTTATCAACCCAAGACATTTCATTCGACACGTCTCACTCAATCCTTCTTTGGCGCAGACCCGCCAATCCTCTTGTACTTTCTCGTGTCATTCTTTCTCATCGTCGTCTTGTCTCTGTTTCCTTTGCCGCCCTCCCAGAATCCCTTACCTCGCCTGCCAATCACGCTACGACCACAGAATCGACACGCTTCTACGGCGTAGTTTTGCTCACGGCTGCAGAAACCGCAAATCATTCTATTTGCCCATTCGTTGATGTGATCCTCAGCCTGGTCGTGGCACTTGTCGCACTTGTGCACGCGATTGCAGCATGAGAAGCGGAACCAGCGGTAGGACTTGCGGTAGTGGGAACAGGTACCCCTATCAGGGAGCTGGTCGCCAGCATGTAATCCAAGCTTCTCTTGCTTCCGCCGAAGGCCAGATGAAGAGGGTGGAGGAAGCGACCCTGGAGAGACAAAGAGGAACTTGATCTCGGGGATTTTGAAGGTAAACTTGCTGTGGCAGTCGCGGCAGACATTGGTCGTAGTCTCGCCTCTTACAGAAACGAGCCCTTGGCTGGGAGTCGAGCACTTGGCGCAGGTAGGCACAAATGTGCTCGGCAGCATGTCTGCCACCTTGCATCCCGAGAGATCAATGAATCCAGCCCTTGCCGAATTCTCATGAACAAGCTGCTGGTTAAACTTGGCAGCGAGAGGCGTCGCACACTTCTTGCAACTTGACGCCTTTTCGACTCCTGGCTTGAGCCCTGTCATGTCATTCAGCGTCTTGCATCTTTCACACTTGACACTCAGACTCAGGATTGATATCTGCAAAATTTCAACGCTGTGAAGTTCAATGTTTGGAAATGAGATCATGGTGCCGTGTTCAACCGCGTCACTGGGTGGTGGTGCTGCCGCATCACTTTCATTTCCCAATATAGCCCCGCCGTCTTCGGCATCATCCGAGTCGTCGTAGCTATCTTCTTCTGATTCGTCTTCCCCATGGCCAACGCTCCACTCAGGGGGCCGAGGAATGACCTGAAGGTGACCTTTTCCTTTGACAAGAGGTTGCGATGGGCCAGCCGAAACACCTCCATTATTTTGTGGCTGCGACTGCTGCTCTTGTATTGCGACTGCTGCAGCTGCGGCTGCGGCGGCCGCCTGCTCCTTCTCAGCCTTTGATGCCAGTTCATGCGCCTGCTTTGCAAGATTATGGAGGTTCTGGGCCAAATAATTGACATGGCTCATGAGCGTCATGTGCTTCTGATCCGCAACCTTTTCTGCAAAGAGGTCCTCTATGGGTTCTGCATCTTCAGCGTTCGCTTCATTTAGCTGCACGCGCAGCTGCTGTAGCGGATATAAGAGCGGAATGATGAGATGAATGCTGTTCACCGAGTGCAAACCAGAAGGGAGCTCTCCACGACGTTTTGGCTCAATTGGTAGCGTGAAAATGACACCATCAGCAGAACGGCGGAACTGAGCCATCCTTCCCATTCTCGCCTCGAGTTGTCGGATCTCCTGAGCTCGCCTTGCCTTTGCCTCGGCGATCTGCTCTCTGGTGTATGATGGTTCCGGGATATATCGTCTTGGAGGAGGGCTGGCCTGCTTTTCCACTGTAGGAGGCTCGATAGCAGCCGACTGTTTCTGTTCTGCTGCTTGATCGAGATGCCTCGTGTCTTTGAACGATACTAGTTTTATCGTTTCAACTTTCTGCTCCGACAAGAATCGTTCCAGATTCCTGTCCAAGGCATAGACCAGTGCTAGTAGAGTCGAACCCTTCTTCTCCTCGGCGAGCTTATCCCAGCCCCTCTCAACATTGATGCTGAACCCCTTAGGGATATCCTTATTCCTGACTAAGAGCACCGGCCTCTCTTCCGGATAATCTTCAGGGACGCGGACATCGCAATCCAAGTAGGGTAACTCAAAGGGAAAATCTGGATCCGAAGGCTTCAGCTTGAATACCAGCGAAGTCTCTCCCGCCGCAGTTGTGGACTCCTTGGGCGAGAATCTCCTCTTAAGCTGTTCGATGTGATAGCCGCGCGGGTCCTGAACCTGAGCTTCTGGCACGGGCTTGGGCACGACTCGCGCACCAGGGGTGTCTGTTATGGCCTGCCTGCGGTCCAGAGGGGATCCATCAGGCTGTGTCTTGAGTGCAATCATGGTTAAAGGCGTTGAATCAAGTGAATCCAATATGGCTGAGTTGATAATTGTTGGACAAGTGTCACGAGGGTGACAGATAGTTGTACAGACAAAAGAAAGCCGCAACGCCAAAATCAGGAACAGTAAAACAAAACGAATTCCAAGGCTCTATGTGATTCCGAATGAGTAAAAAAAGGATCAAGACTGGTGAGATTCCGCCTGTATTTAGCTTGAAGTTGACGCTCGGGAGGCAAAGAGGCGATATTCAATCTTCAGAAGCTCAGGTGGGGCAAAGCATCCGTTGCAGATGGATTCGACGGCAGGTGGGGTTCAATGACTGCTTCTCTGCCTATGAGTCACTACTAACCTGTAGCGAGTTGGTCAGCCAACGCTTCAGCGGTAGTGCACTAACAGCAATCTACCAATCTCTCCTGCCAAATCTGTTGGAGCAGAACTTGCGCGGCATCTCCAGGTTTTTCAGATTTGGATCCCTTCATTTTGAGGCTTTGCACTGATTATAGGGGACAAATTTTAACTCCGTCACCTTCTGTAGTCATTAGGTAGTGAGTCACTTTGGACCTAACCGTTTGAAGAAATTATCCCCTATAGGTTAGCAGTTACGAGTACACGAGACAGTAACATGCCTTTGTCATCCATTGATTCTCCTCTGCCTCTCACGAGATGGAATTTTCTCAATACTCTACCTAGTACGGAGTACGGAGTACTCATTTAGCATTGCGCGTCCATATTGAGCACTACTCCGCATATTCTTGGTAGGGGAGCAGAGCGCTAATCATATCATCGGCCGGTGTATCTGACGGAGTCTTCTCGGAATATTGCATCCATTACAAATATGCCATAACCTCACAGCAGCATGCCATCTGAGCACGTTGAGCACTTTAATTGGTAGTAAAAAGAGTCTGTAGAGGCACTTGGCATTTGAATGAGTTGCCCTGGCTCTGGTTGGTTGTTTCCACGTCTGTATAGGCATCTACCCATCACAAGATGCTTAATCTTGTTCGTATCGGCAATAGACGTGCATGCGTGCAGCTCAGACTCCTCAATCCTTGCAACAGCGTCGTGTACTCGTATATGTGCCGATATATGTATCACGGAATATCCTAATGTGTAATTTAAGCACAAAGTACAAGGAGGGGTGCCCAACGAAAATTTACAGACGCAGGGAGCAATTCGCAGGCGTATATTGCAGCCGGTAGAGCTGCGGCTGCGAGACATCTCAATTGTGCCTCGGCAAAAAGGAAATAACAGGACGAAAATCTTTTCCCTCTTGTCCCCCTCTGCTCGTTTATCCGGGGAAAGAGGACAATGATCCTATTTGCCTGATGGTGACCTTGTCGACAGAATGACTACCCGCGGAGCTTTCTGGTGGATGGACATGCAGCTGCGCATGCGTAGGCACTTGGCTATCTGAACACCTGGGTGGGCTTAATCGCGAAGAAGGGGAAAAGGAGGCAGCTCAGAGTGGGATAAAATAAAGAAAATAGAATAAGATAAAAAATAAAATAAAAAATAAAATAAAATAAATGCATAAACGCAGCCTGAGTTAGACAATGCGGAGCCGTTTGCTTGGTCGGTCTTTTTCGTGGCAGATACCATCACAACACCCTGCATCACGTTTACATGTACATGAAATGCACGTACGGCCTGCCACATACAAGCACGCCCGGCAGTGTGATCCGGGGAGAAGCATGAGACACCAAGCAGCAGAGACATGGAGAGACACACAACGGCAGAGGGCACTCAGACACACTCAGACACACACAGACAGACAGACAATGTAGGGAGAGATCATGTCGGGCTGCCGCCTGCTTGCTCACCGTGATCAGACAGGCACACAGCCCCCATCTAGAGTTTCGGGGATGACCTGAGCATATCCGCGAGACAAGAGCATTGACGGACTCCGAATAACCCGTATTTTAGTATGTAGACATACTCCGTACCTATACAGCTTGAGCATTTGCATGTTGCATTGCGATGTGAGGAGCCAACATGAGCCTCCGCTATGGATTCCATGTTGCTATAGCCTATGCCCATTCGCAAGCAGATTCAACGCCCCACGAAAGAAGCACAAGGCGCACATGGGGCAATGCAATGGATGTGAAGGAAAGGCATGAGAAAATTAGGAAAATAAAAATGGGAATAAAAAAAAAGGACGGAGAAAAAGGAATAGAGCCAAAAAAGGAGGGGGGCAGCAGATGCTTGGTGCCGGAGTAATTTGCAGCTGGACGAATGGCTTGGTCGTGGAGGTCTGCCAGCTCAGCAATTGTCAGGCAGATGACCTTGGATGCGGGATGGCGGCTGCATCAGCGCCTGGGGGGCGGTGAGAGAGGCCAAACCAAGGGTTGCAGGGCAGGATTCGGACTCTGGCCTCATCATGCCGTAAGAGGAATCCCTGAGCTGAGGCCGTGGTTTCATTTTCATGCTGGGAGGAGAAGGGGGAGAAACGAGAAACATTCTTGGGAGAAACATCTGGTGGGGTCTGACACCACCCGCAATATAAGAATAGATGCATCTCGCTATTGGCTTCCGCGAGCCAAAAAAATAAAAAATAAAATAAAACTAATAAAAAATAATTATGCCATGATTATTCTTGACATTAAATTTGAATTTTCGTCTCGTTTTCTTTCCGCGACCCTTGTCGACGTTGTTTTCCACCCCCCCGGCGCCGTTTGGGTATCGACAAGCAAGCAGCCTCGCAGCTCAACAAAGCTCCATCTCCATTCCCACCACAATGCAGAGCTCACTTTGACAAGCTGTGCGCCCTTCCTCTTGTATTCAACCTCCCAGATACTGCGCTCAGAGTACTTGGCCATCTTCAGCTTACATGTACAACCCATGTTGGCCTGCGTTCTGCTTCTATGAAGGTAACTATGTACCTACCTCCTGTACAAGCACCACCACTCCGATTCTTCCACTTTCCTTACTGTACCTACTTGACTCACACCTCATCTTATCCCATCCCGTTTTGATCCTTCAAGCCTCAAATTCCCCGGCTTGCTTTTCCGTTGCATCTGTAGTGGTTGTCTCTCTGCCCAAGACCATTAAATAGGGTGTCTTACAAGCGTGTGTGTGTAACTGTGAAGCACTCTCTCTCACTGCTTTAGCTGGACAGGACTGTAGGAATCCCCGAACAGCCCCTCGTATATCTCAGGCCCCTGTCCATCATGCTCTGCCTTTTTTTTTTTCCTTTTCCCTGAACTCTCTTTGGCTAAGCCATTGCCATGGGACTCGCGTGCGTGCGCAATCCGCCGCAGTCAGGCAGACTTTTGAGCCTTTCCCCGCAACTCTTGCTGAGGTCTCCCCTTGGGCGTCAAAAACGGCCATGGCTGAATCACACGAAAGCCCCATCTGACGGCGCTCGTTCGATTCTCGCCATGCAAGACGGAGCATGTGTTCCTGGCCGCCTGAAGGGCCGCATGCTAATGTACATGTATGTGCGTACAGCTGTCTGTACATGCATCAACTTCGTCCATCACATCACAGACACTTGACACACTCTGACGCATGCACGGACACAACGTACAGAGACACACCTCCGCCCGGCCAAGCATTATTCACACATCGCATCACGCATAGCATCTGCATGTGCTCCGTACCCCATCACCGGCAGCACAGCTAACCTGTACGAGGCTGCCGGCTGGACCATCCAGGTCGCAACGGTACCTGTACCAAGACTCCTTGTACAAGCTTGGTGTGCTACCTTGTGCTCAGAGGAGGTCGCACTCACACGAGACACGCATCAATAGTATTCGCAGACTCAGACACGGATGCTGGTCTTGGCACTTATGCAAATTAATTGCATCTGCAGCATAATTTATTTGTTCGCCCATCTCAGGTGGCAAACTATGTTATCAGCATGAGCTTTGGATGCTATCACCATCTGCCCGAATGCTTGCCGACCCGGTTATCACACCCAGTCTTCCTATCATCCAATCTGTTGTGTCCTCGAGTGAATGGGCAAGAAAATAGACATGTAGGTAGGGTGTAAAGAGCTGCCCAAGCATTGAAAGCAGCGTTACAATAGCCACCCAGCCGATCACTTCATCTGCTCTGGACACGGGCGCCAGCTTTCGTCCTCCGACTGGCTGGACCATTTCAATGTTTTGGCGCCTCTCCTTCGTAAACGGTCAAGGCTCGAGGCGGCAGGGAAATTGTTGTAATCCCATTCGATGAATCTCCAGAGCCACTTACTTCACGGATCCGGATGCCGTCACACCGGTCACTTGTCGTCACATTACACGACCGCCTCTGTGGTTTCATTCGAGTTCGTTGCGCAATGTGAACGGCGCCTCCATCTCGATTTGGTGCCACTGCACTTTTTATCAGAGGGATGGCCTTGGCGCTTTTGAATCAAGTTTTTTCTTCCCGTGCTTATCTTGCAACACCATACCTCTATTATCGACCTGCATGTCGTGCACATTGTTTATCGCTCTTCCGAGACGTCATGTTTACTTGACTTGATCTTACCGACTCTTGTCTCGCATTGGTCACCGCATTTCCGTTTCTGTAATGAGACAATCCGTCTTGTAAAACATGGGCTGCATCTTCCCTTCTCCGTTCAGGGATCTTCCGTTCACCGGTTGCATCAGCCGCAGCTGAAAAAAAGGAAAAAAAAAAAAAAAAAAAAGTCTTGTACGCTTCCAAGAGAGACCCAAGCACATCTCAACAAGGATCAATGCCTTCAGACCGCAACTTTCTATTTCTAAATATAGGTAAGAAAGCCACTTGATTAAAAAAAAAGTGGCTTGACCAACGTGTACTGTTTTGGGCGTGGAGCGGTTGATGCGTTGTGTTGGGATGAAAATGCTGTATGTGATGGCCTTGAGCGGGCCACTGTGATACGGAATGTAATATTGGGCTTCAATGGATTTAATCATTGGGGTATTAAACGAATAATTAATAAATGATAAATTATTATTCAAATAAATATGCCCAACCGTACTCGGGTTTTATGTAAGGACAACGGACGAAAACGGTTCTCGTTTTGGTTTACCCACTCTTCTTCCCATAAGCTACTCATAGGGAGCCTCCGTTACTTCCTACAAGTTTAATTGACCAAGTAGAGTTGATGCTTGTAAATAAGCTCGTCAAATTGTACCCAACACTTATACCCTTTATAGCTATCTGAACTAGAACCCTCGACAAGATGCTCAAGTTCCGTCTTGAGAGATGACTTGTGTCCCTAACTATTCTCATTTCGACTTTGCCTATGCCGTCCCCAAGATGTGACATCTTTCATATACATACAGTAAAACTCCCAAGATAAAGATGAGATAGTAGATATTCGAGCGCAACTCTTGCCTAGTTATGTGAGCGTCGCTAATATCCAAGTCAGTGCAAGGATCAATGATTGTAAAGATAGTGAGAGGAAGAATATCTGATATGATTAAGCGCGTAATAAGATAACTGCGCGGTATATAGGATGAAGAAAACCATGCACAATGTATCAAAGATCTCGGGTACTGCTTGATGTCCAGCAGCGTTGACCCTGCGGGCAAGACCATTAAGCCCTGCTACTATGTTTCTTATCCGTGCCGGTCTTCGTTCTTCACGCCCCTAGTCTATGTTAGATGCTTGTGGCGAGATGTTGAGTTATATAGGAACTGCTGAATGGACTCCTTCTACGATAGCACCGATTGCTTGGAATTGTCAAATTCGTGTAGTAAGATGGTACCGGTCAATCTCGATGTATTGACCTGATGAGCCCTGTAGTGAGTGCGATCTACAACGGATTAAGAAAGACTATCATGCCTGTTATAGTTCAGCAGAATAATCCGTCAGACATCCTATAAGCATTTTTCAGTTGAATCGTGGAACCTTATTGCTCGGTCCTATAGACTAACAGATAATGAGTCTTGCGTCGAATCTTTTGAGTCGGGAATATATATTGGCTTTTGAGCATTGGCATCTCTTACTTTGCGGATTCTGCCATCAGAACGCCTCGTACCCCTAGAAGACATAGTCTTCAAACCCTAGAGAAGCCTTCGCAAAGCTAAATCCGAAGTGTGGATCATGAGATGCGAGCACGATTACGAGGGTCACCAGAGTTATTTCTTGAACGGGTGTCCTGCTCTCGTCCTTTAGAGGAGAATCTTCATAATCATCTACGCAGAATAGCTTCTTGGTGCTCACAGTATAACCCTGCATTTTATTGCCTTTCGCTGAACCAACTCTCGCGGCCTATTGGGCCACCATACCGTCTAAACCAAAGCTTCTTTCACCCAAGAGCAGACGGCCGAGGCGATTACTGGTGCGCTGATAACATGTAGGCAAAGAGTCCTTGTAAACTTTGTAGATTGATTTAGATTATCAACTCGCAGCGACGAGCAAAATGGTTTCTATTTGACCAACCAGGCTTTTTGTATGTCCCCTTATCTATGTTCAGATTCAAGCTCCCTTAAAAATCATTCTCGTCAGAGCCAGACACAATGACATTGTTAACCTTGAGAACCATGCGGCACAGCTGTGTTGCCAGCTGGAGCTGCTGCTTCTTGCTAATAAGCGGGTCAATGACAAAGGCGGCCTTCATATCGTTGTCGCCACGTCCCATGCAGTCAACACCGAGCTTTCCTCTGCCGCTTGGTCCTGCCTTGACCTGCTGGCTCTTCACTTCCGCCAAGGTTGAGATGGAGTTGAGACCGCTGTTCTCGGCCAGGGCCATGGGGACGGCATCCAGGGCTTCGGCGAACGCACGCATGGCGTACTGCTCCAAGCCAGGAGTCTTGCCTGCGGCATCCTCAACTGCTAGAGAGCAAGCAATCTCGGCAGCACCACCTCCGTAGACGACTCGGTTGTCTCTTACAAGGTTCCTTACGACGCAGAGCGCATCGTGTAGTGAACGCTTGGCCTCATCAATGATCTAGACATCCCTTGTCAGCTAAAACAAAACTCGATAAGCGTTCAAACATGCGGTCATACCATCTTGTTGCTTCCTCGCACGAAAACAGTCACAGCTCGGGTGTTGGCGCACTCCTCAATGACCAACATCTTCTCTCTTGTAGTGCCAAACGACATTTCTCTGACAATGCCAGCGGAACCCAGCTTCTCTGGCTTCAGATCCTCAAAGCGAGGTACTATCCTGCCGTTGGTTGCAATAGCAATCAATTCAATCTCAGGGCCACCGACCCATCGAACAGCGGGGAGCTGGTTCTGGAGCAGCAGGTGGTTCGCCTCGTCGTCAAAACCCCACTGGCAGATGGCCAGGTTTGCACCAGTGTCCTTGATCTGCTGGATCATCTCGACAAACTTCTCCTTCTCGTAGTTTTGCAGCTTCTTGAACTCCTCCACACTTGTAATATCGAGGTGGTGCTTGGTCTTGGGCTTGGGGGGCTCGAAAGCACATGTCAGGATGGCAATCTTGGCATCCTTGACCTCTGAGGGCATCTGGGGATGAGAGAAATCCTTGTCGATGATGACGCCCTTGACGAGGATGGTGTCCTCGAGAGCGCCACCGACCTTGCCATCGACCTTGATCAAATCAAAGTCCACGTCTTTCCGCTCGAGGTCGGCCACGGACAGAACGGCGTCAACGGCAATGTTGGCAAACTGGTCATGAGCCTTGGAGACAATCTTGCTTCCCAAACTCGTCCGCGCCACCTTGAGTAGGTTAGAAGTCTCCTCCTTTGTAAACTCGATGGTATCTGAGATCTTGTCCAACTCGGCAACAGCAATGTCGCAGGCCTGGTCGTAGCCGTCGGCGATGCGGATAGGGTGGATGCCCTTGTCGATGAGGTCGGCGGCCTGCTCGAGGAGGGCGCCCGCCAGGACGACAACACCAGTCGTGCCGTCGCCAATCTCCTCGTCTTGTGATTTTGAAAGCTCCACCAGCAGTTTGGCAACGTGGTTGCTGACTTCCATCTGTTGGAGAATGGTAGCTCCATCGTTCGTGACCGTGATGTCGCCGTCCGGAGAGATTAGGATCTTGTCGAGACCGCGAGGGCCAAGGGACGTCTTGACGATGTTGGCAACTGTTCGGGCGGCGAGGATGTGTGACTTGACAGCTTCGTTGCCAAACTGGCGCTTCTTCTTCCCCTGACTAGACCGCTGTTAGACGATGTCGATCTGCACACACGACGTCCTGCAACTTACTCTCTGACGACAATGAAGGGCCGACCTTGCTCATCCTTCATCACCGCCGCTGCGCGTTGATATTAGCTGTGGTCTCGAAATCATCGTCGGGCCAGCATCGATTTACCGTTGGAAACATCTAGATCTAAATTACGTATCTGTTAGTCTCGACGCCTCACCCCTGACCATCGTTGGACTGGATCTCGACATACTCAGCGACATTTTGGCTGGGGGAAACTTGTGGTCGAATTTACACAAGCAAGCAGGAATCGATCAATCTCGGCACCAAAAGAATAAACCCCCGTGATTTGGCGACAGAGTATAGCTTCAAGCTTCCCACGATCGTGCCCGAATTTTTCGACTGTTTGGGGGGGAGATGCCTACAACTCCCACTACGAAGGTGTGCGGGACACGGACTAAGAAAAGTCCGCACCGGTCACCCCGCCATATTATCAAGCTCTCCTAAAAATGCCCCTCCATGACTTAATCAAGGAGGTACGACACTTATTAGTACAGGCACTATGTACAGTAAATGCCCCTCTGACAATAAACTGATGGAGCTAGACATCTGCTTCTGCAACGATTAAGGTTGAGGTGGTCAGTCGCTTTTCAGCGTTTCCTCTCATCGTTGTTCTTTCTGTTTCTTTGACTTTGGATCTTGAGTTTAGTATTGCCGACAAACTTTCGTCGCAACTGCGAGGCGCAAAGCAAAAGAAGCGGCGACGTCTGCCTAAGCCCATGAGTCAACCCCGAACATTTCGTCACATGAAGAGCAACTAGTGCCGGGAAATCGCAGGCATTCCTCACCTCTCCCTGCAAACTCGCCACGAATATTTACCATCTTTCAACACCCAAGCTCAAGCAACACCCGACAAACTTCCCGTGGGCACGATCGCAATGGCGCCTCCAACGTATGACGACGACGATTTCGTCGACCAGTACGATGACCTTGAAGAGGAGGAAGAGCTGAGCCCCGAGGACAAGATCGCCATGCAAAATGGGACAGCAGAAGTGCGCAAGGCTCTTGGGACGGAAGCAGGCAAGGTCACAGTCGCGCAAATACAGGAGGCACTATGGCATTACTATTACGACATCGACAAGTCTGTCGCCTATTTGACAAAGACCTTTATTGCGCCAGCTCCAAAACCAGCGCCAAAGAAGGCACCTGAAGGTAAGCTCGGCGCGTTCTCTTTACCTGCCCAGCAGGCCTTGTTTTTGCGACCCTTTGGAGAAGACGACATATCACTTGGGCACAATGCATATTCCACCACCAATTGCGACATCCCTCGTCTCGCGTGCGCGTTTCCCATTATAGAGAAGCCTCAGATATCCCCGACCTTTTTCGACGATATGCCATGGTTAGACATACCAAGGGACAGAGAAACCGTGTTTATTGAACCGCCGCTTCCTCGTGGTGGGCTCATGGGAGGTACTGGTGCCGCTCCCAAGGTGTCTAAGCTTCAAGCTCTGGCTGCACTGCGGAAAAAAAAGACCGAAGAGAAGAAAGCTCAAGAAAAAGCTGTTCCTCTGGAAAGCGAAGTAACAAAGCTTTCTATTTCTGATACAAACAAAGAAAATATTGGCCTCATCTCGAAGCTCAAAGGCCAAAGCTCACAACCCTCGTCGACTGTGGCTTCCACTTTACAAGCGCAGAAGGGAGAGACAACGCCAGACAACACCGGCAATTCTCTGGGGGAAGACATCAACTTGCCAGCCATCACTGAATACAAACCCGATACCGATGCCAAAACCGAAGAGGCAAAGACGGTGGTTGGTCACAGTCATGCCCCTTCTGCATTTGCGCGGACGCTTTTCGGGTCGGTTTCAGAGGCAGACGAAACGCGCAGGCGGGATGTTTTCGCAATGCCCTATACCCAATCACCTTCCTTTCTAGCAAACGCTTTCTCCGAACCCAGCCCAGACGATATTGTGCTCGCAGCTCGGGCGAAAGGTTCGAATTTTGCTAAGGCGAAATGATGGGCTAATTCTAATTTTTTGATCCAGCTGGAAAGAAAGCTCCAACAACAGCGAAAGCTCCCAAGAAGTCCCAGAAGAGTGAAGAAGCGTCTAAAGAAGGCGGGCTTGCGAGCAGCGTCTCAAGTCTCAAAGTTAGCGACGCCCCGCCGCCTAAGAGCAAAGGCCTCGATGTTATCAAAGAATTTGAGCAGAGCGATAGCAAGAAGAACGCAAGTTTTGTAGTAGTCGGTAGGTTTGCCAATACCCATACTGTAGAAATTGATATTTGTTTGGGAACAATCTCGCTGAACATAAGTCACACAAGGCCACGTCGATGCCGGCAAGAGTACATTAATGGGTCGACTTCTTCTGGAGCTTAAGCTTGTGGAAGAGCGTACGGTGGATAAGTACCGCCGGCAGGCCGAGAAAACTGGAAAGCAATCCTTTGCCTTGGCATGGGTTATGGACCAGAGAAGCGAAGAGAGAGACCGAGGAGTGACAATAGATATCGCTACAAACCATTTCGAAACCGAATCAACCAAGTTTACGATTCTAGATGCGCCAGGGCATCGAGACTTTGTGCCCAATATGATTGCTGGTGCTAGTCAGGCAGATTTTGCCATCCTGGTTATCGACGCCAATACTGGAGCTTACGAAAAGGGGCTGAAAGGACAAACACGAGAGCATGTTTTGCTCCTACGAAGTTTAGGCGTACAACGACTGATAGTTGCCGTTAACAAGCTCGACATGGTTGGATGGTCCCAGGATAGATTTAAAGAAATATCAGAGGAAGTCTCCGGCTTCCTAACAGGTCTGGGATTTCAAGAAAAGTCCGTCACATTCATCCCCATATCGGGGTTGAACGGAGACAACATTGTCAAGAGAACAGAGGATGCCGCCGGAGCTTGGTACCAGGGGCCTACTCTGATAGATGGCCTAGAGGCATCTGGGCCGTCCACCGTGCGGTCTCTGAAGAAGCCTTTCCGAATGGCGATTTCTGAAATTTTCCGCTCACAGCAAGGGACTACGACTCTTGCTGGTCGCATCGATTCTGGAACGATTCAGGTTGGAGATGCTCTGTTGGTGCAACCCAGCGGGGAATCAGCGTACATCAAGTCCATCATGCTTGATACTGAGGCCAAGGACTGGGCCGTGGCCGGCCAGAACGTCAGTGTTGCCTTGACAAACATTGACCCAATTCACATCAAGATTGGTGACATAATTTGCCACACGACGGATCCCATCGATATTGGTGACACGTTTACCATGAAGGCCATGGCATTTGAGCATCTGATGCCCATGCCGGTGGACCTCCACCGTGGCAGACTTCACGCAGCAGGCCAGATTCAATCAATAGCAGCTATCCTCGACAAAGCCACTGGCGAAATCATCAAGAAGAAGCCCAAGGTAGTACAGCCCGGGGGAGTTGCTCGCATCTTGATCAAGTTGGAGGCAAAGGTGCCGTTGGAGCCTGGACAGCGGGTTGTTATCAGAAGCGGAGGTGAGACCATAGCCGCTGGTTTATTAGAGTAAAAGCATCAGGGCTGTAGCTATGTGGAATAAGCGATAGACTGGGTATATTGGATGAGTAAAACAAATGAACATTGATAGACGGAATGTACCAAATCCATGTGCTGAATTGGGAACGCAATTTTGCTCCCAGGCGGCTGGTCAGTTTCATATGGTTGTATTCGGCAGGTGATTTAGATGCGCGATACCTGGCGCCTATTCCCTGCCAACCTGCCCTATTGGTAATGTAGCGGCCATTGCCGTTTATTCCCTACCGAGAACGGATTATTACTTCGTTGTCGTCTTAGTAATTGCAGCCAAGTCCAGGTTCAGACGTTGTTCATACAATAGAGAATTTTCCTGATTGGGCAGGTGGGGTTGAAGCATTGTGCACTTCTTGTCATTTGATAGGAATATCTTCACACTTCGAAATAGGGCTTACAGTAAAGGGGAAATGATACCAGAAGTTGACATCTGAAGGAATGAATTCTTGACATTTGATATGTACCCTAGTGTAACTTATTCCTTTTCATCTCCTATAGCTATCCATGAGACCCCGCAATCGTATAGGTATGTATTATGCCAAGGTTCTAAATGAACGGTGAATCCTTCCACATCGATGTCCGTTGCATACACTATGAGCCTAAAGTTCTCGCTATTATCTATATCAGCACTGTTCATGCTTACTACGACCCTCGGCGCCGACTTAAACCTCTTCTCAAAGGTGATGCGGTGCTGTGTTGGACCCCTGGGGTAACTGCATTGGATATTCTGTGTGCTCCACTCCCCGCCATCAACCTGAAGTCTAGGCTGCGCTGAGTTGACCTGTGAAGCAAGCTGCTCAACTTTGGATGATAGAACTGCGATTTGGCTCTCCAGGCGCGAAATAATGGGATCACTGCTACCGGATATGCCGGTATTGCTGAAAGTGGTAGCAGCAGCAGGCCCTGCCCCAGCGCCGAATAGATTGATTGTCACTGGAGGTTGGATAAAGATGCGTTTGCTTTGGCCATGACCACGGGCATCAGAGTCTATGTCGGAGAACTGAATTGCATAATCTGAACTCATGGACACGAGGTCGTCCTCTTGTTGCCGTGTCGGTTGATCTCCCAAAGGGGCTTTCATGGCTATTGCTTGTCTCTCGATTCCAAAGGCAGCGTATAATGGGATGAAGATTAGGTAGGGTAGTTCTAATTATCCCAGGAGATGCAGGTCGATGATTGTGTATTTGATTATTCGTTTGGGTTTTGTTGTGAGCCCATATTTGAAGAGCGAGGTCGAACATGTTCAGCACCTGTCGTGGGTTGTGTTGACTTATATACACCTGTGGTGCCAATATTTGTGTTTTCGGCGTAAGATATGGGAATTCACCTTGAAACGGCAAACAAGCACGTAAAGTGTTGTTTTCAGCTCTGAGACAGTGGCTATTGCGATGGGCTTCTTCAAGTTACCGGAGCGACGACGCTTGCAGGAATGCTTCGCTGCTCTCCAAGCTGCATCCGTGACCCCATGATTGTGCGCCTCAGGTGTCACTTCGAGACACAACTGGATCAAAATCCTATGCCCAAGCTCCCCATAACAGAAATACCTATTTACGTGCACAAGCAAATAATAAAGAGACACTGCCGTCTTGGGCCTACTAAGATGCTCTCATTGAGGCCTTCCTGTATACAGCACCTCCTCCCAAGTAAATGCCAGAGGTGCTGGCGACTGTGGCTCGACGACCTGCAGGTGATTCCTCAGAATGTAGGCAGCAATTCCAGGCTGTATTACAAGCACCTCCCAATTATTCTTGCCAGATAGTCATGATCATGATAGTGAATGTCATCTTGTTGATACTGTATACATGGAGACTTCAGCCTCGCTGTGGCAAAACTACGTGGCGAGCCGCCATGGCATGATTCCACCGGGCTCTACCCGGTTCTAAGCCGGTATCCACCCGGGCTGCCGCCGGCTATTCGAGCATGAATAGACGCCCTGCCGACGTCTGCCAGAGGCAAAAAAAAGAGTAAAAAGAGTATACCAGTAAGCATACCGCAGCCATAGCACAACGTGGCCATAACGGTTTGCTAGAACAGCTTCCTTTTCGGTTGCCGCATTGTGCCTAATAACCTGGAAGTCAGCCGCCCGGTCTCCATTATTCACGGCCGAAGCAAATCTGTTACTACTAGCTCTGAGTCACGTTCTCGGAATAGCATCGAATTTCTTCCGTCAGCGAGGCGTAGTGCGACAAGAGCGAGAGGCCAGATTTGCCTTTGGAGGGGCAAAATGGGGAAATAGATGGCGTTGGCCGTTTACAGAGCCGCCGAGTTAGGGAGGTTGTTTGGCCCGGCCGCTGGGCGCTGTCAACGGCGCATCACGTACTACGGCAGTTGTGTTATTCACACCGTACTTTGCTACTGAAATCAGGCACCCATTCACAGTGCAAATACTGCAGACAGTGTCCGATCGCCCAAAATTAAGACCCCTGTCACGTGGGGCTGAATGCTCCGGGGGCCCTGTTTGGTTCGCACAGGGACCCGTGCCTTGAACTTACCTGAAATCTGGCCTTTTTGAGCCTTCTGGACACCTCAACTTTTTCTGGGGCAATTCATAAAGTGGCTGATCGTCACCTCTCGTCTTCAACCCATTTTTTTTTCTCTTCTCTCCAGCAAAGATACCCCCTCACCAGGTTCACAAGCCGGTTCGAGGACAAATAGAGCTCGCTGCGTTAGATCGCTGCGCATTTTCTTTTCCCTTTTCCCTTTCCTCTTGTCAACTACCGGGCTTATACATTGCGCGGGGCATCTTGATCCTCTTCACACATCTTCACAACAATGGCTCGTTCACGGAGCTCCCTGGCCTTGGGGCTGGGCCTGCTCTGCTGGATTACTCTTCTCTTCGCTCCTCTGGCATTTGTCGGAAAGGCCAATGCCGCCAGCGACGAAGTCGACTATGGAACTGTTATCGGAATTGTAAGTCGACAACCCCGCCAATCCATTGGTGTTTGCGATTGTGGTGTTAACACGTTTTCTCTTCTCCTAGGATCTTGGTACTACCTACAGCTGTGTCGGTGTGATGCAGAAGGGCAAGGTTGAGATTCTCGTCAACGACCAGGGTAACCGAATTACTCCTTCCTACGTGGCCTTTACCGATGAGGAGCGACTGGTTGGCGACTCTGCCAAGAACCAGGCCGCCGCCAACCCCACCAACACTGTCTACGATGTCAAGTCAGTTTGCGCCCTTTAACAACTATAACCATCCATCTAAATGAAGAAATTGCTAACTGTTGCGCAGGCGACTGATTGGCCGCAAGTTCAACGAGAAGGAGATCCAGGCCGACATCAAGCACTTCCCCTACAAGGTCATTGACAAGGATGGAAAGCCCATTGTCCAGGTTCAGGTCAACGGCGAGAAGAAGCAGTTCACTCCTGAGGAGGTTTCTGCCATGATTCTCGGCAAGATGAAGGAGGTTGCCGAGTCCTACTTGGGCAAGAAGGTCACCCACGCCGTCGTTACTGTCCCTGCCTACTTCAACGTAAGTTTTCCTCTAGTGTCTGCGCCGCAGAAGAAAAAAAAAAAAAAAGCTTTTTGCTAACGGCTTTGTAGGACAACCAACGTCAGGCTACCAAGGACGCCGGTATCATTGCCGGTTTGAACGTCCTCCGAATCGTCAACGAGCCCACTGCGGCCGCTATTGCCTACGGTCTGGACAAGACTGATGGCGAGCGCCAGATCATTGTCTACGATCTCGGTGGTGGTACCTTTGATGTTTCTCTCCTGTCCATTGACAACGGTGTCTTCGAGGTCTTGGCTACCGCCGGTGACACCCACCTTGGTGGTGAGGACTTTGACCAGAGAATCATCAACTACCTGGCCAAGGCCTACAACAAGAAGAACAGCGTCGACATCACCAAGGATCTCAAGGCCATGGGCAAGTTGAAGCGTGAGGCCGAAAAGGCTAAGCGAACTCTCTCTTCCCAGATGAGCACCCGTATTGAGATTGAGGCTTTCTTCGAGGGCAACGACTTCTCCGAGACTCTTACCCGAGCCAAATTTGAGGAGCTCAACAACGATCTCTTCAAGAAGACCCTGAAGCCTGTTGAGCAGGTCCTCAAGGACGCCAACGTCAAGAAGAGCGAGGTCGACGACATCGTTCTGGTCGGTGGTTCCACTCGTATCCCCAAGGTCCAGTCTCTCATCGAGGAGTACTTTGGTGGCAAGAAGGCTTCCAAGGGTATCAACCCCGATGAGGCTGTCGCTTTCGGTGCCGCTGTCCAGGCTGGTGTTCTCTCCGGAGAGAAGGGTACTGAGGAGATTGTCCTCATGGACGTCAACCCCCTGACCCTCGGTATCGAGACCACTGGCGGAGTCATGACCAAGCTCATCCCCCGCAACACCCCCATCCCTACCCGCAAGAGCCAGATCTTCTCGACTGCTGCTGATAACCAGCCCGTTGTCCTGATCCAGGTCTTCGAGGGTGAGCGTTCCATGACCAAGGACAACAACATCCTGGGCAAGTTCGAGCTTACCGGCATTCCCCCCGCTCCCCGTGGTGTTCCCCAGATCGAGGTTTCCTTCGAGCTTGATGCCAACGGCATCCTCAAGGTCTCCGCCCACGACAAGGGCACCGGCAAGCAGGAGTCCATCACCATCACCAACGACAAGGGCCGTCTCACCCAGGAGGAGATTGACCGCATGGTTGCCGAGGCTGAGAAGTTTGCCGAGGAGGACAAGGCTACCCGTGAGCGCATTGAGGCCCGTAACGGTCTTGAGAACTACGCTTTCAGCCTGAAGAACCAGGTCAACGATGAGGATGGCCTTGGTGGCAAGATTGACGAGGAGGACAAGGAAACTGTAAGTTGAACCTAATCCATCATCTTTCTTTCATGATTACCAGCTGCTAACATGCAATTAGATCCTTGACGCTGTTAAGGAGGCTACCGAGTGGCTCGAGGAGAACGGCGCTGACGCCACCACCGAGGACTTTGAGGAGCAGAAGGAGAAGCTGTCCAACGTCGCCTACCCCATCACCTCCAAGATGTACCAGGGTGCTGGTGGCTCTGAGGACGATGGTGACTTCCACGACGAACTGTAAAAAAATTGCATAGATGTTTATCTTTTAGAGGAACCAAAGAAGTTCCCTGGTGTTATCGTCGGTTATGACGCGGATATGTTTTTAGTCTTATAAAAATATGAATGCAACTTTGCAAATGTAAAGAAAATGCATAAATTGAATCTTGATCTAACATATCGTGCTTGTGTTTGTGAAGAGAGTTGTGTCGATATCATGTGGCAATCATGGTTATTAGGACTTGGTGGATTTGACCTAGCATCTCTTTTCAAGCAGAAGGCATTGAAGCACTCATTGTGAACTTGTATAATCGTATAGCTACCGGCCAACGTAATTAAATCGCCCGGAAGCGTATTACCGAAAAGCTCCATCCCCACTTCCATGTAACCATCTGCATTTTGCACTCTGCATTGTCATGATGGAGCACGAGCAGATATTGTCTGATAATAGGAATACAGCTTTCATTATCTTCATAACCTTGTAAAGTGTAGACACTTTGACTAATACGTGGTCATCGTTTGGGCCAATACATCAGCGAGTTCAGCACGGCTAAATAGTACCAATCAAATGACAACAAAACTTGTCTCTCTTGCATCCAACCCCTCCGCAGCCTCACCGAAGAAGCTAAACAACCCAATGGGAGAGTTATAATATAAAGATGCTATCGCCAAACCAATCGGATGGGGACAACGTATAAGCTGGCGTGGCAAGATGAATTCATCTTTGGGTAGCAAGTCAGTCGCCCAAAATGCCGCTTCCCTTCCGCATTTAATGAGATTCTAAGCAAAGCCTACCTGAACATTCTTGGCATACTCATTTCTATCAGTAACAAGATACTCATCACTACAAATGGCATTACCACGATGGTCCAGCCAGTTCCTTGTCTTCTGTTTAATTCCACTCGTTCAAGCATACCACATATTCGAAACAAACTGTTCTGCCCCCACCACTTTGTCGAATTATGTGTCGGCACCTAACACTCGAGGCACTCTCGACATATTATGGAGTTCTCTCTTCACCATTTTTTCCTGCACATGGGCCCTTCAACACCCTAATATTCCCGAACAACGCGATGGACGTGACCCTGGGTGGTTTGGGGATCTCAAATGGGATTTGAATGGTCTCTGCAGGAGCATATTGCGGATGCTTGTGACAATTATTGCTCCCGAGCTGATAATGGCTATGGCTTCTCTTGACATGTTAGAGGCACGCCAAGATTATAAAGGAATACATGAGTTCGTTGTAAAAGACGAAGGTACATGTACTTGGAGCTTGAGCCACATCTATTATGCAAATATGGGAGGGTTCGTTATACGAAGCACGCCAACGAGCAAACAGAGCTACAACGATCCATATCATCTCGACTGTAAAAGCATCCTTAAGCTTCTGCAGAAGGAAGTTATTTCGGAATTGCCTGATATAAAGGAGGAAGAAATTAAAGACAAGTCCAAAGGCGATATGTTTGTTAAGGTAATCGCAGTTGGACAGATACTTTGGTCTGTCGCTCAGATAATTGCACGGGCTGCTAGAAGGCTCCCTGTTTCACCGCTCGAGGTTGGTGTTGTGGCTTTTGCTGTCTGTGCAATCATTATACATTGTCTTTATTGGAATAAGCCTCAGCGTGTGGGTGTCCCTCAAACCATTCTGCAATATGGTGATAAACCCATACCAGAAGAAGTGTTCCGAAATTTCGGATATACACGTCATTACAGGGGTTTTACCCAGCTGCTGAGGTTTGATGAACCTCTAAGTGGCGCACCGATAAGCATCGACTCTCAAAGGGCTGTAGGGGGCTTCGGGGGAGCCATATCTACGATTATTTCAACCGTTGGTGCGGCTCTGTTTGGAGACATTCATATTGTTGCGTGGAACTTTGCTTTTCCATCAAGGGTCGAGTTGATTCTTTGGAGATGTGCGAGCATTTACACGGCTACAGCCCCTCTTTTCGCCATTTTAGCCTTCATCTGGATCTACTCTATCACACACGATCATATCAAAACAAACAGGCACTTCAATAAAATGATATCTATTTTTGATGTAGGTGCTCTCTATTCACTTTCATGCATATACATCGTTGCGAGGCTTTTTATTCTTGTTGAGATGTTTCGGACACTTTGCTTTCTCCCCCTGGCTCATATGTTTCTACTTGGACATCGAATATTCCACATGTTGCATAGATGGCAATGTTATGCGCCATTCTTATCCATGTCTTGTCTAGGTCGGATCTCGCTTGAGGTCGCAATGGCCTGGGGTAGATATACAGCAGCTCTAGCTCTCAATTTATGCTTCTCACACACAAGATGGAATAATAAAGTACTTCTCGTGTATGTTTTAGAGCATCTATGAAGCAGTTAATAAATATTATATTACTATCTACAAGTCATATTCCACTCAATTTTTGCTAATGTCATGGTGCCTGCAGGTTACACAGACGCCTGCTCAAGAGGTGCATGTACGTCACGTATATCTTTGAGCAGCCAGGTGGCAGGCAGCTGGAACTTGTTTATCTTCCACCACGGCCAATTTCAGGGCAATTTGTGGTCCAAGACAAACCTTTGGAGTGTGCATGAGGAAGAAGTTTTCAGTCTCCTACAGCTGTTGAGAAGAATTTGAGGAGTACGTGGAAGAAGAGAGAGTATATGAGCAACAGAAATCGAAGTGCTCTGGAACTCCGTCACTTGATCTGAACAAAGGCACAACTGCCACATATCTACCAAGGCTCTCAAGCTTTCCAACCCTTACAATCAAGTCTTTTCACGAACGAAGCACCGCTTTTGCCCTATTGAGCCAGCTAACACAATCGACGACTTTGGGGGTGATTATTCTGGTAACTCAAAGACGACATTCACCAAGAGCGAGCGAGCGAGATAGGAAGCTGCACACAGAATATTCCTTTACACAGCTTGACTACGAAAGCAGGCAACATGGCCGATGCTACGCAGAGCAACAATCCTTTTGCTCCAGATGAGAGATCCGCATCACGCGCAGTAAGTTGGACTACTTCTCTACCCTGATTCCATGCAAACTTATTCCACGAAGTGATTGCTTACCAGAGATTACGATTGCAGCCTAGTCGAGCGAGTACAATCAGCTTGCAGCAGGGTTCCATCTACAGCGAGACTCCTGATACCATGACCGTTGATAGCCCAACTGTGACAGCCCCAAAGACCCGGCGTAGAAGGAATACTGACACCAAGATGGCTACCGGATGTACAGAAGATCAAGAAAACGATAGCCAGGAGCAACTGGTGATGGAACTCCTCGACATGGTCGCAGGTGCTACTCCAGATGACTTGGCCTCTCAACAAGACAAGATAACGAGCACCTTGTATCGTCTCAAGGACCTCCAAGACCAGCAACCACCCAAGGTCTCATTCAACCCATCCATTGCCAACAGCCGCCGTGAGCGCCTCGAGGGCTTGTTCATCTATCTCACCTCAGAGCTATCGGCCATACCCGCCACCAACTGGGCGTCGTACAAGAAGAAGCTCATTAAATTCTGCGAATCCGAGCTCATCATCAACATGGAGTTCCCTCAGCGCCTCTACAAGGTCATGGAGATCATCTATCTGCCCGAAGAATTGGAAGCGATCCCCAAAGAGGAATTCGAGAGAATGCGCAGTGTGGCGAGGGTTTGTGCTACTGTTGCCCAGGCCATGGGGCCAGACGGCGAGGTTACGGATGCCCGGGCGGAGAAGTGGATTAGTGCAAAGGTGAGGGATCTTGAGTTCTTGAAGAAGATGTTTCACTCGATGCGAAACACATTTAAAGCCTCTGGGTTTGAGCAGACGGAGATGCCTTGGGAGAGGCAGGGCTAAGCTATGGGGAATGGCCAACGACTTTAGTGATTTGCAGGATTTATACGGCAATTTTGGCATCAGGGCGATGGCGGCTAGAATCTGGCCTGTCGATGTGCTGGAGAGAGTAATCAGAGGAAATTCTACTATCAAAATTAAGTGGTAGTCGAAATAGAAAAAAAAAAAAAAAACCCCTTTCTCCCACTCTCATTCACCAAAGCTGTCCTCTGTTTGAATTCATTGCAGCTATCCTGTTATACAGAATTCTGTCACGTGATAGCGCGGAGCCCGCTCATATCTACGACGCGCTGTCGCGCCATGGATGACGACATCAAGTCAGCTCTTTACAAGGGCGGTAGGAACAAAGAGCATTTCTTTTTTCTTTCTTCCTCATCATAGCAGGCCATTGATTCTTCCAAATAGCGCTTACAGTTTTTGAATATCCAGTTATGCCTGCTGCTAAACGATCTGCTCCTAAACAGGAGTCCGCCGGAACGCGCCGGCGATCTGGCCGCTTATCTAGCACACAAGTAAAGAGCGCCTATTTTGAGGGTTCAAGTGACGAGGAGGAGGAAAAAGAAAAAGCAGTTTCTGGACGCAAGAAGCGTGCAACTCAACCAAAGAAGAGAGCCAGACAAGCAGAGAGCGAATCTGACGGAGAGCAATACAAAGAAGAGTCGGAAGAGGAAGCAGAAGTACAGCCGAAAAAGAAGTCCCGTGGACGTCCTTCTAAGAAGGCCAAAGAGGAATCCGATGAAGACCAGTACAAGGATGTACCTGAAGATGAAGACGATAAGGACGATGAGGATGAAGATGATGACGATGACGGACCAAGAAAAGTTGAGATCATCCCGTTGGAGAAGCTGAGAGATACGGGAGGCGTAGAATACGAAGATCACAAGGTGCACAACAACACCATGCTGTTTCTGCGGGACTTGAAGGCGAACAACAAGAGGCCGTGGCTGAAAGGTGAGCGATCCGAATACTCCAGCCTTAAGCTCTATGTCGGCTGACGGAAATTGCTGCAGCACACGATGGAGAGTACAGGAGAGCGTTGAAAGACTGGCAGTCGTTTGTCGAAACAACAACGCAGACTCTCATCGAGGTCGATGAGACTATCCCTGAATTGCCCGCAAAGGACGTCATCTTTCGCATTCACCGTGATATTCGCTTCAGCAAAGATCCTACCCCGTACAAGGTACGCATTCCTCCTCATCCCACCATCCTCGCAAAGACTCTCTCTTCTCACTCTCAATCCGAATATAGCCTCACTTCTCCGCTGCTTGGTCCCGCACAGGTCGTAAAGGCCCCTACGCGGTGTATTACATCCACTGCGAGCCCAAGGCGACCTTCATCGGCGGCGGTCTCTGGCATCCTGAGGCGGCGCACGTGGCAAAGCTGCGGCAGAGCATCGACGAGACGCCCGAGAGGTGGCGACGAGCCTTTAACGATGCGCTCTTCAAGAAGGAGTTTTTCCCTGCGGTAAAGGCCAAGGATGGGGTCGAGGGCGTGGTTAATGCTTTTGTGGGGAAGAATCAAGAAAATGCTCTGAAGAAGAAGCCAATGGTATGTTTTGGTTACTATCATTTCATTTTTGTTGCATCTATCCGCATCTCAGTCTCATTAGAGGAATCGTCTAGCTGACTGGATGATTGACTAGGGCTACGAAGTCACACATCGCGATATTGAACTCCTCAAGCTCCGAAATTACACTGTCGGGACCAAGATTGACCACGGATTGTTGACTGGTGACGATGCGCAAGCGAAACTCAAGGAGATACTGAGAGGCCTGTCCCCTTTTGTATGTCTTTTCTATTTACTACATTGGTCTACCTCTCTCTATACGATTTGGAATCCATGCTAACTGTGGCGCAACAGGTTAATTTTCTTAATAGCATTGTTATGCCTGATCCTAATCTCGATGACGACGAGAGCGACGACGAAGACGGCGACGGGGGCGAGGATGAGCATAGCGGTGGTGAAGAAGAAGACGAATAATGAGTCCGAGTGGCTGTTGAGTTCTGCGGCTTGGATACCTATCATTTGGGGAAGTGATGTATCATACATGTTCAAATGCAGGGATGACGCTGCATTTATATCTTAGAGGCAATTGGGTAGATGACTCAATCTGACAAGCTGCATGTTGTCTAAGCAACAAACCGGGCAATTCATCTTTCTACTGTGTACAATCCCTGTCAAAATCTCACCGGCCAAGCTTCCTCCCGACATGGGTGAGAACATGGGAACAGCTACCAGTTCAAATCAAAGCCATTATGCGATACCGCACAGCACGGCGGGTTGTGGATGGTATGCTGACATAAAAATCACACCGATTTCACCGCATTTCCTTCCCTCCTCATGGCAGCCAAAAACTCCCGAAATGCGTGAGACCGCAAGCGTCACTCAGTGGGGGGTCCGACACGCTCAGAAAGCAGGCGACATCTGACATCTGACACCGAGTCGCAACCAGTGGGACGATGCCACCCAAGCTCACGCAGAGCATGAAGGAAGTCGCCGAAAGGGGCCGGCAAAACGGGCCGTGTTCTGTCCCAGGACTGTCCCAGGACTGTCCAATGGCAAACAATGGACAGCCCCCAAATGTGGTGGTGCCCCCCTCCCCCCCGCTTCCCCAAGATCGATCGCCTGTCTCTCCGCATCTCCGGTTGATCTTCGAACGGTGTTGCTGAGAGAGGTTATAGGCCACACGAGTTATTAGCCGCCAATGTACATACATTATTTGGAGGGTGGCGTCGCCTACGATCTTTGTCTTGCAATTCGTGGGGGGACTCCGACGATAAGAACCAAATCGCATGACATAACGACGTCGTCCTGGTTGTCTTGGATTCGTCGCCTGCGAGTTTTAAGGTTACATCTGTGTCCCTGAATTGGCACGCTCATCACACGATGTCGTGCCCTGGTTCAGCCACAGCCACGTTCAAGCCCGGCAGACGCCAGGATTGGAGAGTTTCTTATCCGTTAGTGGTGCAAATGACTGTGCGCGTGGCGGCGTCTGGCGTGGACGAACGAATGCAGCCAGAGACACGGCTTACTGAGGGGTTGCTGTGCGTGGCTAAACGTCATATAGGAAATTTGAGAGTTTCCTCTCGTGAAAAACGAGGTTTGAAGTTGTTTCTTTTATAAAGCTCGTATTCCGTCTCGTCTGCTTTCTTCATTTACACCCAAATGCTGAGTTGATGTCCAAATTTTGATAATACACATGTGCTGCCGTCCGGTGATTGAAATCATCGGCCTTTGATTGAACATAATCTTTTGTTAAAAAGAAAAAAAGAAACTTAAAATGACCCCAATCGCAACAAGCAATGGCACAGCCAGAGGTGTTGCTGAAGGCCGGCCTCGTATCCTCATCCCAGAAAAGGTTTCACCAGATGGCATGGCAATGCTGGAGCCACACTTTGATGTGGACGTCAAGCTAGGCCTGACACCTGCGGAACTCATCTCTCAGATTCCGGGGTACCATGGCCTAATTGTCCGTTCCGAGACCAAAGTAACGGAAGAGGTTCTTACTGCTGGTAAAAAGCTCAGAGTGGTGGCAAGGGCGGGCGTCGGTGTTGATAATATCGACGTACCAGCGGCAACTTCACGGGGCGTCATTGTCGTCAACTCGCCTTCGGGGAATATCCTCGCCGCTGCGGAGCATACGATAGCCTTGCTGCTTGCTACTGCTAGGAATATTGGCAAGGCAGATGGAAGTTTAAAGCAGGGAGGCTGGGAACGGAGCAAGCTCGTCGGAATCGAGGTGGGACGAAAAGTCCTAGGCATCGTTGGGTTGGGCAAGGTCGGCATGAATGTGGCACGAATGGCAAAGGGCCTTGGCATGCAAGTCATTGCTGTTGATCCGTATGCCAACCCAGACATGGCACGCCAGGCGGGTGTTGACCTGGCGTCCAGCCTGAAGGACATCCTACCTACTGTGGACTTTCTCACTATCCATACGCCACTGCTAGCAACAACACTTGATCTTGTCGGCGAAGAAGAGTTCAAGTTGATGAAGAAGACTGCGCGAGTGCTCAATGTCGCAAGGGGAGGAGTGTATAACGAAGCGGCGTTGGTGAAGGCTCTTGACGAGGGATGGATTGCCGGGGCTGGCATCGACGTCTTCACATCTGAACCTCCAAAGGCAGACACGGCGGCTAGTCAGATAGCCAAGCATCCCAAAGTGGTGGCCACGCCTCACTTAGGAGCCTCCACGATTGAGGCCCAAGAGAACGTATCAATAGACGTGTGCACACAAGTGCTCGAGATCCTTCAAGGCGGCCTTCCCACCAGCGCCGTCAACGCGCCAATCATTCTGCCCGAAGAGTATCGCAAGCTGCAACCCTTTGTGCAGCTGATTGAGAAGATGGGGCGTCTTTATACGCAACACTTCGTCCGGACCAAGGGAGGTCTGGTTGGCGGACGCAACTTCGAGCTGATCTACCACGGCGACTTGGCGGACATGTCCAACACGAAGCCGCTGTACGCCGCACTGGTAAAGGGGCTGGTTGCATCGTTCAGCGACTCTCACGTCAACATTGTCAATGCAACGCTGATTGCCAAGGAAAAGGGCATCAAGATAAGCGAGACGCACTCGCACCAAGCGGGCGAGCTGACGTACGCGAACCTGGTGACACTCAGAGCCCGCGCAGAGGACGGCAGAGGCCAGCAGATCATTGAAGGGTACGCGTCCGGTAAACGGCTGTACATCTCCAAGCTGGACCGCTTCAATGCAACGTTCAATCCCGAGGGCACGATGATCATCCTGCACAACTATGACGAACCGGGAAAGATTGGAGGCGTCGGCATGGTGTTGGGGTCTCACGGGATCAACATCAGATTCATGCAGGTCGCCAGCTTAGACGAAGACTCGAAGCAAGCTGAAACAGACGCGGTGAGAAGGGAGAACGAGGCTCTGATGATTTTGGGAATAGACAGGCCGGTCGACGAGGAGGTGATGGAGGGACTGCGTAGGTCAGAGGGAGTGCTGGACGTGGTGTTGGTGCAGCTGTGATGGCGATATATGTATGTATCTTATCAATCATTGAGCCGTATATATTAGTACCTTGGTATGAATGACCACTGTACGTCCACCATTTTCTGCGTGGTTCTGCATACCTCGCCAGAGAGAGACATTGGAGAATAACAGCGCGGATCAAGCTTAAAACTCTATTTAGTGGCTCTTGCCCTGAATCAGGTGCAAACAATGCGATCCTTGGCCATGGATGGAATGGAGCGAGCTGTTGTTTCAAGCACCAGAAACATCAATCCATAATCCAAAAGTCGAGGTGCACTGTAACTGTCGCTGTAAATCCAGCATGCAGAATTGGATAGTGCATCCGGCGTAGTGCGCTCACCAGCACATGCGGCCGTACTGCCGAGCGTGGGGCCGCTTTGGCGCAGGAACCAGACCAGTCGTCATGGCGCACGGTCCACTGGATTCCACCAAAGCCGCTAGCCTTCCAGGCGGCCCACAGGGCTCGAGCGTCCCAAAAGCTTCCTGACGTCCCCAGTACTACGTAGGTACTTGTGCTTTGTCTGGCTTGAGCTCCCGAGAGGAAACTTTGCTACGTGGTAAAACCTAAAACCTCAAACCTCTCGAGGTTGCGCAGGGCTTTGGATCCCGAGGCATCGACATCGGCCCTGAACAGACGAGTTTCCGTCTTCACTTTCCTGCTTCTTCTCACTTCTTGATTCCTCCATCTCTTCGCTGTCGTCAGCTCGCGTTTCTGGAGACATCGCACGCTACCAGACCGTCAGCAGCCAGTGACTGCGGGTCCTCTTTTCTCGATCGCAACACCAGAGACGTGCCTCGCCAGAGCAATTGATCGGCCGTTTTCAGCCTCCGCAGCGGCGGTCTACGCCTTGGTCACTGGATCGAAATTAGCCAAAGAATAATCCTGCTATGCCGAGGAGAAGCACGACCGGAGGGCTTGCCAGCTTCCGCCCTGCTGTCCTGGGCCTGGGGCGAGTGCTCGGCCTCTGCTTGACAGCTTCAGCAGCGCCAGTGTCCGTGTCGCAGCACGACCACAATGACGACCACTCAAACACTCCCGTGTGGGTGCTGGCTGTCTCGTCGATGACGCTGGTTCTGCTGGGCGGTGCTTTTGCAGGCTTGACTATCGCGTACGTTGTCCGAACTCGGAATCGCGGCTGGCGAGAAACTGACATTGCCACAGATTGATGGGCCAAGACTCCATCTACCTCCAGGTCCTATCCGGCGATCCCAACGAACCACAACACAAAAACGCGGAGAGAGTCCTCCGACTACTCAATCGCGGAAAGCATTGGGTGCTCGTCACCCTCCTTCTCGCCAACGTCATCGTCAACGAATCGCTTCCCGTCGTGCTGGACCGCTTCTTGGGTGGCGGTGTTGCCGCTGTTGTGGGTAGTACAATTCTTATCGGTGAGCACCCTTGGCCTATCCTTGTCCCTAGTTTTCGTTTGCTTCCGTTGCCGCGTGTCCTAAGACTAACCTGGAGCGTAGTCATCTTTGGCGAAATCGTGCCTCAATCGGTGTGTGTGAGATACGGCCTACCTATTGGCGGATACATGTCCACCCCCGTCTTGATTCTCATGTATCTTTTGGGGCCGGTAGCATGGCCCACCGCGAAGCTCCTCGATTGGATTCTCGGAGAGGATCACGGCACATTATACAAGAAGAGCGGCCTCAAGACGCTCGTTACGCTACACAAGTCACTTGGCGAAGTGTCGGAGCGACTGAACCAGGATGAGGTCACCATCATTACTGCCGTTTTGGACCTCAAGGACAAGCCCGTATCGGAAGTCATGACGCCCATGGACGACGTGTTTACTCTTGCCGAGGACCACATCCTGGATGAGGCCACCATGGACATGATTCTGTCTTCCGGATACTCGAGAATTCCCATCTACCGCGCAGGCAAACCAACCGACTTCGTGGGCATGCTACTTGTCAAGACGCTCATCACATACGATCCCGAAGACCGGATCCCGGTTAGAGATGTGCAATTGGGAGCTGTTGTAGAAACGCGACCCGAGACGAGCTGCCTCGACATTATCAACTTTTTCCAAGAAGGCAAATCACACATGGTGCTAGTGTCTGAATATCCCGGTGCTAACCACGGTGCTCTCGGTGTCGTTACTCTGGAAGATGTTATCGAAGAGCTCATTGGAGAGTGAGTAGACCAATTGGGATTCCCTTCTTTTTCTCTTTTACCTTTTTTTTGGCCTTCTCCTTGTTCTGCCCTTGTTCTACTCTTTTTCACGCACTTGCGGCGTACTTCTAGTTACTAATGTGAGATATACAGGGAAATTGTGGACGAATCGGATGTCTACGTCGACGTACACAAGGCCATTCGGCGTCTGACCCCGGCTCCCCGAGCCCACCGCAGACATAGCGACGTGCCAGGCGCAGGCGTGGCAGTCAGGAAAGCACCGGAGAATGCGGGCAGCAACCATAAACCTTCAGAAGGTCAGGAGGTGGAAGTTGGCTCTTTCAAGAGCGACTCGGGCCACCTTGAGCGCCCTCCCAAAACAGCCGTGTTTATGAAGCGCCAACACTCAGCAGGACCCGACGGTCGCATCGGGAAAAACCCCGTGCCTGTGAAAGCTTCGCTCGACGAGATGCGACAGCAGCTGAAGCTCGGCCCTGCGAACCGCGCGGCGAACCCGTTGAGCAGCACACGAGGAAGTGTATTCAAGATTAAGCAAGGCTTGGGAACGACGGTGGTGACAACCACAACCCCTGACGCAAAGACGACTGTTATCGACGCAGAAGCTGCAGAGGAGCACAATGAACATACGCCATTACTGGGTAAGGGCCAGAACGGTGCAAGCTAGTGGGGGCGAGATGAAGTACGGACTCCGAGTGTGCATGGAATAGGAGGAAATATGGCGGAGTATGGATGATACAAAAAAGAAAGGGGGAACAGATGAAAACAAAAATCTTATGCGGGTTACTGGACCGCAAAAGTGTTGTCTCCATTTTCACTTTTCTATGTTATAAGCGTCTTGAAGGATTAGGGTGCTGCTCCAAATTACGGAGAAGACATGCCCTTGTTTTCTTTTATTTCAATATTACGTGTCTTTTATATGCTCTACGTCTTTTTTTTTCTTGGTCTGGACTCTATTATTCTATTACCTTGAAATTGTCCAACTCTTTTCTTTTTCTCTCATGTCTAATCATACCAAATAGCATTCATGCCGAATCCTGGCTCCGGGACGCGTACTCTCGCAACGCGCGCCAAGAACTCGTCCTGCCACCGGTAAATCTCCAGCCAGCCCTCCTGATCATCGGTTATGGCAACCCACTCGTCAGACCAATCGCTAGGCGCGACAGCATTGCTGTGGCCGCCGCTGGTGGGCGTGGGATTCAAGCAAATCTGGCGCTCAATGGCGCCGCTGTCGGACAGCTTGAAGGCGGCGACGTAGCCCGTCAGGTCGAAGCTGTTTGCGCGGGACGAGGCGAAGAGGTACCGCCCCGAGTGGGAGAGGGCGCAGACGTCGGCACGGTACTGGGTCCAGCGGTTGGGGATGCCGGGCGGGATGAGGGGGTAGTGGCGGTGGGTGAAGACGGGCATGTGGGTGGCGGGATCGATGAGGTACTCGCAGATGCGGTTGCCCTTTTCCATGAGGGCGTAGAGGTAGGATCCCGAGGGGTGGATGGCGACCCAGCGCGGGTGGTCGCGCGGGTCGGGGCAGTCGACGGATCCGACGAGCTGGAGCTCGGGCGATGAGGCGTCGAGCTTCTTGTGGACCCAGAGCTTGTTGGCTGTGAGGTCGGCGGAGTAGAGGTACGTCTCTGTCGGGTCAAAGACCATGCCGTGGATGCCGCTGTTTGGCTGGTACTCGTAGTTTTGGACGTTGGAAGTGAGGGCGCCGGAGGAAGGGTCGGTGGTGAAGACGGAGCCGTGGCCGGCGTGTTTGTAAAAGGGGTTGCAGTAGACTGCGAAGGGGGGCTTGCGCGCGGGGAGGAGGAAGATGGCGCGGGTGTTTGTTTCGGCGGAAGCGGCAAGGGCTGTTTTTTTTTTGTTTGTTTGTGTTAGAAGGCGGATATTAGATGGTTTGTATATAGGTATATATCATGAAATGTGTATATATGTGAGAGATGGGGTGAAGAGAGACTCACGGTGGTGAAGCATGGGGTGAGACACTTGGTGGACGATGTCTGTGGGAGAATTGACCTTGAAGCTGGACCACTTCTTCATGGCGGCGCCGTAGATGGCTTTTTTCTCATGCTGTTATGAAAATCGCATTGTCAGTATTATTCTCGTGAAATAGATTGGAGGAAGCTGCACTCACGTCAAACGCCATCCACGAGATGGGCTCATCCTGGGCAATCTCGGTGCGCGCGACGAGTTTCAGGGTCAGAGCCTCGTCGTCAAACGCAAAAGTGAAGATTGCGCCCGGCGGCGTCCAAGTGCCGACCATGAGGTGGTGGATTGGCATCTTTGGCGGCTTTCCGTGTTGTTGTTGCTGAGCTTGGTTTGTGAGATGTGAGGAGAATTGGAGTCGTTGGATGGAGACGGAGACTGCTTGATTGGAGGTGGGATTGCGGAGGAACCGTGGGTACAAGCCGAAATTACGATGACAAAAGCGAAAGGAGCATGATCTGTTCATCTGAAAATGGCGTGACGTTGACGATGCAAGTCGAGATGGATTGAAACCGAAATCAATACTGCTACTGTTGTATTGGCAAGCTGGATATTCCTTTACCCCGTACCTACATCATTGCTCTGCTACTCCAAGTAAACCCCCCCCCCATCCCGAAGCTAGTGCCGGCGCCCCCCCAAAACTAGCGCCGCCATATCCGAAGCGGAAAAAAAAAACATGCCACAAGGAGAAGAAGGCCTGATTTGATTTACCGGTATTGGAATGACGGGCATTGGCTGGGAGAGAGAGAGCGCGAGAGAGATAGAGAGCCCTTGCCGCGCCCTGGATCCGGAGAATCCAGAAGCAGAAAATCGCGGGGCAAAATTGGGAAGCAGAAATGTGGGGGAGGCGCTAAATGGGTGAGAAGTGAGGGGCTTTTGCCGCCGGTTTGTAGGTTCGGTAATTGGGCGACTCCGGGTAGTTAGAGCATGTAGCCGTGAGCTCCGGAAAGGGAATCCGGGGGAGGTTTTTTCTTTTTCTTTTTTTTGTTTAAGTTGCTGAGAACGAGAGGTGGTAATTACAGTAAATGGAGGAATTGATGTGTTTATATGTAATTGTGTATTAGTAGTTGTTATGATGAGAGACTGAAGAGAAAAAGCAAAGATAGAGTCGAAATGTCGTAATGTGTTATCTATATGATTCCATCTGGCTACCCCCTGCAGCTCCCACGGTAGTATCCAAGAGCCCCAGAAGATACCAACAAGCCCAGCAGCTCCGGCGCGCGGCTGTCCCGCGTGTCTGTCGGTCGCTACGAGTCCCGACTTCAGCTCCCGGACCTCGTTTCCGTGAGTCGAGGCAGGGGGGCTAGAGGCGGGTTTAGCTGGTTCCACTGACGACGGGGTGGCGCTGACAGAAGCCAGACAAAGCCTTTATCCGCTGGGGATGATGGGCATGTGAATCGAAGGCATGGAAGAGGATGGATTAGTACGAGTATAGTGGCTATTACATAGGGTTTGGACACTAATGAAATTCTTATGTGCTACGTATGTATACTCGCATCGATTATATATATATCTCTGGACGTCTGTCTGTCTGTCTATCTGTCTGCATCTCCTCATCCCATCTCATCTCACACCTCAACCTCCAAAGACACACACACACACACACACACACACATACAGACTCTGATTGATACCTTGGTATAACTTCATCCTCACTCATTCCAATCTCATCTCATATACACCCACATCACATCAATACCAGCAAAATGGCCACCAACGGCACCAACGGCACCAATGGCCAGAGCAGCCGCTTCGACCCAACCTTTACGCAGCGCGTCATCGAGACCATGGGCCCCAACATGACCCCCCGCAACCGCGAGGTCATGAGCTCGCTGCTGCGGCATCTGCACGACTTTGCGCGCGAGGTCGAGCTGACGGTCGACGAGTGGATGACGGGCGTGCACTTTATCAACGCCGTGGGCCAGATCTCGACCAAGACGCGCAACGAGGCGCACCGCGTGTCTGATGTCCTGGGCCTGGAGTCGTAAGTCTTTTCTTCAACTCTTCCTCAACTCTTTCTCAACCCACAACTAACACCAACAACCCAAACAGCCTCGTCGATGAAATCGCCAACAAGATCGTGGCCGAGGGCGACATCGATCCTACCTCGTCCTCCATCCTCGGCCCCTTCTGGTCCCCCAACGCCCCCTTCCGCGAAAACGGCGCCTCCATCATCCAGGACCCGAACCCCTCGGGCCGCGTCGCCCTCATGCACGGCACCATCACCGACCTGCTGACCGGCAAGCCCATCCCCAACGCCGTCTTCGACATCTGGCAGGCCAGCGCCAACGGCAAGTACGACTTCCAGGACCCGGAGAACCAGACGCCCAACAACCTGCGCGGCAAGTTCAGGGCCGACGAGAACGGCAAGTATTGGTTCTACTGCTACCATCCCACGGCGTACTCGCTGCCCACCGATGGGCCTGCGTATAAGCTGCTGTCGCTCATGGACAGACATCCCATGCGCCCTGCCCACATCCACATCATGGTGAGTAAAACAGATCCAGCTTGACAAGTCAAAAAAAAAAAAAAAAACAAAGCGATGATGCGGGAGACTAACACGAGTCGTCAAAGGTCACCCACCCCGAGTACAAGGGCTGCACCACGCAGCTCTACCCCAAGGACGACCCCTGGTTGGCCACCGACACCGTCTTCGCTGTCAAGGACGACCTCATCATCGACTTTAAGCCGCTCAAGGGCGACGACAAGGCCGAGCTGGATCTCGAGTACAACGTCGTGCTGGCGCCCAAGGGATACAAGGGCAAGCAGTTTTAAAGGGAACAAGACAAGACAGGACAAGATGAAGAGAAAGAGACTGTTTAGCGATGTATTTTTTTTTTTTTTTTCTTTTTTCTTTCTTTTTTTTTTTGTTTGATGAGTATTGCCATGTATTATGAACGGCCTTGCTGGATTATGGGATGTAAAGAAGAAAGAAAACGAGCTGGGAGGACATCATGTGTATTATGTATGGAGGCTAGCATTATCACCTACCTACCTGGGTAAACCTGCAGAGGCGCATAGACTGCAATTGACAAATTAATTCCATTTTCTGAGTTTTGACGCATTTCACGGATGATACTCCAACTCACAACTCACCTCTTCTTTCTCACTCTCACTCACTCATTGTCTCTCTCACCCAAAGCATCTCATGTCACGTCGGCACAACTCATTCTCTCATCCCCCCTTCACACCCCTGCAAAAAACCCAGCAACGGCAACTCACACGTGCGCTCAACTTGACTCAGGCATTCGTAATGTATGCCTTGCTTTTCTCCCTTGCACGGACGGCCGCCGAGCATCCGCATCCGCCCCCCTCTTATCTCATACCACACGTACATACATACATACATGCGGTATAACATATAACATACATACAACATACATACATTGCAACATACTTACATACATACACACGTACATGGAACACGCCATCAAACCTCTCAAGGTCCTCCCGTCCCGTCATCGAAACGAACAAAACGCCCCGATTGGATTGGTCCTCCCGCAAAGGCCCGCCAATTGACCAACCGCCAACTCACGATGCACGCCATCCATCCTCACCAACCGCCTCGCCTCGCCAACCTCAACTTGACGCAAAGATAAACACAGCCCGCCCCGCCATGTGACGAAAGACCATGCCGCTCTCAATCTCGTCACAATCACACCTGATCCGCTTCCTTCTTTTTTCCTTCTTTCTCTTCCAGCCACCCCCAACAAAAGCCTGGACTCTCATCGACGACAAAAACCAAGCAGGGATATTCCACTCGCCTCGTCCCAGCCTCTCACCAGCCTCTCGACTTCCCGGCCCACGACCATCACAGCCCGCCAAAAAATTAAACAGCGTAGAAGTCAAAAACCGGCTCTTGATACCGCCATCATCCGACTGGTCACATCCACACACCACATGTCAAGAGAGTTTTCGAGATCAATTAAAAAAAAAAGACCTCATTCAACTTCTCTCCACACCACCCTCAAACAAAACAAAAAAAAAAAGTTACCGTCCCTTTTTCTTTTCCCCAGAAACCGGCACATCTTGCTGCATGTCTCACTCACTCACCCTCTCGCCGCCACGCGCCGCAACGCCAAAAAAAAACCGCCCAGGGAAAAAGCAAAGCCCACCCACAAGCCCCCGGCCCAAGCACCGCCCCCGGTTCCGCGTGTTCTAGTACGAGTCCAGTACATACAAAAGCTGCGATGCTCCATACAAATTCGCAGGTACAGCACAGCACAGAACAGCACAGAACAGACAGGAATAGAAACCTGCAAAAGCCGTAGAAACTTGTCCAGACCGGTGCAATAAAAGGTCCCTACGCACATGCACATGCAGCCATGCTACTGCACATTGGCTGGGCTAGCACAAGACATATCCCCCCCTGGCCCTGAAATTCCCAAAATGCTTGCATGCCCACCAATAAACCCCGGTCCGCCTCTGCCCGTTCCCCCGGCAACCGCCTCCCCCACATCAACAACAGCCCGCCACTTCCAACCCCCCCCCAGCTTGCCAGCCCAGAAATCCGACAGCGCGACTCCCTGAAAGGTCAGCGCTCCCCTAAAGGAACAATCTCCACTTGACGCAATACCTGTACTCTTGCAAAAGAACATGTAGGCGCAAGGTTGGTCAAAAAAAGGGTCACCCCGAGATCAGAGCAGCAAGCCTTCCTTCCCTTTCGCAGTTCTGCAATGCCGCGTTGCCTTTCGTAGCTCGAGGCATCCCTTTTTGGCGCGCTTCTTTTTTGCTTGTGCTTCCGTCATCCATCTCATCAAAGCATCACCAGATCCCCTTTCTGGCCCGTCAGAGGGCTTCCTTTACTTTTTCCTTTTCTTTCTTCTTGGCTTTGTCGCGTTTCACATCATCTTCATACTACTAACCGGCTATACCTTCCTGTATCTGTTCCGCCATTCTTCTTCTCCTTCTTCTACTTCTTCCCCCCTCCTCCCCTCCCAGTCAGTCCGAGACAATCCAATTCCTGTCTTGTTGTTGTGTAACAAGCAGCTTTCGCAAAAGCGACCTGGTTGTGCAACGCGGAAGCCGACACACGCACCCAAGACGGAGAGAACAAAGGGGGGAAAAAAGGAATAAAAAGACGACGAGAAATAGAGAGCCGGGTCTGCTCGACGCAGCGAGCCGGGTGCCATGGCCTCGAGCAATGGCGTCTACAATCCCACGGCCAACTTCAGCCCTCCACGGCACCGATCGAAGCCCTCCGTCCTAAAGTTCATCCACCGCCGTGAGCAGTCCGCCAACGACGCCAAGGCCTCGCCCCTGGAGGCTCAGTTCACAAACGTCATGCCCGTCGGCAACTTCTCCAGGAACCACCCTGGCGCGCTCGGCGAGCTGCAGCATAACCAGCAAGAGCAAGCCCCTCGACCCTCTCCCCGCAAGTCGCGAGACGAACGCCGACCAGATGTCGAGCCCGCCGCCCGCGACGAATCGCCTACCAAGAAGAGCCTGTTCCTCAGCATGACCAAGTCGCGCGACTCGTCTCCGACCAAGAGTCCTAAGAAGGCAAAGTCGGGAGAGAAGCTCACCGGTCTTCTCGGCCGACCCAAGACGATTAAGAGTTTACATAGGCTGGTGACGGACGGCGAGGAAATACAGCCGGGAAAGGATAAGGAAAATAGAACGCCGGATGAGCCGCGCAGTGCTACCCTGCCAGTTTATGCCCAATTCGTCAGCAACGAGTCGTCAAACTCTCTTGCGCCCCCCAGCCCGACTAGAAGTTCGAGGAATTCCTCTGAGAGACGCTCGATGGCCAAGGAACGACCGCGCACTTACATGCATCCCACCAGGTCGCAGCAAGACATTAAGAAGTCATCCATCAAGTCGGACTCGCCCAGTGGGTCAAAATCAGCAGCATCGTCAAAGGGCAAGTCCATTCGCGAACGAGGCAAGGTCTTTGGCGCCTTTGCCAGCTTCGGTCATGGCCGATCCAAGTCGGAGACGTCGACTCCCCGAGGCGGCTCGCCCACGACGGCAGGTCACACCCTTGACTTGAAGGACATCAACAAGCAGCTCGAGGCGCTCCTGGATCGCCGAAACATTCCCGAAAATCAGCGCTACAAGATGCGGAATCTGAGCGACACCATCAAACTGGAGTTTATCAGACAAGACTGGGCCGAGATGCGAGCTGCCAAGCTGGAGCGCAAACCGGATCGTCCCCGAACCAGCATGAACAGCACTAATGGCACCGCTGCCACGGCTTCCTCCTCGTCCGCCGCTGCTGCAGCCGACTCCGCCGTTGTTTCCGATGGGGAAGAGGAAAAGCCGAAGCGGAATCGCGGCAGAAGTTTCACATTCTCTCGTGCGAAGAAGGAGAAGGAGCAGCAGCAGGGCCGCTCGACGCAGGGCCGCTCGACGTCAAAAGGCCGATCATCATCAAAAAAGTCCACAAAGGGAGAGAGCACTCTGGGCCGTCACTTCAGAAACAAGTCGGCCGACAGTGTAGCCAGCGACCGGCCGATTTCGAGCGGCAACTCATCTGCAGGGAGCACGCTGCTATCCAAGATCAAGCTCCAGCAGGGGCCGGCCGACTATGTCGCGTACCTTAGAAAGGTGCGCCAACCGCAGCAGGTCGAGGTGGGCAAACTTCACAAACTAAGGCTGCTGTTGCGGAATGAGACCGTTGCCTGGATCGAAGAGTTTATCCAGCACGGGGGGATGAAGGAAATTGTCGGGTTGCTGAACCGCATCATGGAGGTGGAATGGAGGTAAGCTGCCATATCCCGTCACGTATTATATCTTGTTTTTTTTTTTTCCTTCTTTTCTTTTCTCCTTGACCTCTTCCCTCTGCCCTCTCACCCCGTTGAGTTGTGTGAGGTCTGGTTTAACTTGATAAAATAGAGAGGAGCACGAAGATGCTCTCCTCCACGAGAACCTCCTCTGTCTCAAGGCCCTGTCCACCACGGCAAAGGCCATGGAGTATCTCCACTCGGTCCAGGCAGACCTCTTCCCCAAGTTACTACACCTACTCTTCGACCCCGAGAAGAAGGGCCCCAGCGAGTTTACTACGCGCAATATTGTCACGTCAGTGCTGTATACGTACATCGAGTCCGCCTCATCCGCCGAGCGCGTCATCAGAGCCAGGAGCGTCCTGAGACACCTGCGGGACCCAGAGCCGGAGGAGTCAGCTCGACCGCTTCCCTTCGTCTTGGAAATGAGACAAGAGCGGCCTTACCGCGTCTGGTGCAAGGAGGTAGTCAGCGTGACCAAGGAAGTCTTCTGGATCTTTCTCCATCACCTCAACGTGGTGGCGCTGACGGCCGACCCGGACAGCTCAGGCGATGCAGGCATGGGCCGTCTTACCAACAACGACGAGCAGTATGCATACATGCGCCGCCATTTCCCCCAAGAAAAGGCCCCGGTGCCCGCTGCCCCTTATGTGGGCGGCGTGGAGTGGGACGCGACCAATTACCTCGCGTCTCACCTGGACCTGATGAATGCCATCCTGGCCTGCACTCTGTCGCTCGACGAGAGGAACCGCCTGCGAGCCGACCTTCGCATCTCGGGCTGGGAGCGGTGCATGGGCGGCAGCTTGCGGCTGTGCAAGGAGAAGTTCTACGGCAGCGTCCACACCGGCCTGAGGACCTGGGTCGCCGCCGCCGCAGAGGATGGATGGGACGTCAAGGACGTGAGGTACGGGCCGCCTGCTGATGCCCGATCCCCGGTCAAGACTGCCCAGCGAAAGAAGGTTGAGGATGCGCCAAAGCTCGACATGCCCAAACTCGACTTTAGCTCAAATAAGACACAGCCGCCTCCAAGGGATGGCTGGATATGAGAGAAAAGATGGTAACTTTTACGTATTCGGAAATAGAAGCCCACCTGCGACATTTGGCTCTATACTTTCGACGACGGGAAAAAGAAAAAAAAAACATCACTTTCAAGGACAAAGAAAACAAGAAAACAAGAAAAAAAAATTGTAAACAAATCAGAAGATTGCCAATGGGGGTATTTTTTTTATTTGCTGGCGTCTCACCCTTCTCTCCCTGAACTCATGGGACAAACAAGTCCGGTTGAGAAGGAGAAACATTGGGTAGTGGCAAGGGTTGTCCTTTTTTTTTTTTTTTTTTTTTTTTTTTGGTTCTTTCCTTTTGTTGAAACATTGGGGCATGGGTTCTTCTGTATGATTGCATGTTCATGAATTAATGACACGACTAAGCCTGCGGGCCACTTCATCTATAGGTATTAACGAGATTTGAGCTTACAAGTTTTGCTCCCAAACCCATGAGATAGACATATAAATTGTTCGTGACCATGTAAATCCAAAACAGGACGTGGCCAACGGTGGAGAGAGGTGGCAAGGATGGGGCTCTGAATAGTCTATATCGTTTCAGAGGACTTACCTTGCCTTCGCTCTGGGCCCGCTGGCTTATTGTACGTCTCACGCTCACCGATGTAGTTTGAACGCTTCATAGACTGACATGCCCTTGAGAACTTCCTCCTTGACCTTGTCGTCCGCAGCAACAAGGCCAGGTAGCAGCTCCAAAACCTGGTCGATCTTATCTCGGGGAATAATCACAACTCCGTTGTCTGGGTCGCTGAAAGCAACGTCGCCCGGGTTGATGTCAACCCCATTGACCTGGACCGTCACCTGGGTCGCCCAGGGCACGCTGCCGCCGCCAGATCCTACGGTGGAGGTGCCGTAGCCCCAGATCTGCAAAGCTTAGGCTGGTGAAAAAGAGCTCGTCCAAGGGGGGGAGGTGTGTCAAGAGTTGGAAAGTGCCAAGAGGAGAAGGAGGAGGGGGGTGCTCACATCAGGTTGCAGGGGGTAGGGGGGGAAGATGGTGAGGGGTTCTTACAGGCAGATTGGTGCTTCTCAACTCGTCTAGGTCTCTCACTCTTCCGGCAACAATGATACCTGTTACCCGGCGTACTTTCATCCTGAGGGCCATGATGCCACCGCAGACAGCGTTTGTCTGGCCTGGAGGTTGCTTCAGCACGGCAAAGGTGCCAGGTTCGGCCAAATCAGCCCAATGGACGTCCTTGGGGATATTTTGCGGCGGGAGGCTACCACCGCCCTCGCTAACGCCGGCAGGCTGCCCCTTTGGAGCAAACAAGACTGTGAATACAGGAGCGACGGTGACTCGTGACTGAGTGGCTTGGCTCGCTTGCTGCGGGCTGTATGCTACGAGGTCGGCAATGTAGCCTGCGCCGGGGACTTTGAGCTTCAGCAGGGCATCCGAGATATCACACGCAGAGTACTTTTCGAGCTGCGCAATGATGCTGCTGGAAAGCGGTGGTGATTGAGCCATGGCGCGGACTATTGATGCCGGTATTTGGTTTCTATCGAGATGTTTTGATCTCAGGTTGGCGTGTAACACCAAAGTCGCCCAAATTATCAAAGGGCCAGCCGATGGACCGGCGGAGGTTTCTGCCGGCACTGCTACGGGTCGGGGATATGCAGCACTGGGTGCTATTTACAGTGGCCTTGCTGATGAGCGAGCTCTCCTGCGGCCACCTCTTTGCGCCGGGTGGTGTCGTGTGGTGTGTCGTCCTCTCGCCGTGGTCGGGGTGAGTCGGCCGAGTTATCGGAGCGCAGACGCACGGATGGGAGCACTTGGGGGCGAGAATAAGTCGGTGAGCGCAGCCAACTCAAGGGCCCAGGGTGTGTGAGGCCGGTGGTGATGCGAAGGAGAAGTGGAAGTGGACAGTTGAGGCTGGGCCAGGCCAGGTTACCTTGGCCGAGTCGCCACAGACCAGGGCTGCGGCGCAAATGATTCGTGGCTCGGGGCTGGACGATGCCTCAGGCGGCCGGTTTGGCGAGCTAGACAGGCAGGCAGGTGCTATGGGCAGGTAGGCAAGCAGGTCGGCAAGCAGGTAGGCAAACAATGACAGGTCGGGGGGGAGCGATGGAGGGCTGGAGGGAAGCAGCTGGAAGGAGAAACGGCGGCGGCAGCTGCATGAAGCGCTGAGGCGTACCTTTACGAATGCTAACTTCCAAGTTGGTACGCGTACAGGTAAACTGGAAGGTATCGGTAAGAGGTACCTGTAGGTAGCAGCTTCAATGTAATAAGTCGAGCAAAGCAGAGCCGAGCCGAGTCGTGGGCAATGCCGACTGATTGTCGTCGCCAGGCGCATGTGCCAATTGGAGCTACGTCAGTTGTTGACTTGACCAGATGGAGCTGTGGATAAGCCAGTCCCATTTGCATGTGGCGTCCATCCAGTACGGCTGGCTGGCTGGCTGGATGCCTAGGTACGAGTATACTATGGATGTACAAGTCGCAGGTAGCATTCATGTACTCGCACGAGCAGTCGAGTTGCACAGCAGCCAGCCATCGGCATCTAGTGGGATGGCTGAGACAGCACGGAGAGGACAGGACAGCATGCCCAGTCACTCAGAATAGCCGTGCTTCTAGGCCTTGTCCCCGTTTTCCAATTCCCCCAGTCTCTGGGCCTACAGTGCCTGCAGAATAAACGAAGAGAATAACAAAGAACCCAGAAGAGAAACAAAAACCTACATAGGCAATACCCCTACTAGAAGCTAGAAGATACCAGCGGCCGTCCATGGTGGGGGTTGCAGCGGTGGGGCTTCTTTTTTTCTCTCTCATCCTGACCGGAGGAGCAGAAACGGGAGCCGCCGTAATAGCCCGGGCCGTCCAATCAGGCCCCGTCCCATCCCGTACGTCCTGCTGGGCCAGCATGTACAAGCATCTCTGCATCCCCTCTGGCAGAATTCGGTGGAAGAAGGGGGTTCGATAGGCCTGGAGAGAGAGTCGGGCAATCGGCCCTGCAAATGATGCCACATCGGCTCCTGTTGGCCCCATGGGAGGTGCATCACAGTTTGTGCCTGAATTGCCTGGGCGTGGGATGGAAGGCCTTTGCTCGTGGGGCTTCGTAGTATACAATATGAACACCTATGTATGTATACTCCGTACTCTGTATACCTAGGTAGTAACTCGCTTCTCTGGCCCTCGTACTGTGGCGACCAGATGACTACCACCTGAGGCATCTTGCCCCTGGCAAGGAGCTTCTCGCACCAATTGCCTGGGAGCCGGCGTGGATGGCGCTAATCGCAGGATCGTGCATTTCCCTCCCTGGAAGGCGAACATTAGGCGAGAGCAGAAGCAGCAGTAAACGACAAGAGGAGGGCAGGCGAATGCCAGGGAAAAAGCTAATACGAGAACTGCGTGAAGGATCCTAGACATGCATGGTGAGGCTGGACGCGAGCGACTCCCCCGATTTGCTACGACGTCTCTCTCCGCTGCAGCCAGCGTCCAGAGTCGAGGCCAGGGCAAGGGGTAAAGGAGGGTCGGCTGAAGGCCAAGGCGACAAGCAAACCCTCCTGGGGGACGGGAGCGACGGGTGAAGGGCGCCCTATTGTGACCGGTGAGCTAGCAGCATGTGCGTTGGAGATGGTGGCGGGCTGAGGGCTGGATCTGTGTGAAACCGGTCGTGCGGGCGGCCGAGTCGCACATTGGTGATGCCGGTGCCGCGACAAGCCGGTGATGATGAGGTGTCAAGGTCGACATTGGAACTATTGAAACTCTGGCATCTTGATCGACGGTGCAGCAAATACTTGTGCCTGTATATACGAGGTGAGCATCTCGCCCATTATATCGTCTGACTTTTGGGGATTCGTGGGCCAGTCGGAGCTCCTCCGACCTGGCGCCAGAGGGGTAGAAGCACGACTTTACAGAAGAGGCAAGGCAAGACTCTGCTGTGCTGAACTCGTCATATGCGACAGGGGCCCCGAATGCGAATCACAGCCTGCCACAATGACAGCGACGAGACTGAGAAAGCAAAAAATGAAAATAAACATGACCGAATGGCTGGCTGCTGGGGCCCTCGCTTACCCTTGCGCAGCCGATACCAGGGTCGGCCTAGCAGGCTAGCAGACATGACATGGATGCCTTTAATGTAACTGCAGATCCAGCCAACCCCATGGCCAAGTCGCGGCATCATGTTGCAATCTGGAGAAATGGTCAGCTGTACGCCTGGCGGCAGAGACGAGAGCAGGTCAATTGGCCCCAAGAGGAAGACGGCGAATTCAATACATGTACCTTAATGGATAGGTAGTGGACATCAACTACAAGCGGAACTACTAAGGTAACATACCTATACATCGTCTGAGCAGTTCTCACAACTCGACAGCAGCATCGTCACCCCCCCAAAAGGCTGCGTGGCTATTAGGTATGGATTAGATCGATGACCGATTTGGCCATGGCGTGTGCCTCCAGTCTTTCTGTCTCCCGCCCCCGCGGGCCCCCCTTTTCTCCTCTGACCCCCTCCGTCACTTCAACGACGCAAAGCCGCATACACCGTCAAGCCACCGACTCTCGCCGTTGGCTGCTCCGGACACTTTCCATCTTTCCATTCGCCCCAACTGAAGCTCAACTGCACACTTATAGTACGTCACCTACATCTTACCGGGATCCAGGAAGTAAGTCCGTGGGCGCCTTTGTGCTCATGCTCATGCTCATGCACGCTCACTGTTACGCGCGGGGCACACATTGGTGGTAACGCGGGCCATGCACAGCATCTCGTACTGTAAACAAATCTGCGGATTGTATGGAGCTGTGTGCCCCCGTCGCCAGCTAGCCAGGGCAGCGAAAGCACATGCAGCCCAAATCAGGATTTTGAGGATACACTGGATGTCAGTTCGCATCTCGTGTCCAATCCCCAGCCATTGTTGCTATTATTATCCCCCTCCATCCCATCACCGAAGCCTGGTGGTGCTCATTCGATGTGTTTTTTATGCAGTTCGCCCTTTGTGGATATGAATGCCCGAGTGGCATCCACAACGATTGGCAAGGTGATGAACGCACAGCACAGGAATATGACGAGGACACTCGATGGATGCCTCATAGCTGTACATGCATATGCAAGCATCGCAGAGTGCTGCCACCGTTACTCATACCCCCGATCTGGGTGGCATGTATTACCGGGCGCTTTGCACAGAGAGCCGTGCTGTCACTGTCACGAGCAGAATGGAGCCCATGGGCCGCAGAGCCGGCGAGTCGGGTCCGTCAACCATTGTGCTTTTACTCCGTCCTGCCTGGGCGATGCCATGTGTGATCGTCTCCCCAGACTGCCGCAAACGCCCCCCTTCCCCCCCGCCTCATCATCCCCTGAATAGGTAGTTGACTAACCTTTCGGAGTAATCGCCATCGCCCAAGGTAAATCCCCGATTCGAACATCTCAAGTGACAATAATCAAAGAGAGGCTCTAGGCGATGCAAGGAGTACATACGGGGTAAGCTCGACACCACTCCAGAGGGCATGGTTTGCAGGGCCAGGACCAGTCGCCATTGGCCACGCGATGGCTCCCACCCCCATCTCGCAAGTCGACCAATTGTCAGGACAAGAATCCTTGTATCGACTGCACAAGCTGCGTGTTCACCTGTTAGCTCCCGCGCGGTTCTCCAGTCTTAGCTGGCGCGCATCGAGCCAGATGATGCAGGCTTCTGCGCCGTGGAGACGGCCGGCCGCGACTGCACAAGGCGCTGGCCGTGGTGAGATTGCCTGACTGAGGCGAGTCAGGAAGGGGGGGCGTGTAGAGGCCCATCGTGGGCAACCTGGCTCAACCGGTGAGGAGAGATGCCCAACGAGCTGGTTTTCGATGGGCGCGTGTCGTTGATGACGAGAACTGAATTAAGGTTGTGCAAGCATATCGACTGATCAGCAGTCCCCAGCCATTATAGTGGCGGGCAGAAACGAGCTATGGGGCCGGCCCTGGCCTATCGAAGCGTGGCTGTCCTGCAGGCGCTAATCTGCTAGCAAAGGTACGAAGTAGGAACCAGGGCCGAGTTGTTTAGGGGAGCTGACCACATGCAGCCGCTCGCTGTGTCAGGCAGTCTGAGCTGTCAGGGCTATGCTTTATACAGAACATTGAGCATTACTAGTACAGCTTCCGTATGGAGCACCTTGCTTCTGAGTCTTTCGACATTGTCCATCTTGGCTGTTGCTGAGTCATGGCGATGGAGCAGCCAAGGCATTGTGAGGTGGTACACACTGCCGATAGGTGGGCAACGATGGGTCCTTTGTCCATATTTTATTACATGTCAACTGCTCCGTGCCGTTTTGCACTTTGGTATGCTGTGCGACGGGATGGGCATATTGACCAGTTCCTCTCAGGGTTGAATGGGCCGCTGCTGGCCGAGTTGGAGAGCAGCAGATCAAATATCACATCCAGAGTCACATCCAGAGTCACACACGCCAAGTCACTGCCGGCGCAGCATCTTATCGCCCGATTGAGCGAGTCCACGGCCGGCCGCTTCTTGTCGCGACGGCAGCAGGCGAGCGGCGTCCTTTCGGGGGAATAGCCATGTACTAAGTGTCAATTGATTGGATTGGTGATCCATCTGCCTGCTAGTGTTACGGAGAAGCAATTACTGTGCTGTACGGTCCAGCAAGGAAGACACAAGTCGGTGGAACACCGCAAGGTTCGATGGCACTAAGGCTAGGACCCTCTCAGCCGCTATTAAAGAAGTGGAGGCGGTAAGGTGGCCTACCCTGGCCTGTGCCCGTACCTGTACCTGGACCTGGACCTGGGCCTGGGTAGCACCCATGGCCAAGTCGAGTCGTCTCATCGATTGTTTGCGACAGGCAGGCGAGCTACTGTACAGCAGAGCCCGGCATCCATTTGCCTATTTGTCTGGTGGCTGATGCTGCTGGGTTGGACGCAATGAATCGACGTCTGGGTAGGTACACTGAGGCATTAGTCAAGTCAGGGTTCCCGTACTCTCTACAATACAGAACCTGGGTGCTAAGTGTCTTGGGATTAGGAGGGCACCAAGCACTTTGTGGCGATTAAAGTCCCAGGTACCTGGGACTCTCCCTGCTGGCGTTGAATCTTCAAGTTCCATGTCAACCAAGACAGCAACAAGGCTAACACTGCTGGTCATAACCCTTTGGTGCTAGTGCCAGCGAGAATCCGCCAAGATGCTTGCCGTACTTAGCTGCGCCGTTCTCCGTGTGCATCTTTTGTGGATAGCTCAGACAATTGCAATCCATCCGTCAATGACTTGTGCTGGGCCCCTAACGCTGTCTGATTCGGTTCAGTTCACTTCCATGTTTCCAGTACGTACATGGTACTCGTACGAGTACACACTTCAAGGTTGTTTAGGTACCTTGGGTACTTTGTACCTCACTAAACGGCTCAACTGCTTTGTGCCCGAATTTAGCATCAACTGCCTGCGCGGCGGATTACATACGCCCGTCCTCTCCAACATGCCGCCTGACAGATCACCTTACACAGCAGCATCCACGGCCCAGGCGCGCTGTGCAGCGCAGTCAGTTTCTCCCCCCCACACCCCTCGCTGGCTCCGTCTTTTGCCTTTCTCCTCACTCCTCGTCTTTTTTTTTGCTTCTGGTCCTCGTCACAACGCTTCGACGCCCACACCCCCAGCCACTCTTTTTTCCCTTTCTCCTCTTTTGGTCCTGTCGCCTTCTGCTCCCCCGTTTGGGCCGCCCAACGTTGAGCGCCTGCGCCGGCCCCACCACACTGGCAACAGGGTCTGTCGACACGCTTGCGAGATCTCCTGCTAGTACCAGCACCTCCCAGACAGACCCAGACAGACCCCGACAGACACAGAACACACCGGCTGCACTGCTGCTGCACGGCGTGCCTGTACGTGGACGGTCCATCGAGCTGCTCTAGCCCAGCGATCCGGATAGGAGCTAGGGTTTGCTCGAAACCCTTGTCGGAGAGAGAAAAAAAAAACAATGTCAATAAAGTAAGCCTCCTTCGCGAGCCGCCGTCGTCCCGTCTCTTTTCTCCCCTTCCCTTGTCCCCGTCCCGCCGCATCTCTTGTTCACTGTCCCCTTTCTATCTTGTTGTGCCTGCCTCCCAATCATTGCAGCTGGCGCGGCTTCACGTCGCCTGGCTCGAGTCCTCCAGACTATTTAATTCCTCATCACTCTCCTTCCTCTCTCGTCTCCTCCTTCTCTCTTCTTATTCTTGTCCGTCTGCCTTCCTATACGTCTCCAGTCCTCTCTCTCTTCTGCTGAGCATCTGCTTTGCTTTGCCTTGCCTTGCCTCGCCTCGCCTGCCTGCCTGCCTGCCTGCCTGCCTGCCTGCCTGCCTGTCTGCTTCCCCCATCTCGTCTGTTCTACATCGTTTGCCTTTGTTCGCCTGCCAGAGAGTTGTTCTGGCCACGGCGTCTGCCCCGCTATCGAGCCCAGAGGTTCATGGAACCATGTGCCTGGGCCCCGCCCCAAGATGAACAATCCTCATGACTATCTTATCTCGAGCGCCCCGAGCGCGCCTCCCCCGCGGCCGATCGATCCTAACAGTGCCGATAGTTGGGTGATGCTCAACCAGGGCGGATTTGTAAAGCTGCAAAACGAATCAATCCTGTACAAGCTCGATTCGCGCATATCATGCGAACTGTCTGTCCCCCAGGAGCTTAGAGCTCGCTGCGTCCCGTTCCAGCGCAAGAGTGACAAGGGAGCGCTTTTCCTGACCAGCAAGCGGGTTGGTTAAGCCTTTGAGAAACACCTCCGTATGGCCTGGCGCCTGTGTATGCTAACGTGCCTGGCAGATCATCTACCTCCCCGCAAAGCCAACCCAGGAGCCAAAGTTCGAGTCCTTCAGCGCTCCCATCCTAAAGTTCCAGGACTCAACGACCTCCTCGTCCATGTGGTGGGGATGGGTTTGGAAATCAGACTGTATCCCCGTGTCAGGCGGCGGAATTCCGCCGGAGCTGCCTCGCGTTGAGGTCAAGTTCACTTTCTCGGATGGCGGCATGATGGAGTTCAATGAGGCTTACATTGGCCTGCGAGAGCGCCTCTTCCAGTACCAGGAAATGCGCAGGGAGCTGGACGGCAGCGTCCCAGACGAAGATTTGCCTGCCTACGAGCAACAGGGCCCGACTTCATCAGAGCAGTTGACCGTCCCACCCCCTAACCGCTCAGACAGTTCCGCGAGCCGCCGTGCTCCCAACGAGCCGCCGCCAAACTACGACGAGGCGCAAGCCCAGCAGCTCAGCAACCGGCTGGAAGACCACATTCGTGGCGAGGTTGACCGTGGTGCCGAAGAAGAGTAGACGGAATAATGTGTGCTCCGTAGCGAAGCCAAGCCTGGGTGAAACGATTAATGAGACTACGAACAATCTCTGTTGTGATTTTGCGCTTGCTTCTCTATGGAATGGACCAACTTTGCCAGCTCGGTCTAGTCGCCGTAATATGTTGCTTTTGGATGGATTTGGATGGCGCCGGAAGTACAAGAACTATATTCGAACCATGGGTTTATTACAGATGGACAAGGGGTTTTTTTATTAGAGCCCGCCAGGCCCTACTTTTGGAGGGCCTGGTTTGATGAAATGCCAGTTTTTGTTTTTTTGGGATTCACTACTTGAAGCCGTCGATTGTCCCACCCTTGTGTGATTGCCTCTCGTCTCGTCCGCGTTCCACCTTGCACACAGCGTCTGGCCTTCCGTTGTTCTGACTGTGGAGGTAAGGGGGTGATACAGCCCCCAGCTGATCGGAGATCTCAAACCCCCCCAGTCCTTGAGTGAGGATCAGCCAAAAAGGGCAACCCCAGCTCTGCCAATAACCTCCCGACGCTACCAGAGCTAGCTTGTCTGGATTTGGCTGACAAAGACAAAAGTAATGTGACATATCCCGTGACCACAGTCGGTTGGGCCGGGCCAATCAAAATGCCTCAATTCCGGGTCAGCTTTTCGCGAATTTGACCGACAGCTCCCGATCTGCCAATACGCTCATCCAAAACCGTACGATACCGCACACGGAAACCGATCACACGGCGATACGACCACTCGCCAACCATCGCAATGGGTATCTGGGACACTTTCTCCGAAATTGTTGAGGCGGTGACGCCATGGAGTGTTGTGGAGGCCGAGGCTCCGGCTGAGGAACCCAAGGTAGGTGGGATGTGTGGCATGGGGGACGAAAAAAAATACCCTTGGGCAGCTCTGCAGCCATTCGTCTCTTGTCTCTTTGTGACAAGCTGGATGAGCGGTCAAATGCTCTGCGCTGTCGGAGTGCAGTCTCATTCCTGCATGAGAGCTTTGCTGTCTTGTTTTCAATGGATCTGGAAGGCTGATTGACATCACAGGAGGCTCCCGAGGCCCAGGTAGAGGAGACCAAGGAAGAGCCTGAGGAGGAACCCGCCGCCGAGGAAGAGGAGGAGGAAGAGGAAGAGGAGGACGAGGAGGAGATCAAGGACCCCAAGGAGGAGCTCGAGGAAGGTTCGTCATTGCCATGTCCCATCGAGTTCTTTTTTGCGCATGCCGTCTGAGAGAAGCTGTGTGCCTCATCCGACCACGGTGCGGGGCGAGGCATTTCCGCTTCTCATGTGCATCAGGATGCCGGCGACAATTGATTTTCCCACGGGCGCTATTTGCTGACATGAGCTGTTTCCAGAGTGCAAGAACTCCCCCCAGTGCTCCCCCGCCAAGCACCACTTCGACGAGTGCGTTGAGCGAGTCCACCAGCAGGAGAGCGAGGGCGAGGCCAAGGAGGATTGTGTTGAGGAGTGTACGTGGCTCGCTATTTCCCCTGTTGTTTGCCATGGGTAGCAATAATGCTACCCGGCGACTTGATCAATCATTCGTGCTGCTTGATTTCCATGGTCCGTCTGCTAACTTGAGCTCTTTAGTCTTCCACCTGGCTCACTGCGCCTCCGCATGCGCCGCCCCTAAGCTGTGGTCCAAGCTGAAATAAATGTTCCTTGAAACAAAATGAACCATACACCCCGACGAAGCATGCTCGAAAGCAAGGAAGGGGTTAAAAAAAAAGGATGTCGACGTAGCGGGCAAAAAGGCTCAATTACCGTGTTGGGGGTATGCAGGTTCATTATATGATCAACTCTTCTGATGGTCAACGACAACTACAGCAGCTTTGCCATCTCGGCGGAGCTGCCCTGTGTGTAATCTTACGCTCAGCGAGCCATGAAAATAGAATTTTTCTCTCTTGGTTGTTTTGGTCTGATGGTCTTTTTTCTCACTTTGTGATGCTACTATTTTTCCACGATACCGACCAGTTTCACAACTCAATTGTGGTTTCAGTCAATGGCTTGACTTTGTGCTATTGTAAAGAGCAACACCGCCGTTGCACTCAGGTCTTTTTCATGTGTCGTGCCGGCGCAGCTACATTGTAAACTGCTCGCTCACTTTTGCATATACTCACTTTGGCAGCTGCCATTGAGTGCTGAGCTGATGTGTTGATTTTGCCCAGCTACTTTGACTACGTTTGAAAAAGGCACTCCATCACTTGACTTACTAAATGTAGCAATAAAGTCAAAAGTAGGCTCGTGCTTAAAGTATGCACGATGACATTCTCAAACATCAATATTATATAAAGCGACCCGATCAACAAGAAGCTGGTTTCATAGATTAATCAGCTGAGAAGACCCCCATATAATCTAATGGCATGAACATCAACATATTCATTTTCCCCTATCATGTTACACCGGCAAGCTGTGCTGCTCAGCCTCGTACCGTACAATTGTAGCGCAATGCAATCATCCGCCAGTTGAAAAACACTCGCCTCAGGTCAGAAGCAAACATAGAATCACCAAATGAAAAGAAAAAGAAAAGACTTCCAAAACGCCTGTTTGCCGCTCTCATCGTATATCCGCCGAACCCTCGGTTTCACAAAGAAATCGCGCCCCTTCTATTCTCCCGGACGTGGAGCATGCCCTGTAGACCGCAAAACACAAAGAATCCCTGAACACGGAGCAGGTTAGCAAAGAGACCTTGGGCAATCCCGCCATGTAAACAGTCGAAGCTGAGGGGGGGTCTAAACGCACGATGTAAACGAAGACGGCGGTGAAGACGGTGCGAGAAACAGCTTTGCCATCGGCAGGGTCGTTGATGCTACCCATGAGCTGCTCGTGGCCGGAGCGGTAGAGGAGAGCGAGGACGCTGAGGATGAGGATTGCGAAGACGGAGAGGACGGTGCTGCCGGAGCCACGAGACAATCGTTAGCTTGAGCCCTTTTCTGACAAGCTTCTTACTGTTTTCTCTATGTGTTGCTTCGCGAGAGACGGCAACGGGATGCCGAGGTGTTTTGACGTACCACGACCATGCCTGCATAGCACTAACGACGGGCTTCATGATGGGCGTGCGAGTGAAGAACGCGAATCGAGAGACGGGGGACGTAGGATTGAGCGAATTCCCTCCGGAAGAAAGAAAAACGAATCGAAGAGGAGCAAAACAAGACGGAGAAGAGAAGCAAAAAAAGGCCCGTGTAAGCTCCGTGGTTTGTTGTGATCTCCGAAAGGGCTGGGCGAAGAAAACGGGATATGCAGAGTTGCGTAGCTTCGCACCTCCGAGAGAATGCCAATGGCGCAACTTACCTTAAGAGGGTACCTACCAAAAGTGCTAGCACGGGAGCTACCCGAGAAAACGCCGGCGCGGTGCTGAGGGCGGGCTTCGCGGCCTTGGATGTCAGGCGGCGAGTTTTCGGGCTGCTTTACTGGACTCCGTTGGTTAGGCGCGCGGAAATGGGCCTGGCGCTTAGATGGGACGAAGGTACGTACATACTCGTGCTTCTCGTATATAAGACCGTGTTTGCTTTGCTCTTTTTTTTCGGAGATGCGGCACTTTGAAACGGGGTGTTTCTGTTTAGCGGCAGATTTGCATGCATCGTTTTGATCTGCCGGACTATTTGATGATTCTTTTATTGGCTGGGTTTTGCATGGAAGTGGGTGGATGAGACGGAGAGGAAGAGGCTTGGCTACTGGTAGGCGATGGGATTCACGGCTCTGACGGGGCTGAGAAGGATATGATACCAGGCTTTTGTCGTACAGAATCCATAGAGGCATTGGAAAGAGGCTGGTGTTTAGCAAGGCTTAGTGGCGAAGCAGCATTTTGAACGTTTCACAAGGTGGACGAGGCGAGATGTACAGAGTGTTCACGACATCCTTTAGCACGGCGGCGAGATCCGTCTTACATTGGATTGATGTAAGTGCACGCCTTTGACAACGCAAGACGTGCTTTTGCTCTGAGCCATGACAGCAGGCCCCAGCCACTCGTTTGGTACTTATACTGCCAAGTAACGAGTAGAGTACATGCACTTGCGCACTCATCCATCCCTGTCTAAAGGAAGCATTTTTAGGCTGAGCCGGCCCACCCAATGTCGCATCACGGCTCGGCTGGCCGCCTATCAATCTCATCCAACCAGGGGTCCTCCCTTGCGCGGATCTCGAGTCGCATCGGCAGCCCTCGCCCGCCCAACCAGCCGTCATGGCCTCGCAAAAAAGTTTCGGCGTCGTGTACTATTTTCAATGGCAGGCTGTGGGTGCAGACTGGAAAGCCGGCAGCCCGAGCCATGTAATCTGCTTTGACGGGGCGTGAAACAAGGGCCACTGCTGGAGGACGGCCTGGGAATATAAAAGGGAGTGGGGTGGTAGAATGCAACGGGCCTTTGTTCTCTTTTGCTGCTACTGCAAGGTCCCTTTTTTGTTCTATTTCTCTTGTGGATGTGTTGCGTGTTTCTGTGGGAGGCGGCTACCTACAGATTTGAACAAACAAACAAACAAACAGTTTCGCTTTTTTTCCTTTTTCGACGAGAAGAAATCGAGTCACAAAGTCGGGCCATATGGGAGTATATGAAGCACGCAAACAGCCCTATTGATCGACCACAAAGCGAGAACGAAGCCATCTGTTGCTGTCTCACTTCGCTACAATCCCGCCTCCAAGTAACCTAGCTATTAGTATTTGCTACCGAGGGTGGGAAGAAGAAGAAGAGCTTGGACTCGAAGCCAGGTACGTGCATGGATTCTGTGAGAATGGGATGCCCTAGATGTCTCTGAGTCGTCTGTCTTTTTTGCCTCGCTTTGATGTTGGTTCTATGTTCATTCATTTTCTTCTTTGTTCAAACATATAATTTCTCCATTTCCACCTAGCCGTCTTACAACTTCATCCTTTTGTTTTCTCTTTCACATATCGCATCAGACTTACACGGTTTACAGTACCAAGTTATCTCGGTTATTCTCTCCCCGTCTTTAAAATGCGAGTTTCTGGGATCCTGGCTGTCCTTTCTCTCGCCGTGTCGGGCAGTGTCGCAGAGAAAGATGCCCCCGTCGTAACCGGCAATCCTAGCAGTGTCGAATACAAGGCCACTCTGCCCAAGAAGCCCTTCTTCGCCGATGCTGCTCTAGCGGGCAATGTCAAGGGCTATGTTTCTGCCGTAGCTGCTCCCGGTGGCAAGGGCGTCAGGTTCAGCGTCCAATTCGAAAACTTCCCCAAAAGCGGCGGCCCCTTTAGTGAGTTGCTCTCTTTTCTTCCCCAGTCAATTGGCGATGTGGCGGCATCATAGTGGCTAACCAACCCCCTTCGTATGCAGTGTACCACATCCACGAGGAGCCAGCTACCAATGGCAACTGTACATCAACCCTGGCGCATCTGGACCCGTATCATCGTGGCGAGACGCCTGCCTGCGATTCTTCCAAGCCCGAGACTTGCCAGGTCGGCGATCTGAGTGGAAAGTACGGCAAGATCACCTCGGACCCCTTCGTGGCCGAGTACTTTGACCTGTACACCTCTCTCCAGCCCGGCAGTCCAGCCTTCTTTGGCAATCGATCGATCGTCGTCCATTACGCAAACAAAACGCGGCTGACATGCGCCAACTTTGCCAAGCTGCCGGTGTCTAGTACTGCCACAAAGGCCCACACGACCACCAGCTCTCATCATACGGCCATCCATGGTCCCGTTGCTACGGGTGCTCATTATCCTCATAACACCACAAGCCACCACCATCCCACGGGCCCTTATTATACCACTGGTTCTCACCACACCACAGATATCTCTTCTACGAGTGCTGGCATTCCAACTGGCGTCGTCACTATCACTTCGACCAGCTTCACTACCGTCCCTGCTGAAGGTAGTGCAAGTGCCACGTCATCTGTTGTTCCTTTCCCAGGAGCTGCCTCGGGCAATAGAGTGTCCATGCTCTCTCTGCTAAGTGGAGTTGTTACCGTCATGTTCTTCTCCCTGTGAGACACCGGAAGGGATGGGCCAGATACAAGAGCGAGCGGGCACGGGGCTGGGTGCGGGCGTCTTCTCTCTTCTTCTTTTCTCTTCTCATACACATTTAATGATAGATGAATGTTTGCTTTTGAGCCGGCTCTTTCAGGTAGACACCAGGGTTTCATTTCCCTTTTCGGAGGGGTGGGAAAATGTTGCAAGCTGCGGGTTAGCGGGAAGCGGCTGAACAGCAGCAAGCAAGGGAAAAAGGAATTCACTAATATCATGGTTACATTTTTAATCTCCCTCTGCCGGCTTCATTGGTCCGTAAAGGCAGGGCAACTGGTAAAATGAGGCTGGCTGGCCTTGCAGCGCCCCCCATGCAGGCAAACGATAACCAACTGCCAATAGTTTCGTTTGATGCCTTTCTCCTTGCTTCGGAAGCGCACATGCAGTGACAGCTCATAAAACAGTAGCGAAGGCCGCTTTTTTGGACCGCTCAACGGAGCAAAAGTATACGAATGACCATGTTAAGAATTATAAATTGCGTTGCCTCAAACCTACTGAGCAGCCAAGTAAAAGAAATGAAACGAGTAGAGGTGATTAAAGTGTTCAGATTATTGTAAACAAGCTCAGCTCAACTCATCGCAACTCTACGGCTGGCTTCACGTGATTGGGATTCCGACCACTGGCAGCCACCAACGGCACATGCGTTTTGCATTGTCATCATAGCAGCTTTTTTTTTCCTTTTCTTTTCTTTTTCTTCCCCCTTCTGAGTTTATGCTATAAAAGTTCTGGTATTGGACCTTCTGTTGCAACGCATGATCTTCCGGCTTTTTTTTTCTTCTCCTACTAATAGCTTTAATCAAACACCAGCATCCTCTTTCTAGCATCGCCAATCGGTTCCTCTCGATCTCTTCCTAGCTACTCCACCACCCCACGTTTTGTTGACTTTCTGCCAGTATCCATTTGGAGATTGCACGAGGCGCTCGATGATGCCGAGGGGGTAGCACTTTCGGGACCCAAAAAAAAAATCATCATCATGGCGAAGAAGAAGGTGAGACAGACATTGGGTGAAGAGGCCTCGCTAGGCAATGGGAGTGGAAATTCACCGTCTGTGTCTACGGCCACGGCGCAAGCGTCTCAGGCATCGTCAAGTTCAAGTCCTAAGCAGAGGTCTAGAATTTCCCATGCGGCTCCAACGACGGCTATTCCACAATCGCTCGTCATATGTCGCAATAAGTATGTGTATGGCAACCGTTTTTTATTGTAATGATTTTCCCATCGCTTGTTTTTGGCCGGCTCTTTCGCTGACATTGGTTTGGTACACAGGCATTGGCGTCACATCTCTTCCTATCACGGACCATGGCTACAAATGCCCTTCGAGCTGCTTGAGACCCTTGCCAATATCAATTACAATACTCCCCTGCCACGACCCATTGATGCCGCCTCCTTCTTCGATCTTGTCAAGGTGCGACGGCTCGTCGACGAGGCCACCAATCTTGCCGTGAGGGCTGCTAGCGACATCGCCTCACCAACGCTGACCAACGTCAATGGCGGCTTTCCGAGCATATCGTCGGCCATGGGCTCGCATGGGATGGGTGCGCCAGGCCATGGCGGCCATGGCGGGAAACTGAGCAGAGAAAGGAAATTCCGAATGAGAGAGCAGGCTAGCCAAAAGCTGGGACGGGCGTATCGCTTGGACGAAATCGTCTGCAGCGTTGCGATGATGCAGGGCGCGTCGCCGCTGGAAGATGTTGGCAGCCTTGTGTTGCAGCGCAGTCCCAAGGATTCCGATGCCAAATATGTCCACTTTTTCCATGAAAAGATTCCGTCGAGGAAAATGGCCGAGTCTACGAGTCTGCAGCCTCTGACGGACATCATTGAGGACCGGCCTGGAGAACCAGAAGTGCTGCGAACCCGTGCAACCGTCAAGGTATTCAAGGAGGATTTCGACGGCGCCATTTTTGATCTGACACACGCCCTGTCTATATCACAATTCATTCGCAGGTCGCATACTTCTAGCCAGGAGGATACGCAAGTTGGAGAGACGCAACGCACCGCCAGGAGACGACCTCATGATATCATATTGTCAGAGAAGGATCAACCGAGCAGCCTTGAGGCGCAGCTATATTTCCAGAGAGCTTCGATCTATCTAACAATGGCGTCCGACCATGTTCTAGACAGCATACCAACCCCGCCATCTAGTCAGGTCAATGAGCAACCTGTGGCAGTGGAAGCAGATGATGGAGATGCGGGAGCAGAAGCCAGTGGTAAAAGATCTCCCGATCCAGACAAAGAGAGCACGAGAAAGCAGGCCGAGGCACGGAAATTGGTCAAGACATTTGCTAAGCGCGCTATCAAGGACTTTCTCTCATTCATCTCAAACTACCATTATTCACCTAATCTACCTGTCAAAGTAGCCAAGGAGTTCAACGACCGCATCAACCTAGTCGCGCACGGCATGCGCAGCTCAAGGGCCATTGACTCGAGCAGCTGGACAGAGTCACACACTGTCTACCCCTTATCTGACCTCTTTCGCTCTGTTCCTCCTACTGACCTCCCGCCGTATCCATCTCAGGCCGTGGTGAAGCACGACTCACACCGGTCGCCGTCGCAGCCGCCATCGAAGGACGCAGCTACATGTGAGTGGGTGACATACCATCCGCTACTCACCGACGCATTACACTCTCTTCTCTTGGCCCACTGCCTCGCTCAGACCTCCGGCAAAGAGATCCAACGACATGCTTACATGGTTGCTCGCCTTGTCAGGCTTGCCGACGGATATCCAATCTTTCAAGCCAACAGGTCCCCTGCGCGAGCTGATTGGGCTGAGGTCATCCATCGCACTGAAAACTGGCTTTGTCTCAGTTCCTCGTGGGACACGTTGTGCACACCTGCGCCGCTGCCCATATACGACGATGAGCACTGCGGCCATCATACATGTATCCACAATCACAATCACGTCCACAAGGCTGTCTTGTCTGCTGGCAGGGCCGCCTCCGCTGCAGCAGCACTCATCAATGACATCTCCTCTGACGCTGCCGGCGAAGAGGAACGGCGGCGACGAGAGCTCATCCGCGAACAGGCCATATTGGATGCCCTTGATGATGAACGCGTTACTGACGAAGCATCGTTCCGCGCAGCCATTGAGGCCCACGAGAAACGTGCTCAGCGAAATGACACTGTCTCTTCAGGGAAGCCTTCTAACGGCACTGTCTCTTCAGGGAAGCCTTCTATCGGCACTGTCTCTTCAGGGAAGCCTTCTATCGGCACTGTCTCTTCAGGGAAGCCTTCTATCGGCACTGTCTCTTTAGGGAAGCCTTCTAACGGCACCACCACGACGCCTAAACAAAGCCCGGGAACAAGCATAAGCCCAAACGGTCCAAACGCGCCATTTGCCATGAATGGTACAAACAAGACGAAACATTTACACATACACGGAGAGGATGTCGGTGATATCGATATCATGTCGCGCCGCTGGTCCGCTGACGACGGTAAGGACTATCCCATCATGACGGAACGCGCCAGTGCGATTGCGCGATGGGTGCAGGAAGCTCCTGTTGTTACTGGCACGGCAAAACGCAAAAAGCGCACCAAGAGGACGGGGACTGGTGCCGAGGGTGCTATTACCAAAGTCGATGAGGCTGGGGAGGGTTTGGAGAAGCTTGAGATTTAGGCTTTAGGCCTTTTTATTTTCGACTTGTTGCTGTGCGTGTTTACGCGCATGCAGCTAGATATGATCTACGAGGCAACTTACTTTGTCATATATGTTTTTTATGATGTATCGACACGGCTGCAGGATGGCATGCCTGCTATATGACCACGGAGTATTGGGAGGGAAACGGGAAGGTTTACACAAAATGTTGCGCAAGGGCTCAGATAGGCTTATATTGATGCAATGAATGGTATGCATAGTAGCTGTATGTACGTGGTATCAACGAAATGGTTGAAAAAATAGAAACCACTGGCAGCTGATATCGATGGCATGATTATGTTGATGGTGTTCCCCTCCTCTGTTTGTTCATTATCCATCACCTAATTTACCATGATAAGAAGTTGTTAATCATTCTTCAAGTCAACATGCAATATTCCCCTTCAAAGAGCTCAGGTCGTCGCATAGAATTGAATCGCGTTAAATGATTTCGTCTACAACACTCAATCAGTCGTCCCAATCACGTCCACATCTCACTGTCAAATCCACATACATATATATATAAGTAAAAGAAGCACAACAGCCTCACTCTCGCTGCAGAAACACATATCCCCTCCTCAAACGAATCCTTTCATCCACCAAAACCCGCACCCTCTTCATCACGCCCGGCCGCTCAAGGTCTTGCCCGGGCGGTGCTGCAAGAGACATGCTGCTGCTGCTTGATGTGGAGAGCCTTCGTTTGACGGACGGGGAGAGCGGGAGGGTCGTTACGAAGTCGTTGTATTTGTCTGCAGTGGGGATCGGGACGATGAATCCCGTGTAGGACAATCCGATCATGTTTTTGCTGTTGTTTTATGTTTCTCGTGTGCTCTTCGTTTATGTTACAGAGTTATTTACTTTTGTTCAAAAGATGTAGTTCGTGAATGCTATATAGATATTAAGAGGAGAGACGAATCAGCCTTACGAAGGAATAATAGATATTACGTCGACCTGTTTCAGCTTACACAAATACTCCAGAAAAGACAAAGTCTCCATTCCAGCGCGCCATTCCAAACCCCCTCCAGAACCATCGACAACGCCTGATTTGACTAGCATCATCCAGCTGACAGACTTAATCCATCAAGATAGCAAGGTATATCTCACGCCTCATAGCACGGCTTATAAAGAAACATGTCTATTTAGATAGCATCTCTTTCTGCTGAATCACGAGACACTACTCCTTGTACTACCTCTGAGATATCCGCCATGGAAACAAATTATTGCTCCCTCATCGATTCGTGACAATTAATCGGGCATGAAAGCTTGTTGATCAGCCGTCTTGAAACAAACCTTCAGTCGCCACGCGCTAAATCAAGCCAGAGAGGCATGCTACAGCATCATTCCAACCAAAGCGAAAGTCCTGAGACTCCTCGACACGCAAAGCTGAACCACTCGGAGCGGGGGAATACGAGGCCATTACTTGACAGACAAATCCCAGAGCATAATCACCTCACGGCACGGAGTACTCAATGTCGGATCTTCCAAGGTCATCTAATAGTCATGCATATTGGCGTATTCGACCAACTCAAATCACAAGTAAAGGCAACAGTGTGACCCATGATCAGCTTTGAAAATGTCTCCTCATTGCAGGTCTACATTGTAGTAACCTCCTACCGTCACCGATTCGACTCCCATATAGCCCAACGCCCAATTCTAATCCCAAATGCAAAAAAGCCAAGACTCAATCGCCATATCATCTTTTGTGTCCATCATGTATCCATTTCTTAAATCAAAAAAAAGAAGAACAAAACTCCTCCCATGATGCTTGTCCCATGCACGCCATCATATACAACGCGTTACACATTGGCTCGTGCGTCAGTTAGCTGGTTTCGTCCACCTCCAAGCCTTCCAAGACTTTGATAGCTCTTGTGCCCTCCATCTCGAATCGGTTAACCAAAGATTCGCACTCGAACTTGAGCTTCTTCTCTGCCTCAGCTGCGTTAAAGTAAATCCATTCCTCCACAGTCATCCGTCTCTCCGGACTAGTCAGTTCATTGCCTCGCTTCAAAAAACGATCTACTTCATTCTCCTTGCCTGGACTACCGACCGGCGACTCAAAAATCGCCTCTAGAGTCGCAGTTGCCCATGGCATTGTGCTTCGTACTCCGGCCATAACGTTGCGCTTTGAAGGTGATCCATGGGTGGGAGTTGACACTACTGGAGCCAGCACAAGACGCTTGGCGGCGCCAGTCCTGGCAGTGAGAGAGGAAGGCGGCTGGTTCTCTGCGTCTGACGACTGAGGAGACTGGGAAGGTGACAGCACCGGCTGCCTGGCCGAGGGGACGGGTGAGAGTCTCTTGGACGGAGTGTCGGGCAGCGGTGCCAGGGATGCAACTGCTCCATTTGGCGAGAAAATGGCTCTGACTGGCGATTGCCTGGGCAGTCGAACAGGCTCTTCCACCGATTCTTGGGCTTCAACAAAGTCCTCCTCGGCTTCCGTCTCAACCGGCTCTGCGGGCCTCGCTTCGACCAATTTCTTAGCCGGTCTTCCACGTCCGCGCTTCCCAGGAGCAAGAACCTCTTTGCTTTTCTCGATAGCCGCAAAATCACGGGGACCCTGTATTGCGGCAGTAGTTTTAGACGGTCGTCCCCTACGTTTTGGGGCCGGAGCGGGGGCAGCCAGGATGTCCTCATCCGGCCCCGTTGATTCCAGTGATTCCAATGACGCATTTGAAGGGTGACCACGACCTCGTTTTATGGGGGCCTCGGCAAGATGGTCATCACCAGGCTCAGCAGACAATAGGGATGCCAGTGATAACCTAGACGGCGGTCGACCTGGCCCACGTTTGATTGACTGTTGTGACGACTCAGCAACATCAAGAGTGACAGACTCATCCTGTGATGTGAGCGAGGTCCTTGGTCGTCCACGCCCTCGTTTTCCAGCTGCAGGGGGCAAGGTTGGTTTCTTCACAACACTTCTAGTGCTGCTCACACTAACATCAGCTGATCCCACTCCTTCTTCTTCCTGCTGTGACTCTGGGAATTCGGATTCAGTCTCTCGCTCGATCTTTGGAGCGTCGACTTGCTTTGCTCCTTTCCGTACACCAGCTTTGCGACCTCTCTTAGATTGGGTTGGTTGCTCTGCTTCGTTAACCTCCATCTCAGCCCGTAAGGCTTTAAGCTCATCATCGATCTCATCCTCGCCAGGCTCGGGTGCCACTGAATCAAACATGGCATACTCGGGTGACCTTGGCTTTGTTGGTCGAAGAGCCTCACTTTCCGAGTCTGTCACTGTTCTATTTGCCTTGGTCTTATTTCGCAACGAGTCAGAGTCGTATGAAATCTCCTCATCATCAGTGAATTGGCGATCCAGATCAACCTCCAGTTGGCGTTCAATCTCATCATCGTTTAGAAACCCGCCGGGAGCCCGTAAAGACGCCATGGATGCGTGCGAGTGCAGCTTTGGGGCGCCTTTGCGCCCCGCCTTTGAAGTAGACAGTGCTGCCTTCTTTTTGTAAGAAGCCTTGGAGACATCAGTCATCTCGGAATCATCTCCGTGAACAGCAACGCCATCAATGGTGTCGTTGTCAGGGGTTTCTGACGCTCGTTTCTTTGATATGGGCCCATCTGTTGAGCTCAGCATCGATTCTTCCACTGCGTCGCTCGACCTCTTCTTGCCTCGCCTAGACTTTGGCGGCTGTGACTCTTCTTCCATCTGGCTGCTCTGGTCAAGCTCAGACTGCTCATCATCTCTCTTGATCTTCTTTCTACCAGCTTTCGCCGCCCCCCTCTTTGCTCTAAGTTTCTTCGTGCCCAGTTGTGAAGCCGAAGACGCAGCTGTAAGAACACTGTCATCGGGCCCTACGCTCACATCACTAGCATTTGAAACGTCGGCTGCAGCTGTCCCATATGACTGAACGGACGATGCGGAGTTGCGGGATGCTTTTCCACGGCCAGAGCTTTTTCCTAGCGCCCTATATTGACTCACCAGGGAGAAGAAAGGACAGTCAGGAGAGCGGTTGTAATGCTCGTCTCTGGATGACGGTTAGTTATTCTGTGCGAACCCAGAGGCAGATGATCAAGTCTCACAAAGGTTTGTCACCTTGCTCCCATCCATCAAGTGCCAATTGACAGTATGCACACGTGGCCATGTCGTCCGATTCCTTGGTCGGAGTATACTTCCACCCAGCATCTACCAGCTAGCAAAACGTCAACATGATACCCTAGGCTTCCTCCAATCGAGCGGCGACAAACCTGCTTAGTCTTGCACTTCCAACCTTTTTTGTTTTCGTGAGGCCATCGGTCCGCAAAAGTTGCTCTACGAGCTTCGATCATTTCAGGGTCGTTGGGATCCTCTCGGCCGTAATCACCAATGTCGGCCTCGATGGCAGCAACTACTGCCCAGCCGCAATGGGGCGCATGTTTGACGTGCTCGTAGATCGGGTCATCGCCGGCCTCCCACCCATCCAGCCCCTTTTCGCATAGAAAACAAACGGTATTATCCGGGCTATCGGGGCTGGGTCTGAATACAAACCCGGCTCTGGCAAGCTGCAGAAGAGGTCAGTACGTCTCCCATCGAGGCGCCATCTTGCAGGGATAGGGAGCGTACGCTGGTGATAGAAATCTGTCTATGGGGCCAGTTGAGAGCCTTGGCTGCTCGGCCGCCGGTTGTTGATCCGCGCTTCCTGGTGGTCTTCTGAAAGGAGGCCAGGCGGGCTTCGTAGGTAAAATACTGATCAAATTCTGTGGCCATGTTGAGGATCGCCTCAAGCATAGGCTATGGTTTGCAGCTGGGGGCTTGTTGTTGTGTATATCGGCTCTGGGTCGAGACGGCGTAAACAAGAGACACCGCAGGCACGAGGGGCGCAATGCTCTTAACCAACAATCAGAGGCGCAAGAGCAGCATCTCAGGAAGCATCAACTGGCTGTATATCGGCGGTTTGCGAGACGTAATCGTGAGGTGGCCGTATCGTAGTCTGTCGAAACCCGTCAAAAGGGTGATCTGTGCGTTCCGGCCTCGATTGGGGAGTCGAGACTTGACCTGTGAGAATGGAACACCGCAAAATCAGCAGCTGAGACAACAGTTGATTGTTTGTTTGACGCTGCATCGTGACGTGGGTCCGCGACCGCGTTTGTTTACTTCCCTCGCCGGGTGGGGCGCGGGTTCAGCCACTGAACTTACAGCGCTTGGCTCCCTGGAAGCCCCTGGAAGCGCCACACTAGGGAGAGGGACATCAATTGTAATTTACGGGGTACTGTCCATGTAATCCATCAGATAGGGGACTGAAATAAGTTGAGTCTGCTGCTGGATTTACATTGCAACTAATAGCTATAGCTCATTTTCTTTTCTTTCTTTTCTTTTTATAATCCATATTAAGGTAGACCTCAATAGCTGGGACGATGATCAAGAGTTTGGGACGGTTTCGTCGAACATGGTAGGGGAGGGAAGCTCCTATGAGAGAGAGAGAAAAAAACCTTGTAGAAACTTACATGTATTTCATATTAACGGTTTGCATGAGGGTGATAACAAAGAGATGAGTGGCTGCGCATTCTCAAGTTGAAAGCTGTGGCAGGGAAAGTCTTTATATCAAACAGTTCGACAGGGACACAGAAGCACAAAGTATAGCTAAAGCATAAGAATGGCGAACACTCTCGCAAACGAATTAAAGTATCGAATCGCATAATAGCACTGTTATACTTAAGAAAGAAAGAGGTGCCGGCCTGTGACTTGGGCCAAACTCGCAATCTACCTAGGTTGTGAATATGTGAGGGCCAGTATGGGGCCTAATTGCGATTCTCACCGGTATAGATACTTGTAATATGCTATATTTCGTAGAGATACTCTATCTAGTAGCGATACTCTATCTATCTGTAGCTGATAAAATCGTGATTCACACCAAAGTATCTGCCCATGATATAATGGCTAGCAGATGAGATACAATTAGTTCTCGGTGGTCCGGCGTTTTGATACTCAGCCACTCTGTAGAGTCAACCTGCAAGAAGTTATCCTCCATATTGTCAAGCATAGGGACTGTCTCGTAATTTTGGATAAACTCTGGTGAGAATTTGAACCGAAAAAATTTGACACAATCTGAAACTGCAAGAATCGACATGACACTAGGATAAAAAGTCAGCGCGAGGTAAGATGACGTACATTCCAAGTTAAGGGTGACAGATTGGTATAATACCAGGCTTAGAATGCGAGTATGTATTTACTTACTCCGTCGAGAGAGCTAAACTTGTTTCGCTTTGACTCAGAGCCAGTGCCTCTCCGACAAGCTGAGCAAGCAGCTCGTCAGAGATTCTGGGCTTTCCATCAACGATCGTTTGGAACGCCCGTTTCCCTTCTAGGAGAGCGACCTGAAGGAGTGCGCCATTCCTTCCGAGTAATTGAAGTCCTCCGTCATCTATAGCCTCAACCGTCACGTTTTCAATGCTAGTTTGATAGCGATGAGTTAGTCGTACATCGCGGAAGTGAACGAACGGCCCGGCCTTGTTTATTGGCTGTGCGTAGTTAAGCACACATCGAACAAAGGAGCTGGCTAGACGTATGGTAGCATCTTCTAGGAGAGGAGCATAAACTTTCCCTCTATAACCTATGCTGTGTTCAGAGGCCCCTGAAGATGTGGGTGGACGATTAGGTGAAGAGCTCCCAATTACAAAGCTATCTGAGGGGACGAAGTGGTCATAGACAGCCTGCGTCCTTTCACGTCTAGGCCTTTCGGGAGTCGATGGGAGCTCTCCTTCAGTGGAATCTCCCTCCTCAGAATTGCCTCTTTCGACTGCGCGCGTTCTCTCAGCTCTCACAAATGGTGCCAAAGCTGCCCAAACATAGCCCAGACTATCTGGCTGGCACAGCTGCACGATCTGTGGCTCCCACAGCTCAGCAAGCTGGAGGTCCAACGGTCCGGAAATGAGGTCCTGGATGCAAGGGTGAACCTCCATCAGGTGTTCGGGAAAGAATCCATCAAGAAATAAAAGATGCCATTCCGGGGCAGTGCAGATGACTCGGCTCGCGAAAAGATATCGCACATCCCAATTGCTAGCACCGCTCTGGAAGCCAGGAGACTGGCTAAGAGTGACAAAATTGGCATAGTCTTTAGCTCTCTGAAGGAAAACAGAAGGGTATCTCACAGTGTCGTAGTAGGAAGACATGCCGATGAAGAATAATATGAGAGATATCAAGGGTTACAATGAAGAGTAGACGATAGTAGAGAAGGTAGATGATAGTAAAGACAGTGGCCGATAGTAGAGATAGCAGTAGAAATCAGGTGGTATTATGGAGGGCAGATGATGCAATAGAAACCAGGGGATATGATAGATAGGTATTAAAAGCATTGAGGGGAAACAGGGTCACGACGGTATATACATGCAAATTATCACCTCTTTATAACTTCCAAGCTGGTTGCGTATCCGCAGTGTGTCACCCAACGCAATGCCCCTAAGAGTCCGGCTGCACATAATCGCTCGGTGATTTCCTAAACCAGTTTCCAAACATTAGCCCAGTCAATAAACATACGCGAAACCCAATCCTGTGTTACAACCACCAATGTGTTGGTTGGCCAAAATATGGCTATAAATATAATGCCTCGTAATTGGAGAAACAGGGCGCTTAGAAAATGTACTTCGGTGACATGGCCATATTGTGTGTGCCTGAATGTAAACGTGGGGCTGCATGAGAGCGTTAAGCTTCGTGAATAGATACCTGGGTAAAAGGCCCAGACAAGGTGGCGGCAGGTATATTCGATCTCATGGCTCACATTATGGCGAAGACATCTGGAAACCCCGACGTATCCTCCATTTGTATTCGCATACATTACTATAGCCCAGTTCGAGCCACTGCTCTCTATTATCGTACATGTTCTATCTAACAGTTGCTCTAATCCATGGACCTCGTCCTTCTATATACACTACATTATGCCATCGCATACATTCCATAACTACTAAAGCAAACCGGGGACACCTAACTATGTGCTCCATTGATACACAATATCAAAACACCCAGAACACCATGCACTCAATAAAAAAAAAAAAAAAACGCAAGCCCCACCACTTAATAGAATTACCTCACATCTGATCAAGATTGATACATCCAACTGTCGTTGGCAGTGACGTATCTGGAGCCTTATTGTCCAGATTCCGCTTGATATCCGGGGTAGACATTGATGGGCAAAGGAGTGTTAAGAGACGAGCGCGGAGCGTCTGGGGTGGCGAAATAGGTACTTCATGGACCTCAACTGAAGTGCATATGGGTGTTGGCGGTGATATAGACGAATCATCAAACATATCCAACAAGAAGGAAGAAATGCTCGCCGTGTAAAGGTAAAGATAATCTTTAGACTTGAACGAGCATAGAACCTGAGACTATCGAGCATTCAACACATTAGCATCACAACCACTATAGTTTGGAAATCAAATGGGCACACCGAGAAGAATCCCCCTTCGGCTTCCTGCATAGAGCCGGCTTTGTCCAAATGTTGCCGCTTTTTCTGGGCTACAGCAATCAATAGTGCAACAATATATGGATCTTGCAGCGGCTCAGGTGGATTGAGTCTTTTCCATTTATGTTGCCAAATAGCTTGACCGGGAGGATTATATCGTGCAGTCCTGTAGCATCGCAGCGTGTCTTTTCGCAAGCTTTCAAGCTCCCCAAGATCAACAAACGCGGCTACTGGCCATTCGGATGTGTTCGAAACACTCTCTTCATCTTGATGATAAAGAAGCGTGCAACTAAGCTTCTTCTTTAAACGATCAAAATGCAGCGCTCCGCCAGAACTAAAAGAGGTGAGTAGACAGACTACAAACTTGCAGAGAGCTGATGACGAACCGAGAACGCAGTGGACATTCTGGTGCAGCAAGAAGTTTCTGGATATTATGAAGCCGACAGCCATATTTCCACCAGTTTCTTAGATATTCTTTTACATAAAGATTTCCATCATGCTCTTGAGAGAATCTGAGGTTGGTATTTGAAGGCGCGAGGATGGGATCTTGAAAAGAGAATCCGAGAAGCTCAAGATGGCGACTAGTCCAACAAATCGGAGAGACCAGAATCTGTTCCCCAGCGTAAAGGCGTGCGATTCGCCGGATAGATAAAGTATCAGAAGATACTGGAGAAACTTCGGTTGTGGTGGGAGCAGGAATAGAGATATGAGAGCGCGGCGAACAGCAATTCATGATGGCACAGTTTGACATTGTTCAGTGCCGTTCACATTGTATGAAGGTTAGCACGTTTAAGTGTGACGCGCTGGGTGAGACGGCGCGTTGAGTGCTAAAAGACTTGCAGAATTCGCTTATGTAATCTTCAGGTACTTATAAGATACTTAGTCTGGGTTGGATTTGCTCGGAGGATAAGGTATACTTAAAGTACCTTCTCTGGTCCGTCGAAGAGGCAGGTCTGTAATGTCGAATGACTGACCATTGGTTCATGTAGTTTTGGTATAGTACCTACCTGCTTGAGTTTGTTTTGATTTCATTGGCAGATTGATGGTTGTTTTCGATATTCTATGTAGTCATCGAAAATAACCAGATGAGGCGCCTTCAGAGTCACCTCTTCTCTAGTTTCATTCAGTCCACCAAAATAGTAGCACCAACGTGAGTTCAACAGAGGGCAGGCATAATGACAACAGATAGCGATTCAATTAGAAAGGATCCATCTCAATTACCATGCTACACTACAACTTTCCAGCATCCTTCAAAGCCTTTCCGCCATCAACAAGGACGCACCAACCCTCAGAGCCTCGCCCTCCTTCTCCGTAGACGACAGCCTCAAAAGTTCCGTCTGCCAGGGCGAAATCTAGAACTTCCTTGTCAAAAGTGCCGGGCTGCAGCCAGATTGCAGGGATGCCGACGCTCTTGGCTTCCTTAAGGACATTGAGGGTGATGCCGGGGTGAGTAATGATGGAAACGGACGTTTCCGTCGGCTTCGGCAGCGACTTGACATCCGGCACTGTGGGATAATCCTCGTCATTCACCGTGACTGTCTTGGATGCTGGGTTGATGGCAGTGACGGGCAGGTCATGGTTCAGATACCAGGCATGAACTATAAGACAATCACCAGTCAGAGAGTTGTCCTGATATCAAAGGAGGGGCTTGTGTTGGACCTTTGTGACCAAATTTGGCGGGGTTGGAGCTAGCTCCCACAACTGCGAAGAAGGGGGACGAGAAGAAGCGCTTCGCTGTGGCCTCAGTAACTGCAGCCATGGTTTCTGTAACTGTGTGATTTGGTCGAAGAGAGGTGTTTCCTTGTGAATTAATTCGGTTGAGAGTGATTATTCTTCATGAGAATATTTCTAAGCACCGGGCCCGACTAGCTGACGTGATTCTTCACAAGAAGTCCTCATCGGTTGATTGTCGGAACATGACATTTTTGAGGTTTATCGGGATGGCACTCCATGGTAGCATCGGCGGGTGAACGGCATAGATAACAATCTATTGAGACCGTAATTAACTATCTTGTTTGGGTAAAGTTGGTGGTTAGACGAGTCGTTTGCTGTTGATTCGAGACGATTCTGCGGCGCTCGAGAGGACACATTCAACTACAGGGTAGGCAGCTACAGGGTTAGAAGCGCAGAGTTGGTGATGGATCATTACGGCCATGTTATTTCTCGTGTGGAATATATTCAATTGCGAGTTGGATATGAAGGAACGAGGAGGGCCCTGTGTTTATAATGCCCTGTGAAATTCCCACGAGCTTGCTATCTGCGTGTTGTTATCCTTGGCCTGATGCCCGCTCTTGGGTTCTAAAGAGAAATTGCAGCACTCTCGAGTGTAGGCGCCTGCGATAGTGAGACGACGTCTGTTTGAAAACCCTGGTCCTGTGCTGTTCTTGGTAATCTGCGGCTATACATGCAAAATGGATGCATAACCAGAGCATAGCGTGTTATGAGACGCAATGCACGGCATAAGCCAAGCAAATCATCCGTCCACTACGCCGCCTAATTATACAGACCGCCTCCCGACAAGCGACAGGTCGATTGGCTGCGATGCCGACTATTGACTCGTTGCCCCGTCAGAACCAGGCAAGGGGACCCAGTGGGGCATCAATGTCAGGAGACGCCGACCTCTTGTTGTCATTTTCGTCTTTGCATCATTGTTGAGTCCGAAAGACATCATTGCCGACGTTTTTGGAAGACGCGTGCTGAACCGACTTTGCGACAGCAACACAGAGACAGTCCCATCTGACAAAGCACTAAGACACCAATCACAATGGTGAGTTGCCCCAGCACCGCTCGATGTAAACAAGGCCGGCCCGAGTTTGTCTGGGTGCTGGCGCCGCACATGATTCGCCAGCACCTGTTGCTTCCCGTTTTGCGCGCAACTCGAAAGCCAAATATCCCCAAAACAAACTGCTTTCCCCCGTTTCCTGCTGCGAGAGAAGCTACACCACTCGGTCGCATTCGATAGACTTGCGCTTCAGCCCGGCATTTGCACACTTTAAGCGAGAAAAAACGAAGCAGAAAAAGGAAAAAAACATGGCTTCTAACCAGTTTGACTCCCAGGCCTCGACCAACTACAAGGAGGCTTTCGCCCTGTTCGACAAGCGCGGCAACGGTCGCTGTGCCATCGACTCGCTCGGCGACCTGCTGCGAGCATGCGGCCAGAACCCCACGCTGGCCGAGATCCAGGAGCTCGAGAAGGGCCTTGGAAGTGAATGTAGGTTTCGCACTTCTCCCGTCGCCGTTTGTCCGAATGCGCAGTTGTGCTGACTTGTGTTCCCCCCCTATAGTTGACTTTGAGGCCTTCCAGCGCATCCTGAACCGACCAGGCGGCTTCCGCGACCCTGGCGAGCCCGAAGAATACTGCCGTGGCTTCCAAGTGTTTGACAAAGACATGACGGGCTTTATCGGCGTCGGCCAGCTCAAGTACATCCTGACCAACCTGGGCGAGAAGATGACGGAGGAGGAGGTCGACGAGCTGCTCAAGGCTGTGGACACCAGCTCTGGCCAGATCAACTACACAGGTGAGCCATCGCTGGCATTGCATTTTCACCTACATATCTCTCTCCCTTTATCACATCCGGCTTGCTGACCGTGCGCTTGTTTATCCGCAGATCTTGTCCGAACTATTCTCGCCAACTAAGATTCCCCTTGTATGAAGAACCTAACCCGGTGGCATCTTCTTGCATCTGCGAACGGGATGGCGTTGCTATGTGTTTGTTTTGATTATGGCAGTGGAATTGGGCATGCTTGGGATTGATGAATTTTTCTTTTGTACGGGATGGCCGTAGGCTTTGTTTGCTACCGTAGCTATATGGATATGTATTGGTGCTTGGAGGGCACCGTGAGTCGGCCGAGCAAGCTTCTTGAATCATTCCATGTTATCTGCGCATTTTACTCGATTTGAAGGTGGCCGCTACCTGGACAGGTAGTGGGCGATTGTTTCATACATGTTGACGACGTAGGCAGCTCTAAAGCTATTCCCTACCCATTAGTAATATATGCAGCTACCTGGGTATCTATCAATATTGTTGCAACCATTAGAACTTGCATGTAGTAATAGTCCGCTTGCAAAGCTAATGGATTTCCCCTCGATCCTTTTCCCTGGCGGAGCAACCCCGCGATGCGGTTGGGTTTAGCGGCTCACCACCTGCCGGATAAGGTCACTCCAAGACAGCAGAGCTTATTGGCATGTGGTAATAACACTGCCTAAGCTGAATTCAATTGCCCTCGTCAGTAAGTGCATACAATAGGTGGCAATTCAGAACAGAATAAACAACACTGAAATTACCTTCTACTTTGGTTCTTTACTGTCTCGGCAACTTTTCCCTCTGTAAATTTAGCTTTGATCGGGGCCGTTAGAATCTACTAAGCTACCTTCTACTAGGTATCTTAGTCTCATTGATGGCCTTCTGTAAAGTATAATGGCTACGAGATTGACGCCATATTCCCCATGGCTGCCGAAACAAGCAGTCATTTACCGGCGCTAAAGAAACAAGACAATGCAAAACAATATAACATAACAGTACATACAAACGTAGCACAATGCAATAATACAACCAGCACAATTGACGTTTTCGATCTGGGCGCTCAATTCACACTGTTCCAGCGAGAGCCGCGTCCTGCCGCGTCAACGGTCTCGTCTCTGGGCATCACTCTACCTACCCCTCACCAGCACTCAATTTCCGCCGTTCTGGTAGGCTGAGCCAACATCACGCTGTCATACGTCCTGCAGTCCAAGCGGGCCAATTTGGGACAGAATCTCCGGCCAGCTTGTACTTCGTACGTAAGAACCGCCCGTCATCGAGCTGGAGCGACCTCGTGCCATAAAGCCCCTCCTTCTCCTCCTCTCTCTCCTCGTGCTCCTTCTCGCCGCAACCCTGGCTTCCCAACGAGCTCTTCTGCGCCTCAACTCTCTTGCGAGTCACGTACGGCTGCAAGGAATAACTCGACTTCCGTCATATCGTCGCCTCTTGACCACCAGCAGCATGGCTCCCGAGCAGTATCGAACTCCGCCGCAGCGACCGCCTGTGTTTACGGCCACGGCTGAGTCCATCCTGGCCGATGCCAAGAAGAGCGCTGAGCAGAGCAAGAGTGTTTTGGATCAAATCGTTGCCAGCGTGACCCCCGAGACTGCCACCTTCGACAACACTCTGAAGCCCATCCTCATTGATGGCAACGATTCCTCGGGCCCCCAGAACATCCTGACCTTTTATCAGCATGTATCGACAAACGAGTCCCTCCGAGAAGCTTCCACCAAGGCGGAAGAGCTCCTGAACGATTTCTATATTGAGGCAAAGATGCGAGAGGATGTGTTCAAGCTAGTGGACGCGGCTTATGCCACGCGAGCCTCCCAAAACTTGGACAAAGAGTCGCTCCATATCCTGGAGAAGGAACGTCAAAAATACATCCGCAATGGCCTGCTTCTTCCAGCCGGCGAGAAGAGAGACCGCTTCAAGGAGATCCAGAAGCGTCTTAGTCAACTCTGTATCCAGGGAAAGAAGAATCTCAACGAGGAAAAGGGTGGAGTCTGGTTTACCCCCCAGGAGCTCGAGGGAGTGCCCAAGGATGACATTGATGTCGACACACTCGAAAAAGGAACCGGCGAAAACGAAGGAAAGGTGAAGGTTACTTTCAAATACAACCACTTTACCCCCCTGGGTAAATATGCCATACACGAAAATACCAGACGGAGATATGTTATTGCAGAGGCCAACAAGGTATGAGCATAGCACATCACTTTTCCCCCTACAAGGGCTGTGACTATCGATGAACCTTTTACTGACGCGGCGTGTCTAGGTAAACAACAATGTTGAGATTTTCTCCCAAATCATGGACCTTCGAGATGAAGCTGCTCGACTTTTGGGCTACCCGAACCATGCCAGCCTCCGGATTGAGGAGAAGATGGCCAAGTCACCGGCACGTGTAAACGAGTTTTTGGGCGACCTGCGAACTCGCCTGGCCCCTGGTGGTGAGAAGGAAGTCCAGAAGCTCCTGGAATACAAGAAGCGGGACTACGAAGAGCGCGGCATCCCCTTTGACGGCAACTTTTATATGTGGGATACCGCTTACTACTCGAGGATCATGAAGGAGAAGGAGTACAGCGTAGACGAGGTCGCAATCTCACAGTATTACCCAGCAGAATCAACATTCGCCGGCATGCTAAAGATTTTTGAAGAAATCTTTGGCTTTGTCTTTGTTGAGCTCGGACCGGAAGATCGAGCGCGGCTGAGCCCAAGTGGCAAAGCTGAAGACATCTCCTGGCATGAAGACGTCATCGTCTACAGCGTTTGGGATGAGCCAGCCAAGGGTGGTGAATTCTGCGGCTACCTGTACCTTGATCTCTTCCCCAGAGACAACAAGTACGGGCATTATGCAAACTTTGGAATCGAGCCGGGCTTCCTTACCGTCGATGGAAAGAGAAGCTACCCATCGACCTCCCTGGTGTGCAATTTTAGCAAGCCAACGGCAACCAAGCCGTCGCTGCTCAAGCACCATGAAGTCGTTACCTTCTTCCATGAACTTGGCCACGGTATCCATGACCTCGCTGGCCGATCTCGTTTCAGCTATACCCACGGAACCGCCACAGTGGCCGATTTCGTTGAAGCACCCTCTCAGATGCTTGAGAACTGGTGCTGGACACCAAGTGTCTTGAAGTCGCTGTCAAAGCACTGGGAGACGGGTGAAAGCATCCCCGACGAGCTTGTAGAGAAGCTGGTCAAGACCAAGCATCTCAACTCGGCAATCGGCGCGCTGTCTCAGCTCGTTATCGGTACCTTTGACATGACCGTCCATGGACCGAAGAGCAACGAGGAAGCCAAGACTACGCACTACGGCAAGCTTTGGAACCAGCTTCGTCACGATATTTCGGGCATCAAGGGCCCGGAGGATGCCGGTGAAAATATGTATGACCCCCCCCTCCTCTTTTCCACTCGATTGCGTGGCTCATAACTAACTTGTGATAGGGAATGGGGCAACCGATATGCCACCATTGGCCACTTCCTTGGCGGTTATGACGCCGGCTACTATGGCTACCTCTATTCTGAAGTTTTCTCGTTGGACATGTTCCACTCCTTCTTCAAGAAGAACCCAATGGACGGTAAAGAAGGCCGACGATACCGCAGCACTGTGCTGGAACGTGGCGGCAGCATCGAAGAGATGGAGTTTTTGAAGGAGTTTTTGGGCAGAGAGCCTAGCACCGAGGCGTTTTACGAAGAATTGGGCATTGCTGTCAAATAAGTGTTGCACACTAGATGCTACCTAGATAGTTGGCATTCGTATTATACAAATACAAAAGAAGGCAAGACACATACACTGGCAAAACAATGAGGACTATATATATCATCACCCTAATATATATATATATATATAGATCATTCATTTCATTAACCGACCGCTTCTTTTTGACCTTATTCGCAGTGATCTCAGCTTGATCGAGTGCCAAAAAGACAAAAAATTGCGACCTGTGTGGATCGAACACACGACCTTCAGATATCAGGTGATTGAAGTTGGAACTTCAGTCTGACGCTCTCCCAGCTGAGCTAAGGTCGCAATCCATTGGTTAAAATAGCAGCGGGATTTTTCATATTATACAGGCTGTGAGATTTGTGGGAAGATGGCTTGGATCGTGGGGGTTCAAAGAAGTGGAGATTTGGAAGGAGGCGTATTTTTGGGAGGGAGCACGTGCAGCTCTGCCATTCAGGTGGATCGTGAGTACGTACCTTTCTCTGTTGATTGGATGAAGAAGTTTCCACATGTTGCAGTCGTGATATTCAATGTCTGTGTTCTTGCTATACGGTGTTTTGTTTGCATGAAGGGGCTGTGATGAGCGTTGGGATAAACCGATGAATGGACGAATCAATGCATCGATAACATAATCCCGCCAAAAGAGGAAAAAAAGCACAATCACAATGTCACTTATAATCTGCGCGCCGTCCGAAGCCGAAGCCCCTGCGGTATCAACGGTGCATCTGAGGGCCATGGACGAAAACCTCCTTACGCACGCACAGTTCCCGAGTCCCGAGGGCCTGCAGTTTTTCCACTCCTGGCTGGAGAGGAACACGCTGGAGCATCTGCGAGACGGGGACAAGGGGGTACTGGTTGCGAAGGACGGGGAGACGGGGGAGGTGGTGAGTTTTGTCAAGTGGCTGGTTCATAGGCCTGGCGAGGGGGAGCAGCAGCATCAAGTTGAGGAGGAGTGGCCGGATGTTGCGAGGGGGGAGTATTTGGATCCGTATGCAGCGTTGACGGAGAGGGTGAGGAATAGGGCTGTTGGAGAGGAAGCGGCATATTACCGTGAGTTTATTTTCTGATTTCATTGCTATTTTACTTGGGCATATTGGGGGAAGAGCAGAAATGCTTTGATTTGATCGGCTGCTAACAATAAGGTTTCGATAGATCCAACATATCTCTGCACGGATCCTCGCTGGGCTGGGCGCGGCGCTGCGTCATTGCTTCTGCGCAAGGTTCAGGACCTTGCCGCGGCAGACGGTCTCCCTCTTGTGTTGGAGGCTACGATGAATGCCGTGACATTTTACCAAAAGATGGGGTTTGAGATTAAAGATGAGCTGTCGATGATGCTGCCGCCTCGAGGGTCGAGCGAGCCTACGGAATTTTATGAAGAGAAGTGCATGGTGTGGGTGCCGCCGAAGGGCGCAGTGGCAGCGTCGTGAAGGGGAGGTTTAATTGTACAAGGCTGTAAGTGTGAAATAGAAGTGTTGAAATGTATGTTGCCAAATTATAGAAGGGAAGGACTCTCATCTTGTGGCTTGATACCTGTCTTATCGATTCTTTGATAGATCAGCATCAAGCTTACACGGCTGGAAAGCACAGCATCTCACGAGTTGCATCATTGGCGGAATCCCCACATGCACGTGGCATATAGCCTGATTGGGGGAACCTGTCTACACGTATCGATCTTCTCCACGGGGGAATGGCATGTTCAGCTGAAGGCATCTAACACTGACTGAGTCGTGGCCTCGATGCTACAGATGGATGGCGATGAACCGAGGGAACGGAGAATGTCGATTCCGGGATCGGGATAATTGCAATCCAAACGGCCGTGTTTAATCACGTCAAACGTGCGGTCTGGGCTCTCCAAATCAGCAGACGAGCGCGGGAGAGCCAAATCTCGTTACGTAGTGTCATCTCATCATAGCTGCGGGCCGCTTCCTAGATCGCGTGAGGGAGGGGAGCAGCACCGAAAAGATGCATGCCAATGCGTCTGCGAGAAAAAAAAGCCAAGCAGCACTTTTGTCGACTGAAACATTTGTCTTGATCGAGCACATCCTCATGCATATGACGTCTACTGAGTCACTTGGACGCCCTCGACGGCCCCTCGCTTGAGCTTGGGAGCGGCGATCCAACGCTGCACGGAGGGAACTTTGCGATGGGCACGATTGGAGCCGGGTTGAAACAAGAACGGGCCGTTGCTACGTGGACTAAAAAAGGTTCGCGGAGACGACCGAAGACGGACCAAGGAGAAATAAAAGCAATAATGAAAAAAAAAAAAAAAGTTTGGCCGCGCGGGTTCGCTAGCACGGCTTGTAAACATTTTGTTACGTGTTCTCTGCGGCCTTGCGATATTAGAAAGCGTGACGGTTGGCGCGCTCGATTGGATATGCCAGAGCCAAAAAGGCCGCAAAACGGGGAGTTTCGATGATTGTGTGGGGGGCACGTGTATTGCGCGGGCAGGGGGTTTGGGGCGACGAGCCGAGCTATTTTCGTTGCTCGTTCGTTCCGGCGTCTCGTTGCATGAAGTGATGAGGAACGGGGAGAGCAGGGGGGGAGAGAAATACACAGCAGCAGAGCGAGCTTCGTCTGATGAAGACAAGACAAGACAAGAATACAAATACTTGTATAATAATTCTCGCAAATTGCAACCTCCGGAGCTCGGCTAACGTGCCTTGGCGCCTGTGCCTCTGTCTGTACGAGGCGGGCGCCACTGGCACGAGATATGCTGCCAAAACCACCCAATGAGGCTGAATCAAGATGCAGTAGCAGATGCCGACGTGAATGGAGTGGTGGTGACATGCCACCTGAGATGGCCCGGGGGGCTGAACGCGAGCCGTGGCCATTACGTGAGAGGTATTCAGGGCCTGCAGCACGAGTGGTTTTCCATTTGGTAATAGCACGAGCCGCAGCTTGTTTTCAATTTGTGTTTGTTGCTAGCGGAACCAATGCAATGCTGCCTTTATTGCTTATTGCTTATTATTTATTTTTTTCGGGCTTATTATCAGGCACGCGTTGATTGATTCGGCCCAAAGATAGGTAGGTAGATCAGCAGCTGACAACGACAAGGCTGCTGCTTCATTCATGCTTTGAAAAACGTCGACGGTCGTTGGCCAATGCAGCCTCCCAGGTACAAATAACTCGGTAATAATATCTACCTAATTACCTAGTTCCTGTATCCATCATTAACACTAGACGGTCCCGACGCCCTCTTTCCCGAAGCTGCCTGTTTGGGCCGGCGACAACGCAAAAACACATCTTGCTTGACTCAATGCCCACCAAATCTGATCTCCAGTTTGGTGGGGAGGCATCCAAACGGGCTAAAATGCACGGCGGTGACGTACATGCAACACGGAAATATTACTCTAGCGCTCTTTCTCGGCCGTACCCTGTACATACAGCGCCAAGCGCAGCTTTATCTCCAGCCGTTATTAATTTTGATCCGTCACAGATAAGACAAGGTTGCAGGCCCGATTAACTAGCAGAAACGGCGTCGGTATCGCATACCTGCGCCCGTCCCCACTCGCAACGACAGACGGATGCATTTGGACCCTGATTTATTCGGGGTGACTAAAGCAATGAGACTGAGACATTGGAAGCTGCTGCTCTGCACTGCACGGGTGCTCGTACCTGGTACCAATCACGGGCAGAGCAAATCAATGCGTTGCATCGCATCGCATCTCATCTCATGCGTGCTTTGTATAGAGTACTTTGGTACTGTACGTGTACTCGTACGGAGTATTAGCATTCATTATTACAAGTGGTCTTCGGATGGCCTTCGGATGGGCCCATCTCCGTTGGCCTCTTGGGATACCCCGTTCTTATGCTAGGCATAGGGATAATACTCCGTGCAAGCACTAGGCTCTCGGGGAGAAACACAAAAAGCTCAGGACCTGAAACCAGGCGTTCGGAAACACTCACAAAATGCCACCGAGACACTTTTGTGGGCTCCAGGCACCTCGATTTCTTTGAGTCGGATGCTGGAAAAAGGGGGATGAAGTGAATAGCATATGTTTCATTCTATCTCAGTTTTCACGGTAGCTGCAGGTGACCCTAGAAGATTGACTTCTCAATGCTTCTACTGTATGCGTGGTGTGACACTGAGAATTAAACAATTTGAGTTTTAATTGTGCCAAGCATTGAGGATGCTGCTGTGCCACCGGGATTCCTGTTGAGCATTTTCCGTACAAAGTTTTGGACGTCGTACTTTGTAAGCATGCCTCGTACATGTGAGTCGAGTCTGTAGTATTGCATCCCACACAGCGACGGATCCCATCCCATCCACATGAATCTAGCCTCAGCACTGCTTGCTAGCTCAGCACCTGTATGTACTGAGTACCTGGGCAGCAAGGTAAGACGTTGAGTAATAGTGACCCGCCAGCAGCGCGATTAGCGAGCGATATCTCAGGTACTCCGTACTTGGGCGAGCATCGAGCCATCCATTGCATTGCATCGCGTTGAATTGCTGCTGATGCTTGTCTCGTCTTACCCGGGCTGGCTGCATTCTGCATTCTTATCACTCGACGCTCAACCAAATCAGCTTCGAGCATCATCATTCTTACGTTTTGGTAGCTGCCTGCTCTAGCCACGGCTGGTCGGTGGCGGCGCCCTTTATTGAACGAAAAAGAGGCCCCTTTGCCTAGTCCGCCTTCCGGGCTCGAGATCGCCAAGCAAACGCCATTTTACAAACCGCCGTGGTTGGGTTGGCTCAAGCCGAAGTCTCTCACTAGCATCGGCGAGGGACCGGCCTAAAGCGTCCCATCGCTTGTGTGACAATCCATCCACACTGGGTCCGTTCCGGTAAAAAGGGTAGCCCTGGTCTGGGGAAGCACATGTCATTTGTCTATCCTCATCTTTACGTCCTTCTTCTCGCTCATTCTTAGAACTCTCTCACCCTCTCACTTATCTTTTCCCTCAGCTAGTCATCGGTCGTTTTCGGAAGCCACAGACACGACAAGGAAGACTCAAGAAACGAGCTGCGGCGTGGCTATTCAGCCTCTTAGATCTCGCCTTTCTCCCGGCCCGTCCGTTCAGCTGCTGCTCTTGGCCTGTCTATCATCTGTCATATCCTTCGCACATAGCTAAGGCATCTGCTGATACCACCGCCACCCTCTACGTATCTTGGCTGGTCCAAACTTGGCCTGATGCTCTCCGCCAGAATCCTAAGAACATCAGCTTGATGAAGTCGATCTAGGAAGGGAACAGAAAAAAAAAAGGCCTGCGAGGTGGTGCTTTCTCCAGCTTTATACTCGGTACCCCCGGTTCAAATGACGCCGATAACCAAAGCCTATCTCATCCTGGCCACCATCATCACCTGAACTCAAGTTCCCCAAACGCGTATCTCCTCCTAATCTGGCTGTCATCTGTTTACTTCCTCCCCCAATCCCATCCTGCTGCTCGAAAAAGGCCGTCTTTGGCGGGTACCAGCGACCGGGTCGTCGACCAGTCTTGCTCGTGCTCCTTATCTGCTTCGGACTAAACAGTAGCGCCACGCCCTTTTTCAGCAACCTTATCACGGACACCCACAAAAAAAGCAACAAGGGCCGATCTGTTACAGTTGACCAACCGCTGCTTTGGCTTTACCATCCCCTTATCTCTCCGCCGTTTCCGTTATCGGGCGACCCGAGAGACACTCGTCCGTCCTCATCCAGCATTGGACTCAAGCTTCAGCCTTTGACGTGTTGCGTCATACCCGAGTTGCCAGGCGTGGGGAGCCTCCTTCGTCCAGTCTTGGGGCAGCGAATAGCATCACTTTTGCATCTCCGGGGGCTGTTTTGTCACGCAGCCTCCCGCAAGCTCTTGTTTCTTATCCCCCGCTTCCCCCAGTTTACGGCTGCTATCTATCCATCTTGAAGATTAGCAAGCCCTGGAGAGGCGTTTTCGTATCTGCCTTTACTTATCTCCAGCGTTGACTTACCTATACGCAGCGCATAATACAATACCTGCTACGGAGTATCTGCATACAGACCTTAGTAGTATCTATCGCTAATCTATCATACTACACGCGCATACCCATCCGCACGAGCACCAGCCGGTGCTCATCCTAACTGGCCCAGCCATGGCCCATGACGCTCCTATCCAGCGCACGGCGCCAATCGCCATCGCTCCCAAACCTCCTCGGCCGGAGCCACTCCCACTCCCACGCCGCCAGAACAGCTCCCACAGGTTCGAGATAGGCCCCGCGAGCCTGCATGGCAGGGGCTCCATCGACTCCGGCTCGTTTCTTGGGGCTGCCGCTCCCCCGTGCCAGGCCTGTCGATTCTCTGGCACCAGGTGTACCGTGGCCGAGGATGACGATGGCTGTATGCCCTGTCAGCTCAACGGCACTGAATGCTCGCTAGTGTCGCCGAGCCCTCAGACCCGTAAGAGGAAGCTTAACGGGGACTCTGCCGATGAAAGCGTCAAGAGAGGGTCAGTATTGATCTTGTGCCTTTTTGCCTTGCCTTGTTTTGCTTTGCCTTGCCTTGTTTTGCCTTGCCTTGCTCTGCTTTGCTCTGTTTTTGCTCTGCTTCTCCTTCTTCCCCCCCGTGCCGGATTGTCTCGCTTCGACTCGTTCCACCACATGATCCCGCCCTGTCCTGTTCCTCGCAGCCAAAAGACCGTCCCACGTTGCATAGCCATCTGACACATGATTGGTTTTTTAGCTCCCCCGGTATCCCCAGCCGCAGAAATCACAACTCGAGCCTCTCCAGCACCGCTGCCAGCAGTTCTTTCTTGGAAGACATGGCCAATGTCGGTGGCCCCACCATGCTCAAGCGGACGCTAGGTCTTCAGGACGACCGATACAGCCAGTATATCGGCCCCACGACAGATTTCGAGCCCTCTCTCATTAACCTCTCTCCGTTTGACACGCATGACGAGAGCCTTCTGGCCCGCGGCACCCTCCGCAAGGTCAGCGACTCGGACACCTTTCTCATGCTGCCAGACCATAGCACGCCCGGATACGACCATGTAATTGAGGATCTAGACGCCATCGAGGCCATTGTGGCGCCCCATGGCCGCAAGCTCATTGACCTGTATTTCCGGGTCGTTCACCCGGGAATGCCCATCATCCAGAAGACCGTCTTCATGGAAAAGTATGAGCGATCCTATCGCGAATTCTCACCACCTATCCTCGCCGCCGTCTATATCCTCGCCATCAACTGGTGGGATCACCACGATGACCTGTCCAAGCTTCCCCGCCCAGACGTGCGCGAGCTGGAACGACTCGTCCGAACTACGCTCGAAGACGCCATGTACCGACCGAAGCTGTCGACAGTCCAGGCCGGGTTGCTTCTTTCACAGCGACCCGAGGGTGACCAGTGGGCTCCTACTGCGCAGTTGGTTGCCATTGCTCAAGAGCTTGGCCTCCACCTGGACTGCTCAGGCTGGAAGATTCCGCCGTGGGAAAAGGGGCTGCGAAGGCGGCTGGCTTGGGCCCTGTACATGCAGGATAAATGGGGTGCTCTCGTCCACGGAAGGCCGTCTCACATTTTCCCTTCCAACTGGGCCGTCCGACCGTTGCGTGCCAACGACTTTCCCGATGTTGAGTGGGATGAGAACGACCAGGAGGAGCGCCAGGACATAGAAAAAGGCCGCTTAGTCTTTACACGATTCGTGCAGCTCTCCGAGATTCTTTCTGTGATCCTCGACACCTTTTATACTCTGCAAGCCATGCAGACTGTCTCCAACGCGGGCAACGGAGGGACACAGCTGGTCTTGTCCCTGGCAAAACCTATCCAGCTTAAGCTCAAGGAGTGGTATGGCGGGCTGCCTACCAATATTCGGTTGGATTCGTACTCGGCAAGCAAAATGTCATCGAGGCTGTCGTGCATCGGCTATCTTCACCTGGGGTACTTTGCAACTGAAATTACCCTCCATAGACGCATTATTCGATCGCTAGCATCCAACACATCGTCGGTCGACTCGTACGTGCAGCACATCTGCCGCAGTGCCGCCAAGGCTCGTTTGATTTCCGCCATGGATTTTGTCAATCGACTGATGCCAAACCACATCCAGTCGTTTTGGTATTTCGCCTCGAAAACCAACTTTGCCCTCATCGGAACGTTTGGATCTTTGCTATGGGCGACATCGCCGGGCCGAGAGGAGGCGGAGTGGTATAGGCGTCGACTCGGTGAATATCGCTGGACGCTGTCGGTCAGCTCCAAACCGGGCCAGAGCAAAGGCCTGACGGAATTCGCCATGACGATGTTGGATATTTCGACCGGTCTTTTGAAGCAGCTTCCGGAAAAGCCATCCATGAGTCGCACCGGCAGCATGGCAGACTTCTCTGCCATGTCTATGCCTAGCTCATATTCTGGTGGAGTCAACATTTTGGGCAGCTTCAGCAACTTGCCCAGTACAGACGTCAGCAATGCCCAGAGCCCCCGTAGTGAATCAGAGAGCAGTGACGAGGGTATGGGGGACGACGATTATGCCACACCGATGTAAAAAGTTGGAAGAGGCGTTGCCAACATTGCATATATTTTCGATTTTTTTGCTCTCTTTCCCCTTTCTTCTTGTTTTTCTTTTTCTCATTTCGGCTTGAAATATGCGATTTGGAAACGAATGAATGATTTTGGCATCAGTCGTGTGTGGGCACTTCTGGTATTAGTGTTGCATTTCCTCCCCACACTGACGCGATAGAGGAGTTTGATGACTTTTATGTTTGACGGTTCTCTTCTTGTTCCCCCTCTTTTATACTTGACTTTTTCTTACCTGTCTTGTCTATTTTCTTTCACAAGTTTATTTCGGCATAATGTCATTGACGGGAGCCGGTAGAGGAGATACCCGCTCGGAGGCCAGCGGGGATCCGAACGTGTTTAACTAAGGCGTTTAAAGGGAAGTGATGGAATGGATTTTGCAAAGCTAGGATGAAGCAATCGGATTGACGAGGTTGCTGGACGAGTGATGGTCTATTAAAGATGGCATTTTTCTTTCAATTTTATGCGAATATGGCGTGCTCGCCTGCTGCAAGATGACGTGACATTTGTGCTATGCGCCCAATCTGATGTGCTTTCTATCTGACATTCCGGTAAAGGACTATTCAGAATATGAATATTACAGTCATTCCATAACCAGGTAATAATGCAGACGTATAATTAAGCTCAGGCTACTTGCTCTTAGATCTCCCGAGATCTCTCTTGGTTGCTCACGGCCCTGGTATTATAGCGGAGTTGCTCCTTGTCCCGAATAGGGTGGTGTTGCGCCACAGTTCCATGCAGTCAGTCGATATGCACCGCCACAGCGCCAAGCACCCCCTTGTTCTCCCAAGATGTTTTACATGAGGCAGGTGGCATCAGTTGAGACGTAAACCCTCATTTTACGCCTACAGCCATTGCCAGTACTATTCGATTATTCACTTCAGATGCAGGCCATCTGAAGCTGCTTTGCTTTTTTCCCTTGCTTATTTCTCATTGCTTACGCTTTCTACCTTTAATCCAGTTTCCATTTCTTTATATCTGGCCAATTGGTCATTCATCTCACAGGCCAAAGATGGCGCGCCTAAAACAAGCCAAACAGGCGCCTCGAGACAATGCCACAGACACGTCAATGGGTTTCACGCCGGAGAGGTTTGAGCGGGAGCTGAAGGATCTGGCGTCCAAGGCCAAGAATGACACGTGGAGCAATCGCGTGCTTGGCCAGGTGGTGCTCTATGTCAAGACGCTGGTGCTGCTGACATTGTTGGGCGTGTACTCGAACGCATCGCAGCTTGCACTGTCGCCCGTCTATGGCTCGGTACCGGCGGCGACATGGCATTCCAAGGTGTTGATGGCCGGCTGCTTCATTGGCTGGGCGGGCAACCTGGCGTTTCGTCAGTTGCTTCCCATGAAGACGGAGCAGCTTCTCCCCTTGGTGGCGCTTTATGTGCCTGTCATGCAGTTCTTCTTGTATCAGTTCAGTCAGACTTTGGGGCCCGACTATGGTCCTCTCGTGACTGAAGGGATCACTCTGGTTCCACTGGCAATCCTAACGGCTGCTTCTGTTGCGGACAATCTGGAGGGTGTGGATCTGAGCTCGATGCCCAAGGTCCTGGGAGACGCTGTTCCTGGCGTTGGATCTTGGGGAACGTTCAAGCTGGTAGAGCATATAGCTGAGAAGCTCTTGCAAAAGCATGTTGGGACAGTGTTTTGGTACACGCGGATGGGCATGGAGATTCTCCTGGCTGGGTCGTATACGGTGTTTGCGCCCTCCAAGTATCTAGCCCTTGCAATCCCGGCATTGGTACATACGGCCATGTTCAACCCCCATGTGTCTACACCAACAGCAACGGCGCTGTTGAACACCACCCTGATGGCCGATGACTGGATGATTCTAGACCGGAGGGAGTCTATTACAGGATACATATCGGTAGTCGAGCAGACGAAGAGCAAGATGCGAGTTTTACGAGTTGACCATAGCCTGCTGGGAGGCGACTGGGTGGAATGGCGTGGCAATCAAGTAACCGAGCCTGTCTACGCTGTCTTTGTTACGCTAGAAGCAGTGCGTCTAGTTGAGAGAGAGGTGCCAGTTGCGGATGCCGATGCTAAGGCACTGGTTATGTAAGTGTTGCTTCCTCTATACCCTGGTTTGATGGTTCACTCAACGAGACTTACATTCGTGGCTAGTGGTCTCGGTATTGGTACAGCGCCATCTGCACTCGTGTCTCATGGGATTGAGACTACCTTTGTGGAGATTGACCCTGTAGTTTACGAATTTGCTCAAAAGTATTTCCAGCTCAGGGAGAACCACCCACCGGTTATCGAAGATGCTATCAAGTATACCAACAGAGCCGCCAACGAAACCAAGGAAATATATGACTACATTATTCATGATGTTTTTACGGGAGGTGTAGAGCCTATCGATTTGTTCACCTTTGAATTCTTCCAGAACCTTTACACTCTGCTAAAGCCTGATGGAGTCATTGCTATTGTGCGTATCTTTTGCTTTATCCTTTATAAACACCTGAGTTGGCTAATTCAGAGACTAGAACTATGCGGGCGATCTGATGCTGCCAAATCCCAAATCTATCGTGCGGACTATCCTGCAAAACTTTCCAACATGTCGCCTATTTCGGGAGAATCCACCCGACGACAAAGCTATTGCCCAGATGGGTTCGGATTTCACCAATATGATAATCTTCTGTCGCAAAGCCAATGGAGAACTGACGTTTCGTGACCCGGTGCAAGCGGACTACTTGAACAGTCCTTCTAGACACAACTTCTTGAAGCCCCAGAACGAGGTTTTGCCCGGAGATATATTCTCTTATGGCAAAGGTGGTGAAGAGGGTTTCCTGTTTAGAAATGGTACAGATAAGGTCAAAGAAGGTCAGCATCCTAACGCAGCTGGACACTGGGCCGTCATGAGGAATACACTTCCGGCTACCTTTTGGGAAAGGTGGTAGAAACGAAGTTTCATCTTTGAATATTTTTTTGTCTTCTTATATTTGTTCATCTCCCCGTCTTATATCCCACAAACCTCTCATGTAACATAGACATAAATTCTAGCAAACTCCAAGCCCATTTTTGATCTATTTCTTTACAGCTGAAAGAACATACTCTTTATTCTCGTTATTATAGTCCTTGATAAAGTTGGTCACATTGGCCGGAACCTCGACCTTGTTGTACGTCGTCGGCAGCGGCTCGCCGATGCTGGAGAAGACGGGCAGCACGCCCGTCCAGACCGAGTTCTGAGCCTCCTCATTTTGCAAATCGTGCTTGTCGTCGGAGACGCCTCCGTCGCGGAACTTTGCGCTACCCGAGGTGATTGAGACTTTGAGGATGCTGGTGCTCTGCATCTCGGCCTTGGTGGGGGGCTGGCGGGAGGTTTTCCAGCGGTCGTGAACGACGCCGTTAGTGATGATTTCCATTGCGTACATCTTTTCGGCTTCATCCTCGACGAGGGTGGCGTAACCGAAGAGGACGACGGAGCGGTAGTTGTAGGAGTGGTTGAAGGCGGAAGTGGCGAGGATGAGGGCGTCGACGTGGGAGGCGGCGATGCAGACGGGGAGGCCTTGCTGCTTATCGCCGCCCTCGGGCTTGTCCTTGTCGGTGGCGCGGGCGACGTTCATCATGCGGGAGGAGACGTAGCCGTGGAGATAGAGGTCCATGGGGTCGCCGAGGTCAGCGCTGGGACGATCGAAGGAGCCCATCTGGCCGATCATGGGGAGGATGACGGGGAAGGGGGAGTCTGGGGGGTTGAAGGAGACATCGAGGAGCTGGGAGGAGTTGATGAGGCGGTGGATTGTCTCGAGGGCGTAGATTGCGCGCTCGTTGTGGCGACGGACGGTGTTGTCCTTTGTTTTGGGATATTCGAGGGTGTGGCGGCCCATGGTAATGGATTTGTGTGGTTGTGTTTATGTGTAAGTTGAGATGTTGAAGATGAGATTATCTAGGTTACTGGTCGATGTCTTTATCAGAATGAGTGAGCTCAACACTATGGCTGTCGGGGACTTTATATACTAAGCAAGTAACAAAGGAACATCTTTAATCTCATGATAGGTGAGTCAAGAAATGAAACGTGACTCTTTTGGCAGATAGCTGGAGCGTCAAAGATTCAAGAAATGAATCTTATTGCCCCAAAGCGGCAATGTGGGCGCCATGTAAATGCATGCCGGATGCAAGAACCGCCTCCGGGCCCGGAGTTGGGTTGATTACTTACCAGAAGACGACAATTGGCTGGGTCTTTTTGACTAGGTAGCTGCGGGAGGGTTTCTATCAACCTTAGTTGGCTATGCACGTCAAGATGCGATGTGGGCGGAATTGCCCTTTTGAAGGAAGTGTGGGGGGAGTGGCTTTGGAGGACTAAGAGGAATACGAATGTACAGATATAAAAGAGCTTGTAGGGTATGTTACATGCAGGCTGAGGTATTCGGCAGCCTGGATTTGGAGAAAATGCACCGGCCCGGGTGAGGAGACATACCGGCCCGGGCCAGACTAGCTGGAGAGTTGCATGTGCATGTATGTAATAGTGTTGCTTTTGATATCAAGTTGTAAGTTGGAGTAAAGTGAACGGTTTGTCTGTGGCGGGTAAAAGATTAGACGAGGCTTGGGACGTGAAGACTAAATGGCGTCTGTCATCTGAAGTGTTGTTTTTAGCTAATAATTGGACGAGTCGGCGCACACTACTGCTGAGAGCAGCTAGAGGATTTGTTAATCAGATGCCTGCTTTTGACGAACTTTTGGCGATGTGGTTATTGTCGGGCATCAATCCGGAGGAGCAGGGCGGCGAGTGACTGGACATATCGAGATTTGATCTGCGTGTGCGGGAAGAGTCTTGACTTGGATGGTGGGCGTTTGATATGGGATGCAACTAGGGCTGGATCAGTAATACGATGAAGCAGCTGATTGCTGAAGATGATTGCGATTCGTTTTGGTTACGAGTTATTAAGATAGCGCTTGGTTATTGTTGATGTATCGGTCAAGAGTGGTGCAGGTCTAGGGTGTTCCGGTTACCATCAGATAGGTAGTCTTGGTGTTGCCATTATTACATATAGATGTATATCATGATGGAACCAGCCTATTACTTTCAAAAGAGATGTCATGACAAACTCTTTCTTTATATAATACTTGTTATAGTAGATACAAGGCGTCTGTGGATGGCTCTGTTGGGTTGAAGCTATAGCCATTCCGTTTCCTCCTTTCCATAAGCCACCGACTAAGAGAATTCCTGCAATGTGTAGATCCAAGGCGCAGAACCTCGGGAGGGCGATCCGAATTCAGTTTGGCAAGGAAACAACAATCTGATGTTCATACCTAATACTAACTACATGTACCTTATTAGGTCGTTTGCTGCCTGTGGCGGTGCTGCAGGCCCTGTGGCTGCTTCCCTCAAAACCGCCAGGGTACAGGGGCTGACTCCTAGCCCGAAAATCTTCCCTCTCTTCCAACGTTATTATTTCCAGTCCCCCCGTCTTGCGGCCTTTGCCATCATTTCCTAGCCGAGCGGCGCATTATGTGCTTAATCTCATGTTATCTAAGCCAGGTCCGGACTACGCTGCAGATCTCTGTGCATTGAGATCTAATCTTGCTGCTCCACCAGCGCTGCTAAAAGCCGCCGCCTCTTTGGTCGTGGAGCCAATGCATCAACAGCGTCAGTCGAAACACCAGCTGGCAGGATCAAAAACGACAAGAAAAAACGCGACAAACTTTTCGTCTTGCTCGCCTTGTCCCTCGCTTCGGGCCATCATGTGCCAGCAGCCGCTTGCTTGCCCCGTCGTCGTTTCGTTTGCCCGCTAGAACAAGGAGCTTCTCGTGTAGCATCTTTGCGCCCCCATGCGAGTCTCCCGACGTTGGAGGTTTCAAGTGAAACGGCACCACCCCGGAGACTCCTCTTCTTAGCCCAATCCAGCTTCTGTGTCTTCTCACCTCGACCGCTGCCGTGTGTCAAGTTTGATGTCTGCGCTTCTTGGCAGCTCGAGTGTGAAAAATTGCCTGTAGCTTTGCTGAACTAGACGCAATCCCGGCCACGGCGTCGCATCTTCTCGTGCCCCCAGTCCCCACGGATCCGCCCTAGAATTCGAGATAGTCTTTGCATGGTGCCTCGTTTTGGGCTTCTTTCTCTTCCTTCTTTTCCAACTCACGCATTTCTCTGCTGCGCTGGAGATTTTCGTGTCTCATTGGAGTTGTGAGGAGTTGTCGGACCTTCGCTATGGTTTAGTTCTGTTCTTGTGCTGATACCTTTCTTTTTTCTTCGCTTCATTCCACCCCTTTTCTCTCTTTAAGCCATTCCTCATAGCCCATTGACTGGGTCTTTTTTGCTTCTTTTCGACCTCTAATTCAACTTACCATCTGGTGCCGCTGCAATGGCCGGCTCCAGCAGCGCCCCGGCTTTGGTCGCGACTTTCGTTTTGTTCGTCACCCCGACATTGATAGAATCGCGAGGACGGGGTGGAGTCTTGATGTGCTGACATGTATAATTCGCGAAACCCAGTGGTCTTGTTGTTCTAGCCGCCTCCGCGGCCATATTTTTCTTTGTTAAAGCCAGTAGATCGCCTCTCTTTCGAGACGAGCTGAGGCTGGCCCTCTCGTTCTTCCTGGCGTCTTCGGCACTCTGGGGAGTACTCGATTTCGCTGCAACGCTCGTCCACCAAAATGCTCCCTCGGCATGCCAGACCGTCATCTCATTCGCGGCCGTTTTCGATCAAGTCGCTCGCGTTTCGGTGGAACAGTTCTTGCTCTGGGCAGTCAATGGCGGTATCAAGGTCACCAAGCTGTCGCTTGCTATGCAGGGATCTCTTCTCGTGAGGTTTATTCTTGGCGCTATTTTCGTGGGAGTCCAACGCCCTCAGTTCGAGCCAGTTTGTGTCGCCAGTAACCTGGTCCTCCCTATCGGCGTCATCGTCATGGTGACTGATGTAGCCATGGTTGCGGCTCTCTCAACCAAGATTGTCCTTGCGAAGAAAGACAACACTCTTAGGCCAGAACTGTCTCGGAGTAATGCCTTGATCTTTGTTACTGCCGGACTTGGCATCTGGACCGGAGTGAGTGGCCCCGATACTAAAGCTTGATAAAAAAGAAAGAAAGCTAACTATTACGCCTGTAGTTGAGTATCCCTCTCTTTCTCGGACTGAAGTCTTCTGGCTTGGCCGTCAGAACAATACTACCTGCTATTGGGCTTTTAATTTTAATTGGTATGTGACAACGACTGAACGCTCATGTGTATATACTCACTGCAAACAGGCGTTGTGGCTCTTTCCATGAAGAATTTCGTGTCGTTGCCATCGGCTTCTACTCTGAAGATCCAGAAAACTGTGTCCTTTGAATCCACAACACAAATCGAGGAGCCAACCCGCAATATCTCTGCCCAGCCATTCCCCCCTCAGAGTATGACGACTAGAGTGGGCGGCGTCCTGCCCATTATCAGCCAGCCACCTTCCGGCCAAGCTACCAGGGGTATCGGCGGGCTTCCTGTTGAGGGTGAGTTGTTCCCCCCAATGCGACCTCAGGCTGCGGCTCCCAGAGTGCACCACAAGAAGCAGATGTCGGATAAGGCCTTCAATGGAGGTAAGGTTGTCATCTCGCAACCGATTGTGCCGGCAGGCACCGAACCGAGCACCTTCGACCATATTCCGACCATCGATTTGGCCACTGCCGCCATGAAAGAGCGAGAGCGCCGCGAGCTGAGACCTCTCCCTTTCTCAAATATCGACGCCGCGCTTGACGGAGCCTTATCTACTAGAGAAATGATGGACAAGTTGCAGACATCCAAGCGGAAACCGGTCCCTCAATCTACATCCCCGAAGAACAGTCGAAACCTCCTTTCTGTCGAAGAGCCCTCAGTTGCCATGACCTCAGCTGTGCAGCTCTCCCCCGGTGTAGAAGAAACACGGAGACGGTCCCCTCAACAGCCCTATCAAGCTGACGGTCCCTCACCTTCTCCGCCAATTGTCCCATCCAAGGATGAGGCCCGAACGCCAAAATCAGCTCCCCTTCAAGCTGCGACAACAGTGCTGGTTCCACCGCCAAGATCTACCAAGAGACCGCCTCCCATCAAGCCATTGCAGTCAAGGGCAACCAAAGATATCAACGCATTGCCCGCTGTCTCTCGCTTTAGCGTCAGCACAATGGATCCCATGACTGCACGGATTACGTCGTCAATGTTTAGTCCCCAGGAGCAAAAGTTAGCGAAAGCAGTGCCTCCGCCTCGTCAAACATTTGTAGCGCCCCCGATACCCGTCGAGGAGATTTGGGTGGATCCTCGAACAGCGTCCCTACCTCGAAGCAATTCGGTCAAGAACAACATTCGGCCATCTCGGCGTGCGCCTCCGTCGCCTCCTGTAGAAGAAGAAGTGAAGGAAACAAAAACACCTCTTCAGCGAATGGCAACAGTAGGACTGCCGCAGAATCCAAGGGCCCGAGCGACTAGGATGTTCACTGGGGAACGAGGTGATTCCCACGATCGACAAATCATGTTCATGAATAATGAAGAGGAGAGTGCTTCTGTTTTGGTTGTGCCTGCACCAGAAGAGGAGGTCGAGTCTCCATCACGGAAATCCATGATTCACCGACCGAGACCAATTCCTCGAAAATCGACAGCTTCCGCGTCCGAGCTACTGGGCATTTCTGTGCTCCCTCTTCAGGATGACTTCACCATCCTCTCAACGCCGAATCTCCCTTTGATCTCTCCTGTGGGTGTGAAAACTCTGTCGCAAAGTTCTTACGGTGCGACATCGCCTGGATCTCTCACTAGACGCAAGACTGTCAGAAGAACATCCCTCGTTCCCGATTTGCCTGCTGTTCCTGTAGAATATCAGGGTCAGCAGCCGAAAATCTTGGAAGATGCTGCTGTTGATGTGGCGGGAACAAGCGTCTGGACAGTCGTTCCAAATGACCAAGGATTCCAAATGCCTAGCTCTGACAAAAAGACACAGCGTGCCCTATGCGTTTCAAAATTCAGCGTAGACACTTCCTTGACCGCTGAAGATTCTCGTTCGTCTTACCATAGTCGAATGTCAGTCAACACTCAGTCATCTTACGAGGAAACCATTGGTCGAAACTCGTCAGTCGTGTTTGCTTCGGAATTCAAGCCTACGGCAGTTTCAACATTGGTCAACTCCCTCAGTGAGCGCCCCTTGAAGCACGAGAGTGTCGATTCTGAATTCTCTATGATGCTGAGAAATGCTCCGGTGCCACCGAAAACTGCCCCTATCGAGAACCGAGTCACCGAAGAAGATGACAAGATGGCCGAAGTCCCCTTTGTGCTTGATATGTCTAAGTATGAGTCATCAACGGCCTCGGAAACTGGGTACAAATCGACTCCCAAACAGTTGGTGTCATGGCACCATCGCGTTGGGGAAGAGCTTCCTTCATTCTCATCCCAACTGAAGTACCGGAGAAACCGAAAGCTCTTGGTGCCAAAACCCTTGGCCCTGTACAGGCCAGCCAATGTAACTGTCGTTATTGAAGCTGAGCCGTCACCTGTGGAACCCGACCAGGAGGCTCTCGATAGAATACACGAGCAGCTCAAAAAATTCGACGTGGAGAATGGAGACTCGCGTGCAACCATCAGCGAGCAGCAGCGAATGACCATCTTGGCCAACCTAGAGTCTGAAATGGGTGCACAAGAGTCTCAATGGCAGATGCTCAAGGTCGACCTTGGCCCAAGTTCCCCGTCGACCATTGTCTCTTCGCCAGGCATCAACTCTTTGCGCAGCAGCGTCGATATCAGTAAATTTGAGATGGTTCCCATCACCAAGCTCAATGCGAGTGCTGGCGATTTGATCGTGGCACTGAAGGAAGAGGTATCGGCGGATCAATCAGTCAAGGAGGAAACGTCTGAATCTGGAGATGATAAATTCAATCGCCGATCCCTCTCAGCTTCAGGGAGAATGAGCCTCATCTCCGTTACCAACCAATTATCCTTCATCAGTAGCCCTACTCCCCCAGATACTGATGAGTCGGGTGAGGATAGCGATAATGATAGCATGGTGGAAGGTACCGGCTCAGCCAAAGACTTGTCTACGGCGCTGATGCCAAGAAGCCAAGTATCTACAGTTACAAGCTTTTTGGCCTTGGATGAAGTGCTGAACAGCTCGACTGAGGATGTTCAGAGCAAGCTAGATGTTCCAGTCGAGTTTGAAGACGTTTCTCTGATAACCCCCAAGGCCCAACCTCCTTTGGTGCACCCGCAACCAGAAGAGCCCAAGTTTGAGAGTGCCAAACCTGCCAAACCAGCTGAGCCTGAAACCATCCGGTTTAGCCTAGCAGACTTGGAAAAACCTGCGCCACGACCGCGATCAGTCACCCGACGACCTCCCCGACAGAGCAAGCGCATTAGTGCGCTCCCAGACATCGTTGAGAACCCTGAGCCGCTTGCCGGTAAGACAGGATCTCTCGGTATCTTCCAGTTTGCATGGGGCGAAAAGTCAGACTCTGCCAGAGTCCCTCCCCGGATGACTGGCATTTCCGGCACCATGTCCAGCGGTCGTGCTCGGATGAACCCTCCGGCAGTGCTCCTGAGCTCGGTTCAGGAGAGACAGACCGATTACCCTCCAGCACCCGCTCAGAGTTTCCTTGATTATGATGAAATGGATAACGGCCTGGACAATTACGAAGATGAGGATTACGATGATGGCTTTGACGAAGCTACGCTCTGGGAGATTGCCAGCTTGCTGGAAAGCGATCTGGATGGATCCCGTGACGATCTCTTCATGGTTGGTGAGGAGGAGAACTGGGAGGATCAAGTGTCTGTGGTTGACGAAATTCCATCTGCTGCGTCTCCGGTTGAGGAGGTTTCCGAGAGTGCAAAGGAAGAAGTATTTGATGTCATCCCTGTTACTCTAACTTCTGCAAACTCTTCTGATGCTCCCCTACTAGTGCCCACTCTCTGGACAAGCCATATGAAGGCCCAGACGACAAAATTTTTGGGCCTGCCGCAGGCTGCCGAGGGAGCATGGCAATACTTTACCGCTGCTCCTAGGTCCGCGCGTACCATTCCTCGGATGATGGAGGAGCCGGCTCAGCTGTCAAGCAGCCACTTGTGGATGGCTGCTTCACCTGGTGCTTCTATGTACACAAGTGGTCTGTGGTGTGCGCCTACAGCTCACCGTGGGGAAGAGAAGGAGACGAAGGCTGCCAAGGCTTCTCTAAAAGCTGTTAAGACTCTGGTCTGGTCACCACCGAGCGCTACAAAGGTCCCTGGCCTGGGCCTGCCCCAGCCTGATATAAGACTTTGGAAGGCATATATCCCCCAAGAGGCACGCAGCGTCCGCAGGACAACTCAGATGCCTCGACCCGCGACAATCGTATCAACATCGCTGTGGACATTGAAGCCCACTGTAAAGACTAGCAAGTCAAATGGCGTGTGGTCTCCAGTGAGCAAAGTAGAGGCCAAGCTGCGAAAGGTTGCTTTTGCTTCAGTGTGGTTGCCGCTCTCTCCCGCCAAAGGAACCAAAATTGGACTGCCCCAGCCCGATGCTAATGTATGGAACTCATACATTTCGCCAGTGGTCCGCACTGCTCGTAAATCATCTCGGATGCCTCAGCCTGCAGTGGTTGCATCGACATCGCTGTGGAGACTCAAGTCTACCGCCAAACCCACCGCATCAACTGGTGTATGGAGCCCAGCACCCAAGGAGACTACAATCGAGGTAATGAGCCTTGCTACCTTGGCTATCGTTCCCTCACTGTGGTCGCCAATTTCTGTCACTCGCAACGGTGCGCTGGGACTTCCACAGCCGGATATCCAGGAGTGGAATGCATACATCCAGCCTGAAAGCCGCGTTGCCCGCCGAACCTCTCGGAAGCAGCAGCAGCTCGCGACCCAAAGCGTTACTATGTGGTCTGCTGAGCCTCGGAGGGCCATTGAGTTGATCTCTACAAAGCTGTGGGGTTTGAAGTCGATGACCTTGCTTTGGGCGCCTTCTACCTTGAAGGGTGCTCGCATCGGTCTCCCTCAGCCTGATGAGAAGACTTGGAGCACTTACATTGTTCTGCCAAGTCGTTCAATTCGCCACAAGACCAATTTCTTCAAATATGAGACCATCATGAGCACATCATTATGGCAACCTTCCCCTGTTGTTGTTTCTCAGTCAGGAGGCGTATGGAAGGCAAAATCACTACCCGTCGAGCAAACCCGTGATTCTCGCTCTGATTTCTCTTTGAAGGTGGTTAAGGATCTCCTGTGGTCTGTATCATCTACAAAGACGCCTTCCGTCGGGTTGCCGCAGCCGGATGCCATGGCCTGGAGCATGTATCTCCTCCCAGCAAGCCGTAGCCATCGAACCGCTTATGTGCCCAAGCCCATCATGATCACCAGCACATCTTTGTGGGCACCTGCACCATACACCGAGTCTCCCTCAGGTGGCGTGTGGAAGCCAAAGTCACTGCCCCCCAAGAGTGAAGTAGCGAAGCCATCTCAGGTACCTAATGTTAAACCCGCCGCAGTGGTGGTGGATTTGCTATGGTCTTCATCACCCGCAAAGACGGTTTCTTTTGGCTTGCCGCAGCCAGATGCCAAGTTCTGGACTGCTTACCTCGTTCCGGCCGGTCGTAGCCATCGAAGTGCGTATGTTCCTAGGGTTATTACAATCTCAAGCACGTCCTTGTGGTCGCCCGCGTCGACCATTGAGACTCAGTCGGATGGCGTGTGGAAGTCTAAGTCAGAGCTGTCAAGCACTCAAGAGAAGAAGGCGACCCTAAAGTCTGCCAAGGCAAACACAGGCTCGCTGTGGACTCTGCCCGTCGCTACAAAGGCTTCAATCGGCCTACCTCAGCCAGATTCCAAAGCATGGGAATCATACATTCCGCCCATGACCCGCTCTACCTTGCGCAGAGTCTTGACCTCGGAGATTGCTTCAATCGAAAGCCAAGCACTATGGCGTCTCCCGCCTATCAAGCAGGCCGCTTCTGGCTATCTTTGGCGCCCGAGCACGACGCGAGCTGAAAAGAAGCGCCCAACAGTTCAAACTGCAATTCGCTCAGTGGCAACGCTCAGCTCGGCCGCGTCTTCGGCCGCAGACGAGAGCCCTGTCCCTGCCATTGCTGCACGTGCAGCCGGCCTCCGTACTTCCACACCAGTCTTGATGACGCAAGAACAGTGGAAGCTGGCATTCAAGAGAATCTCTCAAGACGTGCAAAAGGACTCCGTGGCGGCGGCTCCGTCGAATCATGCCTCCAGGCCCCGTCCCACCAGGCTGAATCGCTCTCAATCAGTCAAGAACGGCCGCCCAGTCTTCGATCCCTCCGTCATGGCCCTCATCTCCGAACTGCCTTCCCCTAACCAGGCCCTCGGCCGATCAAAGAGCATCTCCTTCTTGCCGCCCAGCCGCAAGGCTTCTGAGAGCCCTTCGGCAAGCCTTCCTAATGCAGAGCCTTCTCAGCCAGCCACACCCTCTCTGATCTAAGCTCTCTTTGGACTCCCGCATCCCGCTGATTTGGCTTCCATGTGGCAAGGCCCTTGCCCCCCTGTCAGCGAAGCGCGCTGACGTGCATTTCGTCTTGATTTGGAGAAAAGCCTCTTCCCTGCACATTGATGAACCGTGCTGGTGCTGGCAGGAGGATTGATCAGCGTTGTTGATATTACATTCTCCACTGGTTTCAGGGCTGAGCTGGGGGGAAGCAATTGGATGAGAGATTTTGGGCGGGGGGAAGGGCTCCAGTCCTAATACGGTGTTATCAATCGAGATGAAAAAGCGCAGGGCTTCTGGTATTATGGGAGAAGAAAAAAATAGGGACTATGCTACTCTATTGAGTAGGTTCAAGTGTGTACGTTTTGGTGAGGAGGGATATACCCTTTTGTTGGATGGGGTGTTGTAGGAGCTTTTTATTTTTTCTTCTCTATATGTTTGTGTTGATGGAGGATGGTAATGTGGTGGAAGTCGTTCGTATAAAGTATATATTCAGAAACAATCAATACACACAGGTATCAGCATCTATCAGTATCCTAACCAACCAAACCATAACCATACCCGTAGCCACGAAATCTTGGAAGAAAGAAAAAGGTCCAGTCCGGTGTGAGAAAATCCAGTCCAGTGTAAAAGAAATCCGAGTCCGGTGTGAAGAGAAGAAGCCAAAGTATATACTGGAAGTGAAAGGACACAAAACCAACATCAAACACAATCAGACATTCACTCGCTCGCTCGCTCGCTCACTCACTCACTAACAATCACCCTTCACGTGAAACCAGCAGGAAGCAAAACATTTCATGCACCAAGTCATTGTCATGTCATGGCCATTCAGAGCTCTCTATCCATGCATCTCGTTAAGCTAAAGCGGGAAAAAAAGAAAACAAAAAAAGGGCTTCAGGGAAGAGAAAAAAAATTCGCGGAATGGGGATAAAAAAAAAGGGGGAAGAAAGAAAACCACCAGATACGCGCAAAGAGTTTTTTGCGCCGATGCTTACAGAAAATGTTTTCAAACACCAGATCCAATGCTTTCGTTTGCCGACCACTGTGTATATATCCTGTGTATTCCGATCCGAACATTCCCTCCCTCCCTTTTGATTTGTTTTTTCTTTTATTTTGTTGCCACTTCAAGCTTGTATGCCCTATTTTTTTTCTTTTTTAGTCGTTTTTTTGGTAGTTTTTTTAATTGGGCGTCGAGAGCATGTTTTCTTCTTGCTTCACAAGCGAAGGTGCTGCTGCTGATGCCGTCGTGGTCATTAAGGGGATGAGCTTCTGTATCGGCTTGCTCAATCCTCTCTGTGTCGGAGCTCGTTAATTAGAGTCGTTAAAAGTTTGATATTTTGTTGTTTTTTTGGTATAGAGGGCAGTAGAGGAGGCGAGAAAAGAGATAGTAGCCTTTTGAGCTACCCCTACCCCTTCTCTCTCCCTCTTTACCCACAAGTTCATTATCTTTTCGTAGCTCGTCGGCTTGCCAAGTGTGACATGGCCAACAACTCATACTAAAAAGGTCATGAAAGACAAAGGAAAACCACTTCACATCTCCTTGACAGCTTGTAAAACTGTCACACTGCCCTACTTGCTGTTGCAAGAACAGGTGGGCGATCTGTCAATATGTCCTAACCGGACTTGTATTATACGCGATGGATTTCATGGATTTCCGTTCAAATGGAATCGTGAAATCTGATGCGTATGAAAGGTGGTGAGCGTGAGCAGAATGCAATCAGACTGCCGTGTGATTGCTGTCAATTCCTGGCGAAACAGGATTATGCGGCAAAACCAAAGATGTTTGGACGGCTTCGTCGATCGCACTGATCTAAATTGAGAAGGGGGTTCATCGAATTGGTAAGCGTGCTAGGCATTATCATGGAGCATTAATCGAATAAATGGTAACCCGGAACCGTCGCTATGCAAATAGAACAAACACGCAAGATCATTTTTTTTCTGTACAGAAGATCCCATCAGGTGGTGCAGATGGAATAAGGGGAGTTGGGGTGATGCAGACCATGAATATCGACATCAGAACAGTAATAGTCTAGCTGGCAATCACCGTCTGTATGCGTCTATTCATTGGTGAAGATGAGGTTGAGTTTTCTGGTGACGATGAATCCAGTAAAGAAGAAAGGTCACCACGATGCCGGATGGTGCGACGAGACTGGCTTGAGCCTGGGTCATCAAACATTCGCGTGAAAGCAGGACTGGAGTCGCTTTGACGATCACGCCTTGGAGTTCCGGCAGGGCTCTGCGTTATTTGCTCGGCCCGACGAACAACATCTGACAAGGAATCACGTAGCTCTCCTGCTCTCTTGACCAGGACTCTCAAGCTGTTTGTATCGAAATGCATCTTGGTATCTGAACGAGGCTGAGATTCTTGGTTGGGGGCAGAACGATGCATGGCTTCCATTACCGAGCGAGCGCCGTTGGCGGCTTCTTGCTGCTTATCGGCTCGCAATTCGGGTGTCCGAGAGAGAGTAGGACGTTCCAAAGGCAAGGTGTCATCAACCAATGGCCAATTCCCACCAAAGATGTCATCGTCGGGGGAAAAGACAGATCGTCGTTTCGGAGAATGACGCTCACGAACTACAGCCGTCTTTGACATGGGCTCCTTGATATCGAAGGCCATGTCGAATTTGGTGAACGAGATATCAGCGAAAACATCGTCGTCGTCGTCATCGTCGTCGGAAAATCCATCGTTGTTGTCGAATTCGTCCATGGTGTCGGTGGAGTTGCCGTCAATTTCTCCGTCTACTGATTCCTCCTCATCGGGCGAGGCGAGGGCAATGACACCCTCGGCCTCTTTCCACAAAGTCTTCTGTGGGCCATCGAGCATATCCATATCGCGCCCGTGGCGACACAGTCGCTTGAGATCGTTGACGAGTAATGACAGTTCGCGGATTTGTCCCGAATGCGCTTTCACACTAGGCTGGGATGCACGGATGGATTCAGGTACTGAGAATAACTTGTCATCAGTTGTGCCATCGTTTTCATTGGCACCGCCATCAAACTCGAAATCCTCGTCCCAATCCTCACTGACTCCCTTTGAGCCCAGTCCCCAAGTGCCGTACTTGGCACCGTTGGAAGATTTAGCCTCATCCATAGCGTGCGAGAGAGGAACGCTCTGGCTCCGTATGTGCGCTGGGACAGGGTTGCGAATAACGGAACGTCCGCCCCTGGCGTCGAGTTCCTGCTTTTCGTAAGACGTCTTGGGACGTAAGGGAACACCGCCCGAGTTGCCCCGGTCATGAAAGGAAGTTTCACTCCAGTCGAACAGGTTGTTTAGAGGCCGATCATCGTGGTCCATATCAGACATGTGGTCGAGGCTCAGATTCGCCAGCGCAATCCTGACATTGGGGTTAATGTGTCGCGAGTTGAGCGAGCTTCCTTTGGAAGGGGGAGAGAGTGGGTTGAAATGGGCGTCGTCGTCACCGGCCCAGTCTTCGTCAAAGTCGTCGTCGAGAGAAATGCGACCAAAGTCTTTCGCATAGAGCGATACGCCGTTCTGGGACGACTCTGAGCTGATGCGAGGTAGGGTGAGGACATGGCGGCTAGAGTATCTCGCCCTGGCACCGACCGACTCGACTCCCGTGGGCATCACCGTACTTTCGTCCTCCTCCATGATGTCTGTGTCACCGCCCCAGGTATGACCCAAGATTTCCTGTATTGAGAGGCGTTTGGTCCTACCATTATTTCCTGCGGTGCTCGGGGGGGAGTCGTCATAAATAGAATCCAAGGGCGTCTCCACGGCCCTTGTGCGACTGGAAGCTGCCGTGCGCAACGAGTCGAACACGGTGTCACTCCTGTAGTCGGCGTCGTCCTCATCCCCTGACGTGAAGCCACGGGCGTCGCTTTCGAAGCTTTCGGCGACGGCGAAGCCCTCGTGCAATGGCGACGTTGTTAGCTGCGACATGGCTGCGGAGCTTGTCGAGCTCCCCGAGGGCTGGTGCTGCCGTGTTGGGTGAGAGACCGCCCCGCCAGGCGATCCTAAGCGTGGGACTTCGATTTGAAAACTCGAGTTTCTAGGAGCGGGGAGAAGTGGGGAGGAATGGCTTCTTTTATGCATTGTTAGCTGAACTTTGGCTGCTGAATCCAGCGTCGGCCCCTGCCGTGCTAAAGAGTTGGGTGGGATCGATGATTGCGCCGGCGCCTTAGAGTCGAGCTCCACGGTGATTTGCGCGCCGCTATTGCTGGGGGCTGACACGTGCCGCCTGTCGCTCACACCATCCGGCTCAGCCCCCCGTTTTGGCCGTCGAAGGCTTCCCGACGTTCCTGGAATCCAATTGCTGACCGGGGGAAAAGGCATAGATTGAGGTCGTGCTGCCTTGCCGGCAGGCGTATTCTCGGGGGAAACCGAGCGATCGACCACGTGAACATCTGTCTCATCTCGGACTTGGCTGAGTTCCTGTCGTCGATCCACGGGGAATGGCGTAATTGGAGGCGCTGAGGCAGCCGACACCATCCTGGGCTTGACGAGATGCACTTTTTGGCGATCTTGACCCCCTGGGGCAATGCGCTTTCCAGACAGATTCCGTCCACCTGGGGTGGCCTCTCCTAGACGACTCGCAATGCTACCACCACTGCCTGTGTTCCTAGTGCGCGAATGAAAGAAGGATACCCAGCTAATCTTTCGTGTGCTCTGGGGTTGTATGGGCGCAAGAAGATTTTCTTGCAGTGATGATGACTGGTCGAAGGAAAAAGCAGGTGATGGCAGGTTCGTTAAATCTGCACTCTGACGGAAATGATGGAGCGTGGCAGATCTCTGGTGGCTCGTCGCAGGTCGGCGCAGGATAGATAGATGCGATTTAGCTCGGGCGCGTGTCGGCGTGGGAACGTCTCCGGCCTTGACTGATGGAGAGCGCTTCACAAGCTTGTTGGGCGATAGAGGGTTGCCGGCAGTATTCGGCCTGGATAGAATCGGGGCTGACGAGGTGTATGACTGGGACATTGAGGGCGAATCCGGCCCAACGCTGGATCTCGACCTCACGCTTCCCTGACGCGACAACGGGGGGCGACGGATCGAGAGCCTCCTAATCCAAGATCCGCTCGACGAGGTGGAATCCCTAGGTCCCTCTGGCGTCGGTGATGCTGAAGCCTCTCTCAACAACGACCGCCTGTCAGCGGTTGCCTTGGGCGATGCAACAGGTTGATGTGACGGCCTCTGGTAGCGCGACAGAGGAGGGCGAGACACGGTGATGGGGCTGGACACTGCGTCCTGCTGCGGGTACTCGGCTTCTATTGATGGCGCATCGAAGTCGGCTTGGTATCGTAGGGGAGACAAAACACCCGCCGGGGCAGTCACTGGCAGTTCGCGATCAAACGAGATTTCCTTTCTCAGCTGGCTCTGTCGCTTCTTCGGGGGAGCTGGCTCGACAGGCTGGCCAAACACCAAGCCGCTGGCCGCTGCAGCAATGGCAGTGCCGGTCCCAATAAGCTACAGTAAACGAATCGTTAGACAAAGTCCAAGCATTTACAATCTGCGCCTGTCCAGGCCCAAATGCTCATGTTCCTGCACCATTTCCTTCCCGCAGCGCTGGGCGGCACAATGGCTGCCTTGCCAGACGGTTGGGCTGACTTGTGCCGTTTCCAAAGGGCAGCAAATGGAACTTACACTGGGAACCGTCTGCATGATTACTGGCGAGGCGACCACCCTCGAATTGAACAGACGAGCCGGCAGAGCAAAACAGAGCTGAGCAGCAGGCGCATCGTCAAGTCAATGGACAGCCTCAGGCGCTGTTGGAGAGGGTGAGTCTCCCTGGGCGCAGGAGAAGGGCAAGGTTGAGTCGTCGGTTTTGTTTTGTCCGTTGCAAACGTTAGTTGGGTCAGCTTCCCTTGGCTGGACTGGAACTCGAGACGCGCGCCGCCGGAAAAAATAAGGCGGTTGTTTTGGGACTGCGAGCCCACAGCCCGGGGGGAGGCGGAGGGTAGATAACAGGCGACTGGCCAGGGAGAGGGAGAAGGGAGAAGGGGGTAACGAAATGAAAAGAGGTGGAAAACGAGAAGAAGGGGACAGGAAATGAGGAGGCTATTTCCTGCCTTATGGTCCCTGCTTGCGGGCAGTGAGGTGAGCGAGCGAGCGGGAAGAGAATCAAAGATGGGATCCAAATGGGATTAATGGGAAGAGGCATGGGCTGGACTGGGATGGGAGAGAGATGCCGGGCAGCCCAGTGACACACATGTAGGTACCTGTACAGCCCAGTAGACACCACACAACTCTCATGCTGCAGCACTACTGGAACTCAACTGTAAACAGCACTGGCGCCTGTTTGATTGACGCTGCAGCTGCAGCAAGTCTGGAGACTGGAGACTGCAATCTTAGCGGCTCGATCATGGGCTAATTACAGTAGCGGAGCCCGCTGATGCTCGGCGCTGAAGCTTAGGTGCGAAACACGCCGCTGGTGGGCGGCTGAGACCAGCTGGGCCCCCCCGCTGAAACGGGCTGTCGTGGGTACGTACCGCCTCCCGTTTTGAACGGGGGCCCCCCTTGAAGCGAACCTTGAAGCCATGAAGGGAACGGATGGCGCTTGTGACAGTGGCCGCCAGGAGTTGGCTCACAGCCACGCCGTGCCGTTGCTGATGCTAATTCCTACTATTATCTCCCAAAGCGGCACAGAAGCCACTCGGTCTACACCGAGCAAAACGGAGCAGCAATTTCGGCGCCGGGTCGTTGAAGATGCGCCCTTGTCTATGTTGTTGCTCGCCTGGCAGGGCTTAGCATGGGTGAGCTACAGGTAGGTGCATGTTCTCAGGGCGGCAACAACAACAACGACAACAACAACAAAGGTAAACAACAAAGACGGACTACTGTAAGTTTCCTTTTTTTTTTTTTTTCTGGGTCTCATCCTCTTTTGCCCGGCTCGTCTTGGGCACCGGCACATCTCAGCAAGAATGTCGCATCCCGGCTGTGGGGGCGGGTCTAATGTACAGTGCCTGGCCACATGCATGCCCAGGTACACGATATCATCACGTCTGTCTGCCCGGAGCATTTTGCGTCTATGGTTCAAATGTAATTTGTGATGAGTACTATCTTGTGTTCCAGTACTCCATACTGCTCTTGTCTAAGCTCCAGGGCCGAGCAATGGCCTGGCCTATCATCCGCCTCCATCGCCGTCCACCTCAAACCCACCACCACGGCCAACATCAGGTACGCTGGCTGGGCCTCTTTGCCGCGGCCTTTAGGCTTCAACACGCGCAGCATCCATTACGAGCCAAGCAATGAATTCCAATTTCCCAATGGGTGCATAGACAAACTCTATCTATATCTGGACGTGCCACACCGCAGTTTCTGGTTGCCAGCACAAGCCCGTTTAGGCCTCCTGCTGCCGCCGGGTGCCGCAAACAAGAGCGCCAGCATATCTCTGTCAGACGCTCAAGACGGGCCCATCGAATCATGTCGAGCTAGGCCAAAACTCTGTTGCCCTGCCTTTGACGCCGTGTCGCCCTCTGAAATTAGCCCGTGGCAGCTTCAGACAGCAACGAGACAGGCACGGGACCCAAAGCGGAGGCCGTCACGAGTCCTCTTTTTGCGTGTTTTTGAGTTTGTCACAAATCTTTTTCCCAGGTCGGCGAGTACTAAGATGGATAAGATGGATGCCATTACCGCATTAATCAAGTACAAGTACTGCCTGAATACGGAGTTCATACTCGTGCGTGCCCATCAACTTCATCAAACTTCAAATGAATGAAATGGACGTGGCACCAGTTATTCCAGGTACCAGCCCAAGGAGTGCTCTGTTGTCTCACCAGCTCCCCCCCCCCCCCCCCCCCCCTCGAGCCCATGAGCCCACCGCATCGCATCTCGAAATCTGTGGATGGCATCACCCAACTCGACAGATCTCCGCTGTGAGACAGCATCTCGCTTCGTGCCTGGCCCTCGCCAACAAACGAGCGGCGGCCACATGCGCTCGAGGCATGTCCGTGTGCTGCACGTTGTACGCAAATATTTTTAGCCTCGATCCGTGGCCCTCATCATATTACCACAGGCCCAGTGCATGCCGCAACATCTTCGTCCTGTCTGTAACGAATTTCCCTCCCTCGTGCGTTGGCTGGCTGTCTCGTCGCCCCTGGCATGTGGTTTCCCGGAGAACGTGGGCTCGCCAAGATAGAATTCCATTGAAGCGCAGAGTCCTCTCTCTGCTCGGTGCCGAAAGCAACAGAGAGCTGTTGTTTGCGCGTATCTGCCATGAGCCATGAGCCATGCGCACATGAGAAGCACAGACGCAGCCATCGGCCAATGGACGGGCCCGACACATGCAGTTTTGCAACTCTCTCTCCAGCAGTGTTTTCCCTCTCCGCCCTCTCTCCAATGCCATTGGAGGCGGGCCTTGCTGTCGGCGCCAACGAGCGCTATGCTGCATTAATGGATGGATCGCGATTCTACTAGGCTACTAGTATTTGCTAACCGCTGGGCCCGGCATGAGGCCAGCCCTCAGCTGGCGACCTAGCTTCGGGCAAGTTGGAACGTCAGCTCGACGCAATCCCGCTCATTTCTCGATAGTTTCCAAGGCTGCTGCTACTCAGCATGAAATCATGCCACTTGATGCGGCTACTGTCGCGTTGATCGTGCCGATCGCGGGCGGTGCTGTTTTTAGAACCATTGTCCGCTCGCTCCTCTTTGCGATACAGCCTGAATCGACGATCAATCTGATCCTCATCTCCAAAACCCCTCTATTGTGGAGGTGATCAGGGCGAATAGACTCGATGCAGCATCAGGATTCATAAATATTCAGCTCTCATGAGCCAATTGGCCTGTCATGGTTGTTGGGCAGCTTCTGGAACCAGCCAATGAGCGGCAATCGTCGCCTTACATGCATTGGTCTGCTAGCCCGCCCCTCAATGACGGACCTGAAACCGCATTGATTTTACTAGCGACAGGTTTGCTTGCATCATCATCCAAGTTTCGATCAGGGCTTCCATCGGATCTCCTCCGATGAGGTTGGGTCTGTTGTTCTTAGTTGCGGCTCTGCTAACATTGAGTCAGTTGCTTCAACACATGGCGAGACATTTCACTCCCTGCAAGCCAAGGACAACTCGTCTCCAAGACACTCATTTCTTGTAGCAAACATGCAACTCGGACGCACACACAATAGAGCCTTCTCGACCCTTTCGTACCGCCTTTAGCATCCAACGGACAAGTCATCAAGGGATTCACAGTAGTTACCCCGGGGGACGAGCTCGTTTCTGGGCAACCCGCGGGGATTTACGGAACATTCAAGTCTTCTTCCCGTCTTACACGGTAGGATTGTGACTTCTTTTTCTAATCAGCGTGCCGAACGGTGCTCGTATTCAACTAATCCAGCTTAGCAGTAAAACAGCGCCCACTTTCACAATGTAATATGCAGGGAAATTTATCATGACCATCTCTCTAGCGTTTCAGGTCCCATGTGAAAATATCACTCGGCCATGTTGCACAAAAGCCCATCACAATTCCGAGGGCTTTGCTTTTTCTGAGCTCTCACCGCATATGTGCAATTTCGCTAGATGAGCTCATCCGGCTTCTCTGACTCGCTGCTCACAACGTATGGTAAACCTGCTAAGATCTTGCTCCCTGTTATTCTGCGGAGACGGCCCCGCGGCTCCAATTCTACGGAAGCAATGGCAGTGTCAAAAGGGCTTGCCAGCTATCCCTGACAGCTACGAGCTTGCAGCTCTTCATCATGGGCGAGCCGCAGTCATGAACTGCATTGTTCTTTTTCATCTCCGTCCCATGGCGAGCATGTCTGACACATGTGAAGCAAGGCAATGACTTCCCTGCTGCTTTTTCTTCCCCAGTGCCGATCCACTAAGCAACCAAGCAAGGAGGTAGCACTACTTGTACGCTGGACAATGTGACTGATGTAATTGCAAAGTAACACATGCGTCGTTTAGTCCGGTATCGAGAGATTTGCGGAAGACGTCAATTGCCTACATCACCCCAGCAGCAATGCTGTACGTACACTGCAAAAGGGAGTTATCATGTGGTGTACCCTTCCTGCAAGGCGAGATTAGACGTATCAATGTGCGACAGCAGCAACTCGGAATCAAACACACCGAGATTTGCTGCTGAGATCCAAGTTGCACAGCCACTGCCTGCGCTATACACGTATGCAAAGGCAATAAGAAAATTCTCCGGCCCTCCAAAACGGCGGCGCTTCCTTTACGATGTCACACACACCAAACAGCACCATGTAACTATTTTGTAGTAGCGGCTCGAAAGAAGGCGCGAAAAACAAGACGGGAAATTTGATATTGAGCGGCCAAGATGCCTCCGATAGGCCATGATTGGATCGGGTTGTCCATCCCGAAATCTTGCTTTTCTAGCCCCCAGCGTCAGTAACGCGTTGTTCTCGCGCGAAGACGCCCTTGGGATTTCGACAAGGGTGCTCAGTTTAGGTTTGCGCAAGCCTATTGGCTGCTGTGCGGCATTAGCCCGAGTTTCGCAGCTGGATTTGGCACATCGAAACAGACCAGCCGTCCCTTGTCAGCTTATAGAGTTCACAGCTTGCGGCATGGAAATTCGAGGGCCTGGGGCTTCGGCGTCCTTTGAGAGTTATGCCCTGATTGGGACACTCGAAACGTTGGCATTTTTGAAGAAGCGCCCCGAACCGCGGGCGCCATGGCGAGATAGTTTGAACGGTGTTCCCGTTACCGTTGAAGTGAGCGTCAATTACTGTTCTGGGAGCTCCGTTTGACGGATTCAGATGGGAGAAGGGCGCCTCTATTGCGCCGTTGTCTGATTTTGGAATTACACTTCGTCTAGAATATTCCCCAATGGCAAGAAGCTTCACGACAGCTCTTTGCTGACATCATGAGCTAAGGTAACCTACTATTAGTAGAGCTCTTTGGAGGTATTGGTTTATAGCATAATATCGAATTATCGGGGTTAACGCCGGCTTCTGCTCTGCCAGCTGCAAAAAGAGCTCTGCCGGACCGTTTCGGCCCGCTCACCCAAACGTCACCAATCATGGCGGGGCACACGGCAGCCCAGAGAATTTCAAGATTGAAGCTCGTAGATGCGAACATCTCCAAAGCGGGCAAGCTATACAGACAATCGGCCGGAGCTTCTTCGCCCTAGATTCCGAATCGAGGCCGCCGACGATTTGTCTGGAATCAGACACCAAACAGGTTCCGCTCCCGCAAGGCTGCATATTCGCCTGCAATCATGGAGTCCGAGATCAGGGCCGTCCTCCCCAACATCGACCCGGTGCTATCTGACTACTCGGTTGGATACCTGACGCACGCTTCCACCGCCTGGACAGACGAAGAGAACGAGGCGCAAATCTCTCCTCTCAACGAAGCTGCTTCGACAATTACCGAATTGCTTCTCTCTGCCTCCGGAGGCGCAGATCCCGCCCAAGAGGAAAAGATCAAGCAGCTCGTGGAGAAATGGGTCGACAAGTACGCCGAGGCGAATGGAGGTGAGCGACGGGGGCCCTCCGCCATCAGGAGGCTAGATCAAACGATCCAGGTCAGCTCTCAGCGGAACATGTCGTCCACCTTGGCTGTCGCCGGAGGTGCCGTCGACCTGGAATCTGCCAATGTCAGAAAGGTCGAGTCCAAAGTCGACCGCAAGAAGCTCGAAAAGGCCGAGAGAAAGATTGCCGCCAAGCAGCAGAAGAAGACGTTTAAGACGGTCGAATATGAGGCCTCGAGATTGCTTGACCAGCCCGAGGATGCGCAGTCGTACGAAGAGTTCTACATGGCCGTCAACCCTCTTCAGCTGGGTTCGTCAGGAGCCAACAAGACGAAGGATATCAAGCTGGATAACATTGACGTGTCCATTGGTGCTAACCGCATTCTTACCGACACCACTCTTACGTTGGCATACGGTCATCGCTACGGTCTTGTTGGTAACAACGGTGTTGGTAAATCCACACTGCTCAGAGCTCTCTCCAGGAGAGAAGTTGCCATTCCGACACACATTTCTATTCTACACGTCGAGCAGGAGGTGAACTATATCATCTTACCCGTATGTGTTTTCGTGCAATTACTAACTTGTCCCTGCTAGATTACGGGTGACGATACTCCGGCTCTACAAGCAGTTCTTGATGCCGATGTCTGGAGAAAAGTTCTTATCAGGGAACAAGACGTAAGGCAACCTTGGTGACGCCAGTTTCCTAAAAGCACATCATCTGACTTGATTTTATAGGATCTCACGACTAGGTTGGCAGAGTTGGAGGTCAAGCGCGCTCCATTGGCCGATACTTCGGCAGATGCTGCCAGACTGGATCTAGAAAAGGAGACCATGGACACCAAGCTGGGCGATGTTCAAGCTAAGCTGGCCGAAATGGAATCTGACAAGGCAGAGTCTCGTGCCGCCAGTATTCTGGCCGGTCTTGGTTTCTCGCCCGAGAGACAGCAATTTGCAACCAAGACCTTCTCTGGTGGTTGGCGTATGCGTCTGGCGCTGGCGCGTGCTCTGTTCTGTGAGCCTGATCTGTTGTTGCTCGACGAACCGTCCAACATGTTGGACGTTCCTTCGATTACTTTCCTTTCAAATTATCTCCAAGACTACCCCAGCACAGTTCTTGTCGTCTCTCACGACAGAGCATTCCTCAACGAAGTCGCGACAGACATTGTGCACCAGCACTCTCAGCGACTCGACTACTACCGCGGAGCCAACTTCGAGTCCTTCTACGCTACGCGCGAGGAGCGCAAGAAGGTGGCCAAGAGAGAATACGAGAAGCAGATGGCAGAGCGAGCGCATCTGCAGGCCTTTATCGACAAGTTCCGATACAATGCGGCCAAATCGTCAGAAGCTCAATCCCGTATCAAGAAGCTCGAGAAGATGCCCGTGTTGGAGCCACCGGAGAAGGAATACGATGTCAAATTCCAATTCCCCGAAGTGGAAAAGCTGTCACCTCCCATCATCCAGATGTCAGGAGTCAGCTTTGGGTACACTCCTGACAAGCCGCTGCTGAGCAACGTAGATCTCGATGTTCAGCTGGATTCCCGTATCGGTATTGTCGGACCCAACGGTGCTGGTAAGACGACGGTCTTGAAGCTCCTTGTTAGCAAGCTTGAAGCATCAAAGGGTCTCGTCACATCGCACCCCAGACTCCGCATCGGATTTTTCGCGCAGCACCACGTAGACTCGCTCGACCTCACTATGAGTGCCGTCAGCTTCATGGCCAAGGCGTATCCCGGAAAAACGGACGAGGAATATCGACGCCAGTTGGGAGCCTTTGGCATTACGGGCACAACCGGTCTACAAAAGATGGCGCAGCTTTCCGGAGGTCAGAAGTCGAGAGTGGCATTCGCCTGCTTGGCACTGACGCAGCCGCACATTCTCGTGCTGGACGAGCCGTCTAACCATCTGGATATCGAGGCTATGGATGCGCTGGCCGAGGCGCTGAACGAATACCAGGGAGGCGTGCTGATGGTTTCCCACGACGTGACAATGCTGCAGACGGTGTGTACATCGCTGTGGGTGTGCGACGGCGGTACGGTTGAGAAGTTTGACGGCACGGTGCAGCAGTACAAGAAGAAGATTGCGGCTCAGGCAGACGCTGCGGGCGTTGTCAAGGCGCATTAAAGAGGGGATTGATGTTTAATCAAATTGATATCAATTGGCGTGTCAGCCACTCTCATTGACCAGTGCCAAACTACCTACCTACCTAGTGCCTAACCTACATGTTGTAATACCTTGGTAGCAGTAGATATACCTGGGCCTGTCATCATCGTCGCTGTTGTCGTGTCGTCGATACTATCTGTAGCCACCTGTATTCGTATACATGCAGCTTTGCCGGATCCCCGCTTGAATGCGGCCAAAATGTGGGGGCCGCCAGCTCTCATCTCGGCTCGTGAGCTGGCGCTGCATGAGATGGAGACCCCAAAAAGACTTGGTGTTGCGGTAAAGGGGACTGGCAGTCTGTTTATTCTCGCTCTCTTTGGGGGGGGGGGACAGGAGACAATGGCACCAACAAGCCCAAGGGACCAGGCATCAAAACTGCCTAGCGTGCCTGCATGTTCTCGCTACATGGCTATTTGGCGGAGCGATGGGCCTCTGGAGAAGTACAGGTTACCAGTGCCTGATGCTGGTATTGATTGATTGCTGTCAACCCTCTCTGTGATGGAAAGGGTTCATGTTTGATTGGATCAATTGTATCGTACAGTTCAATACGAATTGAGTATTATGGAGTTGTATATGGCCATTTGCACGTCAGAAAATACTATCTATTGTCCTTGAAAGAACAAAAGAGACAGAGAGCTGGTCCCCCAGCACCCAGTCTTTGCTTGATGTTTTCCCCTATTCGGGGGGAGGACCTCTACATGTACTAACTACAGGTAGTACTAGCACCAACATCACCTAGCCTTCAGCGAGCTTCCAAGCAGCCACTGGCTCTCCTTCCCCGGCCACGCCCCGCCTGGTGATGGGGCCATGGCGGTGAACCATTTCATCTCCACCTGCTTCCCAACTCAAACAAAAACCACCAGCTCCTCGAGCCCAAGCTCTTGTCCTGCAAACCCGCCACGGCTCACCATAGCTCGCTCTCTTTTGCGTCTCTTTCTGCCTCAATCCTAATTTCCCCCAGCATCATCACTAGCCACCATGCGTGAGATTGTAAGTTCCCCCTCTTGTTGTTTACTTTCTTGGGCTCCCGCCACGCGTTTGGCGCACTGGAGCCCCTGAAATTATACCCCGCCAACCACGACAAAACGAACACTTTGGCGTTTTCTGCGCAGCAATTCAGCGCGATTGAGGCGTGTCGTGATGTCCTGAGGTTGCCGTTTGCTAATTGTTGATTCTTTTTCGATGAATAGGTTCACATCCAGACCGGCCAGTGCGTAAGTTGACTTCCCTCCACGATGCCCTCCCGAATCCGCGGCCAGGAGCTTACACTCTTTGACAGGGTAACCAAATCGGTGCCGCCTTTTGGCAGACCATCTCTGGCGAGCACGGCCTCGACAGCAATGGTATCTATGGAGGCTCTTCCGAGCTCCAGCTGGAGCGCATGAACGTCTATTTCAACGAGGTACGTGTTTTCTTTGCCTACCCGACGCGGACGCTTGAGGAGCCCCCTATTCTGACCCTCGGGTACTGCAGGCCAACAACAACAAGTATGTTCCTCGCGCTGTCCTCGTCGATCTTGAGCCCGGTACCATGGATGCCGTCCGTGCCGGTCCTTTCGGTCAGCTCTTCCGACCCGACAACTTCATCTTCGGCCAGTCCTCTGCCGGAAACAACTGGGCCAAGGGCCACTACACTGAGGGCGCTGAGCTCGTCGACAACGTCCTTGATGTGATCCGCCGTGAGGCCGAAGGCTGCGACTGCCTCCAGGGCTTTCAGATCACACACTCCCTTGGTGGTGGTACCGGATCCGGTATGGGTACTCTTTTGATCTCCAAGATCCGCGAGGAATTCCCCGACCGAATGATGGCCACCTTCTCCGTCGTGCCATCCCCCAAGGTGTCCGACACCGTCGTTGAGCCCTACAACGCCACCCTCTCCGTCCACCAGCTGGTCGAGAACTCCGACGAGACCTTCTGCATTGACAACGAGGCTCTCTACGACATCTGCATGCGCACCCTGAAGCTGTCCAACCCTGCTTACGGTGACCTGAACTACCTCGTCTCCGCCGTCATGTCTGGCATCACCACCTGTCTGCGATTCCCCGGTCAGCTTAACTCTGATCTGCGCAAGCTGGCTGTCAACATGGTTCCTTTCCCTCGTCTCCACTTCTTCATGGTCGGTTTCGCTCCCCTGACCAGCCCCGGTGCTCACTCGTTCCGTGCCGTCACCGTGCCGGAGCTCACCCAGCAGATGTTCGACCCCAAGAACATGATGGCTGCTTCCGACTTCCGCAACGGTCGTTACCTGACCTGCTGCTCCATCTTGTAAGTAATGAAGCTGTCCGAGAAATACCAAGACGCGGTGCTAACAAACATGTCTAGCCGTGGCAAGGTCGCCATGAAGGAGGTTGAGGACCAGATGCGAAACGTGCAGAACAAGAACTCCACCTACTTCGTTGAGTGGATCCCCAACAACATCCAGACTGCCCTTTGCGCCATCCCTCCCCGTGGCCTGAAGATGTCATCCACCTTCATCGGTAACTCCACCTCCATCCAGGAGCTGTTCAAGCGTGTCGGTGAGCAGTTCAGCGCCATGTTCCGTCGCAAGGCTTTCTTGCACTGGTACACTGGTGAGGGTATGGACGAGATGGAGTTCACTGAGGCCGAGTCCAACATGAACGACTTGGTGTCTGAGTACCAGCAATACCAGGAGGCTGGTATTGACGAGGAGGAGGAGTACGAGGAGGAGGCCCCTGCTGAGCACGAGGAGTAAATGCTCCCTTAGCACAAGCGGGCTTATCTTTCTTTTTCACTTTAAATTCTTGGGGGTGCATTATTCGTGTGTTACCCTTGATTAACGCTGTAGGACTTGCCATACGGGGGTCTGTTTAGATGATTGGACGACCATTTTGATATCCACGCGCGATATGACTGTCGGTCAGATGGCAAGTGTTTGCAAACCTAATGAAAATAAAACGAGTACGATTACGGTACTGTAACGCAGATTGAGTGGCTGGTCCCGATTTGTCCGCGTGCATGTTTTGATGAAGCCAGACGAGGCACAATTAACCGTAGACTTTGCTCTGTAAATCCACTCTAGGGTTGGCCATATGTTGGAGGAAAGAGTTCCTTTTTTTTTTTTCGCTTTACTTGCGAATATCCATTGGACCTTGAGATTGCCTTTGCAGCACCAAGAACAACATTCAATGCCTCGTAAATCGTCGCTCGTCCAAGTTTGCCTGGTCTCCACACTCTGTCAGAATCGATCAACAAAGCTCAAGCTAGTCTAATGATTAGAAAATGCCTCCGCCCAATAGCATCAGATGTCGTAAAATACAAGGCATTCTGAAGAGCAGGACAGATACTAGGCAGCCTTACTAAACAAGGGCACTTGGAAACCCGGAAACTACCGCCGTGATATACGTCAGATTCGAGAGATGTGGTTATATAGCATGCTTTTGAATTCTGTGAAATTGACAGCGGCCTTCCTCATTTTTTTTTTTTTTTTTTTTCGGTTTTTAACAAGAATATTTGCATACAGCTGCATTGAATGGACACGATGGAAGAAACGCCAACGTCTAACCCTAAAGATCCTACACTCCGCGATGGCCCCGGTAGTCTAGACGCAACTTTCGACGAATTATTGCTGAAAATCGACAAGAACCTCCAATCTCGGGTCGTAAACTCGCTCAAATGGCTCTCTTTCTCATTCGATGGTGTTCTCGCCATCGATTTGCTCGCCGAGATCTTCGCTCTGCACCCAGACAAGAGTGCCTATTTTGACGAATCAGAGGGGCCGATTTCTACGCAGACTGTCTTGGAAATCTTGTCTGGCTTGGTTGCTGATGATGAGCGTTATGTTTGGCTGGCTGATTCTTCTATCAAGGAGTATCTTACTTCCGAACGAATCAGGCACAGTTCTTCATCTGCTTTTTCGTTTACAGAGACGGAAGCCCACCTATACATTGCTCAGTCCAGCTTGATACATCACCTCCGATGTAATGCCCTGGATCTTTCAAACACTCCTGAAAACGAAGATCAAAATACCCCCAATCTCAAGAACTACGCCGCTCGGAACTGGCCTCTACACCTTGAAGTGGTCCCTCGCCTATCATGGCCACTCGAGACTGCTCAAACCGCGAATCGTGCCCTCGCTGTTCGCAGCCCGAGCCTATGCAGCATGATAGACTCGCTCAATATCCGTCCATTCCTCTGTACCGATGCATGGACGAATCCCCTGATCTACACTGCTTACTTGGGCGCAACCCAGCTCACTGACATGTTAATCTCGGAGGGCCTCGACATGCACGAGTACATTACTCAATGGGACCTGGATGAAGCCTTGTTAAACGCAAGCTCAGCGGGAAAACTAGAAACCATCCACCTCCTCCTTGCTAAAGGCGCCGGTGTCGACCCAGAAAACGCGACGTATCGCAATCCTTTAAGAGAAGCTGCAGAAGGCGGCCACATAGAAATTGTTCGATTCCTCCTTGAGAGTGAAGCAACATCTGCAGCGCTGAACGATGGCGCTGTGTGCAAATCGGCCATGAATGCTGCAGCCGGGGGAGATCATTTCGACATCATAGAGATGCTTGTCCGTAACGGAACCGAGGTTGACGAATCTACTCTCGAAGCAGTTGCGGGATCATCTAGAGACGAGGCGGTATTATTAGAATGCTTACAGTTTCTACTCGACAACAGCAACGGCATTACAAAGGAAGGGGCACTCTGTGCAGCAGCATTCAAAGGAAATTGGAAGGCATTCGAGCTGCTGCTAAGTAAAGGGGCCGATATTAATGCCCTGGGAAGCCGTTGGGGCAATCCACTTCACATTGCGTGCGCAGCCCATGATATTGATGAATCACGAATCGAATACTTGCTCAGCTTAGGCGCAGATCCCAGCATCCAAGGGGGAGAGCACGGGACGGCCTTGCAAGCAGTATGTTATTCCTATTCCGGCAGGGATGAGGATACCTGTATCAAAGTTGCAAAGCTTCTCCTAGCCCGTGGCGTCGACGTCGGCGCTCAAGGAGGAGAGCATGACAGTGCGTTGAAAAACGCTTGTGCGTCTAGAGGCAAAGAGGGTGTCTGCTGGTACAACATGGTGGAATTGCTCCTCAAAAACGACGCCGACGTGAATGCCCAAGGAGGACCATATGCCAACGCTCTTCAAGTAGCGTGTCATATTGGTAATTCAGACCTTGTGCCGCTGCTCCTGGCCTGGGGAGCAGACGTTAATGCCCAAGGCGGCACCTTTACAACTGCGCTCCACGCTGCTTGTTTCACAAGGCCCAAGGAGGGAAAAGATGGAGATGTCAAGATGGTACAGCTGCTGCTGGACCACGGGGCTGATGTTAATGCCACAGCCAAAAGGAAGGTATTTGGAACAGCACTTCAGGCCGCCTGCGCAGTTGGGAATATGAAGATAGTCCGCCTCCTCCTCGATCACGGCGCAAATCCAAACTTGCAGGGTGGTGGGTATGGCTCTGCACTCCAGGCTGCCTGCCAATGGGGCCATACCGAAGTCGCGCGCTTTCTCCTTGACAACGGCGCAGATGTGAACATACTGGTCCCCAAGATTGGGCGCAGGACCGGGACCGCGCTTCTGACTGCATGCTCCTCCACTCGCAGCAATGATGGCATAGTTCATCTTCTGCTCGATCACGGTGCCTATGTTCGTGTTCCTGGGGTTTCCTCCGGGCCCATTTTGCACGCTGCTGCTTCATCCAACGGGATAAAAGACAATTCCGTATTGCTACGACTGCTGAATCTGGGCGCCGACATCAACCAGGTAGATGAGCGCGGTAGAACTGCCTTGCACTGCCTGCTGCGAATGCGATTCGACAGCAGAGACACAAAGCCGAGCAGGATGCGGCTTCTCATCGAACATGGCGCCGATGTCCATCTTGTGGCTGGAGAATGTGGCTCTCCCCTCCATTGGATATGCGCAGCTCTAACGAACCTTTCTGATTTCTATGAACATGATAGGACAACGGCTCTGCTTCTTGAGATTTGCCCAGAGATTGATGTGAATGTGCAAGGTGGAGAGTGTGGCTCAGCCCTGCAGGCGGCGGCATGGTCTGGCCAGGCGGAATCGATCAAGCTCATTATCGCGAAAGGAGCTCATGTCAACGTAAGAGGCGGTAAGTATGGAAGCGCATTAAACGCTGCCGCTATCATGGGGCACTGGAATATCGTTAAGATATTGCTCGAGAATGGTGCGAAGCCAGACTTTTACTGGCGGGATGAGTTAGACGAGGATTGGCTAGCCGAGGTCCGGAAAGAACATGGGCGAGCAGCTGTAGAAAGGTATAAAAAGTTTTGGGAGGTGGAAAAGAGGAAATTGTCCATATAGTAAACCCAGATAGCAACGTTGTAAATGATGAGAATTGAAGTTGACGCTGAGAATTATCAGTTGAAGTTCAACTACAGGTACATGATACAGTGCGCATAACACGACAAGCCCACCACCCCATCTGCTGACTCAGCAAAAAGTTCAACCCAGTCCAGCGCCATCACCAACCTGCCCACCTCAAAAAGAACGACAACCCAGCCATTGACTGTGCCAGCCTCCCGGCCCAGCCTCTCCAACGCCCAATGGCCGCAATTCTAGCTCCCCGTCGCGGCAAGGCCCTCAGCCAGGCCTTGTCTGCGGCGGCAGCCTCGCCATGCCCGCTCCCTTCGCTCCTCCCGGCATCATCGACCGTCGGCCCCAGCACATGGCCTTCCGCGCGACGACCGTTTTCGACGACACACGCCCGGGGATCGAAGCTGGGGAGGACGCCGCTGTCGATTCCTCCGGGGGTCGAGGTTGTTATGGGCGAGCCGAGGACGTTGAGGTCCGCGACGTCGTATAAGCCCGTTGTGAAGAAGACGATTACTGTCAAGGGACCTCTGGGTGTGTAGCTTTTTTTCTACCGTCTATTGTTGTTGCACTTATTGGAAGACTTTTCTTGATATGAAGGATTTTGCTTTTGTGGATTGCAACAAGTGCGTTAGGCTAACGAGTGCGTGCGATGTAGCAACATTGAATCTGGATGTGCCCGAGTTTGTGGACCTGGTACAGAGCGAAGAGGACAAGACTGCGACGCTGAGCGTGAGGGATCCGAATGAAAAAGAGCAGAAGGAGATGTGGGGTATGTTGTCAATTTGCATTCCTTTCCTTTACCGGAGAGTTAGTCTTGAGCACTGCTAACCTCCGTCTGATTTTGAACCACAGGCACATCATGGTCCTACCTCAGCAACCACATCACAGGCGTCTCCGAAGGCCACACGGCCATCCTCCGCCTCGTCGGCGTCGGCTACCGTGCCAGCGTTGAGCAGCGCGGCGCCAAGGAAGAATACCCCGGCCAAAAGTTCCTCTGCCTCAAGCTCGGCTTCACGCACCCCGTCGAGGTCGGCATCCCCAAGGGCGTCACCGTCACGACGCCGTCGCTGACGCGCATCCTGCTCGAGGGGCCTGACCGTGAGGTGCTCATGAGCTTCGCCGGCAAGGTCAGGAAGTGGAGGCCGCCGGAGCCGTATAAGGGCAAGGGCGTGTTTATCAATGACCAGACGATCAAGTTGAAGCAGAAGAAGATTAAATAAATGACGTGATATGACATGAAAAAGGGGGGGAGGAGGAGGGAATGGCTTGGTCATGATGATGTGACGGCTGTGAATTAAAAGGAGTGTGGGGAGAAACGACAAATGTACAATATGTGGTCTTTGATATGGGTGTTGGACAGAGACTTGTATTATCATCAGTTGAAAAAAAAGGGCCTCTTTTGCGAGGTATTTAGACAAACACATATATATACCTATATATACCATATCTGTATATTACCAACAACCATTTGAGAGTCAATCATGTAGATGTAAGTTTATCCAGTTCCTCAGGATTGTATTTTTACTTTTCCAACTATCACCGCTTATGCAGACGTCTTACAACTTGGCACTCAACACTTCTTGAACCACTTCCAATACCTTCCCATGCACTGCCAAAGGCGCCGCCACAACACCCTTGTTGCCGGCGAGCGTCCGTCCGATGCTAAAGTCTAGCCTCTTGCCATGAATGTCCGTAACCTGGCCGCCTGATTCTCTCACAATGAGATCGCCTGCAGCGTGGTCCCAGATCTTCTCCTGGTAGGTCGCACTCACGGGGAGACGCAAGTAGATGTCTCCCGCACCACGGGCAATAGAGCCGTACTTGGCCTGGCTGTCCATGCGAACGCTTGGCGCAGTGATGCCCAGCTTCTGTGAGATGGCCGCCTGATCTCCGTGGGACGAGTGTCCAGCCTCGACGCTCTCGCAGAAGTTGGCCTTGGTCAAATCATCAATGGCACGCATAGAAATGGGTGTGCCGGCCTCGACATCGAGATTGACCGTCGCGAGCGCGCGGCTCATAGCGCCGTGGCCTTGGACGGCAGAGAAGAGCACGCCGTGACCCTCGTCGGTCTGGTTCTCGCCAATGCCGGTAGTGAGACGAGCAGAGTCGTCGATGGGGAGGTTGGGGCATCCCAGGGCACCAACTTTGACATCGCCATCAACCATGAGAGCGAGACAAACGGCGTACTGGCCTCCACGGAGGAAACCCTTTGTGCCGTCAATAGGATCAATGGCCCAGATGCGTCCCTGAGAGCCGCCAGGGCTGTTTCCCTTGTCGATGAGCTCAACCATGGCATCAACATCCTTGATAGGTCCACCGAGCAGCTCCTCGGCAGCAGCATCGTCTAGCTTGATATCCTTGACCAAATCCCAAATGGTGCTCTTCAGGTTAGCATCCTCCTTCAGCTTCGCAGACTCCTCCTCGGCGACAATGGCATCGCCCGGGAAGTTGTGCTGCAGGGCAGCGATGATGAGCGCCTGCGCGCCAAAGTCGCCGATTGTGACGGGGGACTTGTCGTTCTTGTCGACGGTTCCCTTTGCCTTTTCGTGGAAGACGCGCTTGGTGAGGATGGAGGCGCGCTGGACGGCGAGCTGGGCGATTTGAAGCTCCTTTTCGTACTTGTCCAAACGCATCGTTGCGGCTGGGGTGTGCTGGGAGAAGAAGCGAGTTTGACGGAGGATGGAGGATAGCTGTCCGGGTTGGTGGACGAGGCGGCCGATGAAGAGCGATAGAGAAGCCGTGGCAGCGCCTGTGGAGGGGAAGAGGAGAGACAAGATGAGGACTATGGCGGGGAGGAAGAGGAAGAGGATGAGACGAAGCTTTCGGGAGGAAGAGGGAGAGGCTGGCGATGGACTGCAGGCTGACGGCAGGAGTTTATGTGGAGATGGAGAGGACATTCAACCCAGTCAGACGACGACTATTATTGGGTGCAGGTAGCTGTAGATGAATTAGGTAGGTAAAGGATACTGCCAATCGTGATGACATGTGTAACTTGACTCAACCCCCCGACGGCCCGTCACTTTACTGAGCTGCTGCCCTGCTTGCCTGCTAAATTCGCTGCTGCTACCCCGCAAAACTCCCGATGTCCCGCCGCCTGTCCCGCTGTACCAGCTCCCCTCACGGCGGGGCTCCCCGGCGCTCCGGCCACCCAATTTTCCGAGCCCAGAAAAAAAAAAAGGCCATATCTAATCACATCAGATGGAAATGCAACATACCTACTCGTGCTAACTAATAGCCTCGGACTCCAGCCTCAATCACGACTCTCTCTCCTCTCCCTCTCCCTCTCCCCTCCTCCCTCCAGCCCTTTTCTACAGCACCACCAGCTCGCCAGCCATCCCGCCTCCTTCGCAATGGCCTCCTCCCCCGCCAACCTCCGCTCCCTCTACCGCTCCCTCCTCCGCGAGCTTCCGCCCCGCCCCATCCTCTCCTCTCCGCGAACTCCTCTCCACCACCGCATCCGCTCCTCCTTTGTCGACTCCTCCTCTGCCGCATCCTCCTCATCCTCGCATACCTCAGATCACCAGGCCCAGCTCGCCCATCAGCTCGTCGCCTACCTCCGCGCCCAGCGCATGTACGTCACCCTCATCGAGCGCTATAATCCCGGCATGGAGATGGGCCAGGACGAGCGCATCCGCTTAACCGCCCGGAGAGTCGGCATGGATCTTCCCTCGGTGCAGAAGAAGAAGACGCAGTGAGCGCGCGCGAGCTCGTTGCGAGGAGATGAATTTTCTTCTTCTTTCTCTTTTTTTGTTTCTTTTTGGTTTTGTTCTGCCATTCAACTCTTGTCTTTTTTTTATACCTGATTTGGGAGGGATGCTGTCGTGTGACCCATCACACGCAATTATATAAAGACGTTTCCTGCGAAACGGCGCAGGAGGGGATGGACACGCTGGAGAAGCCAATGCCGTGTAGCAGTGCGCGGCTCTTTTACCAATCACATCGGAACACTTTTGGCGCTCTACGGCAACGAGCGTTCAAACGGAGAATATCCACGGACAAAGCAACCGTGTGAGTTTCAACTCAGTGCGCCACAATGACGCGCACATGTATACATACAAAAGGGGGGAGATACCACAACACCAAATGGGACACAGGGCCCGCACAGGATCGGGAAGAATGGGAGGGTGAGGGTGTCAGGAATTTGTCTTGTCCAGGCCCAACTCTGTGCACTGTGTCTGGCAAGGCGAGGACATGTAAAAAAACGGTCACTTTACTAACAACTGACCATCTCAAGATGAAGAGACTCTACAAAGATATATCCGCATCAAAATATCCGCTCATGTTTTTATATATGTATATATGCGCTGTGTTCGGCCATACATATCTACCTGGTGTATATATATACTTATATACAATGAAATATCCAAAAATGCCAAAGCTCTAGGCCAGGTATAAATTCCTCGATGGGGTATCAAAAATCAGGCACCAAGCATGTGTGCCAATTCCAACTCTTCGCTTGCCAATTATCAGATGTCGTGAAAAGCTCGCCTTTTTTTTCATCTCTTTGCATCATCGTTGAAGTCGTCGTTAAGGTGCTGTTCATATAAAACGAATGAAACGAAATGAAATGAATAAGAAAAAGGGGGAGAGAAGGAAAACGCATAGAAAATCAGTCAAATGCACGCTTACGCCACGCCAACTCCGTTATCTTCCAGGGACTCGTCCCATCCCCCCGTCTGCAGCAGCCACTCGCCAGTCCGCTGCTTAACTGCCGCCATGGCTGTTCCCAGTGAGCTGTTCCACTGGTCCTGTACGACTCGTACTTTTTCTTTGAGATCCTCCGTCAGCCGGCGATTCTCCACCTCGCGCATCTGCTTGGCTCGCAGCTCTCGATCCTCAGGTCGGATGGGTGTGCCATCCACTTCAGTAAGCTGTGTCGCAAGCACGCGAGCCTTGGCATTGACAACCGCCTCCTTAACCTCATGCAGAAGGCACAGCTGGTTTGTGTGCGCCTCAATGAACTGATAGGTGCTCTTTTCGGCATGGAGTAGCAGACTGTAAAGATACTGCAGCGGGTGATCGTGATATGCCGGGTTCTCCTCGTACTCTGACGCCGGGATATGGACACCAAAATCCTCTAGATCCATCGGGATGGTGTCCAAAAGACCGCAAAGCGGCGGTGCAATGTCCCAAAACGCCGAAAGCTGTAGCTCGATACCACGCGCAACTGCCTCTTCCATCACGGACCTGAATTCACGCGCCCGATTCAGCACCTCGTTTGCAAATGCGTATTCTCGCTTCTCTGCGTCCTCTTTGAAAAATCCCTCGGCCGACTTGAGCTTCTCAGTGTTGCCAGACAGTCGATACGGTGTCAGCACGACGTCACGATAGCGAGCATTGCGATCCGATAGCAAGTCGTAAATGGCCCGGTGCAAAGACTCGCGCTGCTCAAAGATCCATTTGAGGAGCGTCAGTTTCTCCAACAGCTCCGGCTTGTCGTCTCCTTCTTCTTGGGGCATGTCGGCATCGATTTCGCTACTGTCGAATAAGTGACGTGCCAAGTCGTCGAATAGCTCTGTCGCTCGAGAAATTCGCTCCGTCAGAATGTCGTTCAGCGGCAATACCACTTGGTTCTGGAAGTGCTCGTATTCCAGCTTCTCCGTCTCCTTCTTCTTATCCTTCTCCTGTTCGTTAAAGTCAGATTCAATCGCTGCGGCATCAGCGTAACCCAAATTTCCCAAGTTGATTTCTTTCTGCAGGTTGGACCTCAGCGCGAGGCGACGCTCTCCTGCCGCCTTGGAAGCCTCCTCTCGGCGCCGGAGGCTGCTCGAAGCAAATCTCTCTTTTGATCCGTCAATATCAGCCAGTTCGCTCAAAGACCGTACAGATGTGCGAATTGATGTTAGCTCAGGGTGGTTATTATTCACTGCTGGATGATGCCTTGGGTATGGCGGTGGCATTGTGACCAATCGGGAAACATCCAAAAGCCCATGTCGGTTTGTCGCAGTCGACGGGGTAGAGGCCACAGAAGTGTTCGACGGTTGAGGGGTCCATACTGCCTCTCCCTGATCATGCCAACCCGTCTTCTCCGGGGGATACTCTGACGAAGAGCCTTGGTCGCTTACAGGCGCATAGTGTGGAGTACTCTGCTCATCTTCGATCCACTGGTCCTTGGGAACACCCATGTATTTGGACTCGCGTTTAGATCTTTCAAATCCACCACGGTTCGGGTCTCCGTTTGAATCCGTCTCCCACCATCGGCTGGGGGGTCTTCCACGTGAGCTATTCTCATGATTGTCACTCACGCTCATGCTAAGAATGGGAGATAGTGAGGGCATGTAGTTTGCAGTACCGGCCCAGTTGAGAGGTTGCTTTATCCCTGGAGACGGTGGGAGACTGCCAGATGCTGGTGCTGAGCTCGATGAGTCTTCAGCAGGGTGGACAGAGCTGACAGAACCCCGGTGAGATCGATTTGGTTCCGAAGACTCTGGAGTCCAGTCACCTAGGGACTGGGAATTAATCGACTCTCGTCGGGCGGAGTTCATCGGGCGGAATAAATCACGGCTCAAATCAAAGATTTCGGATCCCATGGCCCCAATAGCTGACGAGTATCTCTCGCGTCGAATTCTGGACTCGGTGACTATGAAATCGGAGAAGAGACGTACTCGGTCTGCGTCTGTTGCGGCTGAGGCCTCTTTGATCGCAAATGACCGGAACCGTTCGATAGAGCCAGTTGCGAATTCCGCGGCGCTCTGGTTTACAATAACTTCTTTGGATGGCGATGCCGCCATGGACGAAGAAAGGCGAGATGCTTCAGCAATCATTGACCCAGAGGCAGATCTGGTCTGAGGTGGAGGAGTCGGGAGAGATTTTGGCACAGCACCTTGGCTTGCGCCGAGCTGCCGGTAGGTCTTGGCCGGTGTTGGCGAAAACGGTGGCGTGGCTGCCTCGCGGTGCAACAATGTGGCCGAATCTGGTGCCCGAGGCGTCGAATTGCGGGAGTCATGCTGGATTGATGATTCTCCGGTAAGAGGCTGGTCCATAGGGGCTTTCCCAGCGCTCCGGGGAGTTGTCTTGCCAATAGTAAGCTTACGAGCTAGACCACCGGCGGGGGGTACAACAATGTCGGCAATATGCTGTCCCTGCAACGTGCTGTCAATGGATCCCCGCGATTCATGTCGAGAGCGGCTCTCGCTTCTCCTCTGTAAGATGGTCTTGTCGTGACGCACGGCCTTGGCGCGGTTCAAACCACTTGCGCTGCCCGAAGAATTCAGGGGCGGTTCTATGGGTTCGCTAGGATTGCTCGCGCTCGTTGTATCAATTGTCAGGTTGGGAGATCGGCCTTTTACCGGCTGAGTGGGCTGCGGTAGCTGCGGTAGCTGTGGTAGCTGCAGTTGTCGCGACGACTCGCCGGTCTGAATGGACGCGAGAGGGTGTAGCTGTGTTGAGGATACTTGGGTCTGAGGCCGAGCGGAAGGTGGCGTGTCACTGTCAACCCAGTCGGCAGGTGTTGGGGGAACGGGTCCCAGAGATGATATACCAGAAGGGGGAGGCCTGCGAGTTGGTGGAGAAATAATGGGCACGCTGTTTCTGTCCATGCTCTGTACGCTTTGCGATCTGCTCGACGAAGGCGGAGGTGGGCCAGGCGGGGGCGGAGGAAGTGGCATGCCAGGCTCCCATCTCGTCTGAGAAGTAGACCGTGAGCGAGCAGATGTTGGCGTATCGATGGCGCCTGTGGAGGCAGCTCTACGGGATGCCGGGGGAAATGGGTCAACACTGATGGCAGATGTAGCTGCGGCTCGTTCTTGCTCTAGAGCATGGAACAAAGCAGGTCCAACGCTCCGTCTAGACCCGGGGATATGGTGAGCCGGCTCTGGGGAGTTGGCTGAATCGGTGTCTCTCCGTCTCCCTAAGGATGCCAGCGCAAAGAGGCGCTCTCGAGAACTTCCCCTACCACTCGCACCGGGCGGAGGAGGAAATGAGCGGGTAGCAGCAGCCGGTGGCTCGGGAGAAGGCCGGTGACCCAGCATGTTAGAGAAGCGCGAAGGAGGAGTAGCGGCCACTTGCGCCGGAGCGTAGTCGAAAGCCATACTGACGGGACGAGGCTGCTGCATGTTTCTCCTGGGAGTGTATGGCGGCGGGGGAGGGGGAGCTGCGGGTGAAGCTGTCATTGGGAATCTGGTCAGCACACTATCGTTGTCCATTTTGGTGGGTGGTCGAAGAGAGATGGATAGAGGAGAGGTCTAGGAGAGATCGAGGAGAGACTAAGGAGAGATATAACAAAGGTTTCTAAAAACAGCTGTCTAGGAATAGTATCAACGAGGAAGAATGAAAAGAATCCCCACCCTGTGCTTCGCTGCCCACAAACGGCAGAGGTCGCTCTGTCGCCGCCATGACTGCTGGCGACGCTACCCATTCCTGCGGATTATACGGCAGGATGGCGCTGCCAGGCGTGTGTATCGTCTGCACATGAGAGGAAGCCATGGACACAGCAGATATGGGCGAGACGAGCTGGTTACCGTAGCCCGCTAAGGACGTGGTTGAGAGCGGATGAAGTGCATGGCGAAGACGCGTGGGATCACGGGGAGAGGAGGAAGACATATTGGCTCAAGCTCCCAGAGGCCCAACCGCCCACGGTCTCCCAAGTCGGTAACCCTTGACCTAGGGGGGGTGCACAGAGGCTTGCTGCAGAGTGCTGAGGCTGCCGAGTGATGCGACTTGGAAGGCAGGTGGAAGATTGGATCTGGAGATGGGCCCCCAGGTCGGGCCTGATGTCAGAACTATCGGCGGCAGCGCACTCCACACCAACTCGGAAGCGGTATGCCAGAAGAGTCTGTGTTTCGTTCTATTTGCAGGTCTCGTCTGGCATCCCTGGATCCACCCAGAGCATCGACTTCAGGTGGCGGATAGAGGCCGGTCGACGGGGAGTGCTCGGATTGGCGAGAAGCGGCCGAGGAGGGGTACAGGCACGAGATGTTCCCTGTACTCGTACAGTACTCTGGTCAGGCACTTGACGCGAGTATGGGCGGGCGGGAAGCGAGGGATTGAGGCAGGCGATCAAACATGGCGAGTCGCACGGCATCCCGTAGTGGGAAAAGGAGCGAGCCGCGGCTGAGGTACGAGTACATTCGACGCGGCTGGGCTTTGGCTTGGCCTGGACGTACTGTACTATGTACTCGTACCGGCGCGGGCACTAACACCGTCGCCAGACACGAGCTACCTGTTGAGAGGCACGCAGCAAGGCAGAAGAGGTAGCATGGCAGCACGCATGGCAGCGCATTGAGGGGCCGTTTGGTGGTGATGGCGAGATCTGCTTGGCTGAGCGCGAGTTTGGCGGTCCCTGTGCAAGCGGCGCGCTAACCGTGCTGGGACGAGGCGACCAGCCTGTGGCGCCAGTGCGCAAATCCCTTGTACAGGTACCAGGGATCTTTTGTACCCGCTGTTTTAGTTACATGCACCTGCACGTGTGTTTGAGCTCCCCTACCTACAGTAGTAGTAGCATTCAGTAGGTTAGTGAACCACGCACTCACTGCAGCTTGACGTCTGGTCGTTTCAGCAGTGCAGAAAAGGAGGATTTGCTGAAGGATTCCCGCCGTCGACTCAAGCCAGCATCTGGATTGCCTAAAGCGCACACCCGGGCACTCCATGAGATGCCAGGGACGGCGTAGTGTGTGATGGGATGTGACGACTAGGTGAGCGGGCCGCTGCTCTTCCAAGAACCAAGCCGAACGTGCGCTCGCTCTATCTCCTTATCAACCATGCCTGCATGCAACTGTTGGTTACAGGTTGATTGGGGATTTAGGCTGCATGAGGGCATGAAACTGGCATTTCCCAGGGCTCGTCTCTACTGTACAGCACCTTTCCAATGCGGCGTGGTTCAACTTGCACTCGTCAAGCAAGCACAGATAAGGAGTGCCAAAACGGCGTCGCAGACATGTGATGTGGCCTGAGAAATGAAAACCTACCTTAGGCAGACGAGGCTATCGCCAAGTGCGTGCATTGAAGAAAAAAAATCCAGCGCCGGTACGGGGTACATTCGACCAAGTACCCGGTACGAAAGCGTCTGCCACTAGGCATGCGACCGCCCCTGCGTGGATCGCGCCTTTTTTTTTTTTTCTTCTGCTTTCGACGCAAGTTTATTATCGAGAACCGGCTCCTGTTGGCTGGAAGAAACAATGCGCTACTAAGCGCCGGCAGCCATTGAACCACATGTGTTCCTAATATAGCTGCCAATCAGAGCTGCAGCTGGGGATCCATCTCCAAGGCTCCAAGAATAGATCGGCTCTCCCACCTTACAGTAGACTAGAACTCTGCACCGTTGAGCGAGAAAAAGGAACTGCTGGATGGGCGACTGGAAACACGTCCGATACCGCGTAATCTGCTCGCTTTTGCTTTCTGAGAATGTTGCATCATTTTTCACCTCCCATCTGTTCATCCTTTTTTTTTTTTTTTTTTTCATTCTACAGCACCAACTACATGCTCAGGCGCCCACAAGAGCACAGCAATTCATCCCTCTTGGGCCCTGCTCGCTCTCTCGGCAGTTGGTGGGGCTTATAACCGCCGGCAATTCGGTGCATAATCATCCTTGTCCTCCCATATTCCCCTTTGCAAAATGGCCGAAAAGCAAAAAATAGCAAGCAATAACCCTTCACGATTTAGAATCTGCTATAAAGGGGTTGTCAGATTTCCCCCCTACGACAGGCTCACCAACGGCCTGTAAGGAGTATTACATGGGGCCGCTGGCATGTTGTTAATTTTTGGCAACTGTATTTCGAGGTCGTTTGTCATGATAACGGCGCCAGACTCAAATAGCGTGCAGCCTCGCTGACCCGGCACTCGGCCGCTCTACTAATCTGACTTTTGGAATCTGCTGCCCGATTCAGCTTCATGGGCACTAGCCCCGCCTCTCGCTGAGCTTATTGCTGAGAATGAGGCCGGGCGGGCAAATAAGCACGCCCTGTTGGTAAACGGCTGAGGTGGGAGAGGTGGGAGACGGCTAACTCGAACGAGTTGCTCAACCTGGTGTTGATACCATAAGCGAAAAGTAATCACGCTTGGCGACTATTGAAGCGGCTATTTACCACTAACGAATACAAGCCGCCCTTGAGCATGTGGTTGACAGGCGCTTGGTTGCAACCCTCCTGCTACAGGGTAGGGGGCACCGTGACAGATATGGCCGTATATGTGCTTGATCACAGCGTAACTTCACAAGTCGAATACAGACAGCAAAAAAAGGGCAAAAAGCAAAAACATACAACAGCCGGTGTTCGCTGATGGTCTGCCACTCAACGTACTAATCTACCGGTTAGTGGCCCGACCATGGGGGAGCAGACAGGCATGTTTGTTTCAGGAAGGTCAGCCAGATTATATTCGTCTTAATATACGATGGAGGGACATTATCTTAGACCAGTCTGTAAATAACCCAAGTAGCAAAAGTTTTATATCTAATACCCCTTAAGTAACTAGTATAAAACTGCGTATAATTATGCTTAAGGGAGTATATTCATAATGCTCAAGGCAGATCCAGAAATCGACACTCTTTCGGATTCTCATAAAAGAACCCCCCCCCCCCCCCAACTGCTCAATTACCTTGCACCGTTCTTCCATATTGTAAGCATTATGAATGATAGCAGCACCTATTACTCTAGCCCTTATTGGTGGCACTGCTAGAACCCATACTCCACCTCCCGCTGGCCAGCCGACTGTTAAGACAATGCCGTCGGTCGACTCGGGTTCAATAGCATTCTTCATATACTCATATTCGTTCTTCCACCAAGTAGCACCTAGCTGTCGCACTGCATATCTAAATTAGCATATCGTCTTTTATATTTAAAGCCTCTATTGTAGAACCTCCTTTTTCTTTGGATTGGTTTTTCTTATTTTCCAAAAGAGATTCTCTAGCAAAATCCATCGGGTACTTACTTTTATTGCAATGCATCTCTTCTTCATCAGCAGCGGCGGTGGGATTAGATATAGATGGGCGAGGGGTATTATGGAATCGGTCCAGTCCTAGAAATTCCAGTTCAACGCCAAAGCAAGGTCCCAAGACATAGAAACCGCCCTTGGATGGCCATCCCCTCACGAAGCCTCCCGGGCCCCGGGCGAACTCGGACCTCAACTCGAGGCGCCATCCATAGAGCTTTTTCAGATATTCTGAGTATTCTGGTTCCATTCCTGGTTGCGGTTTCCCCACTATCGCCTCGCCATAGTCTGTGGTGTCTTCATCGCAAACGTCATCCTCCACCATTGCTTGCGCCTGTGATTGAGAGAAAAAATACTGCAGCAGTATAAAGACTGTCATGAAAGCAAGTAATGATTAAAGGAGCCTTGCCATTGCATATGTTATTTTTCGAGTTGGCACCAGAGGCAGATGATGGCAGAGGCAGATGCTAGCTGCTACCTCCGCACTTAAAATATCTCATAATCGGCACCGTTAGACCTTGGATGTTACAGAAATGGTTTCCGAGGCCTTGCCGGCACAACGGAAAGGGTATGTTGAACCACCACAAGTTGGCCATAGTCGAGACGCTTCGGTTGCGATATTTAGTGCAAGAAACAAGGGAGCCTGCGACTTATAACCAACATGCATACGAACTTACAACCAACACGCATTTGCTGTCCGATATGAGCGCCTCGAATTTAACTGCGTTAGCTGTGGACTTGGTCTCCAGGAACCATTAGGAACCCACCACGTGAGGAACACTATGGATTCAAAGAGCAGTGTTGTGCTAACTCTATATTTGCAGTTGGAATATATAATCATTGGGAGCAAGGAGCTCGGGATGCCGTCTCATCTTCGAGCGATAACCTGGGGAGCACTGGATTAGCCGGGTCGCTAATAACCCGCGACTACCTAGGTACTCAATACTATATGCCTCTCTGATAGCCGAACCGTCTAATGTTAGGTAGTGAAAGTGCTCTTAGTGAGTACATCGAGCGCTTTACTACCTAGTGTTCACTATTACCATAAAATAGGTATGAAAGAAACTTTTCATAGGTATACGTAGGTAACATACGCATTGACTCATTCCGGTTGACATTGTTGCAAACCACCATTAGAACATGCAGCAGATCTATACCTACTTCTTATATCAGAGTATCGATATAGTTACTGTGGCGTCGTATAACACATGTCCGTGTTTATAATGGCGGAGCAAGCTGCATTCGACTAAAAAGGAAGCGTAATCGCATATCGGCTGGTTTTGTGTCATCACCTATCTCAAACCTTGTCATTTTCATAGGTAGGTTAATAGCCAGACGCTAAATCGGAACGCTACATCGGAGTGCTGGCTATTATGCTAGAAAACACCAAATCTCATTGATATCATTCAAAAATGCCCTGACCCAATCTGTTCGTACTAGGTGATGAAATGCAGCGCTTTAGTGGTCGCAAATATTTCGCCAAGGGACAAGAGTCAAAAAAGGTGTGCATAAATGCCCAAGAAAATCCCGATCAATTTGACGGAATGGGTTCAATTACGCCTACACGCGACAATATAGCATATAATAATGCTATGGGTCAGGAGTACACAAAATCGCTGTATTGGTAAGAAGCCAAGCAGCAAGGACGCACCTATCAATCGCTATAACGGGATACGGCTATAATAGTGGACATGTACTCCGTACTTTGCCAGCTATTAGCTACAAAGACGTAGCCCCCCTGTGACATACACGACACATGAAGTGAGACACGTCGTGCAACCTAGGCTGATCCGTGAATTAAACCCCTCCTGTATTGCAGCAGGATTCCCTAGCCAAGACTGTTGTCTTCTTTTGTTTAGTCTATGATCCATAGCGCCATAAGGATCTTTTTCTCAACCTATGAGCTGCGAGGCCTTGAACAGGCTGAAATTTTGGAGAAGAGCAGCAATCCAGAAGTCCAATAATAGTAATAATTTCTGCCGCCTAACTGCAGGCGGCGGCTAGCAAAACATCCTGCCATTCCTTGGCATGGCAGATTAGGCTGACTGACAAAACATAATTTGTGACAAGGCTGTCGATGCATGGCGCTGATTTATTATGTATGGCCGTTTTATCCTTTATCAAGCATCTCACTTTGAAGCGTTTGGACGAGTTCCAGTTGCTTCATTTCTTACACTATGGCGTCTAATTACGACATATTGCCCCAAGGTGGAGAAGCTACTGGTTTTCAAGGAGCCATGAACAACCACCAGCCACAATCGGACGAGCCCGAAGCTCAAAAAAATAGCGGCATATGGCGCATTCATTGGCGGTCTCCGACATCGATGATCGGCTTGTTCGTAGGGGCTACTTGCGCCGCCGTTGCTCACCACTTGTACTATGATAGCATAAACGGGGCAGAAGTTGTCATTGTACGAAACGAATGGACTCTACAAGCTGTGCGCGATAGCCAAGAATGGAAACTGCGATTCGGGGCAGGACTCGCATTCCTGGCCAAGGCCATGTTCGCTGCCTCCGTCATTGTTGCTTATGAACAGCGTGCTTGGCTCACGGCTAGAAACAAGGCTGTTACGGTTTCTGGCCTAGACGCAATGTTTTCAGCAGCTCAGAACCCGCTGAGTTTCTTTAGCCTGGACTTTTTGCGTAAAGCTAAAGCGGGAGCTATCATGGCTCTCCTTGTATGGTAAGTCTATCTCCATCTCTATGTTGATTTCATCACGCGTGTCATGAATAGATGAAGACGGCTGATATATCACACAGGTGTATTCCACTTGCAGCCGTCATCACTCCTGGCACGCTCATAGTGGTACCTACAACTCTATCAACTTCCAAGTCTTTCCCCGTTCCTGCCGTCAACTTCTCTCAGGTTCAGCCTCTGTACGACTATTATTCCAGTGTCGTTGGAAACGATGGTCAATCAACTAGTAATGGAATCACTCCATACTTATCACGTCTTATTTCGTCAACAGCCACCTCATCACAAATCTTGCCGATGAATATTGCTCTTGCTAACTCGACATATAATTTAACCTTCCACGGCCCGTCTTTCCGCTGCCGAGAGCCGTCTCCAGTGATAGCAGAAGCTATTTATATGACTCTCAATGCTACCTGGTATATCTCTTCTGAAACCACCATAGAGCAAACCATTGCTGAAGGGGCTTTCCCCTCCATGGCCTGGCTAGCATTTCCGCCAACTTCTGTGATAATGTCTATACTAGCCGATGCGGACAAGACGCCACTCGGAGAACAGTGGAAGTGGTTTCTAGCTTACGCAGTTTCATGCATTACACAGCCGGCTATGGGGCACTTAACCCTTCCGCACTTCGACACTCTGCCTCTCTGCGAGGGTATCACGGGCGCACCTGGTGGAAGTACAAATTATACAATTCCTCTGCAAAATGTGTCATCCTTGGAGGGTTATTCACAATACAACCATGGCAGGCTCTGGGTTTGGGCTCAAAACATAACGTATGATTGTGTTTTAACCGACACCGAATACAGCACGCGCTTCTTCTATTCTGCATCCGAGCAAGTGCAGCGTATTGATCCCGAATACGGCTTTAAGTGGACTGAAGAAGATTTATATGGCAATTATTTTTACGTTGCCGATGCACTTTCAACTCTGCTTGGAGGAGCTGTGCGCGTCTTTTTGAAAGGCGTTATGTCATATAAAACACGCGTTGCAGACACAGCCGTCTTTGGTGCTCTCAAGGTTGACTCAACGGACAATCCTAGTTCTGGCCTCTTGCCCAAATCGCTAGCACCGGAGGCTAGAGCTTTGGCCCGGAACAAGACTGTGGGCGAGCTCATAGAGGAGCTTTCGCGAAACATCACGTTGAGTTTGTTCAGTGCCGATCAGATACTGTAAGCAAAGAGGCAACCCTGTAGAAATTATGACACAATGGGCATCTAACATGACATGTTATCGCTGCAGATACCAGAACGACACAATGGTCAAAATTTCCTCTGATGTCAACGTCTACTCATATAACCGAAGAGTTCTCATCATCACATATGTCGTCGTCTTTTCTGGCACGTTGATTGCGTTGCTCATCGGAGGCGCTGCTTATTTCCAAAACGGCGTTAGCCACCAAGTGTCCTTTTCAGCATTCATGTCAACAACGAGAAACTATCGGTTAGACGAGTTAACAGCTGGAAGCTCTATGGGTGCTATGCCTCTAAGGGATTCTATTCAGTCAACTAAACTTCAATTGGGGTTCCTGCGGAATGTTGATGAAGAGGTCGGCGAGGAAGAAGCAATGCGAAGGGTGGGATTTGGCCTCTCGGATCAGATTGTGCCGCTGCAAAAAGGAGTTCCTTATTATTAGATCATTTCTCTTGTGATGGAAAGAAAGAAAGAGGTTGCTTAGATGAAGCTATAGCACAATGGCCACCCTATTGGTTAGGATAATGTTATTTAAGAAATGCAAAGTTGGAAACTGTCAAGCTTTTACAAACTCGATTTCGAGAAGGATTCACGATGACTAGCTCGTAAATGTCGGGATGCCTGCAACACCACCAATATTGGAACTGCCGCCGTGTATGAAACGATTAGTGCAAGCGCTGTTTTGTGGGCTACGTCGGGTGACTTAAGTGATAAATTTCTTTAGCATGGGGTTCATTGCCTGCTAAAAACGGAACTATGCGACCCCAAATTTGGAGTCTCGGGGAGCGAAAAGTGGAAGATATCAAACGTAAGAAAAGAGCATGATGGGACCCCGGATTTTCCACTACCTATGGTCGTATGTGCTTATAGTTGTAGCAATCGGACTTATAACCTATGCCTGCCTCTTACAAGCATAACTATCATATGGTAGTTTAAGGTTTAAATAAATTTTAAAAGCGAGTGCCTCTGAAGGGTGAACTTCACCGCCCCTCATACTGATGAATGAAGTCTGGAAGATGTTGAGGGCTTCTTATTCCCAGTTGTTTTTTTGATACGGGCCCAAATGAAGCGCGGCATTATATCGAGTAAAGAGGGCAATTGACTGCGGGTCTGTCGAGGAACAAAAAGCAACGAGGTGGAACAAATCAGCGTAAGAGAGAATGTGGGGCTTGAGGACCGCCAGCAGAAGGAGTCTGATTTATAATCCATCTCTTGTCAGATCACGACAAGAGGGCTGATGAATATGCTGGAACTGATCAAGTGCCCGTTTGCAAGATTTTATTTCCTGAGGATCTTGGAAATCGCTTAAGCAGAGAAGAAATTAGGCCTAGGCTTCTTGAAGTACTCACCTTAACCCCTTTCAATCTGGGGCGATCTTCGAAAGCAGGTCATGGAGTCACAAACGGGTTTCAGGGCCCAACCAGGCTTCAGGGAAGAGGAGCGGCCAGTCGTCGTTCGTGTGAGTTAGACCGATATATTCAATGCTATTCTGCCTCTGTTGACGCTCAAATGTAAGGCTTGCGACATGTGCCGGAAGAAAAAAATCCGCTGCGAGCCTACGACGCAAGGATGCAGGCCTTGCACCAAATATGGCACCAAGTGTCATTTTACGCCAATTGCAATGAAGAGGAAGCCTCGCAGACCAGCTGGGTCAGTATGCTATTACTCCAGTCCACGGAGTTTGCCTTTGTTAAATGTTCCGCAGCTTCAAATACATCGCACAGCTCGAGCAAAGACTTTTAGGAGTAGAGGCTTTGCTAGGAGACAGGTCCTTGGAAAAGCCAACTGTACCTGAAATCAGTTCGCGTAAAGAGCGGACAACACCCGTAGCATTACTTGACACAGCGGCATTGATCAAATCTTCTAATGGAAGTAATCCGTGGATGCCAGAGAGTGAGTCACCCGAATAAACGAGCAATCAAGGGTTTAACCTTGGAGTTACATTTCGGTACACGACTAACGAACCTGATATGTCTACGCTTGGAGATTGTATAACTGACCATACTAGGTATGTGGCCTCATTACGCTCCAGATTTACGCTCAGTTTCTCTACCAGCGCGCCAGCGGCTTCCCACAAAGACAGTTGCTCTGGAGTTGATTCAGGAAACTTTCAACAACTATAATAGGTTCCTTCCACTTTTTGATGAAGAGGACTTCTTGAGAGAATTTCAACTCAAGTACTCGACTTCTAATCCTGGAGATGCTGGTTGGTGGGCATGCCTCAATGTTGTGCTGTCGATAGCTCATCGTCTCCGCGCCATACGAGCATTAGACCCGACACAGGAGCACATTCTAGCTAGTGGTTATGTACAAAACGCCCTAAGTGTCGTCTCCGAGCTCAACGTCTCTGACCGCAGCCTCTCTGCTGTCCAGGCTCTGGCGGGTATGGCTTGCATTCTCCAGGGCACACCGGATCCGGAGCCTGCCGCAATGCTCGTTGCCGCCGCTCTACGCTTGGCACAGGCTATGAATCTGCACAGAGAATGTTCCAGTCCAGGACTCACGGACTCACAAGCCGAGAAACGGAGGCGGGTGTTTTGGAAGGTGTACATTCTTGACAAGGATATTAGTCTACGGACGGGCCGACCCTTTGGTCAAGATGATGATGACATGGATGTACGTCTGCCCTCAAACGCAAGTCTTGAGCCAGGCAACCTGGACCTCTTCAACTGTCGCATAGGGCTTGCGCTTGTTCAGGGGCAGGTGTATAAACAATTGTACTCGGTACAAGCTGGACGACAAACGGCGGCACAGAGAGCGATTGCGGCACAAGAGTTGAGTTCTTTATTATCGTACTGGAAGTTTAGCGCGCAGCTGGAACTACCAGAGGACTCCACGATATCTTCAGGGCTCCAACTATCAGGCGAGATGATCCACAAGGTGGTTCTGCGACTCACGTATATTCATTGCCTCACAATGATTGATCGCCATTTGCGCCCAATGCCGCAATCTTCATCGAACCAAGAGCTCAGCCGGTCTGAAAAATTATCGCCCCCAGGCAGTCTATGCATCGCTGAGTCACGCAAAGCGATCCGTCTCGTTGAAGCCATCCCTCAAGGAGACTGCTCCTGTGTCTGGTAAATGAACTCCAAAAAGCAAAACGTTACTGAATTCTTTGTCTGACTCACTCTAGGATGCTTCTTCACGCTTTCTTTGCTGCAGCCAGCAGTATGCTCTATAATTTAACACAAAATCCTATGTCGCCAAACGCAATTTCAGATCTCGATCTCGTCGAGCCATTTCTACGCCTGTTGGAGACACTTGCCAGGGATCCAAGCACACTCTCACGGTCCGAGGAACTGGTGCGAATGCGTCGCACTTGCAACAGCTTAAACCTCGAAGCAAAAGAGGCTGTTCAGCTTTTCAGTTTAAGGTCTCCGGCCACCTTGACATGATCATTTAAGCATGAACAGCTTTTGATGAAACTTTATTAATAACCTATCTCACCTACAGCAGCAGCCCCTGCGACGCAGTGGCCAAGCGTCTGGTGGGCTTTATGTGTGCTCATCGCCTAAAGCCGTCGGTTTGAACCCGACCAGGGTCACTAACCTTCCCATGAGACACACAACCAATAAGCAAGCCTCGGCTTGTGAAGACACAACGGTTAGGCATTCTAGGCCCTCAGTAATAGCTATTGCAGTTGTAAAGAAACCGCTTTTCCTTCGTTGCGAGAAATGTAGCGAACAAGGGTTTACGCCTCTAGCTATTAATTGATAAGCATACATGTCTATCTAGCTAGGCCGGTCTCGAAGGACGTTCAATATGGTTGGGCGGGCGTTCATGCACCCCAGGCAATCACCAAGACCTGGGAAATCTTTTTGAGGTTCAACCTGTGCCCCTAAAAGAATAGAATAACACACGAGATCAGACAAGAGGCGCACAAGGCAAGAGTATTTATTCATCATCCGGTTATAACATGATCTGTCTTCATCTCCACCTACCCTCACAGCGGTGACTCACTTGTGTAAGGTAGAGACCACCTCCCCCCTTGCCACAGCCTATTTGGCTTCTTGGAGCTTCAGGAGCTTGTTCACACTCGGGCGCGCGAGCATGTTGTCAAGCCACTTCTTGACGTGCGGGTAGTTATCCTGGTTGAACTCCTCATTCGGAATTCGCGGCTCGGCTGTGTGCTGCCACGTAAAGAAGGCGATGTCCACGTAGGAGAGGCGGCCACCTACGAACCAAGAGTTGCCGTCCGCGTCGGGCTTCTGCTTTGCCAGGTGTCCCTCTAGTACTCCGGTTACGCGGTTAACCTCCTTAACGTAGCGCTCGCGTGCCTCGGGAAGTGGCTGATATATAATAAACCACATCGCTTGCCCATAATACGGTCCCTGGCCAGTGGTCTGGTAGAAGAGCCATTGACGAGCGTGGTACGCCTCAACCGTGCCCGGCACGAAGCTTAGCTTGTGGTCGATGTCGTATTTCTCTGTCAAATACTCGATAATAGCGCCCGACTCCCACAGCGTGAGGTCTGTGTTTGGGTCCTGGATAGACGGCAGCCGCCCGTTCGGGTTGATGGCGACATACTTGGGATTCTTGACGTCGGTAAGTGGGATCAATTCGGTTTCATATGGCAGCCCTAGCTCCTCACAGAGGAGAATAACTTTGCCAGCGTTGGGCCCGTGGATTCCTAATACTTTGATCGCCTCCATTTCCACCATTTAGATGAAGGTGTCTCGAGTTATCCGAAAAATTGATTGTAGGCTGGAGAGCTTGCGAATTAAATAAAATCTTGGCTAATGATGAAAGATCCAGTAGATGGTAGCGCGCAAAATGGAACTGGTATCACGGATTTCTGGTCTCCTTTAAATACATCACTTCCTTCTCCTTGCCTTAGGAGTCCTACCTGATTCAACACCAATCATGAAAGAGTAGCAAGCTGACAAATGTTGACAACAATACTACAACATTCCAACTCAACCCAATGCACCGAAGTAGCGAAGGGATAGAGAATATACAAGCTTACGCAACTACAAGGCAAGAAAGTCAGCCGGAGCGGAGGACCCGTAGACAGAACAATATTGATCTCAAAGCCCTCTTCTCACTTGATATGTAATCCACGATAGCATGCCCCGCTTCTAAATTTCCTTGCACGGTAGGAAGCGAAACGAGCAACTTCGTGTATTAAAGGCAATCGCAATATTGACGTATAAGTGAAAAATTAGTAATGGATGGAAGGATAGGAGTTTGGGGCAGCATGTAGATATCCCCGCTGCTCGAAGAACTGACTACTACATTAGTGTATATGTAATATTCGAGTTCGGACCTTCCGAAGGGTCCGGGTCCGGGTCACGGCGATAGCCCACTCATTACCCCAATAGGCATCTAGGCTCGGTCTGGCTCCGCGATGACTTCGATCATAAACAACACTAGCAGAAATCTCGCCGCCCCAGATCACCTTGACCAATTGGGCATTGCTAATAGCTGTGCCCTTCTTTGCCTTAATGAGAAAATATGGAAGCACACATAAAGTACATATGTAGATAAAGGCTCCCCGCCCTCTTGCTCGGCTGCACAAGCTCTGACTATGTTCCCTGCATCCTAAACCATGCCCGTAATATCTCCTGTCGTTCTTATTCTCGGTGCAGGGCCTAAAGTCGGCCTGCCAACTGCGAAGGCCTTTGCTTCGAAAGGCTACAAGGTTGCAGTCGCAGCCCGGTCACTGAACGAGGCAGACAGCATAGACAGTCAGCTTAACATCAAAAGCGACTTCGCCAACCCCGACGATGTTGTCAATGCCTTCGTAAAGGTTAAGAGGGAGCTGGGAATCCCAAGCGTAGTCATTTACAACGGTATGTATTATCATCAAGGACTCTAGCTGAATGTCTACTGAGCGTTCGTAGCCGGCGCCGCGACATTCTCTCCCCCAAACGACCCGTTTGCGATCCCGTTGGATGCCTTCAAGCGGGACATGACCGTCAACAACACTAGTGTTTTTGTCGCTGCCCAGCAAGCCGTCCTCGGCTTCGCAGAGCTCCCTGCCGATGCGCCAAGGGTATTCGCGTTTACGGGCAACATCCTAAACGTCAGGCCGCTCCCGCAGTTCCTAGAATCCGGCGCTGGCAAGTCGGCATCTGCGCACATGATGATGGCTGCTGCCGCTGAATACAAAGAGAAAGGATTCAAGTATGCCACCCACACCGTCCTTTCATGGCCCGAGTGGATGTTGGATGTGACTGACAGTTGCGTAGATTTTACTATGTTGACGAGCGAAAGGTAGATGGCTCTGCCGCTTTCAAGATCGATGGAGAGGCACATGCAAAGCTCTTCTGCGAGCTCGCTGAGGCCAAGACGCAGGGTCCTTGGTTGCAAACCTTCGTCAAGGGCGCGGGATATAAGGACTTCAGCCCCTATCGACTATAGTGTTGTCGCAGGCGCTACTCGATATACAGGATGTTAAGCTGACGCTTGTTATGCCTAAGGGCGCTCTGATCTAAGAGCAGGTATCAAAATCCCAAGTCAACAATGGCCACAGTCAGATCAATGCCTATCTGCCTTTTCAGGGGTCAAAATGGGCTTGATTGTAGGAACAAGCTTAGGTATTCTTAAGGCCTGTCTTAAATTATCGTCAATTTATAGTACCAGCCGCAATGCTGCGGCCATCTTCAAACAAGTCACTATTGCTCTTCATCATCAGGAGATGTACTATCCACGCTCTACATGGCTAGCATACTATATAATTTCGAGATGCTGTGGCTCGTTTCTAAGTTCCCCCTACACTCTGCTCTCTAAAAAGCACTCTCCAACAAGTCGAAACCGACTTGTCTCCTGCTGATTGGAACCATTGTTGATTTCTCGGAGTACGAGCTATATTCTGGCTCCGACACTTGCATAGATGTCGTCTCCAATATGAGTCTCCTCCGGACCTAGCCCAATGAATCCAGTGTTGGTCATGAAGAAGCGACGCGAGTGGCAACTTGCAAGACTCTCTGAACATAGATCCGATTGCTCGGCGGCATAAAACCCGCCACCCGATGGAAAGGGATATCTCTCAAAGACAGTGTACCGTTGCCTGATGGGCCCCCGTTCGCTCTTTCAAGAAATGTTTGGCGAACAAGGGCTTCCCAGGCTGATTCCTGTTCGCTCTACTTTTAGTAGCTTACACGTGCTTAACGTCTTCACCTATAGGCCCCGTAGGCTTGGTTTTTACAAGTCTATCACAGAGAGCCACTCTTCAGATGATATCGACTTGACACGACAAGGCTTGCAAAGAAAGTTGACAGAGGCACGGATTGCGCTTAGTTTCACGCTTGAGCCACCTCGGTGCATGTTGTTTTATTTTCAAGTCGACAAACCCTCTGGACAACAACGTGCACAGCCAACCGGACACGCCATGCGCGCGCATATTTTGGATAACAGCAGGTGAGCTCGGGCTCATTGTCGACCTGATCCGCATTCCGAAGTCACCAAACTTCATAATCGTGTCAACAGCAAGGTCAACACTATTGTTTACAAGAGCAACGCCTACGCCCTTGGACGCTCCAGTCTTCATCGAGGCTGAGGCTTCTATGGACACTTTTGAGGATACTTGGTAAGTTCAAACATTCTTAATGCTAACAAGTTTCGTTTGCTATTTACCGTTCTCTAGTGTCTTCATTGCTATCCACTCAATCAGGTTTTATAGGGGAAATTTTAGCTGTAGATTGCTGTTTGCTGCTGGGCAAAGGCAACAGCGCCTTTACCACGGACCTTCTTTAGAGTATCATGATGATAGAAATGAACCTCACCATCGTGTCTATAGAAAAAGAGAGCATTAGCTGAGCTCGAAAAGGCAGAGAAAGTCGGTGGAATAACCAAGAAAATGTCACGGTGTTCTTATTATTGGTGGTATGCTGCGTGAGGTCGTGCCAAGACGTCGACCCAACACCAGTCACCAGTTGCCAGACCACATCTAGCTTGCAGCTGGCATCTACAACCAACATCTATTGACGTCCACTGCATTGGCTATATTTGGGTAGCTGTGTCGGGTCTGCGAGTGATTTTTCAGTCCTCAACGAGCCTCTTGCAATCTCCTACTCCTCTCTCAACGTCCATCACAGTGACGCCCATTTGCCAGCCGTCACAATACCGCAGTGCAACAACTTCATCATGCAAGACGCCCCAACCGACTTTGTGGAGCCACCCGCCCTGATTGATTTCATGGCCCAGCTGCAATGGTTTTCTGAAAGCGATCGGAAGTCGATTGATGCAGCAATTCGACAGAAAGACTTCGATGGTCTGGAGGGCTCCGCTCACAACAAGATATCTTTCATCAACGAGGGATTTTCTCGCGCTGGGAGGCGTGCTAAGGCGTTCAAGCCCATTCTGCAGAATCTTTGGTACCTCTACTACCAAGTGGCCAAAAATGTTCCCTGTTCAAGTCCCGAACAAGATAAATGGGTTCTGCATATTCTTCAGGTTCAAGGGCAAGGGAATTTGACACGCCAAGCACAGAGCAGCCATAATGTTGACGACGGCGATAGCAGCATCAACAAGCTTGAGACTGCCACAACATCCGCTGGCATTATTTGGGAGGACCTGCCCTTCTTCACTGCGGACATGACGGACTTCTGGGTGAAGGATTGTGCAACTATGAGTGCTATCCAACGCGTTAATTTCTCCCACTTTCTTGCTAAGCTCGCGTCCACCGGGGTAGACGATAATCTATGCGGAATCGCCCTGTTGGTTTTTAATGACGCTTTTGAAACTGTTCGTTCACTGGGCAGCCTCGCCGATCAGAGTAACGAGAATCCCCACAGGGCTTTACATGACCTCACGATTGCCGCTTTACTTCCGGCCGCACAGGCTTGGCTGCATAGCGCGAGTTACAAAATCATCCAACTCTCAGACAAATTGTGGAACAACCTCGCTGCCGTCCGGCAGGACGAAACTACCTTCACCCAATCGGAGCTAGGTCGCAGATCATCAGCGGCATTTAGTCCCTGGCGATGGATGTATTGGTTGAAAAGACTAGAGGAGATCAAAGAAGAAGCAAAACGAGCGGGCGAAGACACTCTTGCTAAGAGTGTCTTGGATACTGTTGAAATGTATGTCAATTGGCTCTTATCACTACCAATTACATAGTCGGCGTAGCCTCTCTACTTATGCCTAGTAACCGGAATGACCCCTGTACGCCTAGGTACTGATACTTTCTATGTTGGTGCCCCTATTTTCAACAGATACCATGGAACGCATGTTGACCCAGGTTGAGAAAACAGACACGCGGGTTCAGAGAGAACTGGAGGCTGTGGGAAATTTGGTCAGAAATCAGCATCGCTTCAGCAGAAATGCATTCTTTGCAGGTGATATTGAGGACGAGATCCAATGGGAAGGCGACTTGGGTACTATAAGTCTAGAATAGAGTTATATTAAGAGAGATAATTTTAGGAGTACGGTTACTGATAAGGTATGTCGTAGCATAAGGTGTTATATTTTCTTATCTTGTGCGTTTCCCTATGCTTATTAAGTTGACAAGCTTTTTACTCCAGTTACCTCTTTTGAATTGGGGTGTCATACTGATTCTGCTATATTCCATGGTACGATCTAGAATAGGATCCACGATCAGAACACTTGTGCATCTACTGAGTACAGATGGTGCTACAGATGGAATGATATATGCATTAAGGAAGAGCGGCCGGGGATGGAATGCACGAAGGGCCCACGGTAGATTCGTCCATGTATCCCAGTTCTAGGCGATGCAGTCCTATAGCGTCAAACGGAGTTTTCAAGAAACCCGCAAGGCCGCTGTTGGTAGGCTTCGGTGGCAGGAACGTATCGATCCCTAGGCTTAATGAACTACATTCTTCACACAAACTCCCGCCGTTGGATAGGCCGGGGAAATTTGGTTATCTAGACAGGCAGGATTCGAGGAGGCTGACGTGACTCGTGAAGAGAATTGTTTTCATAAGTAGGGTATGCTTTCAAGACAGTTGAAAATGGTGCAACCGACAGGATGCCCACCCTGTCATGAGGCTGGCGAATGAGCATCGTCTCATGGTATCATTGAAGCCTAAGCGGGCCCAACCTCTATGCAGCCTCTTTGCTTTCACGGGCTGCAGTTTCGCATCTTCAGGCATCTCTATCCTCTGGCTAAAACTTTCCGGATAACCGTCGATGGAAATGCAGGAGGAGCAATTCAAGGTTCACAATCGCAGTATCACGGATAACAACTTTGGCGACCATGTGATCATCAACCAAGGCGATGTACATCATCATCACGTTCCGGCGCCCCCTCAACCCTGGAAGCCGATCCGGCTCATCCCATATCTCCGGAACAAAGAGCTCGTGAATCGACCGGATCTTGTCGATAAACTGAATGGCCTCTTACCTCAAGATTCCGAGTCCTTCAATGACGCCGCCCTTTGGGGGTTGGGCGGCTCTGGGTAAATGACATTGAATAATCACCGTAAATCGAGCAAAAGCTGATCCAATACCGCTGAAGAAAAACCCAGATTGCACTCGAGTACGCCTACCGCCGGTGTGAAAACCCACAGTGTTCGGTGTTCTGGGTGCACGCAGATACGAAAGCTGCATTTACACACGACTACAAGAATATTGCAGAACTGTTTGGATTGGAAGGAATCCTCGACGGTCCTGAGTTGGAGCTGCTTAGAGCTGTTAACAACCGTATCCAATCCGAACCCCGGTGGCTGCTTGTTCTTGATAATGCTGACAATCTCTCATTATTTGGCGTTGGGGAAGCTCAAGAGACATCAGGTAACCTTTTCGATTTCGTTCCAAAGGGAACCGCGGTAGGATCCGTGGGAACTGTTCTATGGACGAGCCGCGACGGACAGATTGCTGGCTCACTGGTGCGCCCATCGCACCGGGCAATCAAAGTTTCGCATATGACCTCTATTGAAGCGAGAGAGCTTCTTACCATATCACGAGGCAAAGATTCTGACGACGACGCTGGTAATGATGACAATGATGAAGACAGAGACATTGATCAACTTCTTGAAGAGCTTCAGTGGCTTCCCCTCGCAATCTCACAAGCCGGAGCTTACATGAGAAGGGCTGAGACGACCGTTCGAGAATATTTGGCAATGCTCTCCAACAACGAGGAAAGATGGCCACTCCTTAAGGAGGAACAGTTTGACCTCCATCGAAAGCGCGATGTCCCTAATAGTATTCTCAAGACCTGGAGCATCTCAGTTGCTCGCATCGAGCAGGAGAATATGCTGGCTTCGGAGATGCTTCGTGTCATGGCATACTTTGACAATCGAGATATCCCTCATGGTATGATCGACGACGCCGCTCGATCCATCAGCACGACTAAATTGTCTAACATGGATGTAAAAAGAGCCATCATCCGACTCAAGGAGTTTTCCTTCATCAGTCTTCGTAAAGGAGAAAATGGCAGCCAGAGCTACGAGATGCACAAACTTGTACAGGAAGCAACTCGGTACGCTGTTTCTACGATTAAGCCGATGGAACAGGGTGTCAACTCGAAATGGGACACGACCTACTTTGCTAGAATCGCCGTTCAGGTTGTTGACAATTTATTTCCGAATCCATCAGAAGAAAAGGATGGAGAGGGGGACAAGTTTCTGGATATGCTGACACCCGGCGAAAAATACTTTGCCCATGCAATTCAAGTTGCAGACTGGGTAGAGATATCTAATCAAGAGAACACGGTGTGCGCCCTTCTCTGTCGAGTTTCAGCTTATCTACGTTCTCGTCAGAGATGGAAAGAAAAGGAGTCGGTGGATGGTCGAATCTTGGCCCTTCATTTGCATCTCTTCGGCCCCAATCATCTTGATACGATACTCTGCGAACAATCCATCGCGGAAAACTACGACAAACAACATCGCTACCAAGAAGCTGCAGAAGTTGCGGTAAGAGTCTTTAAGAACCTCAGAACCTCTGTTGGGGAGGAAGACTTTTTCACTCTTCGGGCATTGCACCACGTAGCCGATATTATGTGCAAAGTCTTTCAGTTTGAGCAGGCTGAAAAGCTCCAGACACATGCGATAAATCTTCTAGAGAAGGTTGCAGACGAGCGTGTCGCGGAGCTTATGGCTGAGAGTTTGCACTGTCTTGCACGCGCATACTACGGCCAAAAAAAGTTTGACAAGGTTAGGGATGTCTGCATTAAATCCTTAACCCACTGTCGAGATAACCTTGAGGGAGCCCGCTGTCACTGGTACATCACGGTGGCGGAACGTGCACTTGTGTTCAGGGGCCAAACTCAGGCGGTACAAGGGAACGTCCAATTTGAAGCAGCTGCCCTCATCCAGGACCTAGTGTCAGAAATTTGCAAGGGAATTGAGAGACAGGCGCATCTTGATGAGGTGTCTCGTATTGAGTTGCAGGTACTGGTAACCGCTGCCATGGGGAAGTATCTCGACGTTGTGGGCTTACAAATGAAGGTCTTGGAGAGCCGTAGCCAGACTGGCAGGCTATTCCCGACTGATGTAATGGAGTGGGTGAACAGCATTCCTGACAAGCGTCTCGTAGTCGCGAGTATGCAAGTCAAGGTGGTGGAACACTATTGGAGGACCCTTGGTGAGAACCACTACAAGACAATCACAAAAATGCAGTATCTCGCCAATCTACTTCACGACTTGGGTCGGTACAGCGAGGCCGAAACATTACAAGTCAAGGTCGTTAAGTTCTTCCAAGATGCAATTGGAGAGGAGCATCCTTACACGCTTGACAGTATGATATTGCTCGCAGCGATATACTGGAGCCAGGAGCGCAGCGATGAGTCGCAGGATATAAAAAATAAAGTGCTGTCCCTCTATTCAAAGATTTTAGGTAGGCCGTTTTCGTTGAATTTCAGCTCTTCTAATAATCTACCTACACTGTTCCACTCTGGTGGACATGGCGAGTACGGGGCTATGCAAACGAACGTCTTCGCGAGTTTATCGAACCTGAGATCTCTTTCTTCAAGCCCTCCAGCGGTCGCAGCCGCCAGCATCGATCGTCAGCAACTGGCTGGCCAGCCAGCAGCCGAGTCGACAACAACTAGTGAATACAGGCTGTTTTTTGTATTCTCTTTCCTTCTTCCTTTTACCGCCCTTATTCTCTACTACTGGATTAATTTCTGAAGTGCAAGGATTTCGTGGTTGAATGTATCGGGGTTGTTGTTGAGATATGTATATCTGCGTATCAGAATGTCTTTCCGCTATTCTTGAATGGACGACGAAGATCAGGCTGCAAGCTCCATATTGGCTGCCACTGCAGAATGGAGCAAAGTCCATGAGCTGGGGATTTTAAATGTATAAATAATGTTTATGCTGTAACTGTTACTCTGTTCTTTACAGATATAATCCCTGCTACTACGATTAACGTTATACCCTTAACTATAATGCAGATTCTTGATGCTACTATAACAAAGACGACTGATATAACTAACACCCTGATAGATGACAAGAGTATTACTCAGACGTATGTTATTACGGCTACTGACTATACGACGGCTACTTTAATGGCGGTAATAGCTAATGCTCTTACTATTATTAAAAATAACTACATAAGTAGCTGTTTAGCCTGTCCAGAGGCATAAAGTACATAGTTACATATTACTACAGTGGAATTAGTACCTTAATGCATACTCCTGTTGACTTTCACGCCTCCCAGAGCAACCCAAGACAACTATTGCACCCGCTCCGATAGCGATGAGGGTATTTTAATAGAAAACGCTGATAGTACAAAAGTCCCCTATTTCACAAGCTTTAGCAACCGGTTATATAACTGCTCGAGTTGCTCACCACACCACACATTGTGCCAAAGTACTCTCCTTAGCTGGCTGTCTAGTCCGGCATAAGGGTCACAGTCCGGATGATTAGTACGCCAGGCTTGTATTCTTTCAACAAACCAGCCGCTATCGGCATCTTGTGACGATCCTCCGAATCCTACGAAAAGAATCCAGAGCAGCCAGACATGACCATTCTCTACATCTTCCCAATCACCAGTAGCCTCCTCATCGATAGCAGTCATCAGTCGTTGAACGAGTGTAATGACGAGTTTTGATCGCGTGGGGATATGTCTGATGACAAGATACAGATACAGGTGCATGGCAAGACTTAGTAACATAACACGTTTCGCGAAAGTAGCAGACTCCAGGTTAGCTCTGCACGAGTGTAGTTGGTACTCCATGTTGTAGAGGTCCTGGCTGGTGTTGAGATGCCGCAGGTCAAAATTCGGTGTGGTATTCATCGACAATGTCACATTCCGAAGGAATTTGATAACGGGAATAATGCCCGAATCGGGACCGAATGTATCTGCGGGGACGAGAAAGGCGTCCTCGCTGTGAGGGGGGTTTTGAATATGCATCGTCACCGATCGCGGAGTAAACCTAGGTGGACAGTTCCACATAGTAGCGTAACACAAATCGGACCTGGTGCGATGGTGAGACTTTGGTTTAGCAAAGCGCACTTGAAACAATGATACGCACCACAAGGCGGCTTTGCCGTTGCGGCATGTCAAATTTAGAATACCACCGCGATTCTTGATCATTATTTGCAAGCCGTCCATGTGCACCGTTGCGCTTGCGAAATTTCCTTCAAGAGTCTAAAATCAAGGGGAGTTAGCCTCGATACTGACAATGCGTCGCTGGTCAGTACCTCTTTCGTGGCCATTAGGGCCACTGCAGCAATAGTCATGTCGGTGTAAGATCCCGCTTCAAGGTCAACATTAATAGCTCGGAAGGCTTCAATGGAGTGAAATAATGACCCCAATTGATCTTTTGGACTATGATCGAGGTTATAAACCAACGAGACGACGTATAATATGGAGTGAAATAACGCTAGGCTCCCTCTCGCATTGGTCAGGCATTCCCGTTCGCCTATATTGTATGCTACCAAGCTCATTGAGCAGCCGCGATAGTCTGTGTTAGTCAGCAGATATCCCAATATCACTTGACGTTAAAACATGTTCTATGCTTGTACTCACAATGGTGAATCAATCGCATACTCTCTGGGCCAAGCCTCAACATGAATGCATCGAACGGGTCATATGATACCCCTAATACTGTGAGAGGGCTATTCGTCGCTCTCAAACTGCGTGAATTTGGCAAGTTTATGACCGCTTTCCCCGATCGCGGCTTGATTTTGGTCCGATTGCCCGTTTTTCGGGCTGACGTGTTTAATCGGAAACGCCCTTTCAGGTCTGCCGGCTTAATTGCGTTGTTACTAGGCGGTCGTTTGTCATCGGGCCCAGATATCTGGAGGTCTCTTTTCCAAACATAGTCTCGCATCACTTGCGCTCTAACCGTCTTTGGGATTTGTCTTTTGTTATGACATCCTCCTATCGACGGCTCGCCCACAGTGACAAACATAAAGTGTTGTTTGCCTGGCCCTTGCGGCAAATGATCTGAGCCTTTCTCGGGAAGTGACATGTCTGGGGCAATTAGAAGGGCATTGATACACAGGTGACTACATGTACGACACTCACCATTATTGCAGCCTGCATCAGCAACTCTGTTTGTCTCCAGAGTGACAGGCAGCGCTGGGGACGCCCGCGTTGAAAAATTTGTAATCATAATGTCCACAGTGGTTCATGTAGGCAAGCCAATCCCTTGATTTCTTCAGCCCCTGTCACAAAGGCTCAATAGCATGGCATGACCAACTCGTTGTGCATGCGCAACTACTTGAGTCAGGAGCAAATAAGGATAATTTTGAAGTCAGTTGTCAATGCCGAGTTAAGTGGAACTGAAGACAACACTAGGCTTTGTCAGCTGTTGTATCAATATCATTGAAACAGGGGCCAGTCAGCATCATATTTATGCTCGCCCCACCTTACTGTTTACTGCTTTGGGTAATTTTTCACATTCCCCATTGAAGTGTTCCCCTTTGAGATCTACAGTTCCACCTGCATCGGTTGCTGCCGAGGTCAAATCTCCGATCTAAGACGACAACAGAAACTCAATGGACTGTGTCGATTTATAATACCAAGTAACGATGAGTAAACAAGACCAAATTCGCGTTTGTTATAGTCAACTATTTAAAGTTGCGTCATGTCCCGAACGTTGATCCAGCTCAACAGATTCACACGCACCGCCTATCCAAACCACTTCTCTATAACAACTTCTAAATCAAATTTTCAGAATGGCTCTCCCTGCTACGCAAAAAGCGGTCATTGTTCAGAGCCTGGGGGTCAGCAAGCTGGTTACTGACCGACCTATCCCCAAGCTCCGCGACGACTACATCCTTGTGAAAACAGTCGCCGTTGGCTTGAACCCCACCGACTGGAAGCATGTCGATTTCCTGGTGAAGGAGGGAGGCCCATTGATTGGCTGTGATTACGCCGGAATTGTTGAAGCCGTTGGGCCAGCGGTGACCAAGTCATTCAAGAAGGGAGACCGTGTCTGTGGAGTGGCGCACGGCTCAAATGTTGTCCAGCCAGAGGACGGCACCTTTGCAGAATACATTGTTGCAAAGGGCGATTTGCAAATTAAAATTCCCGACAACATGACTTTTGAGGAGGCTGCTACCCTCGGCGTCAGCGTTTCAACTGTTGGCCAGAGCTTGTACCAGTTTCTTGATCTCGCGCTCCCCACGGCGCCCTCAACTGATGCTACTCCAATTCTCATCTACGGAGGCAGCACTGCGACCGGTATTCTCGGTATTCAATACGCCAAATTGTCGGGCTACAAGGTCCTCACCACATGTTCCCCCCACAACAACGACCTAGTCAAGTCGCTGGGCGCCGATGCTGTCTTCAACTACAATGACCCTGACTGCGCCGCCAAGATCCGAGAGTACACAAATAACAGCCTGACCATCGCATGGGACACCATTTCGCTCCCTGATTCTGCCAAAATTTGCGAGGAGGCACTATCGTCATCTCCCTCGCCTGAAACTACTCTAAAATACCACTCGCTCCTGCAGGTAAAGATTTCTCGAACTGACGTCAAGGCAACTTACTCTCTGGCATACACCGCAATTGGAGAGGCTTTTACTCTTGGTGGTCAGCCCATGCCCGCCAAGGAAGAGGACTTTCACTACGCCGTGAAATTTTGGGATCTGTCGCGGGAACTCTTCAATGCTGGGAAACTGAAGGCGTCGCCGATTCAGGTCGGCCAAGGGCTTGAAGGAATCCCGGATGGCCTGCAAGCCTTAAAGGCGAACAAGGTCAGTGGTAAGAAGTTGGTTTACAGATTGTAGAGGTCGATTGATAGCAGCGTTGGTTAGAAGTATGAAATAGCAATGTGTCCGCTGAATATACGAGACATCTCACACATAGCGTCTGAATTCTGGAGTTGCATGGGCATTCGTGCATGCCGCTTCATGTCATCGTCGAAGCAAGTTTGATCAATGTTAAATCGGGATCCTCAATCGTCAAGCCAAACGACTCTGTTGAGCCATGCTTGGCATAGATTGCATCTTAGGCATCACAAAATCTAGTACAGACGAATTCACCACCAGTTCCATCATAACGTCTGCGAAGTTTGCGGTCGATGCCGAACCCATTGAGCTGGCAGAGTCGTTCTGTCCAAACCCCCCGCCTCGCCTCCAAACTCGGCCACTAAAAAAAGTTGTGGTAATTACTCGCGGCCGTCGTTAGTATAACCGTAAGCATGCAGAACGACGAATAGAATGCCAATAGTTTCGGGGGCTGCCAATTGAACTACCTCGCAGAAAGTCGTCGTAAAAACGACTTACCGACTATGGGTTTGGTGTCCTTCGAGATGCGTCCATCCCCAACGGTCGTTCTGTTGTCTTAAGTTCAGGCTTGTATGCGTAAGGCATGACCTGTGCATTAAGCTCAAATCCCAAACCGCTCCCAGGATGTCCCACGGCGCCACGACGGTGCTTCCCAAAGTACCAAAGAACCCAGATAGTTAAAACCAGAAGTGGAATTCCCAGTCCAAGCCCTGGTATGCCGCCAAACAATGTTTCATTTGGCTCATTTAAATAATCTCACACGACTCCTTCTTGCAGTCAGCTCCATTGGCCGTGACAATACCGAATGCTTGGAATGCTTATGGGAGAGTCAAATTGATCTCGAGTATGGCCAACACAATTCTCTGCACATTAAGGAGCCCAATTAAAGCTCAGGTCACTACATATTCCTACCTATGTCCAGCTTCTCATGCAGTATAAGAGACTGAAACTGCTACCGCCTAGGCTTATGAGTTCCATTGTAGCCGATCTACCAAGCCAAGTTCTCGATAACAATGTTGGCATCTCGTCGCTATGCTCTATTTCCGGGATCGAAGAGTTAGAGATGCTATATTTCGATTGGAAAACACTAGGATACCATGATACTCTGCAGTGGCTGAAGGATGCGCAAAAGGGTGGCGGGAACAGGCGGAGCGACGGGTTTCCCGAAATAGACGCCCGCAAAACCTTGGACACTCACTTTCGATGTGGACAAGTATTTTGCCAAACCGTCTCTGTACCGGCACAACAATTTTGTCAAAGCCACAGCCGATAATTGCGAAACTGTGCAGCCTTGTCCTTCCTCTAAGACTTATCACGATGCATCCTCGCCTTAACGCGTTTCCTCTGTCCCTGTACCATAGGACAAAGGTCGTCAAGCTATCGTCATTGTTCCCTTATTATATAAGTAGAGGCTTTATTGCTATAGGATCTATATAAAAGTTTGAATAGTACAATAATTTGGGCTAAGAACATATCTACGATGCAGTACAACATAGCAACGTCATAAACATGAAATAGCATGGTATGTGTTGATCTGTAGAGATAAACCAGGTGCGTATAAAGACGCATTAAAAAAAGGATCCAGGTCTTACAATTATCATAATTACAAATATAGGCATAAATGTCAAAAACTTGAAGATCCTACCGCTTATATAAAGTCTTATACGTCTTCCACTATACTAACTTATAAGAAAGTTACTGCAAAAAAGTCGAAGCCAAAACATGGTCGTATGTAGGGTAGACAGTTACTATCGTGCTTGAGCACACTAAGGACACTAATTCACATCAGAAATAAGATACATGTACACAGCAGTCTTCTATTAACTTGATGTTGATGCTGCTAAACTTGCACTTTAATCCGGGGGGGGCAAGTCCAGGGATGCAGGAAAGATTGCGATGTGGCACAACGTCATTTTAATCGAGCAGCATTCTGCTAATTTTGGAAGTAGCAGTGTTGCCTGGCTGTTGTTAAAATATGTATTGTCAGTGTAGTAGGGGTAATTTTAGTTTACAAGGCTCGTGGTGCCCAAAAGTTGCTAGATTTTAGCTTTAGAAATGGGCCGGGGTAGAGCTCCAGCCAGTACCCATGATATATGCAATGGTTTGGATTGGAATTTAACTCAATACCTTGGGTATGGACGCCCAATATCTAATACTATTCGATATTTGACCCCTGCTCTAGGGTTAGTGGCTGATGGTAGCATGGGTAACTCCATCAGTGGTGGGGTTAAACGCTGACGCACTTCTACGGCCGCTCGCGGAAAACCCGTAACAGGCAGAACCTCACCTGATCAAGACTCTTGTGGATTAAGGAGGTTGGTAGATTCTTCCGTAGGGTTTCACGCATGAGAATCTTGTTGTCAAGGAAGAGGTACTCTCAATAGTCTCAAGTCAACCTGCTATCAATCCAAACCCCTCATATTGGTGTTTGAAACAGCTCATCGCTTCACCGACGAAATGGTCAATGACGATGAGCTTGAAAGAGCAGCAAAGCAACTCGCCAACTTTCGCACAGACAATACGCTTCCAGACATATTAGATCGGTACACCGCCTTGATAGCGGATTACAGGCGCCTGAAGAGCGATTACGAGGAGGAGCGGGACTCGAGGGAAAAGTACAAGCAGATTGCTAAAGGCCAGGAGCGCAATCCCTTTGTGCTCGTCTTGATTGATGGCGATGGCTACGTCTTCAACGGGAACCTAGTGAGCACCGGTGTCGAGGGGGGCCGTAGTGCAGCGCAACTACTCAACGAGGCCATCAAGACCAGTCTCCGGACCAAGGGCCTCGACCACTGTCAAATCATGGTACGCGTTTGGGCGAATCTTGCCGGCTTATCAAAGACGCTCCACAAAGCAGGTCTCGCTGGCCCTGAGAAGCGCTCCCTTTCTCCCTTTGTCGCTAGCTTCAATAGGTCGTACGGCCTCTTTGACTTCGCTGATGCTGGCGAGTGGAAAGAGAATGCAGACTTTAAGCTGCGCGCCATGCTCAACCTGTATGCAGAGAACACTCAGTGCAAACACATCTACTTTGCGGCTTGTCATGACGTTGGATACATTTCCGATCTGACGACGCATATCGGCAACAACGAGAGATTCACGCTCATTACCTCGCCTGGTATAAAATTTCACGATGAATATGTCAAACTGGGCTTGGGGATTGAGGAGTTTCCTGGGGTGTTCCACCCAACATCGCTAGGCGCAACATCCGTTTACCAGTCTCCTCGTTCCAGCTCTACCTCGACCAAAACTGCTGCCACGGTGACTCCATCAGCAACCCTAAGTTATTTCGACTATTCCGAGGCAGGTGAACGTAAGATTTGCCACTTTTATCGGATTGGAAAATGCAAATATGGAAATAATTGCAACAAATTGCATGTTGACGACGATACAAACATATACATGTAGAACGGCATCCACGCAAATGGCACCATTTGACATATGACATTTCACCAAATGGACTACGCCCCCCCGGGACCCGCAGACCATTTACTTTCAACAAATTTTTCCATAAAAATTGTCTGGTCCAAGCTGCCTAACTTTTCTTTATTACATCTCTGCCACAGTCAGCAGAAAATTCCTGCTTGTATTGTGGCGACGGAACACAAAGAAATACCATTGCTTGCCCGTCCTCGCGCTGTGGTTGACATTTAGAACGAATATTAGGAGTATTGGCAAATAAAAGTATTCTCGAGGTTGATGTCTGTAGATTCAATATGTATCTTTTGAGGAATACGTGCATCGAGAGCGGTGTAGTATATGTATTAAGCTCTACGCAACGTACAAGATTTACCACATAAACTGAACTACATTACCTACCTAGGTACTTAGCATGTTTCTAACACTATATAGGTTCGGGGCCAAAAGTTTGAAAACGCAAAGATTAGACATTGATACATGTATCAAGTAGAGAACGAGAATTTGACAAATGTAACTTCTCCCTCTCCATCCACAAAAGCAAGAATATCATCATTTGCAGCGTAGCAAGTTGGTCGATACCTAGGGGGAAGCCACAGGACCTTACGGCCCTGGAAACACACCCATTGCTCTTGGGAAAGTGTAATCTTCTTGGTTTCGGCATACCGACTGTAAAGGGCGTGAAATTTCAAATCGCTGATTGGCGGAAGGCTGGTTACAACACCGCCTCTGTAATCGTAATGGCCCTCGACTGCAAGGTTCGGATGCAGCTTGCCTGTGCTTAGGTCCCAAGGTTCGATTATGGGACCATACTCCATGTAGTTTTCACAATCCATAGCTCCTGTCCATTTTTCGCGTGCTAGGAGTTGACCATTTGTGGAGAAAGCCACAGATGTAAGTTGCCTTCGGCAGGTTTCAAGGGTCTGTACCAATAATCCCGTAGTCCAATCCCAAATGTCGACGGCAAACCTATAGGGCGTCGCTTCATCTTCTAAACGCGTGAAGAAACAGATGGATAGGAGTCGGCTGTCAGGTGAAAACGAAATTGACTCCACCCCATCTCCTTTGTATTCCAAGGTTCGTTGCGAAACCCAACATCCATCGCCTTCTCCAGCATGAACCCAGAAAGAGATTCCTACTCTATTACCAGTTACTAACTGTTGGCTGTCTGGTGTAAAAACAATCTTCTTATATGCTCCGCTCGCCTCACTAATCATGCAGATGGACCATTGGATGCCCGTTGTAATATCCCATATCTTAACGGAGCGGCCGAAATCAGAAAGATACGCCAGTAATTGGCAGTCTGTGGAGACAGCTATAAAACCGTTCCCACACATATAACCTCTACCAGGGTTATAATCTCCTAGGCTCTTCAACCGAGTTCCTTCAATAGGTTTCCAGACATCGACACGTTCACTATTGTCATAGAACTCGGGGAAGACGCAGCAGGTGGAGATGGCCATTTGACCATCCAAGAAGAATTCGATATCTTTTGTTAGCTGTGACGGAGTGAATTGCTCCAAACATTCCACAGTAAGATCCCAGAGCTCGATGGTTCTGCCGAAATTGGATGGCAGCATCTTACCATCCGAAGAGAAAGCAATAATCCTCGCTGGCTTGGAAATCTTTCTGTGTATTTGGCCTGTGGAGATATTCCAAATAATCATGCCTATAGAATGGCCGACTGCCAGGAGCTGGCTGTCTGGCGAAAATGCTACTGTATTTCCAACCAAACGATTTGTGAAATGATACTTGGTAGTGCCATTAATGACATCCCAAAGCTTTACCTCGGACCCGTTGTGGCTAGATGCTAACGTCTGGCCATCAGGTGAGAATGCCACGGAATCAACAATCTCCCGTTCATAATGGTCTTGCAACGTTTGTCGCAAGGTGCACGTGATAGTATCCCAAATTATTATATCAGCACCAGAGGCAGCAGCCAGCAGCAAACCATTCGCTGAGAAAGCTAGAGGCGAAGTCATTTCTGAAGGTTTGGAAGACGTATAGTTCCAAGTTCCCAAGGCGCGATCGAATATTACAATACTACTGTCGGTGCTCCGGGATGCCACCCATCTGCCATCGGGGGAAATAGCCGCAACCATGGAAAAAGTACTATATTTGTTCTTTATAGTTTGCTGTAAGACGCCTGTGGTAACATCCCAGAGTTTGATTGTGATATCCTGAGAGACAGATACCAAAACCTGACTATCTGATGTAAATGCCATGCATATAACTGGATTCGAATAACCTGTAAAGGTCTGTCGCAAGGTACCTGTTGCAAGATTCCAAACTTTTACAGTTTTGTCCTTAGCACTAGAAGTTAATAGGAGTCCATTCGGAGAAAAGGCGATAGATTCAAGCCTTCCTTCATGCCCTTCAAGTGTCTGTATTTGCTTGCCCCAAGAATTCTCGATATTCCCTGACACGGATATCCAATCTGGCTTTTCTTTGAAGAAAAGCTTTCTCAATATTGAACCGGTGGGAGAAAATACGAGGCCAGAAATGTAAAGCTGGCGAGGCGCAGAACCTATAATATAGCTAAATTTCAGGATGAACCGCCTGGCATCGTCAAGCAGTTCCGTCACATCGGAATTTCGACCATCCTAAAATAGTCAGAGAAGAGATATTAAGAGAGGTATGAAATAGCGTACCTCTGCAACTGATTGCAAACTTTTGATAGCGCTGATGACATCTGGTATAAAATCCAACCAGCTCATGGCTTCTATCCAATGAAGCAACCGTTTTTGAAGAAATAGCAATGCATCATTGATTAGGGTTGCTGGATTTTGGCTTCTTTCCAAATGGTATACCCAATAGCGACACGAATACTGCAATTCTGGTGGTATACACTGAGCAATAGTATCAGGATCTATCTCTCCTGGCTCAGTGTCATAATCTGAAAGCTGGCAAATGTTCTCTTTTAATCCCTCAAGCATCTGGTCAATGCATTGGATGGTGAGTTTTTTGTGTGTTTCCTTCTCATCTATCCAAAGTGCGGTCTTTTTACGAGTTCCATGATCGAGGAGAAAATCGCGAAATGATAGATGTAATAACCTTACCGGCGTAGTCTCGTCAATTGGGATGTTCAGGACTGAGTGTAATGAATTCAGCTTTGACTTGATTGTACGAGTTGGAATGCCAGTAAGCTTCGAGAGTGACAGCATTGATAAAGGGTTCTGAAGAAGAACAATCACACTAACCACCTTTCGGACTTCCTCAAAATGCTCCCGTCTCTTGTCTTCGCCATATTTGGAATACAGACGGTCTAAAATTGGAAGATATAAAGCATCCAGCTTAGATTCTTCAGCTTCATATTTGAAATGTCTTCTAGGCTCTGCTCAGGGTCCAGATCATAATCTTGAAACATGCGGCATATGGTAGCGGCAAAAATGAATAGCGGAACAGATAGAGTAATAAGCATCCGAATTTTAGCTCCTCCAGGCCAATCTTCAGCCAAGGACCTGTATTTTCGAATGACATCAAGCTTATGATGCATGAAAGGGAGATATCACGCTCAATGTCGGCCCTAGGGATACAATGAAGGACCAGATCTTGATAATCCCCCTCAATGTCTTCGAAGCCCAACCGAATGGGCAACTCGGGCCGACTGGTAATGAATACTCGAATTCGGATAAAGCCAGATGCTTGTACTTGTGGGAGAAGATGAATTATGGCCTGAATATCATTGTCACCCTCACATTCATCCAATGCGTCAATTACAATCACTATAAACGGAGTGTCGCTACTCGTTGAATGCAAGTCTGACAACGGTTGAAGGATAAGTTTCTCGAATTACACCGCAAGAGATTTATTCGATATGTCGGGATCTCCCTCAATAATCTTCCTTAAATTGATCTCTGGAATTCTTTGGTGCAGTTGCTTGGCAATAGTTGTGAAGAATTTAGCAGCATTTCCTCGGTCCGCTTCGCCTCTTTTAAAGAAAAAGGTAGCGCCAAGTACTTTTTTCTTTTCGAAATCCTTCGCCAAAGTTCGGCTAATCGTAGATTTCCCCGTCCCAGCCATGCCGCTTAACCAGAATATGCATTTTCCTCGTAATGAAGTTGCCCATTCCGTAACGCGATGGAGGATTTCAACCCTCGTGCCTGGTAGACATTCATCGGCATGCTGAGTTGCATACGAATCTAGCTCAGCTCCATGAGCAATTGATAATTTCGCTAAATCAAGCTTATAGCTGACTTTCTTTGTGGTGTGCGTCAGGGTGTCAAGTTGATTATGAATTCCTGCGAAGACCAGTGTTAGATTAGTTAACACTTAAATATTTAATCTAGAATCTAAAACTAACCGAGTAAAAGTTCGTTAGCATTTTTTCCTGCCATCACTTGCGCGTGGACAAGTCGGCGTAAAAGATCTTTTGCAAATGCCGCTGCCATCATTGCTGCGTACCCTTGCCATTCGTCGTTCTTGTGTGTATCGGAATAGTCATATATTCCTCGAATCACAAGGCAAGGGAATCGGTTCATCAGACCTGCGGCCTCCATCTCAAACATAAAATATCTCTTTTATTTGCAAGTTTATCGCGTAACACTGCATCTTTCATAAGCTGGTCTCCGGAAGCAATCAGCCCGTAATGTATAGCTGGGTCGTCTTCATCTTGCCCACGCGGACGCCGTAGTATTGCATTAGAAGAATCGTCACCACATGATTGACAATCTTCTGACGTAATCGAATGCATGAATGTTGATTTATACAATCGAACGTCAAATTTTGGGCGACAAAATTTGCTCCGCAACCTCGGTTTGCCCTGAAGAATTTTATCCACTTCGTCGACGAGAGTATGGCCGTCTAGCTGGTAGTCGGTCTTAAGAGCTTGCAGTGCTGTCCGCAAGACCACTGGCGGTTGGTTTAAGAAACCGGTCTCGACAAAGTCTCTTTCTTGTATTGTTTTACCGAAGCCGTACTGGTATACTCCCCCAATACCACCACCCAGTGTGCTTACAACAATATCTCCGAGTCGAATATCGTGCTTGTTGGTTGGGGCACCTCCCCCAATACCCACCATCAGGCCAATGCGGATATTGGGAAAGCTTCGTATCAAATTGATGGCAACATCTGCAGCGGAAGCTTTGCCGTATTCACCTAGGGGCAAGCAAGCGATAGCAACAAGGTGATTGCAAATTTTGCCTAATGCATAGGTATTTGAGTCATTTAGGTCGAGGTCTTGCGGGGGTCATATTTCTCGTCGAAGAAAGCTTGCGCAGCAACAAACTCTTCGGTGACAGCACATATCCAACCAACCGTGTATTTATTTCGATCTATTGCATGTCTTGCACATAAGATGTGTATAACTTTTAAAATTGTTACAATTGAACAGAAGTGAAGATCAAAAGAGAATCCAGCGGATATACATTGCAGCCCAACCACAGCTTGAAATATAATAATCACAGCCTGATGTGACCTTTAAGCAGAACGGAATAAATTAAGTCCAATGGCCAAATCAAAGCGCAAGAAATAATATACCTACCATTGCATTCCAGCATAGTCAATCCTAAAAACTAGTTCTATTGTTATTCACGAAATGTGAAAGTACTCCTATAACTCCCTTGGACGGTGCCATGCACATGCTCTCATTAGTAACAATAATTTCGCTTTCGCTGTAAGGAACGTTTTCAGACTACTGCGTTGAGAAAAGGAAGAACTGCGGTCGAAGCTCCTGCGAGTCCTCATGCATTAGTGGCTTCCTCCGATTAATGTAATATTGAAGCTTTGGGTCAGTGCCGCCACGATCGTGACAACATAAACGTTACAAGATAGGCTCACGCCAATCAAGACAGGTAGTAGGTACCGAGTATACCGGTCCTTAATCAATTGAAATGCCGATATTGCTCTGCAATTGAAAGAAGCAGCATCACTCAATGTGTCGTATTGGAGTCCACCGAAGTTAAGATGTTAGCTCTTCGTCTATGAATGGAGATGGAGATTGGCGACAGACATGTAAGAGTAGGTAAACAAATCCTATTTTGATTAATGAAACTAGTCGATCCTCATCGGTGCCATGTTGTTAGTAATTAAAGCATCAACGCCAATCACGAATAGTCTGATTGCTGAAGTTTTCGAGTCCTCAGAAGTTTGCATGAAGGCCTTCTCAATCAATAAACTTCGTTGGCACAACAATACAGTAATCTGGTTCTCCACTTATCTATTCCACAATAGCATCTCTTAGCATCCTCGAACTCTAGATGGATACCATTATCCAATCGTGAAGTATCATTGGTGAAAGATGTTTCCAAAATAAAGATTCTGAGGTCTGACTGCCGACTCTTTGGTCACACCACTTTCATGAATCGCATCTGCCTGAACTGTTCAAGTTCTCAAGATAAACAATTACATTGAAGAGGCAGAGAAGCGTATAACAGCCGATGTGTGCTAGAGTAGAGCTCTTGGTCTCGGGCTGACACATGTGGTATCGTTAAGCTTGCCGTTGATGATATCAAGGACCTGAATGGCAATCTGAGGCACTTTTCCCTCAGGTTCCCTCGAAGAGAAAGAAAGGTATCAACACTCTTCTCAAAGCCCGCCTAAAGCGGGCGACCCCTCATTCTCTTCGCTTAAACGACCTCATCGGGGGGGGAAGGTTCAGATTGATAGTGCACTTATAACATGCCGACTGATCCGTTGAAACTGTCCAAGACGGAGGGATATGCCGGCCAGTGGGCCACACTATGCAGACAGGACATTTAGCTTGCTGCAATCAAGTGCAAGGATTTATGATCTAGATAAGGAAGGAGACTACTAGATAGCCCTCAGGTATTTGCATTCAAGTAAAAACAACGATTCATCTCAACCTAAAGCAAGAGAAACGTTGGAAGACAAAGATGTTAGGAGGATAAACTCATTTTTCACATACAAAACCCCGACTTGTTTAATGGAAGGAAATATACCAAGAGATGATCATAGAAAAGTAACGAGTCTTATACCCTTTTGTAGATCTCTATAGAATATCGAACGTTGAGGTTAATAAAAAGCTGGTATACGAATACAAGCTACCCACACTTGGATCAAAGTCCCGTTTATCGCCAAGTACCCGAACGATGGGAACAAGAGATTTGGCCCCTTTCTTCGTTCCCCAAGCCCCCATGCAGCCAACCATGATGATGCACGTGGATCGGCCTTGGAGTGCAACGGGAAGGAGCCAGCTTCTCCTCAATATGGAAGACGGCTATTGTGCTTAGATTCATGCAAGTCGGAAGAGATGTATCGGGCTAAACTTGATTATGGGGTAGCATTGCACATGTTATCTCCGTGCCATTGTAACTAGAGCATCCTCCTTGGCATTACTTACCCCACTTTGTAATTGCGTTACTCAGCTCTACAGTGGCGTTAGCTCGTTGAAGTGCCCCGAGTTAAGCAACATTGAAACATGGAAAGATGAGCTTTGCTCTATTCAGTAAAGGAAAAATGAAATATCATCATTATATAAAGCCGTTTATACGGATAAAGCAAAGGTACTACTCAAAAAAGCAGCTGTAGAAATGCCCTTGAAGACAACTTGGAGTTGGTGTTGGCATTTTCTCTTATTAAAGAAGCAAAATAGGAAGCTACACTTCATTTACCTTTGCATTGCATTACAGCCTTACTTGATGAAGGTTAGAGATAGAACTGTCTAATTCCTGCGGAATTCCGGCAGTGGTTGAACTTGTTGCCGATTGCTTTAAAACAGCAAAAGAGCATGTCTTGATCTTGATGACTAGCCATATGGGTATATAACGGCTTTATGCCACATAGACAGGCCCGCAGCCTACAATACATATCCCGGCAGTAGACTGCAACAAAGGCGTGTAGAAGATGTAACAAATCTCTTATATAAGTTAAAGAATATATGCCAACCATGAAGCCCACTAGCTGTTTTTCTATATATTATAACACAGCGCTGAATTGCTAGCCAATTTGGGCACAAAATTAACTAAAAAAGCATGCATATTTATTCCAGCCCCCACTAACAAAGTTCGCCCATTCTCGAGCCTGTTGTCTCTGTTTTCATGTGATGCTTCAAGTACTGAGCACGTCATTAGCCACACTCTTATCGGAGATGTTCTCTATAATAGGCAGGTTGCAGGACAGAACACTCTCAAGTCTTGCGATAGTGGTCCTTTTTTCAAGAGCATTGTCTTCTTGATTCGATCCAGCAACTAATGGTGTGTAACTATGGGAAAGGCATCTTCAAGTTTACACAAAAGGCCTCTCGGTTCAAGGACAGATCGTACATTCCTATTTCGATTACCACCCCCGATTGCATCTTCGAGTCATTGTTTGGAGATATGAGAGAACCTGCGGATAAGTCGGTGCAGTGTATACTGATGAGATTGTAAATATATAAAGTCCCTCTTGAAACCTGTTTCACTCAGATCCGTCCACAAGCAACAGTTCATACAATACTTCATAATCTACTGACATCTCGATTGATAACATTCTCCGTATACATTGTATAGCCTTCATTGATCTCAGCTCACTGACTTCATCTGCAGCCATTCAGAATGAAGTCCCTCGCCTTTGTCGCAAACGTCCTTTTGGCGGTCAATGCTGCCTTGGCATCCCCTCTCGCCGCTCGCAAGCAGGCGGCTATGGATGCTATCCGTGCTAGGAATGCTGTCCGTCGTTCCAACAGATTTCTAGCCGGCTCCAATTCCAACAATGTCAATGGAACTGCCGATGTGGAATCCCACAACTGGGCAGGCGCCGCTCTTACAACATCAGGCGTTACTGAGGTCTCCGGTACCTTCACGGTCCCCAAGCCCAGCATCCCAGCTGGTGGCAGTTCTCGCACCGAGTATTGCGGTGCTGCATGGGTGGGAATTGATGGCTATTCTAATGCCGATCTCATCCAGACTGGCGTCCTCTGGTGCGTCGAAGGTGGCCAGTTCTTGTACGAGGCTTGGTATGAGTATCTCCCTGCCTCATTGGTCGCATACTCAGGGATTTCTGTAACTGCTGGGTCGGTTGTTACCGTTACTGCTACGAAAACTGGCACCAACAGTGGAGTCACGACATTGACAAGCGGTGGGAAGACTGTATCACATACGTTTTCCAGAGAAAGCTCAAGCTTGCCCGGTACAAGTGCTGAGTGGATTGTCGAGGACTTTACCTCTGGCAGTTCATTGGTTCCATTTGCCAACTTTGGATCTGTTACCTTCACCGGAGCAAGCGCTGTCGTTAACGGAGCAACTGTTACACCAGGTAGCGGGTCTGCGGTTATTATTGACTTGGAAGATGCAAGTGGAGATATCATCACATCAACATCAGTCTCTGGCAGCTCGTTGACTGTCAACTACGAATAAATTTTGGGGGCAGTTTAGCTGTTTTAAATCCTGGAGAAGGGTATAACGCACGTTGGTCAAAGAGAAAGATTTGAAGAGCATTAGTAGATATGCCTTTTCAGAACCAATAACATGAAGCTGCAAATTCGATCTTCAGATTACAGCTGTAGATTATGTGACCTATCTGTATCGTGGCCCGGGCGCTGGTTCATTATCTTTTGTCAACGGCATTATGTAACTCTGAACAAAGAACCAATGCCGGAAACGGAAATCTTTGAAGTCTAGGAAATGGTCAAAGCCGTACAATATCCACAAGTATTGATGGGGTAGAACCTAGCATTTCAGTGTGTTTGTTGGCTGAGGATACATATGTCAAAGGCCTAATCATTCTTTGACCACGGGAATGGCTCAGCAAGCACCACAAAGTTTGGCCGCTTTCATGCTTACTTGAAGTCCTCACTTTACTTACACGGCAGAGCTATGGGCTTGTAGCGGATGTTCCGGATAACATGGGCGTGCCCTTTTGCGTTTTGTTTATGAAAGCTCATGGCCAATCGGAGCAGCTCCTTATTAGTAGCTGTCAAGTTGGCGTTTCAATGTACCAAAGCTAACTAGAGAGGCGAGAAACAGCACAAGTAGAGCGAGAGCACTTCGGGCTTTTAAATTATCTCTCTCCCGTCCTCAAGTTATTGCCATCATATCCTACCCGCCTAAATATCCATACGTAAATATTGATGCTGCTGGTCGCACAGCCAATGCAGTGCACATGTGTCCTGTAGACGTGCTTGAGCCCATTCACGAATTAGGTTGCAGTATATTGCTTATGTAATACGATTATGCCGTGAGGCTGCGTTGGCCAGCCAATAACCACTAATATCAAGTGGGGAACAAGGCTCATAAAATTCTAGAGGATTCTGAAGACCTCTCTCTCTCTTCCTTTCTTCAAGCAGCCCGCCAATTCTCTCCTTCTCTGCTTCAAACCACCATTTCACCCTCGCGCTATAATCTTTGTCTTCTATCAACTCTAATCAATACGGTATGTTGAGTCCAAAGCTTCCCACACTGCTTCCCTCCATTGCGCAACCCCTACATGATGAGATACCAGCTGGCACCAGTCATAGAGTGATTTGTACTCCCTTTCAGTGATGACCAGAATGCTGTGGTCCAAGACCACTTCTGAACCCTTGTTTGCAAACTCAAAATTCTGCCTTGTTCTTCTGCTCGACCTGGATTTGACATTGAGGCTAACCACTGGATCGAGCAGGACCTACCCGCTGCGCGGACGACCGGTAAAATTTTTTTCTAATCTCTGAGCCTGCCTGTCAAAATGGTTCTGCACAACCCCAACAACTGGCACTGGGTGAACAAGGATGCGTCTGCCTGGGCAAAAGAATGGTTCGAGGAAAACTTGACCAAGCTTGAGGCCGAGAATGGAGACGTCAAGGCCAAGGTTACCAAGATCCAGAGCATGAGTGGTGACGTTGACGTCAGCCAACGCAAGGGGAAAGTCATCACCATCTTCGATGTTAAGCTAGTGTTGGAGTACTCTGGTATGGTAGACGTCAACGTTCATGATGAGAGCGTCTGGGGCTGACTCTCCCCCTAGGGTCCACTGCCGAGGTCGACGAGGTCTCAGGTAACATTACTGTCCCCGAAATTGCCCACGACACGGAAGAGGACGAGTACGTGGTATGTATAGGTGTCTCTAACCCTTCTTCTCTCTTCCCGCATTGCTAACAAACCGTAACCAGTTCGAGATTGACATCTTCTCAGAGTCAAAGGAGAAACAGCCCGTCAAGGATCTTGTGCGATCAAAGCTTGTTCCTCAGCTCCGGAAGGAGTTTCAGAAACTTGCCGATGCCTTGATCACTGAGCACGGAAAGGACATTCAGCATGCCCCCGGCTCCAACCCTTCCAGCGGCTTCTCTACCCCCCGAACCCTCCCCCAGGCCGCATCAAAGACTGCGGCTCAACCCACAACTTCCCAAACTAGCAGCTCCGGCGTCGTCAACACGGTAACAGTGCGTGACGACCAGGAATTCCGCACCACTGCTGAAGAGTTGTATCAGACCTTCGTTGACCCTCAACGGTTGGCCGCCTTCACCAGGGCCCCGCCAAAGGTGTTTGAGGGAGCAAATCCTGGAGGCAAGTTTGAGCTCTTTGACGGCAACGTCTCAGGAGAATATCTTGAGCTGGAAAAGCCCAAGAAGATTGTCCAGAGCTGGAGATTGAACCAGTGGCCGGCCGGTCACTACTCGAAGCTCAACATTGAGTTCGACCAGAACGATATCGACCACGTCACCGTCATGCGTGTCACTTGGGAGGGCGTTCCTGTTGGCCAAGAAGACGTGACCAAGCGTAACTGGGGCGAGTACTATGTGCGAAGCATCAAGCAGACCTTTGGGTAAGTTGCACATACAAGATGTCACAATCGTCCGGAGCGTTACTAACTGATGTGGAATTAGATTTGGTACCATTCTATAATCTCCACAACAAACCAATTGGAAATATAAACACTTTCTTTTATAATCAAAGCGCTCTAGATGAGGGTAGAGACAAGGGGTCGGCATCTCTACCATTGGTGGCGGATGGGTATATACTTTATTAGTCTTGACAGGTCTACGCAAGACCTAGATGCGTGTAGATACGACGAATATGAATGATGATACGAAGATGTCTTAAAGAAGAAAAAAAGAAGGAAAATAAAAATAAAATCCATTATTTCAACTTTATTTACGAACTGGTTTCTTTCCAATTCCACAGGTATATATTACAAGGGCATTCACTGCTCTCTATTGAGGATATCCAGACTTGGTAGATATACTTCTCCCTCGCGGCCGACGCTCAGCTGGGGGCTCCCCTGTCCCATCATCAACTGTATAATCGGAAAAGAAGACATCGCCAAGGTTATGCCAGAATCCCATATCATACAAGTTGTCGACGCTCTTCAGGTCCCATACATTTTCCCACTCGCCCTCACCTGGGTAATTCCTGTCGTTACCTGGCGGCTGAGCGTCTTGGGTGGCCAATATGATGTGCTCTGGCGACGAGGGCCACCGAGGACACAGTGGCTCCAAACGCAAGTCGCGCGGTCGATTGGGCGCCAAAGGACGTCGAAAAGCATAGCCATCTCTCATGTCCTCTTTGTAGTCTGTCCATTTCATGGATTCGTTGGTCGTGGTTCCGCAGTAGATGAGGAAGAGGGTATAAAGGAAGAGAGCCCAGATCAGAGGAGAGGTGAGGAGAGCAAGGAGAGTGGCAGCACCAACGCTGATGTCCCCCTGGATGCCCCAACCCCAAACAGCGAGATAGTCGCTGAATTCCAAATCCTTGGCTGGCCAGATGGTCCACATTGGGTAATCCTCCTTTATTTTCGATGTCATCAGGTAGAGACCTAGTATGCCGCCGTAGGTGGCCAAGACGCACGTCGATAAAAGGAGGAGAAGGAACCAGTGATGATTGCCGTAGCCCACACACGAGTTGATGAAGACGCAGTGATGATCGGCCCTGGCGATGCAGCGTTTACAAACATCGCAGTGCTTGGACCTTGCGGGCTTGAGAAACCGACAGGTGCGGCATTCGTTGCCGGGGTGGAAGAGGGTGTAGTCATATGGGTAGAGAGACATATGATACGCATGATTCTCGCGGGTGATGTATCCTGGATCTGCGGAGCAAGCGAGGTAGAGGAATACGTAGGGCATGATGACGGCGATGGAAGCGGTGAATTTTGTGAAGAGGCCGATCTTGGGCCAGATGTTAGGGAGATACATGTACTCGGACACCGTCATGATCAATAAAAAGAAGATCTAGAAGGTATGTGTAAGTCGTGGAGCACAAGAAGAGAAACATTGTAGCTACATACCACGATAGTTGGATGACGGTCATACATGAGGCGATTATAAATCCATGACAGCGATCCAGTCACCCTCCCGCCAGTGAGTCTCTGATCTATACTCACCACCAGGTTGGGAAAATGAATCCATAACAACCTGTGCAGCCAGGCGATGGGCGTTTTCCTATGTGTTTCTTGAGTTTAGTACAAAACCCCTCTTGTACTCGGATGAAGCTCCAACTCACCTTAAAGCAGGAAGTCTGCCGAAAAAGGTGATGAATACCATAAAAGATATGGCCAGAATTGCAATGAGAATCTTCTTTAGAGTGTCCATTGTGACAGACGGGTCGAGCTGACAGGAGAACGATGCATCTGGGGTTAGGTAGAGCGAGGGGCACTATTGTCGTATATATATGTACGATTCAAAACCTATCGCTGAGTGACCAAAATCTCTCTGATGTGCGGAAGGAAAGAAAAAAGAAAAAAGAAAAGAAACAAGAGAAATTTGATGTAAGAAAAGCTCCTATGCTGCAGCGCGCTCAAGAAAAGCAAAATGAAACAAACAGGCAAGAGTATTATTAGAAACGTGGCTGAGCTGGATGACTGGACAACAGCTGTCACCAGCTGCATCGCAAGCAAAAGAATGGTGTTTATTATCCTTATCGCGGGGCTTCTCTTTTCTGCCTAGACCCCCGATAATAGCCTGGGCTGCAGGTCAAAGGAATGAACTACATGCATCACGTGATCTCGCGACCTTCATCACGCGTCTCATGCGTTGGGTGAATGAGTCTGAGAGATAAAATATGAGCAAAAAAGCATAGAGAGGAGAGAAATGAGCGCGAGAGAGGGCGTGGGATTTATTTCTATCAAAAATCGACGCCGAATTCGAGTTCGCGCTGCGCTGTTGGGGGCGTCTTTCTGCCCTTTATCTCTGCTTTCCCTTTATTGATACGACGGAGCCGAGACTCCTTCACCCACTCACTTTGCGGTCAGTCAAAGCCTGCCAGCGCGACAACGCTCTTCATCTCAATCATCTCAATGAGCATGAATCTGTTGGACGCCTTGGAAAATCGTACAGCTGAGGAGCATCGCTATTGATTTTACGCTTAAAACCGCACGCGACAGTGGATTGCGCAACAGCTGTATGCAATGGCATCGCACGTTACGTATGATGGGGTTACAGGCGCAGCGACGGGTGGCAACATCTTCAAAGACATGAAGTTCTGGGTTTCCAGAAGGGTTCCTCAAAGAGACAGTATTCTCGACAAGATTCAGGTATGCTGGTAATTTTACAAGTCTCCTATTTTTTTAAATTTTTTTTTCTAACATATTTTCAGAGCAACTCGGGTGTTATCGTCGCTCTGGAGAAGGATGCCGACATGCTCATCGCAGACCACGCAAGAAAAGATGCGCCACTGGGGTCATTCTCTTGGAAGTTCATCACTGAGTCTGTAAACGCTGGCATTATCCAGGTCGAGGACAAATATCTCATAGGACCCCCGCCCAATCAACGTCGGTCGGTGCTCACAGGCGCACATGCGAAGAAAACTCGGACCCCTTTCTCAGAACAGGACGATGCCATTGTTGCTAAGTGGATTCTCAAACATGGGATCAATACGGCTGGGAATAAAATGTACATGGAGCTAGAAGACGAAGTATGTTTGCATCATTTGCCCCTCTGGTCCTATTACGGCTACAAGTTCATATCCTGACCATGTCTAGTACCCCCATCATCCTTGGCAGTCATGGAGGAACCGATGGGTCAAGGTCTTGTCATTAAGGTCTAACCAAGAGATAGATCGCCTAGCAAAATTGGCCGACGTGGATGTGGACAATGCACCAATTACTGCGAAACATATTATCAGGAAGCACACAAGAGAAGACTGGCCACAGGCGCCTAAGAACAACGCTGTTGCCAGTAGTAGCGCCGGAAATTCTCAAAACCACAACAGGCCGTCGCCCAGAGTATCCAGAAATGAACAAACTCAGTCCCGAGAGGCGGTATCGTCTGATCGCAACAGAAGAAACACCACAGATGACGCTGCCTCTGAGCCGGACGATAACAATGAAGAAGGGGATGCGACTATCTACCACGATGTGGCTGATGGAGAGAAGTCAGCCCCCGACAAAGAGACTGAGAACGAAGAAGAACAGGAAAATGAGCAAAAGGAAGATGCCAGAGCAGAGCCAGGGGGCGAACTAGGAGAAGAAAGAGACAGAAGTGCGGAACGAGACACTGAAAACGACGACACCCACGATGAAGTTAGTGCTGATGAAGGTCTATCTTCTTTCTCAGAGAGAGAGCAGTTCCTCAACGATCTTCAGGACTACTGTGAGGCAACTGACAGGGAGCTTGATACACGGTGTATTATTGGGAATAATGAAGTAGACCTGTGGGAATTGTTTTGTGCAGTTAGCGCGCAAGATCTACCACCAGATGAGCTGGACTGGAGACAAGTGGCAGAACAGGTGGGACTCGGGTGGGCGCGAGACAGCGAGGTCATCGTTGCCTTATTGAAATCGAGCTACGATCGTCATCTCGCAGACTTCGTAGAGGCCATGATGAGCTTTGAAGAGAACGAGGAGGATCCTGAGGAGGACATTGCTGAAGGCGAGGAAACTGTCATAAGAGATGGAGAAACTGCCGCGGAATCAAGGACACCACGGGCGTCACAGACAAGCGGCGTAGCATCTACATTATTAAGCAATAACGACAACGCAAAATCAGGGAAAAGGTTACCAGATGGGCAGCTTACGACGCCAACCAAATTGTCTAAGCGAAGGCGAACGGTGCATACTGAGATCCCAATGACCCCCGAAGACAAGCAAAGAACCGGAAGGCGCCTGTCTGCACCAGCATCAGCACCAGGTAACCTACAAAGCATCGCAGACGAAGACGAAGACCTGCCAGACATGGACGAACTGCTGCAAAGGACTTCATGGCGGAATCAACAACGGCAGCAATCGCCCGACGAGCCAGATATGACTCCCTCCCAACAACTACGAAGCGAGAGTAATTCGGTTGCGAGTCCCGAACCTATTGAGCCAGGGACTCCGACCCTCTATTATAGTCCGACAGCAGCAGCTTATCCCCACAGGAACGACAGACAACTTGAAACAATCCAAGAGGAAGACTCAACTACGTCTACCCCGACAAAGCCCAGGTCTAAGAAACGCGAGCTACCGGCCTCCTTTCAACAACCTCGAGAACCTCGATATATGCAGCTTGAAGAGAGGCGAGAAAAGAGGCGGCAACTGGAACAAGACCGACGACAACGGCAACATCAGCGACAGCAGCAACGACTGGAAGAGCATCAGCAGCAAGAGCTACGCCAGGAAGAAAGGCGGCGAGAAGAGCAACAAGAAGAAGAACAGCAGCAGAAAGAGCAGGAACAGGAGAAAGAGCAGGAACTACAGCGGCAGCGGTGGCATCAAGACGCAGCCGACTCGAGCGAAACCGACCCAGAAGTCGTCCAGCAGAGCCAGGAACAGTTCGTCTCCTGGAAGAAACACTACCTCGACCAGGGCTTCTCCGAGGAAATGATCATCGAAGCCATGCGCCGCACAACAATGACCCCCGGCGAAGCCATGGAGGCCGTCCTGACGAGCCTCAGGGACGGCCAGGGCATCCCCTCCAACCACGAGGGCATCTGGACGGACCGCGACGACGCCCAGCTGAAATACGTCGTCCGCGTCGGGGATCTGCGGCGCGCGTCCGGAGACAGCGGCGACACGCGGCGGCGCAAGGAGAAGGCGCAGAAGATGCTCGACCGGCTCCTGTTCAAACATGACGAGTTCAGGGTCAAGCTACGGAGGAAGTTCCATCGGGCGATCGCATTGGCGGAGAGGGATAGGCGGCAAAGAGACAGGCAGCAGAGGGAGAGGCAGGAATAATGATGATTTTGCATTTTGTTACGTTCGAAAGGATGCTCTGCGATTGCTATTTTCTTTTCTCTCTCTTTGGTCATCACAAGGAAAAGGGTAAAAGGGGATGCTGAATGGGAAATGGACTGGGTTTTCTTTTGTGAAAAGAATGTTTATCGGGAATGAAATGACCAAGTGCTCTCAACACGCCACCTTGGAATTATACAAAAGGCAAGGCAGGGCGAGGCAGAAGCATTTGTAGTATGAGCGTTTTACTTTATTTGTTGCTTTTTCCTTTCTGTCCCACGTATATACTTATATATATATACTTATATACTGAATATAGCAATTCCATCACCCCTAAACCCAACCGCTCGCCCATTTCACTCTCTACGCTGCAGAGTGTGCCCGTAATGCCATCCCTCGAGAGCGATATCAGCCCTAACCTTGTACACCTCCTCTGCAATGTCCAGGACCTTCATGTCGACGTCGACCACAGTCATCGCTTCCTCAACGCCCAGCTTGCCCAAAGCTCCCTGCAGCGGCATCGCCACTTGCGTCAGCCCAATGAACTCTGTGCCCTCTTCATCCTTGCCACTCGTTCCACTTCCCAAAGGTGCGCCTGTGTTGCAGAACACAAAGCCGCACGTGTTCTCAAATGCTCGGGCCACAGCCACGTTCTCCAGGAACAGCCGCTCGCATTCCGGGTTGACCTCAGCACCGATATCGCCTCCGTCGCTGTTGAGCCAAAAGGTAGGGCACACAACAAACTTGGCTCCGTCGGCAACCAGCGCACGGCACGCCTCAGGGAAGGCCAAGTCCCAGCAGATGATAAGCCCGACACGACCCCACGGAGTATCAAATGCCCTGTGCGGTGTCAATCCATCGGCAGTCAGGTGCTCTCTCTCGGGGTGCCACAAGTTCTTCTTCTGGTAACGACCCAGCACTGCGCCGTCTGGACCGATGAAGTATGCCGCATTCGCAATTCCTTCGCCTTCCGCCGCAGGGATGGGCTCGAGGATCGTACCCGGCGCAATGGCAATGCCGAGCTCCTTAGCAATGGCCTGATATTTTGCAAGGTATGGCACCTGCTCCTTGGCCGCGGCGAGGAGGATTTTGGTGTCGGGCTTCCATGAGGAGAGATGGTATTCGGGAAGAACGACCAGGTTCGCGCCCTGGGAGGCGGCTTTGCGGATGTATGACTCTGCACGAGCAAAGTTGCCAGCTACGTCGAGCGGCTAAAGTTGAAAGTCAGCCTTCATGATCGCTTCCTCAGAACTGAGAAGAACAGGGTAGAGGCAGCTGCAGCAGGGGTTGTTGGTGGCACACGGGAGAAGAATGCCAAGGCAGCCAGTTCAGGAATGCAAACTCACCTTGGAGTACAGCTGAACCAGCGCAATCTTCAAATTCGACGCCATTTTCCCAGAAATCAATATGCTACCACAAGTCAAAGTGCACCGTGAAAAGAACGAATTTAAATGCCAAGAGATGTTTTTCTAGCGAACCGCCCCGGCCGAGACAGAGTCAATTATAAATGCCAAACTCCATATGGGGTAAACCAGCTTGAAACCTGTCCCCGGAAGAGCGACCGAAAACCGGCGAAGAGATGACATAGACTGCGGAGAGGGCGCCGGATCTGTCCAATTGCACGGCCACGGCTGAACCCCGCGAATTCGGTCGCTAGTTGGACTCGACGTTTCTGTTATCAAATCCTCACCGAACCTCGAGTCAGGTTCACGGCTAATAGGCTACTCCATGCTACTATTCCCCATATTCCACATAATGCTAGTAGAAACTGTCGCTCAGAAGGCCACGAGGGCCACCATATGTATACGGAACAGATCGGAAGTCTGCTTAGCGGTCAGCTTTTAGAGCGATCTAAGCAGTGCTGCCCAGTGAGCCAAGACCACACACCCATAACTAATCTCGATACCTGCTGGCGTATCTCAAAACCCATAAAACTCCTGGTCGAATAAATTGGCGGTACCCATATCTATAGAATCTCCCGGAACCGATAGTAAAATGAAAACGCCAGCGCCAGAGTATAAATGTCCCAAACACCATATCCCATTGTCCCATGCTAACGTGGAAAACAACCCAACGGCTTCTCGTTGTTACCCTTGAACAGCCTCGTTGAGTTTAAATTGGTAAAGGTTGTTGCGTGCAAGATTAGTATTCGAATAAATATCCTCATCAAATGATGGTGTCGAGTTTGCTCCGGGGGGCACCTTGCCATAAGTCGTAAATACTGTGTGAATATCGTTTCCATATTGCTTGGCAAGGGATATCCCAAATCCAGCCATCTCTCCTATGTTTTGAGCCATTGTTAGTATTTCTCACCAATAGCGATAGATCTACTCGGCATCACTCACCTAAGCTGATGAGCACAATGTTTCTTGTTGCCGAAGGTGGCAGCCCATACGAGCCAACAACCAAAGACGTGAGTGGGCAAAACACATACGGCCACCAAGAGCCCCATCCAAAACCACTGTAAATAGAGCTTCGAAGGGTAACGGCTGAGGATGAAGCTGAATCCAGAATATCTATCAGATCCGAAGCTGTTTGCTGGGCAGAAACAAGCTGTTCCTGGTGGCCTTTGTGCTGAACCAGCAGGGAATCGGCTAAGCTCTCGAGCTTCTTCATGCCCTGTTAAGTGTGCATCAGCTATTTGTGCTTTGAACAGGAATCAATACAGCTAACATACCATTTCTATCCTCTCCTGCCTTAAGGCAACTGCTGCAGCCGCAGACTGCGAGATTTCCTAACCAAAGGTCAGGGGAGGAAATATGCCATGTGCAAAGGTAACTCACAATCTCTCGATGCAAAGATGTGGACGAGGCAATTGCTGCGGCAAGCGCTGCCAAAATGACATCAATTTCACTGGTGATTCGTCGTGTAGCCTCTTGTAAGGCAGACTCATGAAAAGTTGTCAAGTCATGACTCTGATTCTGCGTCACGTCGACCATCATAGATAAAAGTGCTTGTAACTGTCTTGCATCGTCGAGTCCATGAGCGACGAAGCTCGCTGATTGCTGCGAGCAGTGTTAGCACGAAGACTGAGAGTCATTGCTTGAGACATATATCCTTACTTGTACGTTTTGAACTATGTGATCCTTGAATAACGCATCTACTTCTGTGATGCTGCTTTTGAGATGATTCATCCGAGGCTTTAGATTCTCCACAGTGGCTCCAGCTTCTTCGAACATTCGATTCATTGATCGAAACCGTGCCTCCATCTCTTCTTCGAGCTGCGATGTCAACTTCGCAAGGATAGTGGTCAGTCTCTGATGGAGCCGGATGTTTTCATCTAAAGTCAGTTTAGCTGAGTCCCCTTTCTTGTGTAATGGGATAGCACAAGCTATGAACCTTTCTCGTTGTCCGCGCGAGCTGCTTCGCAAAATCGCAACGTCTTATGGCGATAGCTCACCCAAGTATTCCAAGCGGAATCCGACTGCGCCAGGCCCTCGAGGCAGCCATCAATCTCGGATGTTGTTACGTGTAATTGTGGTTTGGTCGGTGGAGACATACGGGCGAGGACTGACTCCTGAAACTTGGAGCAGGAGGAAGGGATAGTAAAGCTGCCCCTTTCCAAGTCGCATATAGCTAAACTTGCGGCATATGAATCAACAAAATCGCGAGCAGCCCTTCCACTATCAGTCAAAATTGTTGCATCATCTCTGCCGTCGAGTAGTTGACAGTTGTGAATCAACAGGCGGGCCGCAGTACGGTGGCACAAGGGCTCCGATTCCAGCTCCTGCAGCTCGTTGAGCGCAGTGGCATACATAGCAGGCAGTATTGAAGCGTCAAATCTAGAGGTGCTAGTAGAACGGCTCATAGACGGCGGCAAGTTGGCAGAATGGCTAAGCCCTAGGAACTGGTCAGCAACAGTTTGTATCTTGTGTGAAGGAGGAGTAGCGTGAATAAGATATAGAAGACTCACTGCCCGCCCCCCTACCTCCTCCCCATGAGAAGCCGAAAACACCATTGGAGAGCAGTAGAGTGATTTGAAAGCTCCAGAAAATGAGCGTCGGGACTGCTATCATCTTAAGGAGCCAAGAGTCGTGAGCTTCTAAGAGTTGCAGGGTATGAACGATCGAGAAGGATGCCTGTCCACAAAGCTTCTGTCTTTCATCCAGGCTCCGGTAACGTTTCTTGTCAAATCCCTAGCTTCGATGTAGTTGTAGTGTTTCAGTAAAATGCTGCGAAGGTGGTTGTAGCAGATAATTTTATGGCGGCAGAGAAGTGGTGCACGGATGGGCAGCTGTTGACTTGTTTTGTTTGCGCATGGGCTCGGGCGGCTATATTTCTCTCAACTGGTTCCGATTGCGTGTTTGGCATCTCTGATTTCTTGCGCAAAACATGGTGGAAACAAAGAGCTGGAGGGCAAACATGGAGAACTTTGGCAAAGGTGACTGACCGAGCTCGTGCCTGCAGGTTATCGGCGGTGCCAGTCGCACCTGCCGCAAGCAAGCGGGTGCACAACGGCCCGGCACCTCCTCCATATATATTTTTTCGAAGGGCTCCTTTTCACTGTTAAAATGATGCCATTCACGCCATTCACGGAATTAATAGCGCTTACAATCAATGAATTGTGCAGCAAAAACACAAACGCGATATCTGGCATTGCTACTAATCATCAAGCAACATCAGAACTCCTCTTGCCAAGGAATACAAACTCATGACCAACTGCGCTCTATCGCCTTTACATCACCGCTTGAAGCCGACTCAATATCTTCGCTTCTTCTATTCTAGGTTTGATGATTCCCTTGGGGCTTGTTACAGGCTCCAGAATGTGGACCGGCATGATTCGATCGTCTTTCTCGGGAACGGAAATGGCGCCCCCATCTGGGGCAACGATGTCAACCGCATGGATAATCATGGCGGCAAACATCAGAATCTCATTAGTGGCAAAGTCACGACCAGGGCATAGAGTCTTGCCACCACCAAAGCTCCGAAACGCTGCTGGATGAAAGCCATCACTCTTGCCTTTGTCCTTGAGAAATCTGCCAGGGTTAAACTCGTCAACGTCCGGGCCCCAGATGTTGCTCATAGCATGAATAGCTCCGCCGGATATCTGAACAACAGCGCCTTTTTTCAGGAAGTATCGGTCTGCCAGCATCGTGTCCTCTTTGATCATCCGAACAGAGAAATTCTCCGATCCGACTCGTAGAGACTCTCTGTAGACGGCAGATAGCGTTTTGCAGGTTTCTTTGACTACTCCAGTGCTCAGCGAATTCGGCCCAGAGCGCTGGTTACTAAGTTCAAGCGCTTGACGAATCTCTTGGCGCACTATGTCAAGCAGTTGTTGGTCTGCAAAGATTCTCAATATTACCCAGAAAGTTGTAGTCGTCGCGTTTACAATCCCTGCAAAAAGGAACGACAAAGCCGAGCGGGCTGTCATATCCGTACTCATGCCATATTCCTTCTCGATCCGCGCTCTACCCCTAACAATCAACGCCGCTGAATCTAGATGGCCGGCTTCTAAATACTTGCGGAACGCAGCCGTCAACTTCTCTCGGCCCTTGTATGCTTTGGGAACCGTGAGAGATGGCAAGATTCCAATAAGCAACCCACCAAGGCCGTGGTCGAATGCCCAGAAATCATGCTCCAAGGCAGGCTCCTCTGAGATAGGATTATTAGGTCCAAAAAGGAACTTTGCGGTGCCAACAGTAACCATACCACGAACCCAAGCCAAAAGATCAACAGACTCAGGGGCACGGGTCGTATCATCAGGGGGGGCAAGTGCTCGAGAGAGCTGGAAGCACAATTCTTGTGCGGCTTCACAGCTTAATGTATTCACATATTCACCCGGTCCAAAGGAAGAATAAACCCAGTCATGGATGTCGGCAAAAAATCCCCGTGGCTCCCCCGGTTCTGGATCCAGGTTTTGGCCAATTACGCGATACGTTGTCTCATCCAATCCGAGGACGCGCTTGGTTATATCCGGCAGCAGAGGAGACATTGACAATGTCTTGGTATTGCGCTGAACGCTGGCGGCCAATGACGGCTCCGTAACGACATATATACGAGACCCCGGGACGGGTAGAGTCAGAATCGGCTCATCAGAGTAAGACAGCCTAAGAGGCGTTAGTCCAACGTCGCACAATGTATCAGAATCGAGAGCCCATTCTAACCCAAGACGCTTGATATAGCGGCCGCCATGCACCGCCATGCCCAACAAGTGACCTATGAGAGGAATCCATGGCTGAACCACGGTTGGCTCGCTTGGATGCACCTTTTTTCCTGACGTATAGCGAAGAGCAAATGTCAAACTCAGCAAGCCAATTATGACTGTGGTTAAATTTAATGGCCAAGCCTCAATATCAAACAGCGCCATCACTCATACCAGCGCTGAGCCGACACTGTGATATATATCCTTCATGAGACGATATGACAATGGTGCCAGTTGCTTATGAGGCAGCAGCCCGGAGAGGAGCTCAAATAAATCGAAATAACAATGAGAATCTACAATCTCTCACAGAATATGAATATTTATGAATTTCACATATAAATCCTGTCTCAAACTCACAGTTGATGATGGATAGACGTCGCGGTCGAGATGCAAGGCGGGGTTTGATCCTGCAGGATCGTTACGGCTTTGGGACGTCTCGTCGAGCCCCAATTGGTCAATGGCGCATTCTTACTACAGAGTGGTCAGGCGGGACGCTTCCTAGCCAATGAATTTTTTTGGAGAGCTGACAGAGCTCACCTTTACCGTTGATCCCCCTGTAATCGACAGGTGTAGTGATGAGTGACCCGGGGAGATGGATGCTATTCCAGAAATGAGGCTCGGTCGGAGGTTTTGCTCAACCGTCGCTGGCCAACTGCCAAACTTCCGAGGCACCTTGGCGCGTGTTCCTCTCTCAACAAGCCAAGAGGCGGCGTCTGGGACACATGTCACGCCATGCTGTCAATATTTTCTCTATACGACGTATCCGCATTCAAGACGGGAATGACTGGTCACTGGGATAAGTGGGGTGGGATATTCGATTCGATGCCGCCTCAAAGTGGAGGTTGGGCGAAGCCCTGATAGTCATAGTCTCCGAGGCATGCTGGTAAACCCTGGCCTCACCGAATTGTCTCTCCACCTTCGCGCTTTGTCTCTTTTCTGACTCTTCTCTTTCTTATTCTCTCGCTGTTGCTCATCTTCGGGTGGCGTGCCCGGCGTTGACGGCTACCCTTGGCCCTAGAAAAGGCCAGATATCTCGGCATCGGGTGGGTAAAGCGCTGCTGTTGTTGGGAGAGCCTGCCGTTTAGGGACACCGGCTCTACCCGCGGGACCACTTGTATAAACCAGCCCAGGCCTATCAAAATATGAACAAGGCCGCCATCACGAGAGCATCTCTGCGGTAAACAAAGAAAGGATACCGAATCTCGTCGTTTCGGCGGACGAGGCTCATGTGAAACCGCGAAAACGCCAATTCCATGATTATTCCCGGTTCACCCCCTAGGGCCGCAGACGAGAAACAAAGCTCGATTTAGGGCCGAAGCTCAAGATCACTCCACCCCTGGAGAAATTCGGAGCTGAGGCCATACTGCTCCGCCCCGGGGGCACGGCCAGGTGCCGGGACGGAGGCGGGATCACGGAGAATTATGTGTGTGCAGGTGGACAAGATGTGGTCGTGCGGCCATGTCGGTTACTTCCAGATCCGGTGGTGTGACAAGTTGTTCAAGGGATGCAAAGGGACGTCAGCTGCCCACGACATCATCTACGTACCGCAAGAATGCAGCGACTGCGAACGCCGCAAAACGCTCCCCAAGCCTTTCACTTCCAAGTGAGCTTTACTCGGGATGATTAACGGCTCTAAGTGGTTTCTTTCTTGCAATCTCAGCTCTGGATTGAGACTCAATTTCAAAGATGGCCAAGTTATCACGACCATTGGACTACGCAGGTGACCCTCTGAGGTTCAGCTTGCAGATGGTGGGGAGGGAAAGGAAATCAGTTCAAAATGCCAGCTTGAGAAGATCTGGCAGCCAACGATTGGAAATATCGATGTGACAAACCAGCATTTTTGGAGCTGGGAGTGGCAAATGTCTTTGCTTTACGCAATCTGCTTCTCCAGCCTTTAGTTACTAAAGATGATAGATATTCCTGTTGCCAGGTTACGCAACAGATAATTCATTTTGTTTCAGATGACAGCTAGTTCACAAACCGGGCTTCCTGTCTGTTTTGCCCGGTTGCAAACTTGGGGCGGCCCGAAGCACATTCAAGGCCCGCAGCCGCGATTCGGGGAAATGGACGGCAACTTGTCTACTATACTTCATGTGCTATTCGGTAGTACGTGCCAACAAAAACCGGATTCTGATGGCTTGCGTCTGGACTTTGCCTTGTTCAGGGGTAAGCTCGTGGGGGGCTATTTGCCACTGTCTTTGATATTTAGTCATGGAGATGGTCTTGTACAGAAAAAGGATTCCGTATGGAGATTATGTGAGCCGCCTGTCGCCGGTCCAATGGTATTTTCATGGAAACAAAGTAATCCGGGGTGGTTAGCTGAGAGGTACAAGAGTAGTATCGATGTATACTCGACACATCGCATCTTGAGCAGAATCCTATGCAGCATCGATGTGGCAACGGCTGGTAATTAGGACACCAATATACTCGCGTAATCCGTATATTGCGGGGATGATCTTTGGCCAATCCCTTCAGACGCAGCGCGAATGTGCCACCTACTACATCGAAGCCGGGCGATAAGAGAGGCAGCCACATATACGCGATTCGCGCGGTTCTCGGCCGTTCGGAATGGTGTTGTGGAGAGTGACTGGTAACTAATGTCAATTGTGCCTATTTCCGCAGTCGAAGGACAGCACGCCAGGCCATGTATCAAGCCGCATCGAGACACATATCCGACGGGTTTTGGTTGGCTCTGGGTTGCCACCGACCAGTAGCCGTGTGTACTTGGACGAGATCGAGGAAGCTCGGAGATGCCATGGGATGGGACGGTGCATGAAAAATGAAAAGAGGGAGAAGACTGCATCGATAGTTTGCCTCACAAAGAGCGTCACATGGCCCAGCATCGGATACCAGTCAAGGCAAGGTAGACTCAGGTCCTGCTGCTGCCCGTCGCCCTGGATTGTGTGATTGCCCTCTTGGTTGTCGCCACGGAGGACGCTGGAGGCGGATCATGAGAAGCGAGCTGGTGATTTGGGCCGTTTTTCTGGGGGGGGGTTTTGGGTTGTCTTGTTTCCCAATTGCATTCTTAGCATTAAAATGAACTTAGTCCTGTATGCAAGGCCCTGCTCGCTTCTCTCCCCAGGGTTCGTTGGTCGCGTTTGCATTTGCGCAGTGCCAGCAGTGGATGGGCCCATAATAGCGACTGATGCCATCCTTAATCTTGCATCTTCCTATTCGATGGTGGCGAGACCTGGCGATGTCAGAGCACTTGTCAACATCGCGACGAAAAATACTTAAGAAGCAGCTTCCCCGTAGTCATGGAGATGGCAGAGAAATCGTGGAGGCAGGAGCCGTCCGGAGGTTGTTGCAAGATGCCGTCGCCCGCAGCGTCACTATCTCCTGACAATGCGGCCACTTTTTTTTTTATTTCCCGAAGAGCAAAAGTCGCCCCATCCCCCTTCCTAACGGGGTAGCAATAAGCTCGTTACCGAGGCGCCGAGAGCGGGAAGCGGCCTGGCCAATCAGCGGCGCCTCAGCTGTCTTGGACCTTGAGCAACCTTGCGAATCATACGATATTTGAACAGCAATTTTTCTTTCTTCCCACATGCATGGCATCCATGGCGCAGGGTCCCCCCCCCTCCAGCGCCTCCGAGGCCCCAAAAGCCCTTCGAGACCGCCCGGCGCCTCTTTGGCCTCTGTGGCCGGTGGCAGCCCTTTACGCATTCGCAGGGGCCCGGAATGGCTCCGCGAGAAAAAGTCAGGCCATTTTCATCATCGACACAGCGCTGGTAAAAGGCTATCCCTCGAATTTTCTCGCTGCGCGCCTGCAATTCGCCATTGCGCCTTGCTGATACCCACGGCAATGACAGGTCATGTCTGGCTCACGGACGCCTCCCCCCAACGCCTCGATCCCGGCTCTCGCCGACCGAAGCCTCGTGCGGGACGGAGCACAGAAGTCGAGAGTTGCGACTCATCTTGAGCCAGAGGCAGTGGCAGAGGCAGAGACAGGCAGAGCAGAGCCGTGGGCATGCAAGCGTTTTTCCCTCGCTTGCATGGCATGACTGGCTGCGATCCACCGCTGCCAACCGCGGGTCCTAGCGCCGGGGCCTTGCTTGGATAGCACCGGTTCCTGGAGCGGCATCCTCGTCTTCGTAGCTGTGCTGTGCTGCTGCTGCTGTGCCGTCTGGATGCAGCGCCGTTCGCTCAGGCTTCGGGATCGCATCCGTCGCGGCGTTGCCCGACCTGTCACCCGGAGCTGGGCCTGCATCTTTGCTAACTGCCCTGGAGGGTTACTGGTGTAATGCTGATGCTGAAACTAAACTCCCGACCCCGTATATTACCTGTGATGCTCTGGCACCGCATGGGGGCCAGCTCTCGAGTCTTGCCAATATCGACGCCATCCCAAGGTACCATATCTTCAGGTACTCCTCCAAGTACCTCTTCCCTGTACCAACCCTGCCTATCCCGTTGACTCTTTATCTACGGTACATCTACATCTACATCTACATCTACATCTACATTCCACATCTACACACGTCAAATTTCCATTTGCATTTGCATTCGCATTTGCATTTGCATCTACCCGTACAAAGTACCTACGCATCATACAGTTGCACTCACCTCGGCGGAGCTGCCCGTCTATCCCGCTCCGAACCACTGCATCCTCCATCCGTCCGCCTGAGCGACGCATTACTCTTGATAATCAAACGTGGTCTCTCTCTTTCGCAATTTATTTTTTTTCTCCCCTTCCCTCCATCCTCAACCCTCTTCTTCACCTGTCACTACGCCCCTCCTCTTCCTCCTGAAGCATCCAATTCTACCGAACCGATCTGTGGATGCCATTGGCTTTTGGCGCGCACCTCCCTCACGCCACCTGTAGGGTCCCCTTTAATCCCAGCAAATCGCATCAACCCTGTGTTTGCAGCCGGCTGCTGCGCTGGGCATGGAACGAGCCCTCGACTACTCTTCACAGCCAGTAACCAACGGCCGCGTCGCCAATCTACCTGAGCGACACATTAGCTCCTCAGCCTCAGCCGTCCAGCGCTCCTGGACATCACCATCTCTTCCTCCCGCCATGGACATGTTCAACTTCACATCCGCAGCCTCGTCTTCAGCTGTCCCCTCATATGCCCCCGCCGGTAACGCCAGCGGCAGCGGCCTAGGCGGCGACATGAGCTTCTCTCAGATGCCGCAGTATCCCGCCCGCAACCCACTACAGTCGGTCCTGTCGCAGGGCAAAGAGCATGAGGCCAAGCGGATAAAGGTCGAGTCGCCGCACTCGGCCCTCGACTCGATCGATTCCTGGCTTCAATTCGACGAAGAGGCCGACAAATTCGGCAGCTTCGAGATTGACTTTTCAAAGCAGTACAACACGGCCAACCAGCCAAGGTGAGTCGGCCCCGGTGTGCTGTTCTTAGTCCCTTTCACGATCTGACATTTGCGCATCAAGACCTGCAACAAATATGACGCCAGGATTGGGTAGCGGCCTCTACGCCAATCCCACCGCCCCGTTCAGGGAAGAAGACTTCCTCGATGATAGCGCCTTTGATCATTCTCTGTCCGAGGACGACGATTTGTTTGATACCGTCAACCTGAATGACCAGCTGTCCAAGATTGACACGCTGCCTTCGACCGAGCCCCAGTCATCCAGAAGCCTCTACTCCACGCCGTCACTGGGCTGGGAGAAGCCTCAGCAGGGCATTCAGCCTAGCACCATCTCAATGGCTGATGAGATCCCAAGGCGCATGGGCAGCGATGCCTGGGACCCGATTCCGCAAGGCACCAACTACACTCTTACTCCAGAGGAGCGCCGCCGGCTTCTCGAAATCGCCATGGGCCCCAGCAGAATGTCGGCCTATGTTTCCCCCAACCGATTCAACCTCGGATTCGGATCTACAATGCAGCCCAGCCTAACTCAAGAATTCGGCTATGGCTTTGGTGGCCCGAAACAGGGGCTGAACCATGTGGGAATGTTCCAGAGAAACAATTCTACCGACACAACTACCTCTGGGCTCTCGCAGCCAAACCGGGATCTGAAACACAAGCAGCCTAAGAATGAGACGCCGCCCAAAACAGTGCCTACGAAACGACCAAGCACTCTATCGGAGACCAGCAGCATCGGCAAAGAAAAGACAAAGTCCGCCGACCGCATGGCGCACAACGACGTCGAGCGGAAATATCGCACCAACCTTAAGGACAAGATCACCGAGCTGCGCAATGCGGTGCCAGCGCTGCAGCAAGTCGCCGAGGGTGATCAGGACAACGGGCAGGGCAACGCCAAAGTGAGCAAGGTTAGTGGCAATTTACCTCAATTTGAATACGCTTGCGAGATGACACTGCTAACCCAAATCGTTACAGGGCACTGTGTTGACCAAGGCGACTGAATATATCCACCAACTAGAGCAACGCAACAAAGACATCATGACAGAACATAAGCAACTCATGCGAAGACTTCAAGCATTCGAAGCACTCCTCAACAACTCAATGAGAGTCGACATCATGCCCAGCCATAGCATGACGCTCTTCGACCCCAGAGGATTCTGTTGATTTACTGTATCAATATTCTCCATGATTTACAAACCAATTTTTGACGACTGCATGAGAAAAAAAAATGACGGACACTTGTTTTTCTTTTTTTTTTTTCCTTTTAGTGAAAAGCATTTCAATGAGCTTCTTCCTACAAGCAGGCATTTCATGTTTATTCTTTCTTTCTATTTCTTTCGCCATCTTACAGTTTCTACTTTGGCCTTCTGCCACTACTTAACTCACTACTTTTCGGCGTTAAGGTGGATTATTTTGATTTTTTATTTTATTTTCTTTACAAACATGGCATGAAAACCCAGAAAGGATATATAACTCGGCATGGGCGGTCTCTTGAGAATTTATTCAAAGGAAACGGAACGAGATGAAAGGGGGAAATTTATCAAGGCAATGTGGGTCTGGGAGTGGAAAGAAGGGACTTTACGAAAGAGGACATCTCTGAAAGAAAAAAACGGAGCGGTAGCATTTATCGACGAAGCGAATTGGGAAGGGCAAAAGAGAGCTTTATTCTATGAAAGGGAATATATTTGGCGGCCAATTGGTTGATAGAGGCGGGAGCCCTTGTTTTCTTGGCTTTACAGACAGAAGAGAGAACGAAAAATGTTCGGGGATTGTGAATAATACAAGAGCACATGAGGCGCCTTTTTGCCTTGATTTGAAACCCGTAACAGCATACAAAGTCCCACCTTTCTTTTTTTTTTCTTTTGTGGCCTTTTAATGAAATGCTTGGGTCTAGGGATTCATGGCCTCATGGTGAGAAAATAACGGCAGTGATACCCTAGACACATATGCAGGAGGGGCGATGCTACTGCATCGCATCCGTTTAATATGCGAGGTGCTTTTCCTGTTTAATGCAGATAAGACGGGGGCCAAAGGGGAACAAAATAGGCAACACTATGAGAATCTCGAGCTTGGGTGCCATCTTCCTGCTCTGCTCTGCTAGTGACTCTCCTTATACAATGAGTGGCAGGCGGAGTCTATGATGTGCAATATCAGTACATTGAAAGATTTCTGAATGACCAGGGTTATCCGCTCGGGAAAGTTGCTCATCATCAACTCGGACGATATATTGGTCGGCGCGACCCAACAGAACATCCTTTTGGGCAGCTGGTGAAGCTTCGTGAAACCACAGCCGGCAGACTTGCTATCGCCCCGCGGGTCGGTTGTGTCACCTAGTCCCCTTTCCACACTCTCTCTGTGACTTCTTCTTTAGAACAGGAGTCAAAGGTGGCAATCTGCCCAGAGGATCGGTATTCAATACCACAATCTCTTGTCGACTGCATTGCCTGGCCGCTGATCGCGCTACGTAGCAGTTGGCCCCAAACAGTGTCCTTATAGCGGCTTAATGCATTCTTCATCCGTGTTTTCAACGCCAGGGACGAAGACATTCTCGAATTGCCGCGAGGAAAAAAGCTTATAGAGGTGCGAAGCAATCAATCCCTAAAAAGTTTTGCCATCCGAAAGCAACTAAATACAACATTCGCATTCCCAAACCGCGGCAGCAGGCCCCCGACTCAAGAACCCTTTCAGAACGACTCTAACATGGCCTGGCGAAGGCCCGTTCGGTGTGAGGAAGGGTCCTGACGGAGCTGCTCCAACCAACCATCCGGACGATTCTGAGGAGACAGACATAGCACCCGAAAGATGGCCATCATACACTGCAGCTGCTGCGCATCCACGAGGGCGTGGTGATTCTTCCCGGCCAGTACGTGATTCGTGCCCATCATGATGGGAAAGATGGTCGACAAGGTCAACGGGAACCGCTTGCCGTCCGGTAGTTTGGCTCCTCGAAGGTTCCTCTGAAAGTAAGGGATCAATGGGATGCACTGGGAGTCAGGGGGGAGTACCCCATACTCCCCCTCTGACTCTAACCACCCGCGCAATCGTGACAGGTCATCTGTGTGAAGGTGCCAGACCACGAAATAAGTCTCTTGCGAGATGCCCTGCCGCCTCAGCTCGTCTGCAATCTGCTTTGCAGTCCTTGAGCCTTGAGTACAGTAATGTGCTTGGATCGAGTTCATCATCATGCGATCCATGTTGCAATCAGCAGTGGAGCTTTTTTGACCGATTGCTCGGAGGGCTCTGGATCCATACAAGGTCCGGCAATCCATTGTCTTAGTTCCATAAGCATCTCACATGCCAATTTCGAATACTCTCCCCGTGAAAATGTTATACTCAAGATCGACGAATCTGAGCGCCGAGGCAGGCGACTTCCCGGCCCCAATAGAGTCCATAAGCCCCAGGACTTTCCCTATAGCAGGTTCGTTGGACCACTTGACTTGCAAAAACGGAGAGACATGCTCTCGTAGTTTTTGAAGTTGCTGGAGGTCTGTTTCAAGAGGGTTTGGGTCGCGCCATGCAGAGAGGTGATCTTTGCAAAATCTTGAGCCGCCGAAGCCAGGTTTGGTGCAAGATTTGCCCTCGCATATCTGATCATGGCTACTTGCTTTGAGGTCGTACTTCTCAAGCGCGTTGTGGGGAACATTTTGCTTAGTCATTCACGAACTCGCTGAGTCATCAGTCAATGAGGCACTTGATATTTATATACGCGCACCATAATAAGGTTAAGTACCTTGTGGTGCTGGATAGAAAATCCCTTCTTTTAGCTTGCCTGACTGGAGAGGGCGTCACCTATACATCAGGGCCTGAAGCGGGCTAAAGCTTCCTCCCTCTCCGATCTCGGCAGGTTTGCCAGCGAAAGCATGCCGTTTCGGACGAACAAGCCGTCCCCAACTTCGCTCTGCCATACATCTTGTCGAATATATTCTTCAATTCCTTCTTCAATTCCTTTTCCAATCTCCCTTCCTACGATATCCCTCATTGTTCATTTTTTGAACATATTTGCTTATTAGTGAGGTTGATACGAACACGTCCGTCTTTGAAGAAACGCAAGCCTCCTTCGTCATAACTCTAAACTTCTGACTTTCTCCATCGGACCTCCCACCTTCCACCTCGTCTTCGACTTATTCTCGTGCTTCGTCACATAAGACCGACCCCTCCTTGGACGAACTCCATCGGACAAGTATTACAATCATGGCGGAACACAACATTGTTGTTTTTGCGGGCGACCACTGCGGCCCAGAGGTAACTAACTACCCCCGAGCTTTCCCACCCTGGACTCTGGACGGAGAGAGGCTGACTTTGGTTATTTGACAGGTTATTGCTGAGGCAATCAAGGTACGAGTCTGGTATTTGCGACCTGCAGTTGAGCACGTCTGACGCAGGATTCAGGTTATCAAGACGGTTGAGGAGCTAAGCCCGACTGCTGGCAAATTCAATCTGCAGGAGCACCTGCTCGGAGGGGTAAGTCGTCCCCCGACGACGGATTACACGGGCCCAAAGACATTCACGAGAGAAGTCTCTGCTAACCTCGGCGTTTCTCTCCAGTGCTCCATCGACCAGACCGGCACCCCCCTCACAGACGAGGCCCTCGCCGCCGCCAAAGCCGCCGACGCCGTGCTGCTCGGCGCCATTGGCGGCCCCAAATGGGGCACCGGCGCCGTCCGCCCGGAGCAGGGCCTCCTGAAGCTACGCAGTGAGATGTGCGCCTATGGAAACCTCCGTCCCTGCTTCTTCGCCTCCGACGCCCTCGTCGAGTCCTCCCCCCTGAAGGCGTCCGTCTGCCGCGGCATCGACATGATGTTAGTCCGGGAGCTAACCTCAGGCCTGTATTTCGGAGAGCGAAAAGAGTACGATGGGCATAATGCGTTCGACACTACTGTTTACACAAAACCAGAAATCGAGCGTATCGCGCGGCTAGGTGGCTACCTAGCCAGGACTAGGGGAGACTCGCGAGTCATCTCGCTAGACAAGGCGAACGTGCTAGCGACAAGCAGACTCTGGCGTCAGGTGGTTGAGGAGGTCTACAAAAACGAGTTCCCCGATTTAAAGATCGAGCATCAGCTTATTGACAGTGCGGCCATGATCATGGTCAAGAACCCGACGCAGCTGAATGGCGTTATACTAGCGCCCAACTTGGCAGGTGAGCGAGGTCCCTCGTCCACCTCGAAGGCGGTTTAGCTAACGAGTTTTCAGGGGATATTCTCAGCGACGAGGCGAGCGCCATAGCTGGAAGCATAGGACTCCTCCCGAGCGCGAGTCTCTGCGGGATTCCGGGCTCGGGCTCGAGCTCTGCAGTGCGTTCCATCTATGAACCGATTCATGGTGAGACTCCTATCCTCCACTCGAGCCTTTATGTAGACATCAGTCACTAACGTAGATGACAGGTAGCGCGCCGGACATATCAGGGAAAGGGATTGTCGTACGTTAAGACCCCGTTTCGGGCGATTCCTATCTATCCGCTATAAGTACAGAGCTGACATCATTTCTAGAATCCCATTGGCACCATTCTTTCCGTAGCCATGATGTTCCGGTACTCTCTGAATCTCGCCCACGAGGCTAAAGTCGTCGAGGACGCGGTTCGCGCTGCCATTGACGCCGGGCTGAGAACCAAGGACATGGGCGGCAGCACGGGCACCGCAGAAGCAGGAGATGTCATCGTTGCTGAGCTGGTCAAGATTCTCAAGGCGTGAGATGTCTCACGCGAAAAGAAGAATGGACAGAGAGGTTGAAAGGGGGAAATGGGGATAGAGGGGGTGGAAGATTTGAAGGAAATAGTGGATGGGAAGCGAAATGAGTCGAGAAAAGAAGTGGTGGAAGAAAATAGTGGTTGACAGAAAAGTGGTTGAGAAGAGATTGGTTGACGCTGAAAAGTGTTGATGAAAAAAGGGCTTGGCAGAAAAGGGGCAGACAAAAATCAGCTGCGAGGTTGAAGCCGTCTGAGAAATGACAAAGAGGGTTGAAAAGAAAACTTGGAATTAAAAACTATGCAGAAACAGGGAAGTGGAGGGGAAATGTACCCCGTACAAAGCAACAAGATGGTTGGATTGGGTTGTTTTGGATAAACCAGTTCGATGGATATGTCCTTTAGCATATAGCACTCAGAAAAGGGGGGTTGAGAAAAAAAAGTCATTATCGCAGTTTGCGTCATTTGGGTCAGTGATGGCAAGGCTGACCATGACTGGTGGTAAACCTGCTGTATACCAAGTCAGTGTGCTTTGAAGTGGTCATTCTATCCTTCTATCGGGAAGTGGCAGAACCCACCGCGTGTGATGACCCATCTCAATCCAAGTCCCTGCTGATATTCTGTACTCTGGAAAAAGACTTATCTGGGGCTACTAGGCTAAACCGGCATGGACTGAAGAAATGTTTGCTAAGATAATAAGGACTGCCTGTAAATATCAAGTTGTTCTACATACTAGACTATTAATAGCACGGGTCTCCTGGCGCCTGGCATGGGCCGGACAGGTGAGAATGGAAGCAAGGCCTCCCCTGTCCGCGATAGACGAAGACCAGTGGTAATATGACTTTGACCGCAGTGCTGCCGACGAATATGCTTTGGGACCAACGCAACGTGGATTTTAACCCAGTCAAGATCAACTTTAGCGGGAAAGTTGTGTTCGAGAATCTGGACCTAGAATTTCCCGCGGGCAAGACTACTGCTATCGTTGGTCCCTCGGGAATAGGCAAGTCGATGTTGCTCTACTGGGTTCGGACGCTGTAATTGGATTACAGAGGTCCTTTTCATGTGATCCCTTCAGAGAGGGCGGATGTGTAAGGGAACCTTCCGGTATGTCGTCGCTTGCAACCACAGACGTACTACCCACGAGTTCAGGGTCTATCGGTATGTCATTGGAGAGGTAGTCAAATTCGCAATCGAATGTGTCTTTTGTATGTATTAGCGACACCTGAGGCTCGAAATCCACGTATAATATAAACCTACTACTACGACTAGTATCATCAGGTGAGGACGTGGCAAGAGACGGCGCAAAGGCATCGGCCGATAGGAGTGTGTTATCCGAGTACCAGCCTCGACAGCCATTATCACCATCCGTATCGTCTATATCCAACCCGCTCTCAGCGTCAGACAGTATTAATATTAGTTCATTGCTTGACGGACCGGTGAAGCTTGACATGTGAGGTTGTTCTTCGATTACCTGGGGAGGAATATTATGGCTGCGAGACAAGTTGCTCCTGCTGCTTCTCTTGTCTGGCGTACTCTGGGACTGCGCCAGCTGGAGGCATCCAAAAGGTTATATTTTTAAGGCTGATAGTTACTGCGATGATGAAAATTTCAAGAATAGCACAGTTTGAAGGTAAATGAATGCAAAAGTTGCATACATGTAAGCATAGCATAAAGAGTCCAATAGCTAGTATCGTTAATAGTTGACGGGATCTACTGGAATCTCAAGTTACGGCGCAATGCATACATGTACATTGCCTTAGTCAATACCTCTTCAATCAATTTGCTGCCCTCCTTGCTCCTGAACAACCCGTGCCCGATCCTGTGCGTTCACTAAAGACCCAAAGCTCCCCTGCCACACCTGACGCAGCTGTAGAAGCTGTGCCCCTTGGCCGCAGGCGTTCTCGACGTGCTCGGACTGAGTCTTGCTATTCGGACATGGGTAGTTTTGCTATCTAGATATAGTACCTAAGAGATATTTAAATTAAATATTTTTATAACTAATATATATATATATATATATCTTCTATCAATTTTATTAGTTTTATATTTAAGAATATATCTAAGGCATTATGAATTTACTAATAATTTATTAAGTAAATTAATATAACCTTATTAAAGCTGTCTTTTTCTTGTATTTAACTATATTATTTACATCTTATACTACAAAAAATAAGATTGCCCGCTAATCAATCCCGCAACGCTTCGATATCCGCAACTTCCTTGACGGCCTCGGTGGTGAGTATGTAGGGCGCGTCCTCGTCCACACAGATGCTGTCCTCGATGCGAATGCCCATGCCCCTGAAATGAGCGGGCCAGCGCTCATCGTCCGGAACGTAGACGCCCGGCTCGATGGTAACGCAGTGGCCCCTCCGCAGAATCTCTCTCCTACTGTACCCTGGGCAGTCATGCACGTCCAGGCCGATGTAGTGGCCCACGTGGTGGGGGAACAGCTGGTCGATGTTGCTCATGGTGAGGTTGGTGAAGCCGATGCTCTTGAGCTGGTCGAGCAGGCCGCGGACCGTGACGCCGTGGATGTCCTCGAGGGACATGCGGGCGGATTCGCGGCAGAGGGACACGCTGGAGCGCTGGACCTTGAGCACGGCTTCGTAGAGGTCGCGCTGGGCCGCGGTGAATTTGCCGGATGCGGGCCACGTTCGGGATATGTCGGTGATGTAGGTGCCGTACTGGCCGCCGGCGTCGACGAGGATGAACTCGTCGTTGCGGAAGACGTTGTTGTTAACCGTGTAGTGGATGCAGTTTGCGCGTGGGCCGCCTGCGATGACAGGAATGTAGGCAGGCCCGTCGCAGCCATTGATGGTGAATTCGTAGTCGAGAAAGGCGTGTAGGTCCTTCTCCTTGACCCAGGATCGCCGCATGGCATTGGTGATGGCACGGCCGGAGATTTGACCAGCCATCCGCATGTTGGTCACTTCGGCCGGGCTCTTGATGACCCGGAGCTTGTTCATGATGGGGTACAGCGGCGTCTTTGCAGGACCACTGCCGGCTGGATTGCCGGTGATGAAGCGCCATAGAGAACTGTTGGTAGCCTTGGCCGACTCAACGTCGGTATAGATGATTTTGGCCGAGTCGAGCAGCTTGGGCAGCACCGAGTCGATTTTGTCCATTGACCAAGCTTCGTCTGCATTCCACACGTCCTGAGCGGCCTGGACGCCGTTACGATAGCCCGACCACTGCTCCTCCCTGGGGTTTTTGGCCTTGACAAACATGCGGAAGAGGTAGTCTCCCCACTTGGGGCCAGTCTTCTCGATGATGGCCATGGCATCAGGCTCGTCCCATCCCGTCAGCCACAGGAAGTTGGTCTCCTGCCTGTAGGGATGGAAGACGGCGCCAGACTTGTACACGAGAGGCGCAGCGTGCAGGATAGCGACGCCGCCCTCGGGCATGGCCTCGGCCAGAGCGGCCCGACGATCAGCATATTCTTGAGCGCTGATGCCGGGAGTGACTGATGTAGTTTCGTGGTTAGCAGAGGATCAAGTTCACAGCTCTTGGCTCGAGTGCGTGCACTGCAGACCAGCAATAACACGGGGGATATCAATATCAAAGATGAGACCCACCTTCGCCAGCCTTGAGGATGTGGGGATGTGTCTCATGGACAGGCTGCCCAAACTGCAAATCGGCAGCCGATATCACTGAGCTGTAGGTCCGCCGAGGGGAGAAGATGTAAGCCGGTCTCTGGCATTTGAGGGCGGATTGTGAGATGTGAGAGATGCCGCGCTGTTGCTGCTGCAAGGGAAGCCTCCGAGAGGGCAGCCCGAGACTCCGGAATGAAGGCCGAGGGAGCCTCATTTTATAGACGCAGGGTACACGAGATTTCTGAAGCAATTGAGGGCCGGGCTCATGATTGTCTGAATGGAGGGGGTTCCACTGGATGTGTCTTTACCTTTTTTTTAACCTCTTTTTTTTTTCCAATGGTAGGTGATCCACTATGGGTTTCGTACAAGTAGTATTCGATGGTGGTTATGGGCTAGGAGGGAATTGATTCAGTCTCTGCAAATCGGAATGAAAAAAATAAAATAAATAGTGTATATAAAGAGCGAGATATATAACAGAGAGAAACGGAGCAGTGGCCTCGAGTCAACTGCTTGGTGTTGGTTGTGATAATGGCCTGAGTCTGTACTTGCATATGTAAGCAGACGGTGGCAAGCATTCAACTCAGCATAAATGGTTAATGCAAGGACGTCGATGTTGTGCACAGTCCGCACAGCTTTTGCACAGACAGAGGTACGTACCTCGACCCGGTGGCTGAATGTACCTCGAGAGTACCGCAATCCATCATGTGCGCACCAGAGAGGCGCCCTAGAAGCGCGTCTTGCATTGCAGGCGCCGCTGTTGCTGGGCACTAACACCAAGTGGTGCTACTGCTGCTACTTTGCATGTACGGGGCTTCTTCCTTTTGCGAGCGCCCCGCCATCTGTTCCCGCTTTGACCGCGTCGTGTTTACGGTGCTAATTGGGCTCCAGCAACGGCGTCCAAGAAAAAAATACAGCGCACATGTCAGGGTCTAGTAGGTTGTCAGTGTGTGAGTACTATACAGTGCTGATCCAGTATGTGAGGGATGCGACGCTCGCATGTGGGAATCTGCAGCTTTAATGAGTTGACTCAGTTCGTATTGATTGTTCAATGCAGAGACAATCATGCTGCACTTGTTCTTCTGTGTATAGTAGCTCTGTATTGTTGTGTGTATACTAACCAACCCGGCTTTGTTGTTTTTTTCCACCAGAGAGTGGCTGCGCTAAGGCTGCTGTTATGGGGTAGAGTTGCTGCATGGAACCGATAGTAGTAATGCTGCATCTATCCATGTAGTAACTACAGTAATCCTGAGAGAATTGGGGGTTTTCCACTTGTGTACGATAACAGCCCGAGCTCCATGTAGCGAAACCCAATCCGCCGTCAGTGGCAATGATGTTTTGATACGTCGAATCGAATGTCATGTAGAATATTGGATGCACAATAATCGATCCTGCAAAGCCCTACAAAGGATATCCTCTCATCATCTTCATCATCCATCAAAAAGCTGTCTACCTACCCTATTACTGTATTTTGATACTAAAAGTTGCCGCACATTTTCATGCTACAACTCACAATGGCACCCGCGAATTAGCGGTTGCTGGTGCGCCGGGCGGGCCCGTGCATGTTTTTGGCAGGGAGGCCCAACCAGGCATAGCGCTGTTGTGCCAGGCGCGAAGGCTCCATCAACACCTCATGGCACGCCTCAGCCAATTCTTTCCGCACACACGCAAAACCGCTGATTTCTCCATCGTCCAAAAAGCCCTCGACAGGCTCGACAAGCTCTCCAGCCAGCCTGGTCTCGTCCCCCAAAGGCCTCTGGACCTTCAATGTCCGCGTAGCATCCTTTACCTGTCACCCCTCTTCGCCTCCGCCTCCGAGTCGGTGCTGCGTCCCTGCACGTCGCGTGCTTCTCACCTCCCTCCTCCCCAGCCCCTCTTTGGTGCTCCCTGTCCGGCTGCATCTCGACCTGCTCAGCACTTGCACCAGGGCATGCTGATCCCAGAGGCAACAGCTCTCGTACATGGCCACAGTCTCCGTGTCTCTGTCTGCATCCTCCAAGGCGCCGGCTCCCGCCATGGCCTCTAAGCGAGCGCCTCTCGCCAGCAATCCCAATGTCGCCAACTCGCCTCTACGCGCACCCTCAATCCTGGCCGGTTATGCCAAGCCAAAGCGGTCCTTTGCTACGGTCCAGCGCGAAGAGCCGTACGGACAGCCTCCGCCGGTGAAGAAGCAAGCTCTCGAAAATGGCGCCCAACGGGCCGTCCGATCGCCGTCGAAGCCATTGGCCCGCGCCCCAGCACACATTGTAGTCCCTCGCAACTCGAGTGCTGTCCCACGCCCCGTTGCGAGAGAAAGAACTGCTAGAACGGCCACCGCTACGGAAACAAGAGCTACGCAAGATGTTGAAAGGGAGGCGTGGAAGAAGCACCACCGGGCCAAGTTCCCCAAAATGGTCTTTTACTTTGAGAGTATACCAGATGACGTTCGGGCAAAGTTGACCAAGAGGGTCACATACCTTGGTGCTGTATGTTGCTTCGATGTTGAATTCCCCCATGAATGAATGCCGCTAACTTGCCACAACCGGAAAATAGCGCCAAGAGCCCTTCTTCTCAATTGACGTTACCCATGTCATCACAACGCGAGCTATCCCTCCCGAAAAACCAGAGGCTGGGGAAGCCGAAGTTGAGGTGTCTGAGGAACAACAGCCCGAGGAGCAGCCCCAAACCATCAACCCATCTCTTCTTGACAGGAACACCGCCGCCAGGCGAAGGTTGCTCTTTGATTTTCGTCAAGCTTCTTCGGTGCCCTCCCAGTTGGACGGTCTTGCGAGACGCAACAAGACGATTCGTAACAACGATGTTCTAACCAAGGCTCGAGACATGGGCAAGAAAATCTGGTCTCTTGATAAGTTCCAGAGCATGCTTGCTGTCCTTCTCGAGTCAGAAAACCAAAGCTATAGCTCTCGATCTGCGAGCACGAGGAGTCACTACGGCACTAAGGGCTCTCACGAGCCCAATTTGTTCCAGCTTCTTCACAATGAGCGTATAAATGGACCCTCCGATCGTGACCCAACTGCAATCAGTCGGGAGTTGACGTATTTCAAGGGTCCGTATGTCTATATCTGGGATATGGATGAGAAGCAGAAACCCATCATGGTTCGTGAATATGCCAAGGTTGCGAATAAAACCGACGGCGAATGGCCCCAGTTTCGCAGTGTTGGGAACGGACGCTGCCCCTTTGTTGAGGAAGTGGACGCTGCTGAAAAGGACTACCGAAAGGCACGAGAGCGGGAAAAGGCGCGCTTGGCTAAGAAGGAAGAATCTGTTCAGATTCTCAAAGCCCCCGAGGTCCCTCCCATGAAACCCGTGACCGGAAAGCGCACTTTGACAGAGATGGAAGATGCTCATAACCGAGCTCGTGCCAGTGTGTCGGCGGAGACGATCCAGCCGGTAAAGGTCACATTCTCCAGGCCGTCGGCAGTACCGGCTCAGAATGCCTTTACTAGTCGAGCCGAGGGTGGCCGTATGTTTGCAGGAGAGCCTGTGGCCTCCGGCATTCAAAACACTATAACTTCGGCAATCCGTTCCCAGATGATCTCGTCGACATCTGGCATCAACGGCGCAAAGGCCGGAACCAGCAAGGAGGTTCATGGGCTGCAGAGGAAAGTTCTGCAGATGGCCCAGCCGGCTTCGCACGATGCTAGCTCGCGCCGCCTTGCAGAAATCCCTGCGGACGTCGCGTCTAGCCGGTCGACAACACTGACCCGAACCACGTCTAAGACGATCCAGGGTCAGGAGGAAGATGGCCAAAAAGCGGAGAAGAAGGCACCTGCGCAGCACCTGAAGAGCAAGCGAGACTTGAAGCCAGGCTACTGTGAGAACTGCCAAGACAAGTTCCGCGACTTTGATGAGGTAAGAGATATATCCAACTTCCAACACCCCTTGCTCTTACTTGCCAAGAACATTCAACTGACATGTTTTCTTTTCTCTCTAAATAGCACATCTTATCTCGCAAGCACCGCAAGTTTGCGGAAAATGACGAGAACTGGATAGAGCTGGATGCTCTTCTTACACAGCTAAAGCGCATACCAAAGTTCTCAGCTGCTCCTTCTGATGAATCAGAAGGAGAGTGGTAACGACATGGCGTTATTCTTCTTGGGTTGATCTTGTCCAACTAGAGATTTTATGGCGCCGCGCATTTGGATCTCATTCTTTTCTTCTTCCGATTGCGTTGGCTATCGCATTCATTATGATACTTCTCAACACTTTGCAAAAATCTTCGGTCACCACAACCATCAACTTACATCCTGGGACCCCGGTCAAGGGAATCAAGTGCCAGGCTTTGAATTTTCTTTTGCATCTCAATCAGATTTGCGCGGCATAGCGCAGAAGGCACCTTTGTCAATACGTCTCTGATTGAGCTATACCCTTTTTTGGTCCTTTTCTTGTTCTTTCTTTCAGGGTTCTTTTCTCATCTCTCTTTCGGCTATAACGAAACAGCATGTGGAATTTTGTTTGGTACCACTGCCGGCATGGTTTGGCATTTTGAACCCGCATACATAGCAGGAGGCGTTATTTACAAGTTCGGCTCTTTTTTGCTCTCGTTTTACTGATGGATGGATATTTTGGTGGCCGAGAAGATTTCTAGTAAAGGAGAAGTTGAATGTGGTCTGGATTATCTGATAGAGGATACTGGGATGCTCTGCATGCTGATGCAGAATCGGTCTTAATGAAGGGATTTGGATGGGACGACATAGGTGGCCGACGAGAAACAGGAAAGAGAGAGAGAGAGGAAGAGGAGAGAGAGGCGGTGGTATGTGATGCTTGGTGGAGCAAGATGCTCAACCGGGGGTTGATGGGGTTTGTCATGTTTAAAGAAGAAAAAAATTATGTATATTGTAGCTGGCATGTTACAATTCACGAAAGTGTATAAGTAAAGGAAGGTCCGGGGGCGTCTATTTGGTGCACGGGACGGACTGGTATTTATGACTTGAGATAGCATTTTGATGATAGATATAGGTAGCGGTAACAGCAGATCAGGATACGGAATTAATTCTAAGGTGTTGAATGAGGTTTTGCTTGTGTTTTGTCTCGGAACGTGGTGAGCTTGTATTTTTACCCAACTCCCTCCAAAGCATCGGCATGTCGGCCTGCTGTTCTTAGACGACAGAGGGGTATAAGCCTTAACATGTTGGTTCTCAATATTTTGGCTTTGCTTAATATTCGAGTATTATTTAGATATATCTCGTGTATGTCTACATTGTAGTGCTGTGTCTATTTGCTTAGGGAGATTGTTTTCTTACTTGAACTTGCGCGCAGCTTTGGGGGTTGATGAAGTTGGTATTGAGGATCTCGCACTGTCTACGCACTGTACGACGCAGCTGCCTACATACAGCCGTAGCCTCACTCTTGACATGTCATCCGCATAAATTCAAGAAACATCTCAACTCCTGACCCTGCTATCTCAGCTGCCTTCCCTTGTACTCACCTATTTGGCCACTCCTCGACCACTTACTTTTATACTATAAGCCAAACACCAGCTAGATTACAGTACAATCAACACAGCCATGGATCCCGACCTGCTTCCCCCGCCATCTCCATCCCCCGACTCGCCCATGCCGGACACAGACTCGGACATGAACAACAACAGAGGCAGCGGCACGGCCTCGCCCGAGATCCCGCTGACGCTCAGCGCTTCGGTGATGCTGGCGGACCTGCCACGAGACGCGACGGCGGCGCTGGCCAGCGCGGGGGGGTTTCCTCCGCAGCTCAAGGTGGTGGTTAAGTTCAAGGCCGTGGGGTCGGCGCCGGCGCTGCAGCAGGACGTGTGCAAGATTTCGGCGGCTCGCAAGTTCGAGGAGGTGGTGCGCTACCTGCGGCGCAAGCTGCGGTGCAGCGATACGGATAGCGTGTTCCTCTACGTGAATAGCGCGTTTGCGCCGTCGCTGGACGAGGTGGTGGGCAATTTACACCAGGTGAGCTCTTTTTATGAGATGGATGGTATTTCACACAGTTGGGTGAGACTAACGGGACGGGCAATGTGCAGTGCTTCAAGAATGCTCATGATCAGCTTGTTGTGGCCTACTCTATCACTCCAGCGTTTGGATGAAATGGGCCAACATGAGAACCGAGACAACCAAACGCGGCGGTATCTTTCTATATCATCCATCCAGTTCTCCAACCCTCGCTCAGGAATATCATTACAACGCCCCCCTCATGCTCATGCACAAACAATGAAATACACAATCTAATAAAGCAAACAACGCTACCGCTTCATGCTCTCATGCCTACGTTCCCCTTCCCCCTTGACAGGTTCTTTACAGGTCCTTTACGACCTTGGCAAAGGCCTCAAATTCCTCTGCAGGCATTGGATAGGTATGCTCTGGAGCAGGAAACTGCTTGCTCTTGACCTCGTCACGATAGGCCACCACAGCCTTGGCAGACTCGCTCCAGATGTCACCAAACTTCTTGACAAACTTGGGCATGAATCTGCCGGGGGGAAAGTTGCCAGTCAAGTCGATCTGGACAAGCACCTGGCCTGAGCAGCCGTTGCCAGCGCCAATTCCGATGGTAGGGATGGATAGCTTTTGAGTAATCAGGGTAGCAACTTCTGCGGGGACAGCCTCTAGAACGACGGCAAAGGCGCCTGCCTCCTGCACGGCGAGGGCGTCTTCCAAGACTCTCATGGCACTGGCAGTGGTTTTGCCCTGGACGCGGAACCCCCCAAGAGCGTTCTGGCGCTGAGGAGTGAGGCCGATGTGGGCAAGAACTGGGATGCCAGCGGTGGTGATTTTGCGAATGGTTGGGGCGAACTCCTTGCCGCCCTCGAGCTTGACGCTCTGCGCCTTGCCTTGCTTGACGAAGCGGATGGCTGTGGCTAGGGCTTGTTCGGGAGAGATTTCATATGATCCCATGGGAAGATCTCCAACCTGCAATGTGTTGTCAGTCAAAGTTCATATCCTGAACATGTGAATAGAGAGGATGATCTGATAATATACTTACAGTGAAGGCACTCTTGGCAGCCCGTGCTACTGATCGACAGTGGAGCAGCATGTCTTCCACCTCTACTTCGTTCGTGTCTTCCATGCCTAGCGCCACCATGGCCAAGCTGTCGCCCACCAGAATCATGTCCATGCCATTTTGGTCGGCAACGTAAGCGCTGGGGAAGTCATGAGCAGTGATCATGGCGATGGGCTCTCCCTTTTGATACAGCGACTTGATGGTGCTCATGGTGACCTTTTTGCGAGCAGGCCCGGACTGAGAGCCCATGGGGGAGTGAGAGCTGTATCTCTTCTGATGACATGGCGAGACATGTGAGACGGTGGCTGAGGGGGCACGAGACAGGATAGAGTGTGTTGATGAAGAAAAAGATGAAGACAAAGGTGCAGCGACGGCAGCAGCAGTGTGTTTGAGGCTGGTGTTGAGTCGCGTGCTGCTGCGTGTGAGAGCCACACACGATCTGGCCGAGGCTCCGATCGGGAACATTTTTTCCCAACTCGGAAATTATGTAGTGTTATGGGGATGGGAGAGGTTCCGTGCAGGTACTCTGCAGCGCAGATTTGTGTGTGACCGGTACTAGTGGGGTACCTTGGGGTGAAGGGTGGGAACGAGGGATGCAAGGCGGGTTGGAGGATGGAGGGAAAGGCGGGAGAGGGAAGATGTATTAGATGGGCACAGAAATGTGGGAAAAACTCTGTTGAGAAGAGAAGAGATTATAGCAGTGATTCATGTTAGGGAAATGGATCAAGAGAAAACCCAAAAGTGGCGGACGAGGCGCTTTTTTTAATAGTTGAAGAGAGGCATGCTGGATTTTACGATGTAGAATTGAGTATCTTGGAAGCAAAAGGCCCGGGGCACTTGTCAGCATCACTGGTACGAGTACGGCAGAGTAAGAGTACGAGGTACTTGGCCGGTTTAGTGGTATTACTACATGTTGCGCAACCACAGGGTTCGGCCATTCCAGATGGTTGTAATTTTTATTATTTTGTTATTATTCTATTAGTCGTGTTACGTGTTATTATATGAGGCAAATAAGCGGTTGTTAACTTGTCTGCTGCTTTTCTCTCTCTCTCTTGAAGATGTTATGAAGTATACTCTCATTGCCTTGGAGGTACCTCCTTTGGATAAATTACAGAACTGTTTGCGGCAAGGCAGCACGGTGCGAGAAGCTGTTTACGGCCTAACGGAACCGAGGTACGGACAATGCGGGTTCGCCGTAGCCGCGGGCTGCAGCCTTACGAGAGGTGTGTATTTCAAAAGAGAAAAAAGAAAGAAAGAAAAAAAAATAGAGAGGATAAGGCACGATGCAATAGAAAAGTATAGGTGCATATGCAAGGTAGGAATCATGATGACGATGATAGTGGTTAAAAGGCGGGAAAACGCACAGCCTTGCGTTGGGTCCGCAGAGAATAATACATGATTCAGATTGCATCGATGATTGAATGTCTTGCTGTGGCTGCGGTTGTATGGTTTGAATGGGAGTGTGGCTTACATGGATGTGGCTGTGGAGGTTCATTGTAGCGGTTTAAAGGGTCCATCCGGATAAGGCTGTGGTTGGACTGACGTCGTTGTTCATTATGACGGCGACTGTATATGCGCATCAGCTGGTAGTGGCTGCTGTGATGATTCTAATTGTGTAGCTGGTGACTGCAAGTATCTAGTCTAGTAGTTTCTGTTGAAGAATTATAGTACATGTATAGAGGCAGGTAAATATCCATTACATTAGTACCTAGATAGGCAAACCAGCCTCAGCCGTGCAGAATGAGACAGATGGTGTCATTGAATATATAAGTTGATCACCCTCAAGACTATTATTGATTATTGAGCCCTCATTCCAACCTGACCATACGCCTTACTCAAAAAGACGAAACCTTGATCCTGGCCCCCCAAGCTGACAATTCGCCCTCAACACGGCAAGACAAAATAGAACCACCAGCCAAAACCGTGCATAGCGCAAAGCATACTGCCCCCAATCCCCTCCCCCAATCCCAACCCCCCCAGCCGGGAAATGCCGTCACGTCAATCCATGTACTTGTAATCGCCATCGCCAAGTGCTGTAACGCCGGCGCCTTTCCGCTAAATCCTCGGCGGCCTCAGCGCTGCCGCCCGCTGGAAGGCCAAAATTGTTAGCTGTTAGCCAGCGCCTCCTCGTGACTCTTCCAGCGGGGAGGGAGGGGCTGTTTTTGGTGGAGGAGTGACATGACAATTCGATGTCCAACCCGTCCGGCTCAACTCAAACCTGTTTCTCTTCACTGCATTGCATCGCATCACCAGGAAACTCGGCCCAACCATCGACTGACTCACTGCTGCTTCCTCGCAACCAAACCACTCGCCCGTCTCCCCCCTTTTCTTCTGCTTCTTCTTCTTGCTCTCCTTCTTTCTGTTCTGCCTCTGCCTTCGCTTCCGTTGTTCCGAGTCGACGACACCTCCGAATCGACATCGACGATCCCCCTGCTGCTGCAAGCCTTATAGCCACGAGAGACGCTACTGCAACTGACGACGCACTCTGGCGACGCCGGGAGCCACACACCTCGAGAGGCTCAGACATACTCAGCATCTCATCTCCACATCTTTTTTTTTTATTGCCTTTCCGGGCCACAGGTCCCTTGACGGTCGCCCATCATGAGCAGCCCACGCCGTCGAATTGAGACTGATGTAAGTCATGACGATGCGGCATCCAATCGGTGGGAACAAAAGGCATAGGGCTAATCAATTGCTTTTTGTTTTGGGACGCTTAGGTCATGAAGTAAGTCGTCTCTTTTGGCCTCACTCTGGAAGTGGAACGAGAAGCAAGACAAGTGTTTGGCTAACAACCTCACAGGATGTACGAACCGCCACTCCCAACAACGCCTACCCTGGCCCAACTAACATGGCTGTGATCCAGGTTGATGAGTGACTATGAGGTGACACTAGTCAATGACAACAGTAAGCAACAGCCTGATCGATACTATTCAACCAAAGCCCAAGGTTACTGACTGACTGATTCGCTGCAGTGTAAGCATCATCATCACCAGCTACACCCTTACTCCCTTCTGTCCTCGAGCCGACCGATTCGCAATATCAACAATGAAATATTTACAATGTCTTTTTTCGTTTTGTAGGCAAGAGTTCTTTGTCCGATTCAAGGGCCCGGCAGAAAGTGAGTTGCCAAACGGAGGGGGCGGACGCGGCGAGTTTGTGTCACCACAGCTAACACGCCTTGACAGCTCCGTTTGAAGGAGGTCTATGGAAAGTACATGTCGAACTTCCCGATACGTATCCGTATAAGTCCCCTAGTATTGGCTTCGTGAATCGCATTTTCCACCCAAACATCGATGAGCTGTGAGTCTACACGGGAAGCGGGGGCAGGGGAACGTGGTGAACGGTTGTGCTAAGACGTAGCGAATCGGAAAATAGGTCCGGGTCTGTGTGTCTGGACGTCATCAACCAGACATGGTCCCCCATGTTCGATATGATCAACATCTTCGAGGTCTTCCTGCCGCAGCTTCTTCGATACCCGAACCCGACAGACCCTCTCAACGGCGAAGCAGCTGCTCTACTAATTAGGGAGCCCAAGAGCTATGATGCAAAAGTTAAAGGTGCGCATCCTTGGATTGTCAGATGGAGGTTGAAATGTTGGAATACAAGGAGAACAAGGAAGGCTGACTTGTTGGTCCAACAGAATACGTCCAAAAGTATGCCAACAAGGATGTCGTGGACGAGGCCGGTGCCGAGAGCGAAGATGAGGACGATATGTCCTCGGTGGCGAGTTTCGACGACGATGACGAGGAACCGGCTGGCCAGATGGATGACGTATAGGAATGTTTTTCGCTATTCTTTTGGCCATGGTAGACACGCATCTGCCACAGCGCTCGATTTGAACAAAACCACTGCAATCCAGACACAACCAGCGGCGTCACAATGGGATTAATTCGTCAACAGGCCAGCCACACAGCAATGGGAGTTTTTTTTTTTCTTGACCTTTTTTTTTTTTCCAGCCCTTGAAATAAACCAAGATGGAGGAATCGCACCAATCATCCCCTTTCTACCTTATACTTTGTGTGTTTCCAGCGTTTCACTTACCTGCCTCTGGGTAGGAAGAAGAGACGACTGCATTTGGGGGCCTCATGTGTTCTGGAGTTAGGTACCTAGTTATTTGAATGGAAGGCAGCGTGGAGGAGAAAACTCAAGTAATGAGTGGGATGAGTATGTTGAATAGGATTTCCGTTAGAAAGTGCGGAAGATGCGAATAGTTTTCAATTCATCTTGATTAAGTCAAAAGAGGCGCGGCTATTGAGCCAACGCCAAATCCAATTCAACTCTAACAACAGGGGGTATCATATCTGGACTATATCGTGTAATTCCATCTCTTTCTCTCTTGGGAACCGGTTTCCCTTTTATAAATGCCAAGTTCTATGCGCCATTGAAACCATATAAAAAGTGAGGAGAAACCCCCCCAAAAGAAGTCGTCGCTAATGGCATTCAATCGGAATCATACTGCACCAGTCCCACGGCCGGCATCGCAGCTTTAGTTTCGGGTCTGTCGTCCAACTCTCCGTCTATCCGCTTCCTCTTCTTGACGATGCCGAGGGATGGCCTGCTGTTTGCCGGCTTGTCGTTGTTGGACTGCATAAGGAACGGATCTTGCGCCGCTCGCGTGTTGGAGATGACGTCTGCGACAAACGACTCTTTTCTCCTCGACGCTTCCTTTTCAGCCTTGAGTCTGGTATCTCTCGTAGTCAATGATGGTTTCTGTGTCTTGGCCCGTGAAGAAGCCGTCGTCTTCGTCGTCGATGCAAATAGAGGCTTAGAGAGCGCCTTGTCCTCCTCGCCCCCATCATCCGGCCGGGACCCAAAGTCCACCAGCGCAGCTCTCTGCGCATCTTCCTCCCTCTCCGGCAGCAAGTCTATCCCCAACCCCATCCTGTCTTTAAGATCCTCCGTCGCGGCGGCCAACTTCTCCCTCTCCTTGCGACCGACGCGAAATGCCTTTCTCAGCCTCTGATTCTGCGCATACGGATCGTCCCAGTGCCGTCGTGACAGATCCTCCAAGTCGTCGAGCCGCTCTGCCGCCATCTCAAGCTGCTTCCGATCCGCAATCGTCTTCTCCAAGCTCGCAAACGCATTCTTGCGCAACTCCTCTCTCTCGCGATCCGTCAAGATAGGCCCATCCGCATCATGACCATCACCACCACCAGTATCCCGCTTCGTGCCCCCCTCAACAACAACATACGCCGTGTTCTTCGGATCGGTGCGCATCTCAATCCACCCGCCGCACTCGGTATGGCGGAACCGGAAGCTCCATATCGGCGTCGTGTAGTAGTTGCCCGCGCGCTTCTTCTCGGCGTTGAAGCGCACGCCCTGGCCGATGATTGTGGGCTTGGGGCAGTGCGCGCACCAGACGGGGAAGGGCATCTCGAAGCGCACGGTCAGGATGCCGTGCGACGCCAGCTTGGAGGCGCGGTTGCCGAGGGGATGCTTCTTGTTGAGCTTGTTGCCTGATGTGGTGCCTTCGAGGTCCGGCGGGACGTAGCGTCCCATGTTGAAGCCCTGCATGGTGGGCGGTTTGTGGTGAGGATGGCGATACTGTGGTTTGTTTTTGTTTTGTGTTGTTTTTCGTTTGTCGAGGTCGAGGCTGCTTTGAAGATGAGGTTGTGGAGAGTTTGATTTGATAGCGATACGTCACTTGGTCGCTGGGAAAAGGACCCTGGAAATGGGAGTGGGGCACGCCACTTCGCGGAAAGGTACATGCTCTCTGTATAAGTGCCCCAGACCCGTCTTATACCTTCTTCTTTTTCTACGTTCTGTCAAGCAATATATGTTATATATGAGATTATTGGTGAGGAAAAGACTAGCAGAGCATCTTATATTCAATAGGTAATGCTGAAAAATAATTGAAATTGTTGCCAACCACTTATAAAGTGTGCCAATGCTGCTCTCATACGATTGCCTCACACTACTACCCAGACACATCACTCGACATAATTCATAACATATATATTATATCTCCATAACCTAACTACCCAGAGTCCAACTCGGCGGCCTGTCCTTCAATGCCTTCCCCCAGCTCGACTCCTTCGCCCCCAGCACCAGCTCCAGCGTCCACCCCTCCGTGAAAAACTCATGCCCAATCCACGACTTCGTCCACGGCTTACCATTCACCTTGGCGCTCTGCACATAAATATTCTTATACGAAGCATCGAATCCAATATTCCTCACCGTCGCAGTCTTGCCCGTCACGGGATGCTTGATGCTAATCTCCTCGACAAACGGTGGCGAAATCAAGTACACGTTCTGTCCCGCAACGGGGAACAGGCCCATGACGGAGAAGACGAGGAACGCGCCCATGGCTCCGGAGTCATCGTTGCCTGGAAGGCCGCCGGGGGACGAGTTGAAGTCCGAAGGGACGTACTGGTGGATTCGCTCGGTCGAGAGGCCCGGTCTGCCCGTGTAGTGGTACAGGAAGACGGTGAAGAAGACGGGCTCATTGGAAATGTCTGCCAGGCCCGAGCTGTGGAAGAAGTCGAGACGCGAGATCATTGCGTCGTCACCTCCGAGGAGGGAAATGAGAGATGAGACGGAGTGAGGGACGTAGCTTGGCATAGGGTTAGTTTTTTGATGACTTGTATTTTCTTTGGCGACTTACAAGAGATATTGCCATATGCTGGCTTCAAACGTCTCGCTCGGATTGGTCGTCAGTGAACAGAATCCCGCGAGCGCAGAGCACGCAATCGGGTCTTGGAAACCCCAAGTCCCGTTCTGATACTTGGGTTGGAAAAAGCCTTTGAACCCAGTGTCAGTTCCGTTGATGAATGACGTCTGGTCGGCCTTCCACAGGTTCTTCCAGTTCATGGCCCGCTTCTGGTACTTGGTCTGCAAATCACGTCTGCCCAGCCCCCCAGACAGCTCTGAAAGGCAGTAGTCATCGTAGGCATATTCCAGCGTCCGCGAAATGCTGCGTGAGTTGGTTCCGAAGCCGTACGGATCAAAGTCCAGGTAAGGGATGTAATTGAGCTGCTTCCAGCTATGGAGACCTCCTCGACCGTGGTATGACCACTCCAATGGCTCGTTCTCAGCATCTGCCATGACTGCTTCTAAGGCGAGCTCCCAGTCAATGGTGCTGCTGAGATTCTTGGCAAAGGCATCCGCAATGACAACGTCGGCGTTGGAGCCTCCTTGGGTCCAGCCCTTGCAGAGAGACATGCGGCAGTCGGGCATCCATCCTTCGTGCTTGTATATGTCTAATAGGGCTTCCACCATCTGCGTCTGAGCGCGGGGATCAAGAATGGTCAACAGAGGGTGCTGGACACGGAAGCTATCCCAAATGCTGTATACATATTCCACGATTAGTTTACTCACGCAAGAGAGATAAACTAGGAATAACTATTCTCACCAGTAAAACGAATCAAAGTAGGGCTTATCGCTATGCCAGAGCGGGTTCTCGCCCGTATAATTCTGCGGTGAAATCATGTTGCGGTACACGCCGCTCCAAAAGCTGGTCAAAAGGTCCTCTGTCGCACCACCGCTCTTGATGGATATGGGACTCAGCTTCTCCGTCCAAGCCTTCTGTGCACCGTCGACAAGTCGGCCAAAGTCCTTCAACGGGCTCGGGATCTCCTTCTCGGCGTTTCGACAAGCCTGCTGGCTGCTGATGTAGCTGATACCCATGCGGACTGTCACGACGCCGTCGCTCGGGGGGTTCAGACGCACAAAACCGCCACCCTCCAGGAAGAACAGGTTGAAGCCTCGCGTGAGGAAGACGTGCTTGGGGTCGGTGCCAGCGCGGTTGTTGACCCAGACACCAGTCTCGTAGATGCTCGATCCGAAGAAATCGGCGCAAAAATGCATCACATACGATCCGGCGCCGAAGCTGGGCAAAAACGTGCCGTTGCCTGTCATGCGGCCAGACTTTTCGTCGACCTGGATCGAGGCATTCTGTCGGCTCTGCCACAAATCCGTTAAATCTAGTAGAACCAGTGGGTGCTTCGCGCTCTTCGGGAATGCGAAGCGATACAGAGCGGAATGTTGAGCCACGGTCATGTTTGCCGCAATGCCAGACTTGAGCTGAAGCCCAAAGTGGCCCGGCTGGGCCACCACTGAGCCATTGACATAGTGAAGCTTCCGGTCGCCAATCCGGAACTTGCAGTTGTTGAGCTCATCGTCGGGGCAAACCTGCGGGAACAGCGGGAAGTTGCCCAAGCTGGGATTACCGCCGGTGCCGCTGTCGTGGACGCTCGAGAAGCCAACCACATTACTACCGTCAAGCCCAAAGCCTCCTGTATTTTGGCCATCTACATCGGCAGATGCCTTTGCGAGGCCGTACGGAAGCGTTGCTCCGGCAAAGACATTGCCGCCGTTGGTAGTTCCGATCAGCGGGTTGATGTAAGAGAGGCCCGACTTCTGGGTTGCAGGCGACGCGGTAATCCCTGGCACGGCACCAAGCAGGGCGAGGAGCTCGACACTCGCACGCATCTTGACAAGAAGCCAAATGGATACATATGGCAAGGAGGCGTCAGCAGGGAGAAACAAGCCAGAGGCGCCCTTTATTTGTACGACAAGACGTGGGGAGACATTGGCCGAGACCCAATGCGACTTCTCAGAAACAATGTACAAAAAGCCCTGCAGTCAGGCGTGGCCGCCTCAATCAGGCGAACAAAGACGTCACCGATCTGCAGAAAGACGCATGTTCCTTGCTGTTAAAAGGCACATCTCCAACTCGCAATGCAATTCTGCCGACGGTTGGACTCTATCATCGACCCAGAGTCCCCACTCGCTGCGGACAATGGTGATGATGATTAGACCGTGAAGCTTTCGTGACCCCCGCCTTGAGCGACTGTGGGAAGTCAGTTGCCTATTGTAGATAAGCTAGCAACCAAAGAGCCGGGGGCAAAGGCGTTGTGTTGGAGTTGGGGACCAGGGTTGTATGGATGCATAGCTTGATAAGAAGCAAATTAACAGAAGGCAACTATGACCATTGCAAACAGAATCCAAAACCATCGCGTCGTCATCATTCATGTAGACTATGGCCAAACCCAGAAGAATCCGGAGCACCGCGGCTCTCCATGCACCAATCCGGTTGATATGCGAGCCCATAACAAACCATATTTCATGATTCCATAACCCATGTGTGTTATATAGCTACCCAAGACAAATCATCATATTTTCATCAAGATAGAGAGAAAGGAGGGAAGAGATCCAAAACCAAAAACACCCAGAGACATTTAGCAGCAAAAGACGAGAGACCCAATAACAGCGTATATGATACCTGGTCGAGCAAATCAGGGCATCTCAAACTCGCCATCCTCATCCGGCTTGCCAATAACAGGTTCCAGGAGAATCGGTAGACATTCAGCCGCATTCCTGCCAAAGGCAAAGTCGCCCGGCTTTATCTTGTACATTTCCGCCTCGTCTTCCGCTTCGGGGTTGATGGTGACGATGCGCGCGCCTCGCTTCCTTGCCTTTTCAATGTAGCCGGCAGCAGGATAAACCTGCGCCGAAGTGCCAATGACGAACATGAGGTCCTTTTGAAAACAAGTGAATAATAATTAGCCAAGCCAAGACCTAAGAGATGGAAGAGAGAAAGGTGTGTGGTAAGTTGACTTACTATCGGCTCAGCACGTATCCATGCCGAGATGTCCATCATCATAGTCGCATCCAGATCCTCCCCAAACCAGACCACGCCCGGCCGCTGCAGACCTTTGTTGCATTGAGGGCACTTTGGCAACTCATCCTCGGTGATGTGTTTGATACGGTGATACGGGTCCAGCAACGGCAATGGCTCACCATTGGGCATGTCTACGGAAGCGGGAGCGAGCACGGCGCAAAAGGGGTCGTCAAAATTTCCTTTTTGGATCCAGTCGCAGCTCTCGTTTGAGCACTTGATGTCATAGAGGGAGCCGTGGAGACACTTGAGCTGTGAAGAAGGATGTTCTGCTCGCTGCGAGAGGTCTAAGCGGTTGAGCAACCACCGTGGTTAGCCAATGAGGACAAAGGAAATGTCACTCCCATCAAACTCCCATCAGACGTAAACTTGAAGCCGGTCCAGCCACTTACTGTCGACATTCTGCGTCAGGCACAAAAAGTCCATGTTCCGCCTGGCCAACGCGGCCAACGCCTTGTGCCCCAAATTCGGCTCTGCTTTGAGCCCCAGGTGTCGGCGGTACGCATAAAAAAGCCACGATATGCCAGGGTCCATCTTGAAGGCCCTCACCGTCGCTAGCTGTGTGGCATCGTAGTTTCTCCAATAGCCACCAGGCCCCCTAAATGTAGGCAAACCTGAGTCCGCCGAAAGCCCTGCGCCCAAAAGAGCGAGGATTCGACGGCTGGACCGCAGCACTTGGTGGAAGGCTTCGATGTCGTTGTGAGGTGCCATGGGGTGGTTCGTTGTGTTGGTGTCTGCGTTTGGTGATGTCGATTCCATTGCGTCGTGACCAGCAGAAGCCCCCTTTCTCCCCCTCCTTTTGAACAGAAAATCGAGTGACTGGGTCAGACCACTGAGGGGAAGAAACGGTCGTCGAGAAGAATAACGAGCGATGGAGGAAATGGCTCAGAAAAGAGGCGACAGAGAGCGACAAAAGCAAGGTGAGAGAGAGGGGACACAAAGGAGGGGAAAGGCTGCAAGAGGCAGAAACACAGCAGAAACAGGCTGCTGCAGCGCAAGGCTCAGGGTGAAAGCAGCCTTTGGTTCCGTCGAGCTCGGCGCGCGCACCAGCAGCAGGGAACGAGAAGAAAAAGGCGGCAAGGCTGTATTGCGAGGCTTGCAGGATGCCAAATTGGGTTCTTCAAACGAGCGTCGTTGAATTGGGCACGAGACAGAAAGAGGTGAACAGAATGAGCAATTGGACGGGATGCGGCGTCGGAAAAAAAAAATGCACGCGCGAGTCCAGCTCTATCTACCTAAGCTGCAGTACCAGCGACCTAATTATAACAGTCTCGTCTGCAGCTCCAAACCTGTTGCTGCGACCTGCGCCGTGGGGGGGGGGGGGGGGGGGGGGGGGGGGGGGGTACAGTACGTCATGGGCCGCGCGCTGTTTGTGTCTGTTAATTAATTCCAGACCAGAGTGTCATACAGTTATCACCAAAAAATTGAGATTGATCAATATGCAAATATGGCTTCGGAATTTTCTGGTTTGTTACCGGCGAGCCATTAAGGGTCTCTCTAATTGATTGCTCCAAACACTATCCGAAATGACAATTGAGACTCGATTTGATGCGTTAGGAGGAGCTCTTCAGGGATTACACTAGGACGTACTGTATACCTGTAATTATACAATATCTGCATCTTTCCATGGAGGTGCAAGACTTTCATGATGAGCCATCCGAAGAAGCAATTGAATACCCATCCTCCCAATCGTTCTCCAAAAGCCAGATTACTCCATCTCCTCATCATAGGCCTCCCAAACTCTTTGCGCATACTGCTGCAGCCAGGCGACAGTGATAACCACATCCCCCTCTCCCTGGCGTGGATTTCTCAAGAACAACAGTCGAAAGTCCAGCACCAAGTCGTTACTAGCGACTTGATATGTTGGTGGGGTTGTCGAAGTTTCGGTGATATTGATTGTCTGATGACAGTCGGGTATTAGTGTGCTCGCCCATCGGGTTGAGGCTCCTGCGCGAGGGCCCCCCTGCTGTCTCTCTTGCCATCTTTCTATCAGTATTCTGCGTTCAGTCGGAAAGAGTTTTGCCAAGATAATAATCTTGATCTCATGATTCGAGTCTTGAAACCAACTTTTGATCTTTTCCCGCACTGCTGGTAAAGTCTGGGAATATCCAGACTCAATCACAAGGGTTGGAAACCCTCGGCGACGTTCTGGCACAGGTTTTCCGCATGAGTCTGCTTGCTTTCCTCCGCCGCCACCTCCTCCTCCACCCCCGTCGCCGGGGCGGCGTCGTTCAAAATAGAAAGTCTTATTTCCATAATCTTCCCAGTTGGCATCTAGGCCCATGCGATCGATCTGGGAGACAGCCTCTTTATTCAGTCGCCTGTGAGCTACTTCGTGTGCTCCCGTGGTAATTGTGATGATCAAGCATCGAGTGTCTTCGGTGTACATAGAGAGGCGGATCCTGTGCCTCTCATAGTCTTCGTCTAGCCTCTTAAAAACCGTAGGAGACACATCTTAACAGAGTTAGAGACGGGCAAGCTAATGACAATGGTTTAAACATACCTGTGACACGCAACGCATCTCCCGGCGCAGCAGCAATTGCTCTGAGCAAATCTGCAAGATTGGTAAATCGAATAGTCGGCATCGACTCAGCTGCTCGCGCGTCTTGAACCATTGGGCGTGGTATTCCTCTGGCGGACTTGGACGACAATGGCCCTGGTGCTGCTTGGGGAGTTAGAGTTTCTCTCTGTGTCGAACCCATTGTGAAGGCAATGCTGTGTGTGTGTGTGTGTGTGTGTGTGTGCTATATATAGAGAGAGAGAGAGCGAGAGAGAGCGAGAGCGAGAGCGAGAGCGAAAGAGTATGTGTTATAAGTAAAGGAAAGAGAAGAGAAGAGAAGAAGAAGAGAGAGAAGAGCAGGGGGAAGCCTTACAATTTATAGAAGAATACCTTTCGCTCACTATCACACGGAGTCCCCAATTCACGATTCCTTATTGACACAATGTCAGTGATTCACTGATTCGCTGAAGGTCTCTATCGGTGAGAGAGTTGAGACTTTCGTCAGCAGGCCACTGAACGTCTCTATCGGTGAGGCAGATGACACCTTTGTCGGCGATTCACTGAAGTTTAATATCGGTGAGGCAGATGACACCTTTGTCGGAGAATTGATGGTATAAATCAACATGAGTTAACAGAGTGCTTTGTGGAAATCTCATAATGGTTGCGAGTCGGTATGGGCGGATTTCTTTCTTTATCTTAGTATAGTCGATAATTTACATATCGCGGTTAAGAGCTAGCAGCCCTTGACCTGGGCAAGAGCGCCTTCTATAATATAGACTCATGTAACAAACTCTGCAGGCGTCATTACACAAAGAGTACCCATAATAATATAGTCCCATTAGACTATTTTAAGGTTTTGAAGACAGCCACGTAAAGTAACATGCAGAACAGATTTAACATCAAATACAAATATTCAGTTCTCAATTTTTGGCTTTGGCATCGGTTGCTGTTGGTTTGTCATATGTATGTATACATTGGTTTCCAGTAGCTAATCAGGTAGTATGGTACCCTTAACACTGGATGAGATCGTCACTGTCACAAATGGCTCGAATAGTTCATGAATCTGTGATACCTGTCATCGTGTATGCGCGTCTTCGCTGTCTTCGAATATAATAAGCTTTTATTATGTGGTTATATAATGCACCATCAGTTTAGTTTATAAAAGTTCTATTTAGTGTCATCGCGATTTATTATTCAATATTGAAAGTGTACATTCAAGGCACAGAGCGTAACAAGTATGCAACCGGCCAGACGCGGGCAACTGCCGACAACAGGTATTGCACGGCCTTCCTCTCGGTATGCATTCCGCTTTGACAAACCCATATAGCAATTCATCAGTTAATGCGAAAATAGACAGTAAACATAACAGTCACTTCTTCGCATAATAACGTTGAGTATATACAGGCTTTACGTATAATGCAAATGACGTCAATGGAGGGTGTGGCTTAGATTACTGACTTCTAGATGCTTGATGAGGCGAGGAATGGCCATCTTGGTAGTTGAGCGTGCCGGAAAAACTATGACCTGATTGCATTTCTTTGGACAATGCTTATACACGTGACCCCATCTCCTACATTCATAATAACGGTGGGTTTGTTTGCCTGTTTTCCATTATGACACCGGTGCAGGCTGGCGTAGGGGCCCATCCGGCCTTTCGGGGAGCGGGTGGGTCACGGGCCTCGTCCGGCGCGATGCGGGACACCTCCGGCTTGAGGGAGGGTGCGGCCAGGCGTGGAGGCAGAGAAAGCATCACTAGCTGGTATCAATTCTCTGAAGTGGCTGACATTTCTCTTGGGCTGAGTGGCATCGACCAATATGGGACGGGGCTTGACGCGATTTGGCATATCTATCCACTTCCACCGGGCTCATGGAGTCCAATCTCGGTGAGCTCATTCTCCTTGGTCCAAGCGCTACTCATTGAACTGCCTCCTGTGAGACCACCTTACCCATGCGTTGTCCGTCGAGCCAGGTTAATTGGCATCACTAAGTAGAACGAGTGCTTTAACTGCTATTTGACTTGGTCAGACCTGTACTCCCCCCGCAGACCCCATAAATATGGCCGTTGGGGTCGCATGCGGCGACACTGCCCGAGTGGAAGTAACCTTGGAATGGTTTCCCAACAGTCCATGGGCCCGGCCCCAATCGAGGCATCATTTCCAGGACCGTTAACTGTTACTATTACTGGCGTTGAGCGTGGTATCACCATCAACATTGATCTGTAGAAGCTCGAGACCCGCAAGAACTACCCAGTACTTTCTGCTACTATGGATGGAAACAGTTGAGTCGTTCAACGTCAAAATAACCTGCCTGGTTCCATGCCGCGCGTTTTAGTATTGCCGCTGAACCGCTGCCCATGTCTCATCACCGGAGAGAGCAGTTGGCCCTTATGGAGAGACCTTAGTAACTTAACCACTCAGACACAGAGATAGAAGTAAGTTAGGAGAATGGGACTGAGCCGCAGCCACACTGAGATGGCCCAATATTCGTCGAGTACTGCCAAGGGCTGAGAGCTACTGAAAATAGTTGGCAAGCTGGCTGAGAACCTTGAAAGAAGGGAGGTGGCTCCTACCTTAAGGCAGTCACCCTACGAAAAGCGATATCGGATATTACGAAAAGAACTATTCTTTATTAATCTTGGTGGCCCTGTATTTTGGGATACTTGGTCTTATACGTGGGTTGTTGAGACTGTGTCGTACACTTCCCCGGTACGCCTAGGACTCTCGACCAGCCGAACCTTATAGGTTGTCCTTGATTCGTGCTTGGTATGGACCATTTGCGTCTCTGCCTTGTCACGCAAAGAAATTCTAGGATCTACTGGAAATGAACCAATCCGTCGTGATTCCGGAATCATTGGTTGAGGGATCCTACATCTAGTCCCCTCCCTTCCCCTCTACCATCGGCCCTTTGCCCTCGTCTTCTTCCCCTTCCTCTCTCGCAACAATGCCTCTGATTCACTCTCGGGTTGGAAGAGCGCTCTGCTTTGTGCCCAAGGCGGTGAGGTAGCAAGTACATTCCCAATCGAGCATTACCAGGTCCTCCCCATTCGTGGGTCTGACTGTGTACTGCGGTGCATCGGCTGGGTTTGTCTGAATCCACAGTGAGAGATCTTCTTGCGTTATGATCCATGTAAGTGCATGTCGCATTTCGCCAACAATTTCCATTCTGATGTGTAATAGAATCCGTGTCATTGCTACACATGTCGCTGCATCTATCAGTGGGAGGAGATGCAGACAATGCAAGAAGATGGAGGAGGAGGAAGAGATAGAGGAGTTGCTGGAAATGCTGGAAATGCTGGAAATGCTGGAGCAGGAGATATGAGAGAGGCAGCAGATGATAGAGATGTAGCAGGCCGACGAGAGAGAGATGAGAGACACGAATGGTCGCTCCTCTCTAGGCCACTGTATATACCTGTATATTTCCCCTTCATCAACCCCCCCAATAACCTTGAGTCTTCAAGCCGCAAGAGGGCGGCCACCCAGAAGGGGTTCGCGAGTCGGGTCAACCCCGACTCGCAATACCCAGCCAAGATAACAGCGAACCCCTCGTTATTGGATTTTGGCAGCATGATTGGCACCGAGGGCATCAACATCAACAGAACTATTATATCCTCCGTGGCGTCAACATAATCTACAAGGAAGTTAATGTGTTGTCTAAGCGCCCGATTATTCTTTTCCCGCTTTACATCAAAGTAGCTGCAATAGATTTCATAACTCCGAAGTTCAAACCTTTTACTGAGTATTCTCAAGTCAAGACCATTCTTCATGGACTAGGAACTGTTTCTCCGTTCCCTTTGCCTCCCCAGTATTTCTTCAAAACTCATGACATGCCACCAAATTCGGCGACACAAGTTGTATTTTGCGGCGACGATGGTTCTGGGAGACGAGATAGTTCCGCATACTATTCACGACGTTGTTCAATGTCAGCAGCTGTGAGAGTCACCTAGATGTCAACTAAGGGATTTACTTGATAGAGGACAAACGATTGGTCGCACGATTTGCCAGACTTGAGCTCACGATGACAGAAATGCGTCCACCCATTACTTTGATCATGACGGGGTTGTGCAGGTACAGATTCCTGGCATGAATCTACTGTTTGCTCGAGTGTGTCTGATGGGCGGCTTTGTATTGCCAGCAGAGGCGCAAATTTCTAGGCATAAATCGGGATATAATTGCGTATCTAGTTCGTGACTGAGCAATATATCTCCAGTTGTTTTAGCGATTGTGGAAACGACCATCGACGAAGAGCTTCAACACGGGCATCAGTAAGTGAGGAACCTTCACCGTCCTGTGTCTCTCGCACACGAAATCCCCCCCACGGGTGCACACAAGGTTTCAACTCCTACGATGTAGTTTATTGCCGCCAAATAACTTAATCATGTTCTAGATGACGGGACGATGAACACTTCTGAAAGACAGGCCAATGCCTGTAACTCTCAATATCCGGTCTCCCATAAGTTAAATCGCAAAAGAGATCTGTCGTTAATGTAAGATGGATCTAACTCCCAGCCATTTTCTAATTATAGCCGTGGCCAAACTTTAAAAGTTGTATACTTCATAGACTCGGCGGGATTTTTTTTCCTTATTTTCTTCCCTTCACTTTCTTCTTCTTCTCCTTTTTTCCCTTATTTGGTGGGTCAGCTTTGACAAACCCTATCTATACTCGAGTCGTACCATTCAGTAAGATGTGTAACCACCTCCATGACATCACTCTCGCACGTCTAAAAAGTACCTAACCATAGTATCGCCCATTTGTTCCATACATTCGTATACCATGGGCTTATATATCTGCTAAGCGGACGAATCAACATCAAAGCGCAGTGCAATTCCCTTGCTATAATTGAATGTTGATCAGTCTTATTTTTTTCTGGACGGTGGCTACATGTGAGATATTACTTGTATACAGGTTAAGGCTATGCGGCGCCCCAGGTCGGCTAACTAGCATCCCAGCGACTACGTGTAGTTCAACCGTCGTAAGGGGACGCAGGGGAAGGATCTTCTTATTAGTATTACTTAAGTAAATACACGGGCTACTACTCTCTGCTGCTATCGATATATTCCTCTAGTATCTGCTATCATTATTACCTACCTATACCTATCTGATGCTTCTAAACTTGAGACATGAGATGCTGCATAGCTACCTAGTAACTTGGGGTCCCTTTATAGATAGCTGCTTACTTATATAATACTAAGCGTACTCGTAATGTCATACGGAGTACGGATTACCTATGTATCTTTTGGGGCGATCAGTTTATTGAGATGCGTCGAGGAGATAAAACATGTAAACAAGCGGATCACATAGACGCAAACATTCAACACTCTAAGGAACGCACTGCGTACCGTGGCATACATAGTACCGCTGTTGGTGCATCATATAACCGTCCAACAAGAAATACATTTGCCATACCAACAATAAATTAGCAAATATGTCAAGAATGTAAACATGAGCGCATATACGCCATCTTGTTTGGTTGCTCGCTGCGCTACCCGAGAGCCTGACAATTGATGGCGTTATGAAAACAGATACTAACACCTAGGTGCTAGCAGTCAATGAATCTAAGATGCCAAGAAAACAAACAAAATAGAGTCTTTTCCTGTCCTGTGACTGACTGGTATGCCATATGCTGTTGACACCTGATCACTGGACTTCATGACAGCCGCCATTAAATTGCGTAAACACCTAACCTATATCATTCGGCATTCACATATGTACAAGTACCTGAGCATAGGTCGTGGTACCATGAGTAACCAGACAGTGCCACTACATACCTACTCACATGTGCTCGATTGATACTCTGTACCCCAGATGCTCAAAGCCAAAGCCGTGCTACGTGATACAGATAGCGGCCCTCCCCGCCATTGACAACTCAATCGCAAAGGTTAATTATCATTAATCTATGTAGAGACCACAAGGGTTGGGGGAAAACAACAACAAAACAACAACAAAGAGTCTTGCTATATTAAAGCGAAACAAGGGCTGAGACACTCCGCCCGAAACCCGCCAAAACAAGTTCCCCAAGGGATGGCGTGCGTTCGTCTAGCAGCAGAAACTGGAACATGTCAAGTTACTAGCCTATGTTCTTTATCATGACCAAGACAGCTGATCCGAGGGAAAGAGCTCGGGCGGGAGGTGGGAGAATACGACTCCGTATCCCCTTGGGAGGCATCCCGGAACCCGCCATCACGAGCATCCTACTTCAAGTTACGAGTACTTTTTACGAGACCCTACTGTACGAGCAATGCACGTTCCGCTACCCCTCATTTGATACGGCGGTTACAAGCTGGCCGAGTTCTAGATGCTCCTTTGTCGCAGGCAACTGGCCGGGAGAGAGAGGCGTCCTACACCAGTCTCATCCGCCCTGCAGGAGCAAGAACTAGTTGACTAGGAAACGCTCCATGTGTTTTGCACAGTAGAGCAAATAGTTACAGTATTCTTCCTTCTTTGCCCTTTACTACTTACATGAGCACGGAGTGATTGGTTGACTGATTGGGAAACTGGGGGCTCTCGATATCTGTTTCGTGTGAGCGCAAAATTTGTCTGAAACGCGGCCAGATAGGTCCCTTGCGCTGTCGAGCCACTGTTTTAGAATGATCGTCGCGAAACATTGGCAGGGCGGACGGGCTTTTTTTTTCTTCTTCCCCTTCTTTTCTTCTTCTTTGTTCCGTTCCCCCTTCATTGGAAAAGAGCCGCTGCCAACGCAAAGTTGTGGGAACAGTGCACCGGAACATGCCTTATGCGGCCATGCCCGACCCGACCGTGCAAAGCAGGTCGACCTGTCACCCCGTAGGTGGGAGTAAGCCGTGTTCCAACGTCAATGCCCGGGCCCCCAGCGGTGAGGCCGTATTGGAAATGAATACGAGAAGGCAACCGAAACGCCCGTATAGCACCTGTCACAGGCAAGTGAGGTGGTGAAGGTGCCAATGACATTAGGATGTGCTGGTGGTGTTTTTAACGGGTTGAAATGATAAGACGCGCCCTACACATATGTACCTCATACGAGTAGTGCTCCGTACATGCAAGTCTGGTGCCAATGCGGATGCTTATACAACGACTTGGTCAGCAGAAAAGGCTCACATGTCTCCGGAGATTTGGCTGCAGGGAGAGAAGCTTAGCAGCGAGAGTCCCTTTGCAGCCTAGCCGGGCCACGAACGTGATGCTACTGCTTCTGCAGAGAGGTAAATATAGAAACTCATGAGGCAAACAAAGACTGGCCTAGCGCAGCGGGTTTCCCCGTATCTCTCTCTCTAATTTTTTTTTCTTCTCTTCTTTTTTGCCTCGACGATCTCGTGTCAATGCCAGGATCGCATTGTAGGCTAGGTGAGTTGGCTTAGATGCAAGTGCTCGGAGGTGGAAATTTTGAGACCATCAGATGAGCAGCACCGAGTAAGTGCATGTGGCACAACTACGGCATACTCCGAAGATGGGTCGGGAGACTAGAAAATAAACACCAAACACTAACAAAGGGGAGCTGCTTACCTAAGAAAAAAGAGAAAAGAAGAAGAATAACAAAAGAAGGGAAGGAAAAAGAGGGTTTCGCCCCTTGAAGCATGAGGTGCTGGATGTCATGATCACTCACCCGGCGTCAAAACTCAAAGGGCCAAGAGTGTCGCGAGACGAAAGACGCAACACCGCCAAGCAGGCAATTTTAAAAACAACAGACAATAGACGCTCTGGCATGACCGAATGAGGTAGTCGCCGCGCCGGGGGTCACACAAAGCACCGCATGGCATTGGACGGGGACTCGCAAGCACAGCCCCCCGCGGCAAAACCCACCCGAGTTTATTGTACAGTAGTGCTCTTTTTTGATTGAAGAAGAAGAAGAAGAGAGCGGGAGAACTGATAGATAGCAAGTACTGTACTCCGTACTCCGTACCAACTCCCGGACGCAAGGACGGATACTGTAGGTATACGTGTGAATACGAAGCGCCCCATCCCCGGTGCTAGCACGGTGAGGTGCCGTGGTGCCGTCACCAGCCAGCAACTGAGGAAGTCGGCACAGAAGCTCTGAGCCAAGGTCACGGGGACGAGGCTCGCTACCTGGGCCCTGGGCTTGGCTTTTCTGGCCGTTGTTTCTGGTCCGTGATGCTCTCCATCATGGATGCTGGTACAAGTACGAGTACATTGTCCCCCGGCAACGACACCTGCAGGTACCTCCGCGGGTACATGTACAAGTACAGACGCCAAGCACCTACGGCTCGTGTTTGCGGGCTGCTCGTGTGAGTCCCATACTCGGTAGAGTAAAAAAAGAACAAGACGGAACAAAAGGAAAAAGGGAAAGGAACAAAAAAAAAAAAAAGGGTGTGGAGGGGGCTGGGAGAGAGAGAGGTTGGGGCCAGCTGCTGTAAGCTGTAAGGCTAGTACGATACAACTCGTAGCATCTATAGACGCAGGGCTTGTGCTCTCCGCTGGATGTCTGAGATTGGACGAGGTTGGATGGGATTGACGCTGTGGAGGACGAGTTTCCGATTGAGTCATCTGGGCTTTCAATCTTTGTGAGACTTTTGGGGCTGGCCCCAGACCGTGTTACAAGCACAGGCAGTAACTGGCACTTGTCCATCAACATGGCGAGGGGATCTCAGCCAAGGCGTTTTACTGTTGCTAGTGACATGACGCTTTGGCAGCCCGGCGGAGCACAGAAAAAAAAAAGGGCTCCTGAGGGGCTCAAGGGGATCGGGATCAGATCAAAAAGAAGGCGAGTCGAAGAATAGGCAGAAGAGGAGGCTGGGCTTAGCGTTGGTGACACAGCGGCACATGCATGAAGACGACAGACTTGCATTAGAGGCCAAAGATATGAGATGTATATACGGAGTACTCGTAGATTTGGGTAGATTGGTGTATTACGGCACACAAAGGGCTCACCCACGTCTGGAGAGGAAAGTGCTTTGATTGATGGCATCTTGGGGGTGGGCTGGTGGGCTGGTGGACAGAGTGGACAGAGTGGGATCACCGTGCCGAGAGGCTTGCCCTTATCAGGCTGGTTACTCTCTTCGGCGGGGTCTCGGAACAACGAGGGTTCGAGCCAAGCAGCTTACAGGCAGCGGTACCTGTACGAGTACTTTTTGCGGGTGATCGGTACGGAGCAAAAGCCTGTTGCCGTGTACTGTCGCTATGTGTTGTTGGTGTCTGCGGTACGGGCTGCGGCGGCGAGGCACGGTATACTCGATCTCAGCCCGGACGGTGTTCTGGAGATGGAAGATGCGGTGGCAACAAGCTCAACCCGCAGCTCCTTTTTTTCTCTCTTCCTGACGATCCGTCACATCCATCTCGTTCCATCTCGGACACTGTAACACGCCGCATGTGCTCTTTTCTGTCTCTCTGTTGTACGAGCTCTGACCCCCTAGGCCGAAAACATGCATGGCCACCCTGCAGCTCGATGCCCGTCCATCAGGGGTAAATCCGCCCACCAATGACGTTGGTCGCCTGCCAGGGTCCAGTGAGAGGCTTGTACCTCGTACAGTAGAGGTAGCGGTACGAGAGCGCAGCGAGTGAGCGACTCCAGCCGATTTGCCCAGGGCTTCAGGGTCAGGCTGTAGGTAGGTACGGTACGTTACGAGTACATGTAACCTCCCTAAAGCAGCAGGTCCCTTGGGGCAGCGATCGCAACGGCGGTTTCGAAACTGTGCAAATCCTTCTTTGTGATAATCGTGATTGACAGCCAACGGACCGAAACAGCACAGGGCGCCGTGTGAGCTGACGGAGCGGGTTTGTTTGTCATGGATCGATCCTGTGTTGCGCGTCATGGCGCTTTACAGTGAATGAATGAACCTGTCAATTTTCATTGTGACGTACTGTAGAGTACGAGTAGGTACAGTACTTCACAGACAGACAGAGTCGAGTCATCCATCCGTTCAGCTACGGAAGCTGATTTAAAATACGAGTTTAATGTGTGGGTGCCGTTGCAGATGCACCACTCGTTACGCGTACATGGGCAAGTACTCGTATGAGCGTGAGCCTGAGCGTCTGAGTCTGGGCAGGTAGAGGTACTGCTACGAGTACTCGCACAGCACAGCACAGCACAGGCTCCATGGCACGATAACGGGGAAACGCCGCCACGTTGGATCTGGCGACTGGCTGAGCGCCATGCAGCCTCTGGCGGGCAAAAAATGGGCGGCTGGCCATGGAGCGCACACGAGGCCCATTTAGGCTACCGGCAAGTCGGAAATGGCATCAACTGAGCAATACGATGCGGAGTACAAGTACACGGGCGATGATGGCGATGAAGGGCGATGAAGGCGACAAAGGTCGAGCCGCCGGGTAGCGGTACCTCGTACATGGCTGGCTGTCAAAGCAGCTAAACGCCAATAGCAGGCAGTTCAACGCCACAACACGAGCCAAGGCCCTCGTCCACCGTTCTCGACCCTGTCGCTCCACTGGCCGGACTCTATGCGAGCCGAGGGGCTGGGGCTGGGGGGGCGGTTCGTTTCTGTGCTGTGCTGCTGCTGCTGCTGTTGCTGTGCTGGGCGGCACTGTTTGTTGCTGTGTCAGGCTGCTGCTGTAGGCTTGGTTGGGCGTCTCACTGGCCTCGAGTCGCTGGTTGGCCACCGCCGCAGCGTCATGAAAGGGCAGGGGGTCGACAAGAGAAGAACCGGCGACAGGGGGGGTCCAAGGGCGTCTGGGCGCGATACACAGGATACACAGGTACAGTACCTAACTCGAGGGAATCGACAGGGGTGTTCCTCGCAGCCCGAGTCTTGGCCCTGCAGGGATTTCCGACAGGGGGTGGGGACCCTTGCTTTGCCTCGACCAGATTCGGCTCCTCCACAAGCCTCTCGGCGTCTGTCTGCCTCTTGTCATGTCTCGCTCTCGCACATAATAAGACACTCATCTCACCACCGGCCTAGCCTTCCCTTCTCTTTTTTCCTCTTTCTCTCTCGTCCCTTTTAATCGTCATCACACTTTCTCGTCAAAAGCCTCTCGAGCTTCCTCAATTTCCTCGAGTCCCTCCCGCGTCTTTTCTTTGCGCCAGTCTCTCGCTTTACTGTACTGGATTTGACGACCTCTATCGTTAAGGTTAATAATATCTGTCGACCGTTTTATACTCGCACATTTTTTCTCGTCAATCCGGTTATTTATTCTTCGACAAGCCGTCGCTATCGTATAATCAACAGCAACCATGCTCTCCAAGACCTTCACCACTGCTGCTCTGGCTCTTGCCGCCTCTACCCTGGTGTCTGCCCAGACCTCCACCGACTGCAACCCTCTCGAGAAGAGTAAGTGAATGATGAATTATGAGAATCATGACAAATACACAAACATGATATCTCGACATCTTTATTCAAACAAACAGTCACTAACCAGACAAACACAGCCTGCCCTGCTGACCCTGGCTTCGGAAAGAACAACGGCGACTGCGACTTCACCAAGGGCGCCTGTGGTAACTTCGAGTCTCTTCCCGGAACCACCCTCAAGTACAACGGCAACGGTGCTGTCTTCTCCATCAGCACCGAGAAGGAGGCCCCTACCATCCGCACTGGCAAGTACATCTTCTTCGGCCGCATCGATGTCGTTGTCCAGGCCGCTGCCGGTGCCGGTATCGTGACCTCCGCCGTTCTCCAGTCCGATGATCTCGACGAGGTATGTCTTTTTCCTTTCGCTTCCAATGTGTCAAAATCTGACAGCATGACTAACTGGGATGAACTAGATCGACTGGGAGTGGGTTGGCGGTGACAACGCCCAGGCTCAGACCAACTACTTCAGCAAGGGTAACACCGCTACTTACGACCGTGGTGCTTTCCACGCTGTTTCCAACCCTCTGGGCTCTTTCCACACCTACTCCGTTGAGTGGACCTCTGCTGGTGTTACCTGGTTGATCGACAACAACGTCGTCCGTACTCTCACTGCTGCCAACGCCGAGGGCGGCGCTGCCGGCCTTCCCCAGACCCCCATGCAGGTCAAGCTCGGAACCTGGGTTGCTGGCCGCAAGGATGCTCCCCAGGGCACCGTCGAGTGGGCCGGTGGCTACACCGATTTCTCCAAGGCTCCCTTCCTCGGCTACTACAAGAGCATCTCCATTGTCGACTATGCCGGTGCCGACGCCCCTACCTCCAAGAGCGTCAAGGAGTACATCTACGGCGACCACACCGGTTCTTGGCAGAGCATCAAGGTCGTCCTCGGTGACGGCAGCGACGACAGCAGCGACTCTTCTTCTTCCAGCTCTGCTGCCCACTCTTCCACCAAGGTTTCTTCTGCTGCTTCCTCCACCAAGGCCCCTGCCTCCACCACCTCCGCTGCTGAGCAGACCACCACCTCCGCCGAGCAGACCACCCTGGCTTCCGCTACTTCCACTCCTGCTGCTCCCACCAAGAGCACTGGTGGCAGCGGCAGCGCTGGCAACGGCACTGTCTCCTCTACCGGATCTGTCCAGCCCACCAAGCCTCCCACCGTCCCCGGCAACGCTGGTTCCCGCGCTGCCGCCACCCTTGGCAGCGTCTTCGCTGTTGGTGCTGGTCTTGCCCTTGCTCAGTTCCTTCTGTAAACGGGACCCTCAAGCCACAACCCCCTTTTGTTTTGCTTTTTAGGAATGTACTTATTGTTGCGGGCATGAAAAGCATGTAGATGGGGCAGAGCGTTTGCGTGCGGAGAAGAGAGCGGACCAAGCTAATACTATACAAATTCGAGTTTTACCACAAGCCGCCCTTTTCTTGTTCACTTGTACATCTTTGGCAACGGACACCAAATCTGTGGCGAGTCGTATTCCTCGACCGATATATTCCACACAATTTCCTTTCACTATTTTTTCTTACCCAGTCACTGCAATTGCTTCTGGACGAAAACGCCTATAATGATTTTTTAATGGGGGAGGTCTGCTCTTCTTCCCGCCGAGCCGATTTCGGGTAATGACGTTTGCTTGGATTGATGAAGAGAACAGGATCGATGATTGAACTCTTTTTGTTTTTGCCGTTGGTGTTTTTGTTTTTGGCTTGATATCCTCCTTGATGTTTGTTTTTTGCCTGTTTGAACCATGTATTTCCGGCGCATGCCCGATTGGGTCATTGCCTGTATGTAGAAGGATGTTACAAAAAACAAGAGAATCTTGATTAATCTTACCCTTGCCTGTTCCCATGTGCATGTTCATGACTTGGCAGTAAAGACCGTTACTTTCTCGTCTCTTGGCTCTCCATCCCCCATACTCTTGTCAAATTGCCATCTGCTGTCGAATGTGTGAATACGGGGTACAGTACGGGCGATGGAGATTAATTACACCCAAACGCAGCTAGTGGTTGCTAGTCTTGCCTCCCCGCGCATAGGCGCAGTCGTTAGGCCCGAAGCGGACGATGTGATGCAAGGGTCTGGGAGGCTCTCATTTCCTTTCGGTGCCTGCCAAGGTTGGGAGGCGTTTGCGGCTTTTGGGGCTTTTGGGGCTTTCGAGCTTGCATGGGATGGGGATGGTTCGTGACAGGAGGAGAGGCATGGCCGTTGAAGGGCCTGTGCGTGATGATCGAGTAATACGATACGAGGGTATGGGTATGGGGGATGAGGTGAGCAAGCGAGCAAGCGAGCGAGCGAGCGAGTGGATTTGATTTGGATTCAATTGAACTGGAAGAGGTAATAATAGATGGGGAGATGACGATGAGAATGAGAGAGGACACCAATTCATCATGCTCGTTGTGTGAGTTGTCTTGGTCTGGGTTCAACGGCTGAGTAGTAAATTACGTACATGAAGAATGAAACATGCAGACCCGAATTTCCTTTTTCGCCTCGCGATTAATACGAGTAAGACTATGCTGACAACTATTTCTCTCTCTCTCTCTTTTTCTTTACCTACGACAAATCAATGCAACAACAGCTTCCGTCAGACCACCTCCTTTTTTTTTTTTTTTCCTTCCATGGGCTAAACGCGTACTTGGCTGTATCGGGCAAGAGAAATGGGAGAGGAAGCTATTAGTAGCATCGAGTTGATGTTGTGTCTATGGTGGTGCTAGGCGGAAATGAGGGTAGCGCGGTTTATGGGCGATGCGGCGCGTGGGAAGAAGTTTTTTTTTTTTCTTCTTCTTTCTTTCTATTAGGTGTTGCATGAATTGGGTGCTTTATTTGATGCTGCTAATGGAATGGAGACCTGATGTCATTGATGGTGGAATTATCTTCTTTTCTGCTCTTCTTCTTTTTAATTGAGCGGGCTTTAGCTGTGTTACGAGGAAATCAAGGTACATCTTACTGCCAAGTACCTTAGTATTAAGTACAGTACATTGGTGCTATTATTACATGCACCTACCCAAGACAAGATAACGCGAGATGAGATCAGGCCCGATGATAAGAGGCATTTATTCCGCCAATGCAGCTGGTATCAGTACCTGTTATCTCCATTGCCGTGCTACGTTGTACGGAGAACGCCGTGCTTTGCCTCTAGCCACTACACACGATAGTACAGTAGGTACATTCCTCATGCTATCTTACCCTTCATTCTACCTTGAGCTCGGCGTTTCGCATGAGCTGATGGCCCGAATCCGGCTTGGCCTCAATCAATGCCTTCCAATACTACTATTTTTTTTTCTTCAAGCAATTAAGCGAACTAGCAGCTTCCCACTAGTAGCCGAAGCATTGGGACAGTTACGCCGAATGGGCGCATAGAGACGTGACGTGACGTGAGTCATGGAGCTTTTCAGCTGTGTTCTTAGGACGCGGAGAGCCATTGAAAGAGGCTTGGCTTTTTTGTCCCTCGCTATTGGTTTCCTAGAATGGGGTCTGTTTACTATAGGTACACATTTTGTTTCTGTATTTCCTTTTCGGCAGTGGAAAGTGTTATGTCGTTGTGAACTCTGTGAACCGAGCAAGTTGCACATAGCGATTTTGAGTAACGGGACTTGTTCTTACGGTGATGGTTACACCTCGTCTTTTTTTTTTTTTTTAAGGCAACATGTGATCTGGAAAAGAGTTATAAGCCCATATATAGGGTGGAAGGGCTATTCAGCACCCCAACTCGGCTATCTAGCATCCCGGCGACTAGGTGCAGTTTAACAGTTATATCAAGTCGTAGAAAACAAATCATTTAGTATTGTTATTTAAGTAAATGCAGGTTTTAAGATATCTGCTACTGTCATTACTATGGTTATTAGATATTTTACAATACTGTCGCCACTGTCGCTACTCTCTGCTACTACGGCTACTTTCTGCTACTATCGCTGCTCTCTGCTGCTATCGATATACTCCTCTAGTATCTACTATCATCACCTCGTTGTAGTGTCTGAGTGCTCGCACGTGTACACACAAGGTGACGATGATACATGTACCCTGTTCAACCTCCTCGGGGACTCTACTCTAAAGAGACCTGGCTACGAGAAACTCGATTAGAATGCTGCGAGTGTTTGACTTGCCTCTTGCCTTTACACAATGACGCCACATGATTGATCCGGCATCTCGTCAACTGCGGCAGGCATAACTATCTCTCGCCATGATTGAAAAGATAAAAAGGGAAAGAGAGCCTCAGCTTCTTGATTCTAACTTTCGATTTCCCAACTCCAACTTGCATCCAGATTCTTCAACACACCACATCTTTACCGCCGTCAACCTTTTACAGCATTTCTATCAAACAGTCAACACCTTCACCATGCCTTATCGCTGCTATATCGTCCCTCCTCACCTCCTGAAAGCCATTTCCGAGTCCTCTCACAACTCCGATAGCATCCGTCGCGCTGCTCTAGCAGCCCTTGGCTCTCATCAAGCTTTCGCCGCCAAACGCAAGAACCATATCGAACAAGTGATACAGAGTCGACGGAGCAGCCGTGCCCAGCAAGCAAGTCCTTTTGTTCCCACCCATGTCCTTCGTCATGTGTCACACTCTGAGCATGTGACCCAGGAAGTGAGGGCGAACGCCGCAAAAACCCTGGAACATGACCTTGCCCTAACAGCAGAAACCCAGCTTGCGGCTGATGTAGGAAAACCTCCAAAGGAAGCCCCACGCCGATCGATCTATGATGCAGGGCATACCACAAGCGAGAGGCGGTTGCCTGGTAAACTGGTTCGCGCCGAGGGCGACAAGGAGACCAATGACAAGGCTGTCAATGAGGCGTATGACAATGTCGGAACCGTTTTGGACTTTTATAAAGATACGTTTAAGTGGAACTCCATCGACAACATGAACATGGATGTCATGAGCTCTGTTCATTTTGGCGAACAGTATGAAAATGCTTGTAAGTGTTTGATTGGCAGCCCTGATTCCACCCTGAACAATTACACTTGCTAACATGTGAGCAGTTTGGGACTCGGAAGAACGGCAGATGGTGTTTGGAGACGGTGGCGAGTTCCTCAGCAACTTTGCTGGCTGTGTCGACGTTATTGGACACGAGTTGACGCACGCAGTGACTGAGCACACCAGCGCCTTCAGCTATCAGGGACAGCCCGGTGCCTTGAATGAGCATATTTCTGATGTTTTTGGCATCATGATAAAGCAAAAGGTCCAGGATGAAAAGGCAGAAGATGCCGACTGGCTCATCGGTGAAGACTGCATTCTTCCTGGCGTCAAGGGTGTTGCCCTTCGAAACATGAAAGCTCCTGGAACTGCATACGACGATCCTCGTTTTGTGAGTTACAGTTATTGAGTTAGATGGCTCGAGACTGACCAGTCCCCTAGGGCAAAGATCCTCAAGTTGGCAACATGAAGGACTATGTAGAAATGTACGAGGACAACGGTGGCGTCCACATCTACTCCGGCATCCCCAACAAGGCTTTTTACCTGGCGGCCAAGGCATTTGGCGGCTATTCGTGGGAGAAGGCTGGCCAGATTTGGTGGCAGACACTGCGGAGTGGCAAGTTGTCCGAGAACAGCACGTTTCTCCAGTTTGCGGATGCCACTGTCAATATCGCCAAGAAGGAGTTTGACGACGATGTGGCCAAGACGGTTCGGAAGGCTTGGGACGATGTTGGCGTGCGCAAGGGCATCTAGAAGAAGAGCCCAGGTGGCTGGTGTGTTATCCTCTAGACACTTTCATGTCTTGTTACGATTTCCCCTAGGACGTCTTCTTCAGCGCCTACCTAGTTTGTAGCTGACCAAATCGAAATTGTTGTGTGAAATGATGTTCTTTTCAACATGCTTACAGGATTCCGTGTCTTAAATTTAGAGCTGCCTAACAGTAATAATAGCAGATACTTGAGAAAGATATTGCTACTACAGGAAGACATCGCTCTTGGAGGAATATACAGATAGTAGCAGAAGGTAGCGATAGTAGCGACAGCAGCAGATACTCAATTAAGGACCTTTGTATCGACTTAGCCATTGTGATAAATGGCGAAGGCTGTAGGCGGAAACAAATGGATGAGTGTGCGGAGAAACACGGCTCGACGTCGATTCTGAATCATGATGTCGATGAGGTGTTTGCGTTTCGCAGTGAAGTGTTCCCTGAATATCAAGGGTGTCAGAGTTGTGAGGAGATCCAGAGTTGGCCCTGAGGAGGTCTTAGATGATGAGCTACCACATTATGGATGGACACAGCCATTGTCGAGTATCAGACCAGAGATAAGATAGGGCTGCGTCTGAGAGGCAGAGGGAAGGAGCGGAAGGCTCAGATGGATAGAGCATCAGAAGAGGCTGAACTCTTGGAAGGAGCTGCCTGCCTGCCATTGAGCACTGATACTGCAGCCAAAAAAAAAAAAAAAAAAAAAAAAAAAAAGATCTGCACGTCGCCGCGTTTCTAATTTCTGGCGATTCTTCTTCTTTTCTCCTAGACTCAAGATTTCCCGTCCTTTAGTGACATTGACCACATTTCATTGGCAATTCGTCTGCCCATCATTGGAGCGCTGCACGCAGCTGGGTCATCTTGGCTGTCACAAGGTCGAGGAGTAGAACAATGGCTTCTTCATTTACGCCATTCAACCGCAATATCAGTCAAAAGGCACCGCTTTCTGCTCCAGTAGGTGAGCCGCAACCAGGAAAGCCCCATCAATCGTCCCCCTTGACAGCTGGAAAACCGGAATCGCCAAAACACAACGAGATCCGTCTTCGATACCAACTCTCACTGCCCACCCTCAGGTCGCTTTCTGCAATTGACAAAGCGCCCGATCGACGAAAGGTTCTCCAGACTGCGTGTCTCGCGGCAGAGTTTCGATCTTTCCCAATAAGTCAAGCGGAAAAGAATCTGTTTCGAGAAATCAACGATCATACTGGAATTCCATATCCAATTACCGGACCTGCCACTGAACCGTGGCACAAGGTGTTTTTGCTCATCCAAATTGATCTCTTGCGAGGAGGATGGCCCAACAAGATATCTGCAAATGGTCGTAAAGAGCTTATGCGAGAGAGCGCCCGCATTTACACTGTGATGGATCGTGTATTGAGATGCCTTGCCGACATCCTTGGCGAGAGGGAAGACGGAAGGGGGGTCACTGTCACCTTGGATGTTCTCAGGAGTGTCAATGCAAAAGTATGGGAAGGCACCGAAATGGAATTGCTACAAGTCGAAGGCATTGGTGCGGCAAAGATGAAGCGCCTTACCGATGCGAACATCAAGACCATCAAACAACTCGCTGGGCTCGAGTTTTATCACATCGAACGGTTGCTCAGCAGAAATCCACCCTTTGGGCATCAGATGTTAAATCAGCTGTCGGGATTCCCACTGCTACACATGCAGGTTTCTGTGATATCTAATTACACTCCTGCCCAGAATGGCAACCAGGACGCTAGCATGCCGGTGTTCCGTCAGTCTTGGGTGACCAGAGTTGTATTGGGGTATAGCAATGACACCTTGCCGACCTGGTGCAAACGGAGTCCATGGGCAACCTTGGTGATTGAAGGGGATGATGGTCGGCTCCTGTGGTTCTGGAGGGGAAACGTGAAAAGGATGGAGAGCACCAAGGTCATGTTCGTCCGGCTAGATGCCAAAAAGGGAGAGAGCATCAAGGCTACCCTTGCTTGTGAAGGGATTGTAGGAACTCTCGTACGATTTACACTGACCGTCTAAAACCTACTACTAGTCGCATGTATACCAACCAGACTTGCATCTCGAATTGGCAGGTTAGCTCGCACCACTCCTTCATCTCTGTGTCGAACAAAGTACCGATATATTAATAACTTTACGAAATAGCCAATGCGGATGACTGAACGATAGAGAGCTGTGATCAGTGGAAATTAGAAGGAGATTTTCACCATGGTGGCCTGCAGCCGTTGAAACCAATGCAATGACCCAACCTACCTTTGCTGTTAGCGCAGATGCAAGGCAGACTCCCCCGACCTCATTGTCGCTGACAACACACAAACAGACTAATTTCAGCCGCAATTATCCTGACTAGCCCCTCCGTAAGGGAGGAGGAACTACGTGCCGAGCCAAGAGAAGGGCAAAGAGAAGAGGAATAGGAAACAATGAAGCAGACAAATTCAGAAAGGAGCAAGTCAAACGCAATTCTTCGCTTGCAGTTGAAAAATAACATCGAAACTATTCAAGAAGAAGAGACTCAACCGAGACTCTCGGCCCAGGGGCCACAGTTTACTAGACCGGAGCCTGATTCAGCCCGATGGAGTTTTACCCAGCAGTCGATGCACAAGGAGCATTTCAGCCCCATGGCTACTCTTGGTTGCCACTGGAAAACAAGTCTCATGGGCACCCCTTCACAACTGGCACAAATACGATATACGATTTAGTTGGCGAGAACTTGTCGGCTGAGGCTTGTGCTGGCCTTAGTCTTGTAGCTAAGCTTAAGTGCGGCTCCACTGCGACATCCGACTCTTTACTGCCGATGATCTCAATGGAAGCGGCCCAAGTGAACGGCGAAAATCTGAGTCACCAGCCCGATGTTTGCCCATCCAGACTCAGAGGCGAACAATGACTGCTACAGGCAACAAGATCGAGAGACGGATTGTCGGTGAATACCCGCCAAGGCCTAGACTTTTGACGATGCGACTGCCGTTGCCATTGCTGGGCAAGCTGGGGTATATCCACAAGGCATTGGGCTGCTTTCCAGGAAGATCATCTGCAATGGTCTGGTCCAGCCCTGGTCAAGAGTTGGCTATCGCTGGCATTATAATGAGCTAGAGCAATCCCATGTCTCACATCCTACTGTAACATCCAACTGTTGCCTCGCACTATTCCCAGAATTGCTCATCCCGTCCACATGGTCCCTGCGAGCTGAAAGAATCGACCCCGCTCTCTATATTTTCCCTCCTACTTTGGGCCCCATCATGGCAGGCAATCGATATTCTTGGTCACCGCGACTTCTGTTGTTACTGGCGAACATACCGCATCAAGGCTGACCTGACCGCCTCATTGGGAAGAGAACGGGAAGATTCAGCCATCCAACCCCCCTCATTGTTGGTGTTATTGGCAATAACTCAATGGCTAAGCAATGCCACATGAAGCCATTTCACTGGACTGCATGAATATGTGCAGTAGCTCAAGCCACCGTTTGGCCGAGACGCACTGGCATGAGGCTCCCACTGCCCTACTAGGAATACTTGGCGAAATGGGCTGAAGGATTAGTGCCGGCATGGGCCTTCCATGACTCCAAGCCGTCCATGTACTTCGCCAATCAAGACTGGATGGTGTGTCGCTTGTTTTTGACCCCTGGACAGGATGGCCTGCTAGCCTGTGATGGCTTCTTGGGGAGCCCAATGCGTGTATGAGAAGCCCAGGCCACTGCAGGAATTTTCAAAACGGAAATTGTTGAGAGTCCCTTTTTGCAGCTTTGCGCAGCTGCATATAAAGGCCACTGAGAGCCTGCTTCACTCCGGTCTCCGGTTGTTGCCCGTTTTTCACCATCGAACACTCTCGGGGTCCAAAGGAATCCCTTTTCCTAGCAACAGCGTGTGTCGTCTTTCTTCATCACGACCATCAGCTTTCTTTTCTCCACTATGCCTGTTTACTCTGCTCTTCTCCTGGCTGCGGCCGGGCTCGTCGCCGCTGATAACCTGGCGGCCATGAACCTCGGAGAGGCCAGTGGTCGAGGCGTAACCGTCGCCGGCATTGGTTCTTCGGCCTTTGGCGTTCACTCGGCCACCGATGGCTGTGGTCTTGGAATGACCACCTGTGACTCCAACTGCATGCCTCTTTCCGGCATCTGCTGTGGTCTGGGCAACGGCGCTTACTGTGACATTGGCTATACTTGCGAGAGCGACGGATGTTGTCCTGTTGGCAAGGTCTGTACTGGACCGCCCACAGGATGCGAGGGAGATCGTGATCTCTGCGGCGAGTTCTGTGTGCCCAAGGGCACATGCTCAAGCGGTGGAGGTGGTGGCGGAGGTGGCAGCGGAGGTGGCAGCGGCGGATGCCCAACCGGATACGAACCCTGCGACGACGAGTGTATGCCCACTGGCAGTGTCTGCTGCCACAACGGCTACCACTGTGATGCCGGACAAACGTGTACGACCGATTTCCGATGCCGAATCGGTGGTGGTGGTGGTGGAGGCGGTGGCAGCGGTGGCAGCGGCGGTGGCCAGACTTCCCAAGGAGGATCCGGCGGTTCTGGCGGTTCTCCTACTACATACAGCCTCTCGCCCAACCCTGAGCCTACTGAGCCTCCTACTTCGACCGAGTCGAACCCCTTTGGCGGTGATAGTCCTACCACCACTCCTGAATCAAGCCCTGTTGAGCCTACCTTTCCTCCTGCCAGCCCTACTAGCAGCAGCAGCAGCAGCAGCAGCGGTGGCAACGGCGGTAGCAACGGTGGCAACAATGGTGGAAACAATGGCGGCAGTGGAGGCAGCAATGGAGGCAGCAATGGAGGCAGCAACGGCGGCAGCAACGGCGGCAGCAACGGTGGTAGCAACGGTGGTAGCAATGGAGGCAGCAATGGAGGCTCCGGCGGCAGCTCCAGCGGCGGCGGCAACGGAGGCAGCAGTGGCACAATCAACACTCCTAGCTTCCTCGTCGGCCTCCTTGCCCTCGTTCCCTTTGTTCTATAAACTTGCTTCTTCATTGTGGTGCTCAAGGGCATCATATACGCAGCCAGCATTGGCATATATGTGCCGATGCTTGATATTGAAGGACATGATCTGGTAATGATTAATAATGGAATACAATGGTGGTGGATTGGAAATTGAAATGATACCTTTTTTCTTTTCTTATATATTTGGGAGAAACCGACAGGCTGTTCAGATATATGACGCCTCGGATAGCCATTAGATATATACACGATTCTAATGCATTAATTACCTCTCACGTACTCATATGTGTTCCCTTTCTATGAGTCCAGTTTCTGCCTCTCCACGTAATGAATCGACATTTTCAATTTCAGCAGTCTCTTTCGTACAGAAAGTGGTATTCGCCTATTCATACAAACGTCGTATATGTCTCTCTTTCCACCGCCCCCCTTTTATCATTGTAGTTTTACAAGCTAAGGGAAATAAAAAAGCAAAAGCAACAGCAAAGGCAGAATATGATAGTAGTATGATGATATTTTTTTACAGGGGGAGGGGGGAAAAAGAAAGAAAAGAAGAAAAAAGAAAAATCACACACATGCGAACAAACGCGCATTAAAAACGCCGTGTCTGCCCAAATCTTCGCTTTCCCTATAGTGCAGTCGTGACGTGGGCCAACAACGCCTTTCCATACTCCTAGTCTCCTTCTCTCTCCCTCTCCCCATAGCATGTCCATAAAGTAATCCTGTGGCCCCTATTTGGCCCATGCGTTATATCTGTAGAAATAGTTTCGTGTTTTCAGTTATATGGCTTGGCGTTTCTCTCTTTCCTTATTTCTTCTCCGCAACCTGGTTGAAGCTCTCCAGCACCTTGTCCTTGAGATCGCCCTTGTTTTCGTTGGCAAACTCTTCCGTGGGCGTCGCTGCGACGCTCTCGGCTTCGCCGCTGGGAGACGATGAGACGAGTTGCTTGGCCAAGACCTTTGCCTGAGCCTCGCTGACTTTGCCGTAGACGTTGAGACCAGTGGCAATCATGCCGCTAATGTCGCCAACGTTTCCAGGAACCACCACGGCCGTGCTCTCCTTGGCAAGTTTGCTAAAGGCCTCGACGTACTTCTCAGCCACCGTCAAGCTCATGGCGCCCTGGGCTCCGTGAGAGCCCTTGAGAATGCTTGCAGCTACGGCATCAATTCCCTCGGCAGTGGCCTTGGCCTTGAGCAAGATAGCCTCGGCCTCACCATCAGCTTCGTTGATGCGCTCGGCACGCAAAGCCTCTGAGGCGAGGATGACACTCTGCTTCTTACCCTCGGCAATGTTGATGGCACTCTGTCGCTGACCTTCAGACTCGAGAATCTCGGCACGCTTGGAGCGCTCGGCGGTGACTTGGCGGTGCATGGCCTCCACGACGGCTCCTGGAGCATGGATATCCCGAATCTCATATCGAAGGCAGGTGACGCCCCAAGCTTGAGCGGCCTCATTGATTGCGGCGGTGATGTTGGTATTGAGAGCAGCACGCTCTTTGAGGACGTGGTCGAGAGTCAGCTGGCCAATTTCGGATCGCATCGTGGTCTGGGCGAGCTGGGAGATGGCATATTCGGCATCTTCAACGCCGTAGCTGGAAACGCACTTTTCGTTAATACGGGCGTTGCTCTCAGTAGATCTGTGATAAAGGAGTGTGCAACTCACCTAGCCTTGTAAGCATCAAACACTCTTGTAAACAAAACACCGTCCAGCTCCAGCGTCACATTGTCCGCCGTAATGGCACTCTGACTAGGAATCTCAATGGCCACCTCCTTCAAGCTCTTGACATAGGCAATCCGGTCAATGACAGGCGCCAGGATTGCCAATCCGGGCTCCAGGATGCGGCTGAACTTGCCCATTCGCTCGACAATCCATGCTGTCTGTTGCGGCACAAAGCGCACAATGGTGTTGGCGGGCAGCCGAGGCTTCTGGAAATATGAGGGCAAAGGGCCACCGAAGCTGCCACTGGTGTTGGTGAAGGTGGCGGGGAGGAGAGTGCGTGAGGACGAGGAGAAGGAGAGGTGCGATTGTGGCCGCAGGAGGAGAGCCGTGGTTGTCCTGCCCGCTCGGAGGGCGGCTCTGGGTGGCAATGAGGGCATCGTGGAGAATGTGTGGCTGCGTGTATGCGTGTGCCTGCTTGGCTGCCGAGAGTTGCGAGTTACTCCCTGGTTTGCCGTTGCTTTGCAGCTTATACTTGTGTGCCTGCGTATCCCAAATGCCGAATTGAGCTGCAAAAGATCAGGGGGGGTCGCAGCTGGCCAACAGAAGAGAAAACAAAAGGAAAAACGTGTGCTGTCGTACGAGGAACCAAGTGGTGTAGAGTCGTAGATGGCTATGATTTGTCGCTTCGGGAAATGCTTGCAGGTGCAGCTTCTCAGAGAGCTTCGGTGCTCCCCCGCGGATACCCGCCATTTACCCGTCCTGCGGCAGCCGCACAACAAGCACTAACAATCCGTAGCGCCGCAGACAGGGTACCTCAGGCAAGGTACCCCCGAGCCATTCCGTCATATCACTCACTGTCTGGTCTCCATAACAGTGACTCGGCATACAAAAACTGCCCCGCGCCAGGAATAGATAGCTGCGCTGCGGTGATCCCATATTGGACAGCACCTGCGACAGACAGTACGGATACACCACGATAATTCGACATATCCTCCGTTTTGGCTTTAGATCCGCTCGATCGAAGACAACAGAATCGGAATCTACACATATAGACAAGAGTCGCCGGTGGTTACTGCGCCACGCAACTACGAGCAGCATCGCACGCAACGCATCGAGACGAGAAAGAAGGGGAGCATCAAATAGCAACCATGTCTGCCAAGGTCCCGCGCAACTTCCGCCTGCTAGAGGAGCTCGAAAAGGGCGAAAAGGGTCTCGGAGCTGAGGCCTGCAGCTACGGCTTAGAAGACGGAGAGGACTTGCTCATGTCCAACTGGAACGGAACCATCCTGGGACCTCCTCATGTAAGGCTGACTCACTGCATCTGCTTTTGCTTCCACAAACGCCCTTGTCGTCGTCTTATACGCGTCCGGCACTGCAGATTCTGGTAGTTGTATGGATAGCTGGATTTCACCTCCCGACGCCGATGTCCAGGATGCAAATACGCTTTCCTCCAGTTCAATCATGCACAGAAAAGCTAACCAAACATGACCACAGTCTGCCCACGAAAACCGCATCTACAGCCTCAAAATGCACTGCGGCGAGAAGTACCCTGACGAGCCCCCGTCCATCCAGTTCGTCAGCCAGGTCAACCTCCCCTGCGTCAACCCCCACAACGGCGTCGTCGACCCCAAGCAGCTGCCCTGCCTGGCTCAGTGGAAGCGTGAGAACACCATGGAGATGGTCTTGATTGAGCTGCGAAGGTGGGTTTACATGTCTTGCTTCTTCCCGAATAACCATCTTTGCCGTCTTGGTGAGGCTGGATGAGTGGATGATGTGGCACTTGAGCTATTTTGCACCTCTGCTTTTGACCGCCAAAACTAACTTGACATCATAGATATATGGCCGCTCCCGCCAACAAGAAGATCCCCCAGCCCCCCGAAGGCTCTACATACTCATAATCACCAATGGCAATACCGGGGGCCGCATAAGTCAGGGAGAGGAGGGGCGTTCGTAGATGGAAAAGCAAACAGGGTAAACAGACACACGTGGAACCTCTCTTTCAGCCAACAATACATGGTTCCACCACACGCCGTCAATCACGAAGAATCACGTAGCGCATCTTCTTTCAAGCGCAAAATCTCATCCACAATATTGTTCAAAGTTTGGGAAGCACGAAAATCATATTTCTCATTCCAATCGTCAACTTCTTCCTCGGGTAGTTAAAATAGTTGCACATGAGCAGACCATATGTTGACGTTATATGAGCAAACACATGAAATCCCGTACTCTCCACAGACACCCATTCATTCCATACCGTTTTCTCAACCTTCCTTCCCGCTTGCTCCAACCATTAATCCAACCAGTATTTCTTTTGTTTCGCTCCATTCTATCCCCTGTCATGCATATATAAATAGATAAGAAAGATGGAAAATGAAAAGAAAATGAAAAGGGAAAAAGGATGAACACGAAGGATGATTCTCCCCAATAACGCAGTTTGCTCCAGGTATCAGTTTGCCTGTGTTTGCCGGCAAGATAGTGACAACCAACCCATATTATATAGCAATGTTCGACATAAAAGGAAAAAATGATATTAAAAGGGTGTAGCAGATAGTAAAAATTGTGTGGCGTAGTAATGAATCGGAAGATACTTTGTTGTAGTTTGTGATAATACGAAACAGTTCATAATCTCGAAAAGCAGAATGCATAATCGCACATAGGAGAGTGAAGGCGAGGTTGCGAAGAGTTCGTTCAGTCGTCATCTCCCCACCACCCCAACTCAGGATCTTTTCGCACGAATCCGACGGCACTCAGACGGGCTGTATTGAGCACAGCACGGCGCTGCTGCCGCGGTTGGAATGTGTCGTTGGATATCGGGCTGTCTGGTCGGGGTACGTCTTCGCCGCCATCCTCGGAGAGCCTGGTAAGCTTGGAAGGGGACATGCACTCGGCTTGCATTTGCTGCCGTGATGTTGCTCTACCCTTGAGCTTGGATGTGCGTTTGTCCTCTGGGTAATCCCACGAAACGGCGTGAAAGCCTGACGACATGGCTGCCTCATCAAGAGCCTGACCGTCGCCTCCAGTCTGACTCCATTGACCGCTGGCGTGCTTGCTTTGGTCAAGATACACCAGGACATCCTGCTGTTCACCGAACTCTTCTGGACCACGAATGGAAGAGACGAAAGACGCTCTTTCGGATCCAGTGTCCGCGGTCAAACGAGAAGGTGCTCGGTAGGGCTCATCTTCACCAAAATGGTGCTCCGTAATGGGTGCACTCAACATCGAACTTGCCCCAGATTGCCGATTCCTCGACCCGTGAGATGGGGGCGCGGGGAAGTCGAAGTCGAGCATCGAATCCGTCACCATTACTTGAGATGGACTTGAGACATGTCTTCGGCCTGGACGGCTATCCGACTGGGATTTGTTTGCAGAACCAAGCTGCGATTTTTCACGCATTGCTTGTGTTTTCTTGCGGAGGGCTGATATCAGCATCTCCTCTTGACGAGTAAGGGCCATGATGCGGCCTTGGCTATTGGAATCATCGATAGATGATCGGGCGGATCGTAGATAAAAGTTGACCGAGGAGGGACTCAGTGGTGGTGTTGGTTCTTGATCGGGCTGGTCTGATGACGTTGCTGCAGATACCCGGCGCAACGAAGGACCAGAGCCACTGGTTAGTGCTGCCAATGCCTTTTGCCGATCCAATTCCGCTTGGGATGGGCGGCGAGCCGGCAAAACTGTCGTAGGAACGGAGTCTTCTGCGCCGTAACCGATTTGGCTAGTTAAACCGGACCGTGTCGAGTTCGTAGATCCAACTGAGGGCTTGGGCGAGGAAGAGCGGGAGCCGTCTCTAAAAGGCGGGTGCAGCCGAGAAGGAGATGGTGACAGTCGTTTTCTCTCGGCGCTGGGGATAGCGATATAGGTGTTGGATGGCGCGAAGCTCGTCTTCTTGTTCTGCAGAGCACCCGATTCATGCCCTGAAACCTGTCGTGATCGTGACGATCTCGATTGTCTCTGACTTGGTGGTTCTGGTAATGGCCGCGTGGGAAGAGGGACGTGGTCTCTAGTCGAGGACTTCTCGTCGTCGTCGTCCTCTTCCGAGTCGGACGACAAAAGCAACACGCTTTTGTCATGGAAGTCAGCTTCCTGGAGGAGGCCGCTGTCGGTCTGCCTAGACGCCCTAGAAGTTCGGGTATGTCTGCTTGAAACACTTCTAGCACCATCACCTGGAGATGATGAGTATTCCGAATGGGCCACTGCCTTCGACTCGTGCGATTCGTTGAGCGGCTTGTGAAGCCAATCGAGATTCTGTCGTCCCTGTGGTTCCCGCCATTCAGATTCACCCTGGCTGTGGCCGTCAGTTGGGCCCTTCTTGTAGACAGGGCTACTCATGACGTCGGGGTCATCGTCAATAGCATGTCGGAAGGTCATCTGCTCATAGTGGTCATATAACGTAGAAAGCCCGTTGTCTGAAAGCTGTGTCGTCATTCGACGGGCTTCTGCAGCATTTGATGGCGAGGCATCATGCACAAAAGACCGGAAACTGTCCTTTGTTCGTCGTTTGAACATGCCCCGTAGATCACTCTGCCGATGGGACGCGGTGGAATATGGAGACGATACCGTCGGGGTCTTGATCGAATTGTTAGATGCACTGGGATTGAATGCCTCCGGCTCTTTTCTTGACACCCGGGGAGACGGTCCCATTGCCGCAAAGTCGAGTTTCGGGGGCTTCTTCCTTAGCTTGGCAGTATCGTCGACATCTGAAAAAGTATGTGGGTTTGATGAAAGGGCAGTATTCATGAGCGGGATCGAGGCCTGTCGGGAAAGAGAACGGGAGTGCTTTGACTTGTCGTGCCAAGATTTGATAGTAGAAGACGACTGGGCTTTCTTGAGAGTACCGGACGAATGCTTTCCCCCAAAGTTCATGTTATCGGTAAGGGCACTCAGCCTCAGATTTGATGGGGACGGTCCGCGCTCTTTTCTCCGATCATCATCAGCTCTTGTCATCCTTGTTTGCCGTAGATTCAAATCCATATCGTTTAGGGTATTGTCTTCGTACATACCAACACTCACGGTTGGCGGCGGGGCGTCATGAATTGAAGAAGGGTCGATGCTGAGCGGCGTTGAACCCAAGATTTTATGGGCTTTGCTCATAGGCATCGCGGGCATTGGCGGCGGAGGCTCCTGCGGCTTCTTACGTGCCGGCCTGGAAAAGTTGAACTTCCTCATCCTGTAAGATTTCCCCCAAAGCGCCTGGATAAAAAAAGGAAAGAAGAAAAAAAAAAAAAAAAAGTTCCGTCCCAACCCTGGTAATTGAAACACTATTACTCCGTCATCTGACAATATGTTTTAAATAACGTATGTAAGAGCCGAATTGAGTTGTGCAGCTGTATTCTAATCCACAAGGATACCAGGAATTCGGTTGAAACGTCGAGAGTGTGAAGTGGTTACGTCGGTGAATTCGCAATCGCAGAAAACGGAACTCTGGCGATGATTTTGTCGTTCGCGTATTCCGCTTGCCAGTGAACCCCGGTCGTTTATCGCGTATTTTCGCCTTGCTTTGGCCGTGGGAGACACCGCAAGGCGAAGAAGCAAAGAAGACGACGCAGCAGAGCACACGATTTCTCTGGCTGGGAGGCGCGTGGTAATGGCGGGGAAAGATGCAAGTTTGTAAAAGAGACAAGCAAGATCGGGAATGGGGGCTCTCGTGTAAATGAACAAAAGCTGCGGGTACCGCCTGGGATGTGGTGAAGCGAGGTCTAGTGTTCTGCCATGCTGGATTAGGCCACTGCAGAATCCGCAGCCAGTCTCCACAGTCTAATTACCTGGAGCAATATAGCCAATGCGACCAGCCGATCAAAATGACCAGGGCGAGCAAGATGTGAGGATAAGGCCGTGGGTAATTGTCAAGCTCGTCTGGCCGTGCGTGCTTGTCATATACATAGCACTTAGTTGGAGGTACGTGCTCCGGCTGATAGAGCAAAGAGAAACGGTTCGGGAAATGATGCGATTGCGGGTGAAGGTTGAAGCCGGCGGCCGACAGTGGGCCTTTCGCTGTTCTTCTTCTTCTTCTGTTTCCCTTCGTCGCAATAGGAAGAACAAGCGAGAGAAGCAGGCATGGCTGAATCACGAGGGGAGGGAAATAGCGCTGCCGTCGACAGCAATATGGGAGTCTCAGACGATGTCGACAACCTTGCAGGGCCTGGCGACGGATCACCGACTTGGATGCAACACCATCGTCTCCTCAAAGGCAAGGGTTTGTCGAGCTACTGCTTCCCGCTGCAGGCTGGAAGGCAATTGACCGGCAGTACTGCAGTGGTGATACCACCTGTACGGAGTACCAGCATGCAAGTACTTTGCACTACAACCACATCCGCGGTGCTGCTGCTGGACTCCGTACTACTGGAGTAGCGTCTGCTTTTCGGTTCGGTGCTAAGGACGTGTAAGAACTTCTGGGACGTGGCCATTCAGCTCACCTGAATCCCCCTCGTCGGGAGCAACAGCTCCTTGGGGCAGCACGGGCTTGTGCATTCCATCAATGCTTTGCGTCGGTACTCGTACTTGGCGCCTGTGAAGCCGAAGCGGCCACCTCTCAAATCATCTCGGACTGAGGCCATGTTGGGGTGACGCTAGCCACGATCTCCACGGCAGCAGACCCATGCAGTCTCTGTCTCCCTGTCACCACCTGGTCCGGGCACCGTGGGCTTGCAGAGTTTCCTGTGCGGCTGTGGTGACTTGGAGCGAAGGCAATCAAAGCAAGCACGCAATGACTTGAAGGCGTGAAATCGGCTCGTATCACCACTGTGCGTCTAGGCTTGCTTGGCCCATCTGTCTGCTTCTTCCTCTCGGCCCGCGACTGTGCACGCGATTGCATCCCAGTCGATCGAGTCGGTGTCGCCTGCTGACCAGGCATTGGCTGTCTAATTTCCGCGGGGACCCGTCTTTGGGGGCTGGCTGGAGCTTCTCAGCCTTTCTGCAGTGCGATGCGACACATGGCGAGCAATGTGATGACTCTCGGTTGGTGGCAACGAGCGAGCAGCGCAGAAATGGGAAATGAGAAATGAAGTCAAGACCAGCGACAAGCAGGGGTTCCCCTTCTTAGGCCCGTCCTTGGGCCTGAGGTCGGCGGACATCCCCTGCACGGGCCGTTCATGGGCAGGTAGGGGCTACTGCCAGGGCCTTGGCGCGCCGAAAAGCCTAGAAGAACCGCTGAAAGCCACTGGAAGATGGCCAAAGTTTGTTTGATCAATCAGCAATTCCAGTCAAATGACCTTGTCTCTCATGCGTTGGAACCTCACCGCTGCAACTTCTCGCGATGATTGCCCGGCTTTATCTGTATCGTACCTATACCTATACCCGCAGTACTTTATCTGGTACACGCACACAAGATACAAGAAGAGGGATGCCGCCCCCAAATCAGCTGTTGCGGAGCTGTCTGATATTGACTCGGCTCCTCCCAACAGATGCCCATGTCTGTACACATACCGCCAGTTTTACACGCAGTACTTCGCATGTACTTCATGTATCTGACGCTGATTACGCCATCTGATTCACACGATAACAAAAACTGAGACATCTCACCGCAAACATCATTCATCCTCCTGCTTCTGCAGGGAAATTGAATACAGGCATGCCCCCTCGTCCGCCTGCCTTGAGTCTGGGGCGCCCACGTGTCTCTCCCCATCCGTGTAAGCTATCCGGTTGGCAGTAGGAATGGAGCATCAGCTCTCGTGGCTCAGCGTCTCATTGGGTCCATGCCTTTAATGCCCGTCCGTCAATTGCCGTATCGGCAGTTCCGTCAATCTCACCAACCGCAAAGTTGGCGTACTGAACTGTAGTGGCTGTGATAATCATATTCCGTCTGCCCCATTGTTCGAATTAGGTAAGTTTACTCCGTACCTGTTCGTGGAGTCAATAATCTCGCCCGATGAGATTAACGATGGCCGCCGGGATGTGTTGGGCTAATAAATTGCTGTTCCTTTGTCTGCTAGCGAGGTATGACATACTCCTCGCAATACGAGGCAGAAATGCCTGCAAACACGTACGTACCTAGGGTTCAGTACAGGGAACATTCGATAAATGTGTGTTATATGCAGGGAAACGCAAGCTTGATCCTCACAGGGCAAGGGAACACGGCAGATCGCCAGTCCTCTTGTGGAAGATGGCCAAGTCCCCCGACAACATAAAGGATCAAATGCATCAACCAGGTGCCAAGCTGCCTAAGATATGACATAGTCAGCGCTTGCTGGCTGCCGTGATAAGCATTGCTGATGCTAAATATATGCATCATCATCATCATCAATTGTTGAGGCTGCTTGTTTGTCCTGGTAAGTTGAATGTTCAATGTTTCATCCCGCAAACCTCAGCCCGCTACGATCGGGTTGTCCGCCGTTAACCCCGTTTCCTTTGCCGTTCGACTGAAACAGGAAACATTCATTGTTTTGTACTAGCATTCTACAACCCAAGCCTCCAATTTAAAATCCGGTGACATCGCCTCAAGGGAAAAGGTGTGGCGTGGTTCATTCTACCTCCCAGGATCTGTGTCAACACTTGTATCGACATGAATCTCAGTCGTTGCCACAAGACAGCAACAAAAGTAAAACAATCTGGTCGTCTATCACCGACACTACCGCGTACTCGTACATCTCCGACGTCATTTTCTTTTTCCTTGTCTGTTCGTGCGCGTGATTCGTCCCCTTATCCATGTCCAAATAATTACGGCTCAATGCGGAGCCCGCTGACTTGCCGGAATGGGATCGATCTATTGCTGCACGTACCTTTGACTGGTCCGTTCACAACATGCATCTTTGTCTGTCTTTCCCTTTTGTCGGACTCGCCCTGTTTTTCTTTTCTGTTTTGTTGCTGTACTTGTACAAATCCGGAGGAGAGTGCTAGTCTATACGATCCTTAGACTGTGCCATGAGTTCAATGTGATCAGTGTGGTCTCAAGTCTCAGTCAGCCACAGCTTAGCCCCTCGAGCTCATTTTAATTTCTAGTAGCCTGATGTCTTAGGGAAGCCAGAATACTGTACGGAGTGCAGGGCATTCATTGCGTGAATGACTCAATCCCAGAGTGGAGGCCGCTACGGTGGGAATTGGTCCATTATTTGCGTCCTCGCTCGCCACAAACCGAGGTGCCTCGACTCATTAGTTCTACATCTGACAGCTGTTACATGCCAGGATATGTGATAAAATGGGGAATCATAAAATTTTGACAGACAACAGCGCTATAATATCCGAAATCACAAGTCCTGGGGTAACATCAAGTTTCATTACTACCGGCGGTATACATGTACTTACATGTCTGAGCTCTCTCTCTCAAACGCTTTGATCAACAAACCCCCTAAAAATCTGGCTCGATGCCCCTTGTGCTGATACTACCCCCGACGTCTTCATATAAGAGCATTTATGAAAAAAATGAAAAAAAAATTTAAAAAAAAAATTTAAAAAAAAATTTAAAAAAATTTTTTTGAAGTCCACCATTATGGTTTAAATAGGATATCATGCTGGTGTAACCCGTCGTAATGTTCAGAAACGCAAGAAAAGAGGCCACCAATCCTGATCCTTCCCAATACTTAGTCTATAACGAAACCACCATTCTTGAGCCTTGGGAGCAGATTCAACAGCCTCTTGGATTCTTCGCGTTCGAAACTTGACTTTGACTCCTCGCCCATTCATGCCATCGAGCATACCCCGGGCAAACTGGCGCCACCACTCGAGGGCTTCCACGTGCTGGCGAGCTGTTGCGATGAATATGACTTCCTCGGCATCAAATACGACATTGTCATCGCCTTGCAGCTTTCGCCAGGTCTCCAAGACATGGACATGTCCCCACCGACTAGCTGTAAAAGCCACGCCACCACTGTATCCCATTTGAATACCAGAAGCATGCCACCATCGCAGCACATCTGGCTGGCCTTTCGTCGCAGCCCATAACAGCGACCTGCCAGGCTTCAAGACAATGTTGTGGTCTAAGGCGGCAGCATCGCGCCACCATTCAAGGACCGAAATGAGGCCATTGCCGCTCGCTTGTTCAAGTGAGACCTTGGTATATAATAACGGTAACTCCGATTGCTTCCACCACTGTAGTATATGCACGTGGCCATTCTTTGATGCGCCATCTATCGCCTCGGTATCGTAAACATGCCGACTTTGAAAATGAGGACTATTCTTCCAATAGTCTAAGACTTTGACCTGAGGATAATATGCAGACGCTTTAGTTGGAAGAAAAGCCCCATCAAATGCTTTGAACAGCTGAGGATGGTGGCTCTCGAGGAAAGTGAGCACTTCAACTAACGCGAATCGTGTGACGAGTTTCACAACCAGAACTGGTAAAATCTGAAAATCTGCTGGTGCCTGTGATAACTTTCGACAAATAGCAGCCGTGTTGCATGTGAGGACCGTCCGCTCGAGCTCATGTGAGTAGATGAGTAAAGGATCACTCAAATCTTCGGCTCGGGTATTCCATTCTGTTGGTACGGGCAGACTGGTGCTGATACCCAGTGCAGCAGCCAGCTCCCAATCACCCGTGAAACTTAACACTTTGCTCCATAACTCGAATGGTAGCCCTGGCGATGCTCGCGCATCATCGTCGGATATGGCAATGACCCCCGTAGTGGCCTCCCCATCCCGACCGAGATTTAATAGATCGGCCTGATTTTGGATAAGATCTAGCAAGTCTCTGAATCCACTCCAGTTCGTTGCTTGCTGCGGATGCGCTGCATCTTCGTAGTGCCATAGTATAGGCTGCATCACACGGATACAGGGCCACTTTCTCTGAACTTCGCCCAATTGCTGCTGGACTAGAGGATTTAACCATGCGTTGTCGTCCATTCCAGGAACCATGATACAACCTTTCTGACCCTCATTCCAGCTCCTCAGGAGGTCATCAAGAAAAGTGTCACCTTCGCCGGCTAACAGAGCTTCAATTTTTTTGACATCCAGCGGCACACAAACTAAGAGATCGGCCCATTCGACCAGGTCGTGTATGTTTAGCCCAGTTCGCCTAGAAGATACATCTTCTGGGCCGGCTTGTTCCTGGGCTATGGGCGAATTTTGGATGGTAATAATGAGCTGATTTAACCTTGGTGATGGATCATCAACCACCGCTCTCATCTCTATACGACGGTCTTTGGAAAGCCGCACCACGAGCGGTTGAGCCCAAGACGAATGCCGCGTGCCCGTGGCCGTGATGAGCATCCTCAACGGGCGACTATCCAGTGAATCTTCGCGTAGAGAAAAGCAAGCCATCATGTCAGTAGCGCTGGGCCGCGGAGGTTGATGAGATTGAGACTGCATGACGAAAGACGCAATTATGACAACACACTATGCCCTGTAAAATAGAAAGGCACATATAGATATCTTGTATACTCCTGCGTAGCACTGTAAATAGTACTGTATATTCAACTGATAAAGCCAAAGCTAGCATCGATGAATTGGCCTGTCATTTGACTCTTGATGGATTCAATTCGGTGCCGTCATGGAATCTTTGCCGAACATCTCACGGCATGCTCCGAATTGCAGCTTGCATCTTATATTTCTCATCGAGTTGCTGTTGTCTACAGAGTCAAAGATCATAAAACGAGAAGGATCTTGTAAAAAAAATTCAGGAGAAATATCAATTATCACATCATTAGTCTCCGTCACCCCGGTAAGAATGTTTCCGAATTTCGCGGTTCAAAGGAAGCTTCGTTATCGTCGATGTAACTGTGCGGTTAATTTACGTGATAGGCTCAAACTCCGCACTCAATCTCTATAGTGGCGCTCGGCAATTCGTACAGTGCAAATGAGGCGTAACCGGCTGTCACATGACTGCCCCAAGCGTCATGACTCTTGCGTTAGGTAACTCATGTACTGGGTACTGGGTACCGGTCTCAGCTGTGCAAACTTTCATCGAAAAAAGTCAATTTAGCAGGGAGGCATACAGATTTCAACTTCAAACCCCATATAACGGCGCCTTCTACCATCGGCAGCGAGCATATTTTGCTTCTTCTTTAATTCTATCATATCGAGAATTAAGACTCATCCTTCTTTTCTCTGCACACCACCCAATCCTCCTCGTCCCCACTCTTTTTTTTTTCTCTTACTTTTTTTCTCTCTCCTGCAGAAGGGACTTCTGATATCCTCATTAACAATGCTGGACCAAATGGCAAACGAGATCAAGCTTATCTCTGGGAGCTCCCACCCAGAGCTCAGTGCTCTGGTGGCTAGTCGGTATGTCTCGCAAGATGGTCGTTGAACGAGATATGAGACAAATAGCGCCAATCGTCACTTGACTGATTCTGCGGCAGACTTGGCATCAATATCGCCAACACCATGAGCCTCAACTACTCCAACCAGGAGACTAGTGTTTCTATTGGAGAGTCCGTGAGAGACGAAGACGTCTTCATCCTTCAGTCGACGGCGCCGGGTGATGTCAACGATGGCCTCATGGAGCTGCTCATCATGATTCACGCCTGCCGCACTGCCTCTGCTAGACGTATCACGGCCGTCATTCCCAATTACCCCTACGCTCGCCAGGACAAGAAGGACAAGTCCCGTGCGCCCATCAGCGCTAGGCTGATTGCAAACATGCTGCAGGTGTCCGGCTGCGTGCGTTAAACCAGCCTCTTTTTGATTCTGATCAAGAAGCTAACATGCGCTAGAACCATATCATAACTATGGACCTGCATGCCTCACAGATCCAGGGGTTCTTCAATGTTCCTGTAGATAACCTGTATGCTGAGCCATCCGTCCTGCGGTGGATCAGTGAGAATCTGGACGTTGAGAACTGCGTCATCGTCTCTCCTGATGCTGGCGGTGCGAAGCGCGCCACCTCGCTTGCAGACCGTCTCAACACCGGATTTGCTCTGATCCACAAGGAGCGCCCGCGACCTAATGTTGTTGGTCGCATGGTGCTTGTCGGTGATGTTCAGGACAAGGTGGCTATCCTTGTGGATGACATGGCCGACACCTGTGGAACTGTAAGTGACTATACCAATCTCCCAATCTCATAATCATGCAACTAATGGTGTTACAATAGCTGGCTAAGGCGGCGGAAACCCTCAACAACCACGGTGCTCGCCAAGTGTTCGCTATTGTCACCCATGGCATCCTCAGCGGGACTGCCATTGACACAATTAACAACTCTCATTTGTCCGGTCTTGTCGTCACCAACAGTAAGTGACCTTGAATGAAACTGTTCTCTATTCTGATGAATGCATTACTGACATGTAATTAGCTGTCCCTCGTAGGTCTTATCAAATTCCCCTCGTGCAATTATCTATAGCCTAACCATATGTGATGTAGTTGGCGACAAAACTGAGCGATGCCCTAAGCTCAAAGTCATCGATGTGTCTGGCACGCTTGCTGAGGTACGCTCATCTCTACTGAATACGCCTTTTTTATAGATGTTAACTTCTCTTAGGCTATTCGACGAACCCACAATGGCGAATCGGTGTCATACCTTTTCACCAATGTTCCCGTCTAAAATGACTAGATGGATATTATTTGATTGGTTTAGCACTTTAGTATGTGAAGGCACATTTTCGGATTCTGAAAGCTCTGCTAATATTTTTTGAAGCTGTTTGTCTTGGATGGCGACGATTGGATACTCGACCAACCGATGCTTGGGATAATTAGGTGCACCAAATTCCTTTTTTGAGAGAAAGTATTTTTCGAATTGTCAAGGATGGTTAGATTGATCTCCGTATGGGTATTCGACACAAGTCCTGGCTATCTAGGGTACAACCAGAAGCTTCTTCATTGCTTAAACTGCTGAGGCCCTTTACGCAGAGCAGGTTCTGCCTCAGATCTGCGCGTCTCAGTGCTGGAGGGAGTATTTCATACCAGGCTAACCCACACAAACGATGCTGCAACTACCAAGTGCTGCAATAAGACTTGATTGAGGGAGCGGACGAGGGGATGATTGGATGACTTATGGTTACAGAAAACGAAATATATTGGGCGCAAGGGGCACACTGCGATGTTTGAATATTTAGCACAATAAAAAGACAGAGAGCAATATGTACACATGAGGCAAATTCTTGGCGGGTGACTCACGGCTGCTCTCTCCGTGTAGGTACCAATATGTACATGTATATAACATGACCAGCTATATGATTCAGGAAATTCTATTATTATAAAGCTATAGCTATTTAAGCTGGAAGGGGAAAAATAAGAAGATATTTGAATTAATTATATATATTTCAGCATGACATTTTCAGTACACAAAGAGGATTGAAGGCAGCCGTACTCCGTACTCCGTATAATACCTATCTAATACATCGATAGCCCAGAAGAGTATCCCGTGCGCTAGTCCCCATGCAACTAGTACTAAACTGGCAATAAGCGGAAAGGCGGTGAGCCAGTTCTGCCGGCTTGATGCTGCACCAAGCATAACACCTATACACACTATTGATGCGCTGTCCTCGGTCATGAATGAGATCTGATTGGAGCGAGGAGTATGAAACCGCGGTGTTCCCTCATCATTACGACGCTGAAGCTGTATGAAAGCGATATAAACGGCGCCCGTACGTTAATTGCCCATGGGCAGATTATTCGGCTGGACCCAAGATGACGACGCAGCTTCTGGCCACGGAGCTAGCTAATCTCATTCAGGAGAGCAAGAGGAAGCACAATGACCTTCGACAAGTACGCACTCATTCTTCAGCCGGGACCTTTGTTTGCGCATCAACTCACTTCCTTGTCTCTTCTAGGCGGCCGAAAGATCTTTGGAAGAGCTGAAGAGCCTTGGCAATGTCTCCGAAACGGCAGCTCCTGAGTGTATGCGCCAGTGGATCCTTCTAAGACCAAGTGACATCTCGTTGACATTGAATCCCCAGTGCTCTCGCAAAAGCCCAGCTTTGTGAATCCCTTCATCATCGCGTGTGGCACCAAGAATGCAAAGTTCACCGGCATTGCAATCGTCTGTCTGCAGAGGCTTATTGTTGCCAAGGCGCTGCCCAGATCAAAGCTCAACCAGGTCTTGGAGGCGTTGATGCAAGCATCCTCGGCTGGGCTTGACGTGCAATTAAAGATATTGCAAGCGTTGCCTTCGCTGTTGCAAAACTACTCTGCAGATTTGAATGGCAATCTTCTTGTGACTGCTCTGAATATCTGCTTCATCCTGCAAAGTAGCAAGAATGCCATTGTGAATAATACCTCAGCTGCCACTCTCCAGCAGCTTGTCGTTTCGGTTTTTGACAAAGTAGTCGCTGAAGATAGTGAGTTCTTTCATACGGCCATCAGCATGCATATCCTGACGCTTGTATAGAGAATGGAGGTGATGCCCCTATCGCAGGCGAGGCACCATCGGCCGACGGCAAAGTAGAACTCCGCGCAGCCGCGTTAGATGCCTATCGTGTTAGCAACTTATCCATCCAGAAATGCATTGAGCGTTGAAGCTAACAGTGCTAGATATTCAATGACCTATGTCTCCTGACAGAAAATCAGCGGTCCGAATTCCTGCGTTTCTCTGGCTTACAACAAACATTCGGGCTAGAGCTCATTGAGTCGGTCATCACAAACCACGCGAGTGTCTTTATCAGCCACCCTGAACAAGCCCATATTCTTCGCGATCGCGTGATGCCTCTTTTGATGAGCGCACTCAAGGGCAAACCGTCATTCGCCACAACTGTGAGGCTCGTTCGCATCCTCTATACCCTATTGCGCCGCCATATCAGCATCTTACCTTCAGAGTGTGGTGATGCACTTTCGCTTCTTACAATCCTCTTGGACCAAGATACCACCATCTGGAAGCGGGCGTTATGCATGGAGGTATTTCGTGGCATATTTGCCGAACATGCTCTTGTGCGTCGCATATTCGCCATGTACGACGCAAAGGAGGGCGAGAAGGACATCATTAAAACACTTATTGCGACTTTCGTTCGACTCAGCACTGAGAAGCCCGCAGTCATTGGCCTAGGTCACCAATCTACAATACCGGTCGCAGATCCATCTGGTAGCTCTGGCTTGTCTACAGACCAAGCATTGATCGAAGCTTCTAGTGTGACTGGAATCATCAGCAGCTCTGTTGGGTCAGAGACCTCCAATATTGGCATCAGCGTAACGTGGAGCTCCGTTCGAGTTCCGTGTATAGATCAGCTGGACAAAGCAGAGGCCCCAGCGATTCCTGAGTCGTACATTTACAGTTTGATATTGGCTTGTCTATCATCTCTATCAGATGGGCTTGCCAAGTTTATTCTACCGCTCACAGTCCCTAATGAGACTCGAGCTCGGAAAAAGGCCTCAAAGCAGGATATGGGGCGTAGCTCACCTGCTCCATCTCAGCTGGAGGCTGAAGGTCCTTCTCACGGAGGTTTGCGAGAGCGGTCAGCCTCATTTAAGAAGAACCCTGTACCAATCAATCCATTGGAACTGGAAGATCACCCTGCCTATTCCGAAGTCAAGGTGTGTTCTAACATCGTCAATGAGTGTTGGCCAGCTATCCTGGCAACTTGCTCAACCTTTTTATATGCTGCCTTGGATTCAGAGTATTACCACGGCTTGGTTCGAGCATTCCAGAGATTTGCTCATGTGGCAGGATTATTGCAACTCCCAACGCCACGAGACGCCTTTTTGTCTACTCTTGGAAAAGCTGCAGTGCCTCCCAATGTTTTAAGTGCGTGCTTCAACGCTGGGCAGTCGCGATCTATAGCCACTACTCCGACGGAAACATCGAATAGCGTTTTCAGCAATGCTCGAGGCCTCTTGAGCGTCGAAAACTTGACGCAAGTGTCTAGCCCTACGGAAAGACAGCGGCAAGGGCCTATGGATGCATCGATAACTCTAAATACACGGAACCTCCTCTGTCTGCGAGCCCTGCTTAATCTAGGTATTGCCCTTGGTCCGACGCTTGGACTTGCTTGGGGCATCATACTTGAGACTTTACAACAGGCAGACTTTGTGCTCTATGTTACGGGGAAGGCTCCCGGGAGAACCCAATCTATAAGTCGCGGCGGGCAGGATTATCAAAGTGAATCAGAAGCGAATTCCCTCATGGCCAATTTCGGCAGCGAAGTCCGATCTGTTGAAACAGCTGCGTCCAGACTAATTGAAAGTAGCATTGACTTCCCCAATGAGTCTTTCGTGGAAGTGGTTCAGGCCATATGCGGCTTGCTACCAGATGAAGGCGAGGCAAATTCTAATACAGACAACAAAGAGCAAACAAGGCAGGGCCAGCACGCGAGAAGCTCATCTGGTCAACATCGGCGGGTACTTAGCTTCTCTGGCCAGTCGACAGCATCCAATCAAGAACTTCAGTTTGCGCTAGCAAAACTTGGAGAAATTGCCATGATTAATCTAGAGCGGCTGTTGGCATATGATCCGAAGGAGTCAGGCTGGGATCTGTTGGTGAACAAGCTAATTCAGATGTTAGACTCGAGTCCTATCAGTGCATCAGTCAGAACAAGAGCCTCTGAGATCCTGGCTAAGCTGGTGCTCGAAGCGGCTAACGCTGCAGGTACCCTCCCACCCGATATTCGCGGAACGATTCAACTTCGGTTATTGGGTGCCCTTCGAGACTCGTTGAAACCTTTACAGAAGGGTGGTCGGGACATCTCTGTTGCAAATGCTACGACCGATATTGATATTCATAGAATTATTCTTGACGGTTTGCGAGGCGTTATCGAGGACTGCGGGCAAACTCTCGTCAGCGGCTGGGACGTAACGTTTGACATTATTGGAAGCGTTTTTACAACAAAAGAAACTGATTTGGAGGATCACGAATCAACCATCAGTGCTCGAAACCTCGGTACACGATCGTCGAAGCTTGTACGGTCTTCTTTTAGCTCACTTCAGCTGATCTGCTCGGATTTCCTACCTTCATTACCCAACTCTTGTTTCTTAATTTTGGTCGACACGCTTTACAAATTCTGCTCTCAAGATGACGATCTCAACATTGCACTGACGGTAAGACTTGGCTTATTAGAGCTCATTGATCATATTGCTAATGGGAACTTTATCTTAGACCGTGACCTTTTTCTGGGCTCTTTCCGACTTTCTATCTGGCAAGGACAAGTCGCTTGATATTACGATCGACTTGTTCCAAGATGCTGAAGTAGACGCGCTAGAGCACCTGGCAGCAGATCACGGCAGCCGAGGATCCGACGCAGCGTTGTGGATGCTGTTGCTATTAAGGCTCACGGCTGTCGCTTCTGATGACAGAGTTGAGCTTCGTAACACGGCGATTCAAACTCTCCTCCGCATCTTTGATGCCTACGGCGAGAGGCTCAGCCCTGAAGCATGGTCAATATGCATCAAATCTGTGGTTTTCAAGCTGTTGGCCTCTCTTGAAGAAGAGCTGAGAACCACTCAGGACGAAGAAGTGGATGAAAGCGATAGGACTGAGTGGCATGATACTGCAGTCGTTGTGCTGAATGGCATATCAACTTTGCTCGGGAACAACCTTGAAGTACTTACAGCGCACTCATCTTTTAACGAGCTCTGGAATGAGCTGCTTGGGCATCTAGCTACGTTGCTTGATTTCAAGGTCCTTGATATCAATACGGCAACTTTTAAGACCTTAGGGCATGTGCTATCTCAGTCAGGAAATGAGGAAAAGCCCATCTTCAACGAGACAACAGTCAGGTTCGCGTGGGACTTGTGGTCCCGAGGTATCCCAATCACAAAATCCCTCAGCGGAAAAGCTCAAGACAACCAAAATTGTCTAACTGCCTACGTGGCCGCTCTTCGTGAAGTTTACAGGCTAATCAAGTCTGATATAACGGTGGAGAGAGTCCAGCGAATCCTTGGCTTACTGCGTCATACCGTTGAGGAAGCATCCGTGGGAAGTTATGCTACAGATATTGACAATCTGACGCAGCTTCAGTCACAGGTGTTGGATGCCGTGAAAATGATTCGAACTGACATTGGCGGCGTTCCATCGGCATTGATCAAGCAGGTCTCTGAGTTTGTTACTTTGGCTTACGACCAAGATTATGAATCTCAGCCTCCTTCAAAAAGGACATATGTTGCAATGTCGAAAGCCAGTATGCAAATGTTGGAGGGCCTCGTGGTGAGCCACTCAACCGATACTGATATCTATACGAGCGGGTCAATTAGCGCAGCTTTATCTGCCCTTCTCAGACCTATTGCTCTCAAATATCAGTTCCCCATTACTACGAGGTCAGTCCAACCCTGGAAGCTAGCGACCTCAACAGCTTTGGTAATCATAGAGGCGACTTTGTCAAAGCTTGACGATCTAAACATACCCACGGATACAATCCAAGGCATTTGGCAGCTAATTGCCGAGATTGCGGATGGTATTATGAGTGCAGATTGCGGCAATCCACCCCCTGGAACAAGCATTGCGGAAGATGAAGCGGCAGATATTGCATGGCTCCACAAGTTGGTAGAACTGATTATCCCGTCAATGGGATCAGAAAAGGTAAAGGAGGAGACTCGAGGCGCATATACTAGGAGTCTGTTCAAGACATCAATCATTCATGAACCTCCATCGGCCGACAATGCCGTCATTCACGATGGAGGAGCCGGTCTTTCTAAGCTTTACCAGCCACGGACCGGACTCACAATTTCCGTCCCACCGACGCAGCGTACAAAGATGGCCTACGTCGCCTTCGAGGAGCTTTTCTTGCTCATCTCAACAGACGTGCCGGCTGCCCATAAGCCGTCTGCTGCCAAGCCCATGGAGGATCATTCTGCTTCAAGAACTCGCATTGCGTGCACCGCAGCCCCATTCCTGATTCTGCGATGTGCGTTGACGCTTCGGGCGTATGTATCTGATCAGCCGCTCCGAGGCAAGATGCCGCAGCCTCTGAGCCAGAGGAAGGAATTGCTCTGGACGTTGCAAAAGCTGGTTAGTCTGCAGAGCCTGAGCGAGGCGATACCCCCTCTTGAGGGGGCACAAAGCGAAGCCAGAAAACACTTGCTGAGGCTGTACCCCTTGATTGTGAAGGCACTGAGGGTGCAGGGCGACGAAAAGGTCCTGGCGCTTTTGAGGGAGGCTTTGGACGTTGTTGGGGGCGAATTTGGAGTTGTTTAGAAGATGAAAGAGCTTCGTTATAGCGTTTAGGGGTGCTTTTATCATAATAGATGCAAGAGTTCTGCGATTAATACTAGTTTTAGCGGTTGGTCATCTCACCATGACGGGAAGACAAGTGCTCATCTATCATTGTTGTGCTGCTCGGCTACTAGATAGAATGGTGATAGAAGATTAAGTTATAAAATATTCGTTTTAATTTAAGTAACAGATGGCTATAGGTTTATTCTCTTTATGAGGAACTATGATGGGATTTTCTTCTCCTGATACAGGGTAGACTCACACTCACATGCCAGGAAAGATCCACCCCCACCATGCCACAAAGGTACACCAAAAAGTGACATCGCGGGGCAGAAAAAAGTTGCACATCCAATATTTCGTCTGCATAAAGATTCTCCAACCACGTCCCATATTCTTCTCAGTTTCAAAAAAGAAGAAGAGAAATAATACATATACCTGTAATGGGAAAATCCTCCAAAGACAAGCGCGACGCCTACTACCGGCTCGCCAAAGAGCAAGGCTGGCGCGCAAGAAGTGCGTTCAAGCTTCTGCAGCTTGACGAAGGTACTGCCCCTCGATCCCTTCATCCTTGGGAGTACAAGACTCCCAATTGCGTGGGCCGTGACGCTGAAACAAGCTTCGTGTCATAGAATTCGACCTCTTCTCAAACGTCTCCCGCGTCGTCGATCTTTGCGCCGCCCCGGGCTCCTGGTCGCAAGTCCTCTCGCGCGTGCTCATCAAGGGCGAGAAGTTTGGCCGCTCGGCATGGCAGGATCGCGACGCCAAAGTCCGCCAGCAGATGCTCGGCGTCTTCCCCGAGGCCTTCACAGCTGAGCAGAAGGAGGCTATAGAAAAAGAGACGAGCCATGATGCCGCGCAAAACGGAGTGGAAACAACAGCAGCCAACCCAGACGTCAAAATCGTCTCCATCGATCTCCAGCCTATTTCTCCCCTCGCGGGAATCACAACTCTTAGAGCAGACATTACGCATCCTGCAACGGTCCCTCTCCTCCTCTCTGCCCTCGACCCGTCTTACGATCCTGCAACCGCAGCAGGGACACAGGCGCAGCACCCTGTCGACCTCGTCCTCAGCGATGGCGCCCCCGACGTCACGGGCCTGCACGACCTCGATATTTATGTCCAATCACAGCTCCTCTTCGCGGCGCTTAATCTTGCGCTTTGCGTGCTGAAGCCGGGCGGCAAGTTTGTCGCCAAGATCTTCCGGGGAAGGAACGTGGACATCCTATACGCGCAACTCAAGATATTCTTCGAAAAGGTCATTGTGGCGAAGCCCAGGAGTAGCAGGGCGAGCAGTGTCGAGGCGTTCATCGTGTGCCTGAACTTCCGGCCGCCGGCGGGTTTCCATGCAAGCCTGGAGGAGCCGCTCGGGGTAGGGCAGCGATTGGATAGGCTGGTGAAGGAGCGGGATATGCAGCTACCCATTGTCGCTGAAGCAACCATGCAGTCAAACAGGGGGACATGGGACTGCAGCGTCAAATCAGCGCCAGCGACATCACACGAGGGCGGAATCACAGAGGTGGAAGTTTACGACGAGACGGAGGGCAACCATAAGGAGAATGGAGCAAGATGGATTGCACCTTTTATCGCTTGCGGCGATCTATCAGCTTTTGACTCCGACGCTTCCTACCAGTTGCCTGAAGACTATGTCTCGCTAGATCCCGTCCAGCCTCCTATTGCGCCGCCTTACAAGAGAGCTCTCGAGATGCGGGCTGGCCAATCTAAAACTACCAGGTAGAGACACACATGGGGAGGTATAAAAGAGAGAGAAGAAAGAAAGAAAAAACCAATAATATCCCAGAAAACCCAAGATGCAAAAGCTAACCGTGCCTCGTCGATGACTGTCGATCGAGACTATGCAATGCTGAAACACGCGACAATAAAAAAAAAAAAAAAAGAAGAAGAAGAATGGGGGAAACAAGACAAGACAAAGTAAGAAGCTCTAGTCTCATTTGTGATCCTCTGGGATGTCCTTGACTCCGCCGCCCGGCATCTCCAGCAGCACCAAGCCCGCAGATGGACCTTGGTCCCAGTCAAGGGCTTTCAGCTCGCGCTGGTACATTTTGGCGGCGGACTGGTCATGTGTCATGAGGACGAGGCCTCGCAGGTTGGGCCATTCGTCGACGATTTCTTTGAGGCCTTGCATCATCCAACTGGCGAGTCCGCGTCTCTGGAACTCCTCGATGATGAAGACGTCGGTGAGATAGGCGAATGTGACGTAGTCGGTTACGACACGAGCAAGGCCGACGAGTTTTACATCGGAGCCATATGGTCTTCGCGGAGCTCCGTTGTCTGTTCACGTTGAAAGAAGAGGCCGTTAGCTTGAATACTCTACTCTACAGGAGAGTGGTGGAAGAAATGGTTCCGTGTGTTTCATCCACGAGCGACGATTTCATCCAACTGGAATGGCAAATAGAATGGGGGTGACGAACTCTGCATCTGTTTCTCCGACTCGGGGACATGATATATGCTCATCGTCATGCAATTGGACAGCATCTTGCGCATCTGCTGCTCTGGCAGCGGGTCGTTCCACCACATGAGGTCTGATTCGAAGACGGCATTGACGGCCTGGGGCTCGAGATACGCCTTGTCGTTTGTGAGGAAGAAGTTGTCTCGGTACCAGTACCGTGGCTTGCCCTCGGGATTGGTGGCCTTGGAGCTCTTTGAGGATTGGGAACCCATTGAGGAAACGAGAGAGCCCATGGTTGCTGTCTGTGTGTCTTTTGCTTCTTGGGTTTGCTAGGCTGGGTAGTTTATGTACTGATACTTGTTCTTTTCTGCTTCTTTTCTTCTTCAACAGCGTACAGATGTTTCGAGGGTCAAGGTGGGAAGGAGACGGGGGAGATGGCAGCGCGGCAGGAGTACGATATATGTCTACTTGGGCGGACGAGAGTTTGACCCCGGCTCATCCTATTTCTCAATGGACCCCCTGGCGCTTTCAGATTCCCCGTCTTCCCGCCTTCCACCCTGCTTCTTTTATTCCCCCCAGCCAGCACCTAGATAGATGGCCAAGATTAGAAACACGGGGGAGCTCCATGACCCATACATGCTACCTCCATCGCGAGCCAATCCTGTGGCGTTTACTAGCCGGTTAGCTACGGCCCTTTGGAGCGATGGACCAGGGTGTCATCTGGACCTTTACGTTATCCATTGATTGTCTCTCTTTTACGGTGTTATTGACGAGTGCCCAACGAACGAGGTCAGGTGCACAGCGCCGGAGCCGTCGCGGCGCACGCAACGCACGCACTTACTGCTTCGGACGGCGGCTCTGGGCCCATTGGATGCGTGTTGCGTGGGCCTGGCACTAACTGGCTGGCGATCGCGTTTAATTCTCAAGACAAGCTGCAAAACAAGTCAAACGGCGGAGAAGCGGGTCGCACGGAGTCGGATGAGGAAGGTCGCGGTAGTTCCGGACTCTGTGCCTGTGATGATGCTGTTGCTCCGGCCGATAGACGAGAGACGGCATACTGCCCTGGTACTGCGATTGACGACCCTGTTGCTCATACGAAATTACGTGTGAATCCTTCTTCTGCCCTTTGTTCTTCTTTTCTTCTCTACTTCTCTTCTCCGATTCAGTTTGCTAGCCAGCACATGGACACCGCCCCCGGATGAGCCAGCGGACCGCCCATTGGCGAGCCCGGCACTCTGGCCTCGCAAACCAGGCGTGACAAGATCGCGCATCTCCAACCGCCAGTAGCATGACCGCCATGGTTTCCTGACAGGGTAACTCTTAGGCAATAATTACATACTCATGGTGTGTCGTTGGCAGCACAAGCTCCAAGCATCTTGGACTTTTGGGTGGCGGATGACGCCGGCTGGAGTGTGGGGTTTCACCGCGTTACCGAACCGGTCTGACGGCATGGGTGGACACCACTGAATAGATACCGGAAGGGGGGATTAACGGTAGAAAATGAGAGGCTAGCGACGCATACGGCTGTCGGCGTGAGGGGAGCGAGTTGATAAGATGTCGCAGAAAGCTGCATGGATTTGGTTTGCTTCTTTTGCTTGGTCGAGAAGCCTCGGGACTTGACAGAGGATGGCCCGCACGGGTTTTAATATCGCAAGGGACCTACGAGTACGAGTACCTATCTGTCGCTTTCGTCCGTGTTTGCTGTCTCGTCTCGCGTCCTTGTGCTGGCCCCTTGCTCAGGGTTGAGAAGGTCGGTGAGCTGAAGCTGCAGATGCATGTTTGTTACTCGTATGAATGTTATTTGCACGACCTGCCAGCGCGATAAGGCAGCGACAGCCCCTTAATTGGATGCGGCCTCTTCTTCCGACGATATGTATGACGGCATGGCTTGTCGCAGCCCCTAACAGTCACCGCTTCGATACTTTGCACGAGATGCGCCTCTTGTGGTTTAGCAGAGGAGCAGCTCGGGAGATTCAAAAGGGAGATCTCATCTACTGCGCAGTAGCTGGTGTGATGTGATGGGGCTAGCCTTATTGGGAGCGCGTGATGCTGTCTTACATAATGTCTCGGTTTATCCATAATTCCGGTTTTGCTGTTGTTACTACGAAATACGAGGTACTTGCATCACGATTTGCATTGATGACAGCAACTCGCATTCATTGGCTGATTTCATTCACAGGCATTCAAACACATACACAGACCTACACGTCATAACCACATCGATACATCACTGGTGCACATTTGCATTGGCGTCACTTCCAAGTGCAGGGCAAGGCAGATATTGTCAAACAGTCCCCACGGAAGGGTTTCCTTGAATATTGATTCCCATCCCATCCATCTCTACCTCCATCTCCATCTCCTTCTCTACATGACTTGGCCCTCGTGATGGAATTTCCTTCACAAGCAGACAACACATGCCATCTCCTTACAGCATTCCAACACAGGCCGCAACACCAGCAATCAGGCAGGATCCAAGAATGGCAACAGCAGTGGGAGCGGCGCCGTTGGTGGTAAATGTGCTGGTTGGGTGAGCGCCAGTGACGGTGCCGTTACGGCCAGGGGCACCGGTGGTCAGGCCCTGGGAAGCGGTCACTGTGGATGAGCTTGAGGCGCTCGACTTGACGGGGGCGGCGGTGGTCTGAGCAGCCGACTCGGTCTCAGAGGCCGTCTTGGACACAGTCGTCTCCAAGGTCGTGGCCGGAGCGGTCGTGGCCGGGGCGGTAGTGGCCTTGCTCGTCACCTGGGACTCGCCGGTAGTTGTGGCGCCAGATGAGCCGGTGGCAGTGGCCTGACCCTCACCAGCAGCCGCAGCCTTGGTCTGGAGGTTGAGGTAGCTGGGCGAGTAGGTCGCGGTGCCGGAGTACAGAGGGCAGCCGGGGACATCGGTCTTGGGGGGAGCTCGGCCGCCACCGCAGTCCAGGAAGTCGCAGAGCTCGCCAGTGCCGGGAACGTACCAGATGCGGCTGGCATAGGCATCGTAGGCAGGTCGGTCAGTGGGCCTGACGACGATGTCGGTGTAAGTGCAGCCGGCAAGGTCAGTCTTGCCCAAGGCCGCGGAGGCCAAAAGGAGAGTCGCGACAAGAGATCGAACAGCCATGGTGGGACTTTGAGGATTGAACTTCAAGGGAAATTGATGCTGACAATGGATTCAATGGCCTGGCCTGAGTTTTAGCGGCAAACGAAAGAATGGACGATCACGGGAGCGATCTTGACGATTGAGCGAGCGACTGGCAACGAGGAGTTGTCTGGCAAAAATCCAGAAGCGCGTTTTCCAACGGTGACGGCGCCCTTTTTTAACCAAACCCAAGGCCTGGGCCAAGTGGCTCCAGTTTGTCCGTCGCCTCCGGGTCCCAAGATGAGACGGCACTAACTCGAGCCCATTCAGGCAATCGCCGAGCCACGGGGCCCTGGATTCAGTGGACGGTTGGGCTCAGGGACCTCGAAAATGGCCTACTCGCTGCCTGATTTGGTACAGTATTTGCCTCTCCTGGGCGACTTGATGACATTGCCTGCTTTACGAACATCTATCACGACTTGTGCCCCTTTTCTGGGCTGGCTGTGTTACGGCGCTATTGCTTGACATGGCGCAGTCCGAAACAGTCCCGCATCTTTTGCCACTTGCTCTTCTACTGCTCTTTAAATGTCACTGTGACTTGAAAGCTCGCCGTGAGCACAAATCAATTACAATATACCATGAACCGTCAGGCCATAAAAGGCAATACATGAAAAGAGAGAAGGGAAAAGGAAAAACCTGTAGAATCGTGCGTGGAGTAACGATGAGACCTAAACCCGGAGCTAGCACGACTCAAGCTGCGAAGCGCCCGTCCAAAAGTAAACTCTGCCCATGACCAAGAAACTCGCGGGATATTAATACACCGAGAAGTAAAATCAAGGTTATTTGAATGTAATGCTATGCTTAAACATGCATGTAACTCGCTCTGTAAAATCAACCATGTTCGTTTGTTCAAAAGAGTCAGCATCCGTAATTACGCTAATATGCAGCTTCGGGGTTTTTTTTTGGTCTGTTAGTGGCGAGTCATTGAGGGTCTGTCTACTCCGTAATTGCTCCAAACATTAGGCGTATCATGCATGTCAACCCCTGTTTGGAACCTCGGCAGATGCCGGACATGATGTTGGTTCGCATGGCTACTCTCATGGGAATCTCGCAGAATGTAACAGCAGACCAACAACGGCGAGTGTCTGACCCCATACTTGGGAATTTTGTTTGGTGGGAGCCAGGATCCGTTGATGACGAATTCAGTTGAGTTGAGTGAGGATTACGATGTTTTTTTTCCTTTGACCGGGCGAAATGGCATTTTGAATGCAATAATTGTTTATATATCAAACTATGTATACATACGTTGCTATACTACCATCGCTACTCTCTGCTATTATCGCTACTTTCTGCTATTATCGCTACTTTCTGCTATTATCGCTACTTTCTGCTATTATCGCTACTTTCTGCTATTATCGCTACTTTCTGCTATTATCGCTACTTTCTGCTATTATCGCTACTTTCTGCTACTATGGACATATTCCTCTAGTATCTGCTTTCATCGTTTCCTATCAAGTATCTTCCAATTTTATCCTCTAGTATCTGCTATCATCGTTTCCTATCAAGTATCTTCCAATTTGAGACGCGGGATTGTGGATAGCAAACTTGGGGTGCTCCCTATATATAAATTCATTAGCTGTGGAAACCAGGGATATCACTATAAAATTCTTCAAGAAAAATAAGGCGAGAAATCCTCGTCTCTCTGGAACTTCTTCCCCTTCTTCCCTTTTGACCAGAGCAAAACAACTCAGTTGTAATGGCCAGGTGCAGGTCCAAAAAACTGTCCCTCAGGCAGCTTTTTAAGAGGGCAGGCTGTGCCTTCGCACCCCATGTATACCGCACTATTTCCCCACCAGTCGAGCGTGATGCCCTGGTACGTGAGTGAGAAGAATTGGATGGTGGCCGAGATGGCGACGCCGGCAGAGAAGGCGGCAGATAGAACAAAGTTGTACTACAAAAAGATGGATAGTTAGCAAGCTCTATGTAGCGCGCGGCATGGGGATATGACAAGTGTCTTGCTTACCTTGGACCACAGAGCCAAGAATCGCTTCTTGACATAGATCCAGGAGATATACGCAACGGGCACAGCCGGCCAAGTATAGCAAAGATTGTATGGCGCCCAGTAAAGGGCTCCATTCAAAAGAGCGACGGGATGTGTCGCGCGAATCACGCGGTTTCTGGGGAAATACTTGCCCAAGAGCCAGAATATTACCACCACGGCGATACCAAGCGGGAATCCAATGAGTGTCTCCGAGTATTGGCCGCCCACGCCCCAGAGTCTTTTGGGGCCGACAGTACCCCAGAGAACGGCAGCAGTGAAGAATGAGTTTTCAAAGGGGCATGTGAGTTTGAACGGTGCCTGGTCGGTACAGATGTCCTTCAGGTGGACTTGGTACGAGACTATGCCGACGCAGACAAATGTCGAGACCAGTGTCGGCACCATCTGTGCAAAGAAGGTGAATCGAGGCGGTATTTTGACGTAATGGGCAATCTTGAGGTCGTTGCTAAAGGATAAAGCGTGAGAACAGGTAACGTAGCCGTATGTCTTGAAGAAACACATGGCAAGGGCATTGCCTTGCACAAACGATCCACCAATCAACTCGGCCAGAACATTCAACGTTATCTCAACGCCAGTCATGGCGTAAATAATTCCGGTAGGGACCATGAACACTAGACATAGAGCGATGCCGTAGAATACAACAACAGGGCTCGTATGGGTTGGCCAGTGAGCAATTGCCGCACAGCCAAGAGCACAGGATATAACAAGCACAATCATGTACCACCACTCTGGAACTTCCCGGTACTTCTTCATCAGACGGTTATGAACATCAAGGACCTGTGACTTTTCAACTTTACCCTTTTTAGAAGGGCGGAAGCTGTTAAAAATGTCTTTGAGCCCTATCATAATCTCCATTCGGTGGTAGAGGAAGCCGTAGACTAAAGCGGCGGTATAGGTGCTAAAGTAGAACATGTAAATTGTGATGTTGCTAGCAGACAGGTATGGCGGTGAATACGCTTGATACTTCTCGGTGTCGATTATACCACGCTCATCGAGGATGGAAGTAACGTTATATCGCTTACCAAAGTGATCGTATGGCTGGTTCGAGTTGATTGGTAGATAAGCAGTGTTGTACGTGTTTGTGTAATACATTGCGATAATGATAAACATGGATAAAAACATGCCCATGAAAAGATTGAAAGTACTGAAGAACGGTACCATAAGAGGATCGATATTAGACGTCATGACATTCCAGTCAAAGGTAGTCACGGGGTTGATGCCGAGGCCGTTGACCGCACCCGTGATGTGATTCAATCTGGCATTATTCGGGGCGATCCAAGTCATCCAGCTGAAAAGGCTAAGAGCTCCGAAGATGTAGTTGGGGAACCAAAAGTAGATGAACATGAATATGAATGCATAGAGGAAGAATTTGAATCTCGACATTCGCCATATTTTGCCGAATGGACCTAGAACGGCGGAATTTCCCTCGTCGTGGAAAGCACTATTCAGGGCAATGGTAACAAGAGCCTGCGGCCATACACAATATGATGGATACACCAGAAACCTTCGGCAGATTCCAGCAAGACTGTAGCCGATGAAGTTACTCGACAGGGCAATAAGAATTCGGTAGCCATAATTGATGGCCCAAGGCTGATTGAAGAATTGCGGGAGAATTTGGATCCAGATGATGTGGTCAGTGTATGGTGAGCTTTTTGCAATACTGGCCATCAATGTGACGAGCATATGCTCCTTCTTATTGAAAGGTCCGGGGTTTAAGCTGTGCCGGACCCCGAATAGCGTGATGCCTACATCAGGCAGTAACCATTCCAGTAGTTTTCCTAGGGGATACGCCAATAACTGGGGGACATTGGACGTGACGATAATGGCAGGCTGTCGTATGCCAAAGAAGCCGTTGATAAATGCAATGCCACCAGAAAACAGAATCCCCAGGACCCAAGCTCGAATTGTCGAACATGGCATCGTCGGGTCATCGTGAGGGGAAACAACGCTCCTGACTTCGGCGTAAGGGCTATTGTTGACGATGAGAGCAGCTTGGATCTTCATTTCAGAGATTTGCTGCTCGTACTTTTCAGGCTGTGCAAAGATCCCATCATTTTCTAAACGCAACGACTTAGAAGTTGCGTCACAGGGTAAATGTGGACAGAGAGAAGGTATTATAGCAACTTACGAAGAAAATCTTCAATTTTCTCAATGACATCCAAGGGGAAATTAGGGTCTCTTTTGTGAAGACGATAAAAGGTGTTGAGGATCTAATCAAACAGAGTTAGGTCAATGCTTCGTAAAGTAATAATATCGCATGATGGGTCACCTACATCTCGCACTTCTTCAAGATTGTATGTTGCTGCAAGCTCTTTAGCCTCTAGCAAGTCATCATCGGTGACATGGAGGTCACGCTCTGCAGCTTGATCCTCGCCTGTAAGACACGGGACTTCATTGGAATCGTTGTAAGCCTATTAAAGTAAGAGATGTTGGTTAATCGTCTCAAGGTATGTGCTATATAGGTGGGTAATGGGGAAAAAGAAGGGGAAAGCAAGTGATGATGTCAGTGATAATAGAAGTATAGAATTATAGAAGCATAAGAGATACATACGTCGCTCTTCTCACCAAGAACACCACCTATTGTTTCTGGGACGACAGTATTCTCGACTTCCTCGGGCATAACTGCGGCTCTTTGAGATTCCAATGGCTTGACATTTGGCGAGCAGTGTGTGAAAGATTTGTGTGAGACGGGACATAATCGACTTTTTATCTCTGTTCCGCCGCAGACAACCTTTTGGCGATTTCTGTCTGAATCGAGGCGCAAGTAGGGCCAGCATAGAGATCCCCAGGCAGTGTAATGGGGAAGACAAACACCCGATATTAACAAGGGTTACACTGGAGATGGCCACGGGCGTGGGGTGAATTGCAGAGAAAGTCTACAAGCAAGCTGAAACGCGGCAATATTTTGCCCCTTTCTCGGGCTGCCTTCTCCATATCCGTGTCACACAATTTGGTATTGGTCTAAGACATGACTTAGAGTTCGTGATCCTCCGGAAGTTTGGGTCGACACAGTAATATAGCATCTATCTAGTAATACGAGGTAGCAAGTGGGTAGTTCAACACATAGTAGGTACTGGTACTCCGTACTACAGATAAAAGCCCAATCCTGCATGCAGAGGAAGTGAACCGAGATATCGCCGTTATAATAGAAGAGTCAATGTGTTCGTCATTGGCAAAGGGCGGACCAGCCTGGGTGGCAAAAAGTCGCAGCCAGATGGTAGAAACAAAAAGTACATTGATGTTTTAGCATGAGGGGCCTTTTGTAAAAGATTAATGATGCCGTGCTATCCTATCTGAGACCTGGGGGTTAGAATGCTCAGGACTTTTACTTGGTGTTCCAAAGTCCATCTGCTATCAGCGAAATTCACTGGTGGATGATAAATAGTTCATAGATGGCTATTGCAGCGCCGGTGCTCTGATCTGGGGTTATATGCTTACACTTTTTGTATTTCCATCCGTACTAGTTAGTTGTCCAGATATAGTAGTTCCCCTCATATCCAATAGGCATCAAACATAACATAAGAAAAGGTAGAAGAATGCCTGGGAATGGATGTCTAGAGTATAGTGTCAAGAGATATTGATGTCAATACCAGGCGTCAATCATGGACCACAGGACATTTGGACGGGAACACAAGCCGAGACAAGATGACCTCCTCTACCACAAGCCGGAGAAATAGATACAGAGAGGGATTTATTTCGATACCCAATCATGGGACCCCCGTGGAGATTGCAAGCGGACGCCTCTGAACTTTCTATGAGACGATGGGGAAGGTTTCTTTTGTGCGATGGCCCACCTACTATTCAGAGATAGAGGCGGCATGAAACTTGGAGCAGTCTCGAACATTACCATGGGCAAATAACACTAAAAAAAGAAAAAGTATCAGTCGCCGTGTGTCTCAATTTCATATCGTAATTATCGGCCGTAACACAGCTAGGGATATCATCTTCCTTGCTCCACCTTTTGTACATTTGTAAGACACCAGCCGGTCAGATAGAGTATGGCTACGCACATATCACATCGGGAGAGAAGGGAACTTTTGGGGCCATGCTGGTATGTTCCATGTCGAAGCCAGTCCAGCTTTTCCGAGACTGGGGAGGGACAAGCTTCGCCACGGACGGCCAGGCGATACCAGGCGTTGGAGAGCTACGGCCGACGTAGAGCTGGTCAAGGCGCGTGTCTCCCTTGTAGGTCTCGTCTGGTGCTATTGCCCACTTCCTTTTTACCTGGCGATATTCCATACATTAGTAAGATGATTCGCCTTCGTGGGGAATGCAAGCAAGGGATGGGTGATTGCTGAGTGGATGACTGGGTAGAGTCATGGGTGGATAGATGCTTATCTTTGATCCCTGCCCGTCGGCTTCAACATTCGAAGCCCCAAGGGATGAATCACCAAGCCACATAGAGTTACTTGGTATCTCCATAGAACCTCTTTTGATAGCGCCTTATGCCAGGTCGGCGACATGAACTAATTAAGTACAAGGATAGCAGGTATTGTGAGACGAGAAAGTTTGAAGCATCAAGCAAGTAAACAGACTCTTTGGAAACAAACTGTGGTCCGTGCTCCCATCATCAGCCATGGCGTCTAATAAGCTCATTAAGATACCCGATAGTCTGGCTAGAGCATATTTCAAGATAATACTGTACTCCGTAAATGGTGTTAGAGTTCTACTCCTCCAGGCAGAACCCCAGGTCAAAGCCTCTCTTTGTAATTACTATAATACTTCACGCCAACCGGCGATTAACTTTTCTCAAACTTCCTAGCAAAGGATATACTGAGTAGGTTTAACCATCTAGTACTAACCAAGAATAAAAGGCAAATACAGAACACATCATTGCACCTCCATCGTACCTAGGTAATTATTAAAAACGCCTTCAATCCTTTCCACCTACCCAAATTCTGTTCCATCTGCTACACTTCACGGCAATGCAAAAATGGAGGACCAGATTGGCCAGATTGAATCTTTTTTAAGATTTCTTTTCAGCATCCTGGGCTATATAGCCATGCCTGGTTTCTGGGCCGAGAGCCTCATCTTCTGGATGCTCGGCCTGCCCACATCGACGAGTTTTCGCATGTTTCCTCCAGCAGACATCGTCCCCGGCCACGACTACCCCACGAGCATAGCATATAGCTATGTTTTGATCACCATGCTATTCATACCCAGTTTCATCTCTTCGGATCGCTATTTTGACGGCTCAAACACTCTTGGATCGATACTTCGTCCTTTAACTAGAAGGGCCAACCCATCCATGGAATTCGCCGCCATGTTTGCTCGTGTTTGGCTGGCTGCGGCTTGGGTGAATGCGGCAACGGCTCAGTTTATGACTGACTGGGTTCTTTGGACATTTTGTGCGAAACTTGGGTGTGTGTACTTGATATTATGACACGACCAGACCTACAAATGCAATGTCCCAAGTTCAGCAAGGAGCTTTTCCCAGAACAAATAAGATACAACTGACGAGCTTGAAGAGGATGATCTATCATGGATAACGACACTCTTTCACCCTGTTTATTCTATATAAATGGGTTAGAAGTACAAGGCATCAATAGGTATACCATGGTTGGTGTGTAGGTAGATAGGATAACACAGTCTAACTGCATCAGATCCTACATGACTACGTGTAGTCATGCTCGAACCCTCTCTAGAAAGGTTCCAGGTCTACATGCAGCGTTGGCCAGCGTCGCTGCTACAGGGGGATTGAGGGTACTTGGGTTGTAATTCAATCAATAGCACCAATACACAGTAACAAGTTCAAGTTCGCAAACACAGAGCACAAGCAATTTAGCAATGTCAAATGAAATAATGAACATTTACTATCTGAAAAGAAAAAAGAAAACTACTTTAGTAGTATCAGATGCGCAACATTGCGAACAGTACAAATCTTCCCTCGGAACCGTTTTTAGTCAAACATTATAGCGAATAAGGAAAGTGAAACAACTTCCGTCTTAATTACTTCTTCACTCCGTCAATGCTCCAGATTGCGACAGTGCAATCCTCTTCCAGTGATCACGCTCTGCCTCCAGCTTCGCAATACGATCCTCGAGCTCTTCAAATCGCTGAGCCTTTCGCTCACGCGACTTTCGAGCAGCCAAGGTATTGCGAGCTCGCTTCATGGCAACGGTGTCATTGGCGTCCTCAACAATGATAGGAGGCAGAGGCTTGTCTCGTCGGCGAGAGTTAACACCGGAGACGGAAGAGTGTCGGGTGGAGCCCGTAGGGGAGCCACCAGACGACTTCTTCCTGCCGCTTCCGCTACCACTGCCACTGCCAGAAGATGATGATCGGTACATAGGCTCTGATTCCAAAGGCTTCTGAGCAGGCGACTCGTTTGCGTTGGCAAACTCTTGGCCGCTTGCATCAGAAGGAAACAGTGGGTACCAGGGGTCGCTAGGACCGTTCTCAAATTCAGCAGTGCCAAAGTTGGGAGAAACATCATATGAATCAAACTCGGGGCTGCCATTGTACAGCGAAGGAGAGGTGAGGGCAGTCAGCGCCGCAGAGTTGGGCGCCGACATGAAGGGCTCCTGGATCAAGAGATCCTGAGGAGACACGGTGCCAAGATTAGAAGCAGCGCTAGAAGCGCCGCTGCTGAAGTCAAAGCTGGAAGCGACTGCCGGAGAAGAGAAGGCCGTAGAGGCGCCTCCTTCAAAGAAGGTGAAGTCGTCCAAATCGACGTCTATTGAGAGGCGTGAGCAAGAGTGAACAAGCTGGAGCGAATTAGAAGGGTTGCACAAACCTGCAGCGTTCATCATCTTGGCGGCTTGATTTTGATTACCAGTGTTCTGATTAAACAGGGGTACTGGTGGCCGTGTAGTGCGAGAAGACCGATTCAAAGAGACAGTTGAAGATGGAGCAGAGGATGCGTAGAACTGATTCGATAAACGATTGCCGTAAGCAGAAGACAGAGATGGGTGCCCAATAGCCTGGAGTATCTGGGCCACTCGTTGATTTTGGACTGCGTGTGAAGCGTGCTTCTCGCGACGGGTGTGACAAGAGTGACGACGTTGGCTAGAAAGAGGAATACTCCTACTATGTTGACGAGGCTGAGGGTTGTCGAACAGAACAAAGTCCTGCTGGGGATTCTCGACGGGGTTCAGGGACAGGTGCTCGGATGGTGCCGGCAGGGCGGAAGCTGAGTTGGGAAGCCATGTTGACTGGGAATCCGTGGTGAAGACTGGAAAGTCTTGAGCTGAAATGTTGGCGGTGAGGAGGGAACTCGTGCTGATGCTATTCAAAGCAGTGCTGAAGTTCAGGTCGACCGAATGGTGAGCTGAACGGGAAGATTGAGTGGGGAGAATGTTGTTTATGTCCTGGGACTGAATTTTGACGGAGGGGGAAGAAACACTCGGGGAGAGGTTTGTTTAGATCATCTTGAAGGCAGCCTGAGGCTTCTAACGCTGTGTATAATAGGTGATATGAAAGCTTGGGGGTGGAGGAGAAAGGAAAGAAAAAAAGGCAAAAAAAAAATGTGGCCGTGGCGGTTATGTATTTCTCAGGCAGCAACTCGTAGCGGCGCACCAGCCGGTACGTACCCGGGCGGCACGGGCTGCGGTACAAGGCGAGGGCTCTGGGGGCTTGTGCAGCCCTAACAATGCACGGCGCCAGGCAGCCTGCCAGGCTGTTAGGCACCTGCTGAGCGGACCACTGGCGACCAAGTACAGGCACGTAGAGGGCGCTGCGCAGTTGGCAGGCGCCCTTGCCAGCGCTCTAGGCCCCGCCGGTGACTCACACTTTCTGGCACCAAGCCGCTTCTGGCCTGGCCGGAACAGCGCCAGCCCCAGTTGGTGCCACCACGCCTTTTGTGTCTTCCCCAGCCGATCCAAGTTGATTGCAGCGAGCGCCTCACAGTGCAGAGCCATACTGTCCAATTCAGTGCCTCATCTTGCGCGATGCAGCTGCATGCACCGTTCTGCCGGCATTAATTCGACCAGTTTATACAGTCATACATGTCACGTTTGCTGATTCGGATTGATGCCAATTGAGCGCATCAATTTCACATGTGATACTAATAACGGCTCTCGATACAGACAAAGGGCGCAGAGACAAAGACGAAACGAGACGAAAAGAAAAACTGAAGCAACAAGTCTCGCTCGCTACCAAGAATCCATCGTACTAAAATCGCTTCTTTGGTGTTTTGTGTGGATTAGCAATCTTTCATGCCGCCTTTCGCTAGTTCTCTAGTTCCAAAGCCAAGCGCGAATCCTACTCGAATTTCTCCATACAGAAACCAAGCCTTGCCTTGTACACCGTGCTCTTGTGCCGGTACAGTGAGATGGCTTACTGTATGGTCGACAATATTACGGAGTAGATCTCAACAGGATACGCTTCCCGTGATAACACGTAAACCACAACAGTTTCAGCTTCAACGCACGTTACCCGACTCGTATACGTATTACCACTGCCTTCTGCATACGAGCCAGAATTACCAAGGACGAAGAGCACCGGCTGCAATTTTACAGCGACATGGGGAAAGCCCGTCTGAATGCCCAGCGCCGAGGCGCAGACTCATGTCTCATCTTACTCTTTGGATCTGGATGAGCACAGTAAGATTAACATCCGTTTGAGGATGTCTCAGTAAGCAGAAACCAAAAACCACGCTCGCCTGCCATTCGGGGGAGACGCAGCACGAGGCACAGCAAAACCTGCTTCGCGGTGCAACCCCGGACGATGGAAATCCTCTGGTGCCGATGCAGCCCTTCGGAGCCCGAGAGCACATGCCCTGTAGCCTCACGCATTGAATGGCCCAGAGCGCACGCAAGCTGTGACGACGACACATTGCACGGCAATCAAAGGGGAAGCAGGCCGTCACATGGAGAATTGTCCGCAAAAGGCCTCGTTTGAAATTACTCCGTATGGATTGTCGCGTCCACCAACTGTGCGGCTTGGAATGCTCTTGTTCCTGGTTGTTATACGACGACAAATACGACCAGACGCCTCACATTCCCTAGCGCTTCCTCCCTGCTGGGACTAGATAGACGAGCAGGTTACATGTCTTCGTTTTTGCCCTTCCTTTTCCTCGTCGTCGTCGGCACCATGAAGGCCTTCCATTGGCTCCTTGCAGTCCAGCCTCCCATCCAACTTGACCCCGGCCAATCAGCGGGGTGAGAACCATGGCTAAATGGGACGAGGGGAAAATATTCAGACAAAAGAAGAAGAGAAAAAAATTGAAAAGAAAAGCCTCTTTGCCGCTACCAGCCCGCGATGGAGTCTGACCCGTGTGGCTGAAGCGATGGCGCGCTGCTTTCAACACTATCGTCTCAGGCTATGAGAATTCTGGTTGGAGGTGCCTGGCCTTTTGGACACGCCGGTCCATGTACAGCACCGCTCAATCAAATCACAATACAGAGCACGCACCAAGAAGTGCCCCGAATCAAATGCAACCAAGTGTTAGTCCTACTGCCTACTCCGTAATGGCACTACAAAGGACTACGAGTACTGCCTTGTACCATTGGACTACGGTACGAGGACTAGGTGTTCTTTGTGCTTTGTCCCTCTAGGACCAACTTCCTCCCGTCTCTTACAGCCCATCCAGGAAGCTGTCGGCCTGCCTCTTGGCCCGCCGCTCCCCCATATCCTTGCGGCGCTGTTCGATTTCGCGCCGTCGTGCCTCACGTTGCTCCTCTCGCTGCTTGCGCTGTTCCTCGGTCCTAAGCCTCTCCTCCTCCAGCGACTTCATCTCCTTTATCCGCGTCTCCTCGTCCTTGCTGAACTTGTAGAAGCCGACGCCCTTGGTGCGAATCTCGTGGTCGGCATCGTAGTGCTTCATCTCAGGCGGTGTTGCGCTTCTATCCCGCCTGCTTGCCAGCTCCGCCATCTTGTCCGGGTCATCCGGCGTAAACGCCATTGCTTGAATCGCGTCGCCGTAAATGAGGTTGCTTGGAGCGCTAGGCCGGGCTGACATGCGCTCCAGTTCCTCGGCGCCCAGCAGCCCTCGCCGTATGCGACGTTCCATCTTTTCCTTGTCGGCTCGCGTGCCTCGCCGTGTGCGCCCAAACTCGTCCTCGTACTCCACCATCTCCTCGCCGTCGCTGCCACCCGCATCCTCGTCCGAGCTGGTCTCGTAGTCGTCTTTGCCTTCCACCGTTTCAGCCCACTTGCGGTCAAAGTCCACCAGCGGTGCCGCCTCGTTCTCCTTGGGCACGTAGTCTCCGCGTTTCATCGCGGCGTAGAGCCGTGCCTTGCTCTCCATCTTGCGCTTTGCGCGCTCGAGTTCCTGCGTCTCTTCCTCTGTTCCAGCCACCTCTTTGAGCACTAGCTTGTCTGACTTGGCATCTCGCTCCTTGGTTGTCCTTTTTGACTTGCTGGTGCCGCGGAATATGTCGTCTTTAGCCTGTTTCGGCCTCACACGTCCAGACGCTGTTGATGTTGACCCCTGAGGAGTGGCATTTGATATAAGTGACGCGAGCTGGGCAGTAAAATCTAATGACGACGATAACGCCTCTCGTTTGTGTCGCTTTTGCGGCCTCTGGCCGTAGAGATTCGGATCTTGGGGCATAATGTGGTATTTTTTTTCAGATGCAGCTTTCTTTTCCCGCGGCTCCCATATATGCACTTCCAGAGGCCGTATTCAATTCCCAAAAATGAGGGTTTTTCTCCAGGGTATAGTGCTAGGTAGCAAAACTTTTGCCGTAGAGACCGTGATGGATGGTTTGATTTCCAGACATCAAATAAATGAAGCCCAGAAATTGATCTTATCGCCGCCACGCTACCAGGAAGCTGGACGTCACTCGCCAAAGCAACGGGTCTAGGTGACTAAGCGTCTTTGTTGATTCCTACGGAGTTCAAGAACAAACATCTCGACCTAGATATGATGGCTGCAATGTTTTCTCAGCGACACCGCGAGAGAATATTGAAGTGTGAATATAATTTTATTATTTTTATCTTTTTTTCGTTAAAAAAGGATGTAATGTCGGATCGGAAGCCAGGGTCCAATCAATCTCACACTTGCCGCAGCGTTCAAAGCACAAGATCCAGTTCGTATGCAGCTTCATAGCATGCATCTCATCAATCTTATACTATCAATATTTTGGCCACTCCGTTGTTCCAATGATCCATTTCCCATCTATGGAAAAGCCTCTCCTTTCGAACCTCTTTCAGTCGAATAGCGCTCGGCCAAAATCCAAGATTCGGGGAATTGGTGTAGGGGTATCGCGTTTGCTTTGCATTTGTTCAGTCTGAGTGCAAGTCTGTAAAAGGTCAGGGGTTCAAATCCCCTATTCTCCAGTCTTTTTGCTCCTTCTAGATACCAACTAGCATCTGTATCTGTATCTTGCAACTTTCGCTGTGTTTTTTGCTACAGGGAAATTATTCTTGTCCCTCTACGTACGATGGATATGAGTTTTGGTGGGACTATACAATGGAAGTTAAGTTACTGCCCAAGTGAGCAAGAACCTCAAGGTCTTATCGTTCATCAAGCTTCATTCAGAATGAGTTTTACCATCTATATCACTTTTGAGAGCCTCGAATAATGGTGAGGGTTCCACAATATGTCTCTGAGAGCATTAATAGTAGTAGGTAAAAATGTAGCGCGTCTAACGACTTCATAGCACCAGCCTCAGCATGAGGAATAGATCAACCACATCCCATATCAACGGGATGAACACAATATGAGCCTATATGCAGGATCCGCATCCACCATGGAGCAGATTTTACACATCGGCATACATATCATCTATCAATACTTTCTGGAACACAGGAAACCTCTTTTATCAATACTACAGGTTAGGTCATAGCCTAACTTGATACAGCAGGGAGCTTGCAAGCCCCCACCATCAATCACATCACCCCGCTATCGGAACTGCAACCCATCATCTTCCATCCAAGCTATTTTCGCAGCTTTCGTTCACCCTCAAGATAAAAATGGCTGCAGTCAATCAAGTTTACATCGCCATCATCGGTACATGCTCCCGGGTTTCTTGATATATTCGGTGTAGTTTTGATCAATTGATTCAACTAACTCATGATTATACAATAGGCGCCGGTGGTGTCGGCAAATGCTTCCTCTCACAATTGCAAGCGCTCGCTGCTCGCAAACCGTCCCCCAAGCTGAGCCTCTGCTATATCTCGACAAGTCGCAAGGCCTTATACAATGTCGATTACTCCCCCGTGAGCCTGGAGGGCGTCACCGAAAGCCTCGCTGCATCCACACAGGCCCCTCCTCCTCTGCCACAAGTGATTGATTATTTGGCCTCCGCCCCGGCCAAGGTGGTCTTGGTCGACAACACCAGCTCACAGGATGTCGCCGATGCTTATCCCCTGGCCTTGAGTCGAGGTCTCAGCATCGTGACGCCCAACAAAAAGGCCTTTTCCGGCTCATACAAGTTGTGGCAGGATATTTTCACGGCATCGGCCACCTCCGGCGCCAAGGTCTATCATGAGTCTTCGGTCGGCGCTGGCCTGCCAGTCATCTCCACGTTGAAGGATCTGGTCGACACTGGAGACAAGGTGACAAAGATCGAGGGTGTCTTCAGTGGCACAATGTCGTTCCTCTTCAATTCGTTTGCGCCGACCGAGGGTCAGGGTGGCAAGTGGTCTGAGGAAGTGAAGAAAGCAAAGGCTCTCGGCTATACCGAGCCAGACCCGAGAGATGACCTCAATGGTCTTGATGTCGCTCGCAAGCTGACTATTTTGGCCCGTTTGGCAGGTCTGCCTGTCGAATCGCCAACATCTTTCCCTGTCCAGAGCCTTATTCCCAAGGAATTGGAGACCTGTTCGACCGGAGATGAATTCCTCGACAAGCTGCCTGCCTTTGACCAGCAGATGGAAGACACCAAAGCTGCCGCCGAAAAGGCCGGAAAAGTTGTTCGATTTGTTGGCAGTATTGACGTGGCTACCCAGCAGGTCAAGGTTGGGCTGGAGCAATTTGATCGCTCACACCCCATTGCCTCCCTTAAGGGCAGTGACAACATCATCAGCTTCTATACCGAGAGGTACGGCAGCAATCCTCTGATTATCCAGGGCGCGGGTGCCGGCGGAGACGTGACGGCTATGGGTGTGACAGGAGACCTCATCAAGGTGCTTTCGCAAATCGCTTAGAACCATATCCATGATATCTATGTGACTTATATATATCCGAGAATAAAAAAAGACCAAGTGTTTATGAGTCATGATCGCTTATCGTCGTCTCGCTCGCTGATCGCCATGTTCGGAACCGATTGTTGTTGTTGCAGTGACTATTGCTGCTGCCGAGCCGGCTGCGGCGGGGATCCGCGCATCTGGCGCACTCTGGGCTGAGCAAAACGTTCTCCAGATCCATAGCAGAATATCGAAAACGACTGCAAGAAGAGAAGGTACAATGAAAATAAGGCCCAGGGCCAGCTATCCCTGGAAGTCAGATACAAGGGACGAGAAAAAGGAGGCATCTCGGCCAGTACTCACGCTAATCCACGAGATGGTGCTGACGAGAAACGCCGAGCCAGGGAACGACAGATATGCCAGCATGCCGGAGACATCCCAGAGTAGCACGGCCATGGCGCAGAACTATGGAAGAAGACGTCGCGATGATGGAAAAGAAAGCCAAGGGTTCATTGCCGAGCGAGCACAACAAAAGCAAAGAGATGCTCAGGAGCTGTCTCAGCTAAGGTATTTTTTTAGGCTGGCTTTCGCAACCGTCCCGTCGCAACACTATAAGTACTCGGTACTTTATGCTTCGTACCAGGTTTGCTTTCCAGGAGCTCCGGTCTCACCACCTAAATCTCGCCACTTTAGACCGCTATTGCCTTAGACTTCCATACCAGTGAGCTGACATTGGCGGGAAGCCGATTGTGCCTTCATATCGGGTTGACATGTGAAGATGTTACATTCTCAGGGGGTGACCAAGTTGCCAGATACTGTAGTCACTGGTACCTGATTGAGTTGAAGCTGTCGAGGTGGGCAATCCTGCGACTAAACCCAATGTAGCTTTGTGCCGTAAATTGCATGCACTCACCGCGCTTGACCGCTTTCCTATTTCGCCTCTACCAAACTTTCCTCGCCAACCAAAGTCAGATATCGAATCTCATCAACAAAATTCAGTCTGCTGTCTCTCAAGGCTCAACACGAATTGCCGCCAAAGATTTTGAACCAGAATAATGGGCAACCAGGCAAATAAGAAAGAAAGGCGAGACAGGTTTAGAGAAAGAAGAGGCCAAGATGGCGTCGTTTTGCTGCCCCGGAAAAAGCTTTATCGTCAGAGAGCTCATGCAAACCCTTTCTCAGACCACATGCTAGAGTAGTACGTCTACCTCTCTGGGGGGTTCTATACAATTTTGCTAACTTGCTAACAGCCCACTATCGCCTGAGCATATGGATTGGTCATCCTATTATCCTTCTTATGTGGATGAAGAAGCGTCACGGGATGAGTCCAAGCCTCCGCGAATGAAGCAAGATGTTGAGATTGTCGACATTGGATGTGGCTTCGGAGGTCTCCTCGTCGGCCTCGCACCTATTTTACCAGACAAGCTCATTCTTGGTGAGTCATTCCTCTCCTGTCATTCGCCATTGGGCCACGAGGATATATAACTGACATCTTGCTAGGCTTGGAGATCCGTACTACAGTAACACAGTTTGTGCAGGAAAGGATATGGGCCTTACGTGCACAAAGCTCTGAAAAGCTTTATCAGAATGCTGCCTGTATCCGCGCAAACACCATGAAGTTCCTGCCCAACTTTTTCAAGAAGAGCCAGCTGAGCAAGATATTCATATGCTTCCCTGATCCACACTTTAAAACGAAGAAGCACAAGGCGCGAATTGTTTCAACAACTCTCAATTCTGAATACGCATACGCTCTACGGCCCGGCGGCATTGTCTATACCATCACCGATGTCGAGGCATTGCACGAGTGGATGGTGGAGCATCTCGACGCCCATCCATCCTTTGAGCGGGTGAGCAAAGAAGAAGAGGAAAACGACGAGTGCGTCAAGGTTATGTTGAACGAGACGGAGGAGGGCAAAAAGGTGGAACGAAACAAGGGACATAAATTTGTAGCCTTATTCCGCCGTATGGAAGATCCCCCATGGTAATTGGATGAATTTGAGGCAAGCCACATGAAAGAATGAATACCCTTTGAAGCCCATCATCGGCTTACAGAATGCAGAATGGAGCAGGCAGGATTGGAAATGTCAATAGGGAATACTACCTACTAATTACAAAAGCCAGCCACCTGTGTGGTGCGCCTCTGTGGAGCTGTACCCCATATCATAGTATCTACACATACAGATAATATGTACAAATGCTATCCCATTGACGAATCAGATGGAAATGGCATATCAGGTGAAAGTCGGCTCATGTGCAGCAGCATCATGCGCTCGTCTCCGTCTTTTCAAGGCCTGTAAGCTGTGGATAGAGGTACAAACGGACTCCAGCTATGAATGGAGTGCTTGCATGTCGCTACGTAATGGTGGACCTGCGGCTAATCGATAACGAGGGGGGCTTGCAACCGCACCTGTTTAGAGCGTCGCAACCGCGAAGCTACACCCCATATATATACCACTACGATACCCTCGCTCACCGTGTCTTTCAACAATGATGCTCAAGAGGCGACTATGGCCCTGAAGCGTAGAGATGTAGTCCTTGCTGGAGTGGCCTACTTCATTGCGTGGGGCTATGCCGTCAGCTGCTTCTCTGCGCTGCGATGGGTCGGATATGCGTTCGTAGGCGGTATCGTCATCAGCTTCCTCTCGCTTATCGCGGCTCTGGTTTTAATCACACAACCCCCTCGCGGCGATCGACAGGCGCGGCCGGCCAGGGTCTCGTTTCTGAGCTCTCAGAGATGGCGCACCGAAGCGGAAGCTCTGCGGCAACGGCAGACTTACCACAAGGAGCCCCTCGATCCCAGCTTCCCCCAGGCATCTCAAGCTCTCGATGAGGTCCTGGATCTGATCTTCCGCGACTTTGTACGCTCGTGGTATTCCCACATCAGCCAGAACCCGTCATTCGAGAACGAGGTGGACAAGACCATTCGACAGGCGCTGTTAAGCCTCCTGGGCTCCCTCCGCAACAAAGACCTGGCTGATCTCGTCACGAGCCGGTTTGTGCCCATCTTGACGGCCCATTTCCACGACTTTTACGAAGCCGAGAAATCAGTGCGAGGGAGGAAGCTGAACCGATCCGTCACAGAGTCTGAAGAGCTTGATCTTGCAATTGCGTCCAAATTCAGAGATGGCCGGCTACATCCCGCGGCTTCGCTGTCCTTTCCGGACACCAAAATGGTTCAGCAAGACTACTTACGGTCGTTGGTAGGACGACTTCTGTCCAAGATCCTTCCCAAAAAGATGCTTTCCAGCCGGGCCGTCTCTATCATAGTGCGGGAGATTGTGGGCTGTGCGGTCTTGTTCCCCGTCGTTCAGCTGCTGGGCGACCCCGACATGTGGAATCAGTTGATTGAGAACCTTGGTCGCTCAATGCTTCAGGATAGATCTACTGTTCGCAAGCTCAGGGCAGCACTGGACCAGCACGCTTCTCCTACTCCAAGATCCAACAAGCTAGCCACAGCACCGCGGTTGGCGCCTGGGGATAACGAGCGCAAGTTTGAAAAGTTCATTCGAGCCATCCGCAGGGTCAATAACCTATCTGACGCAAGGCGGTTCCGCAGCGAAGTTGCTAGTCAGCTCAAGCGTGATTCTCTGCAGGAGAACCAAGATCCAGTCTATCTTCGCCGACTGGAAATGGGAAAGCGGCTACTCGATGAGAGGGTACATCATTTGGCTGCCGGAGGGAATCGCCATTCGCCTCTGCCAGCTCCCTCCGCGCCGCCCGTTTCCACTTCGAAGCTCGAAAACGCCTCCCTCGTAGAGCTGTTGCGAGATCCGGCAGGTTTATCATACTTTATGGAATACATGGACCGCCAGCGTTTGATGCCCTTGGTTCAGTTCTGGCTAGTCGTTGATGGCTTCCGTAACCCTCTGGAAGATGATGGCCAGGATGACGAGCTTCCCTCTACTTTGCCCATGTGGACAGACTCGGATCGCCTAGACTTGCTTCAGATTCACCAAGCATATTTGTCCAAGCCGGATCTTAACGTACCGGACATAGCTAAGAAGGCTGTCAAGGAGTTTCTCCAAGCCGGTATGTCTGCTACGCCTGCTGAGTATTACAAAGCCAGGAGAGCCATTCTGAGGGCTCAAAGTGGAGTTCTGGAAACGATGCGCTCTCAATACTTTGAGGGATTCAAAAAATCAGACTTGTTCTACAAATGCCTCGCATCGCAGGAGATGTCGCGTGCTACCATGTCACCGCCGCCCCCCTCTCACCAAAGCCCTTCAGTATCAACCAGGACTCACTCATATCAGTCCAAGCCCAAGCCTGCGCCACGGTTCGCTCCGTTGACCGCCGGGCCGTCCAGGCGACTCTCTGGTTCGATTTCAGATCTCAGATCCGTTCACACTAATGGTAATGGCTCGGATCCGCTGACCGCCTCACGGAGGTCTCTTGATGACGATCGATCTGCGAACCCTCTTTTTGACGATGATGAACTGGATAACTATGGGATGATGGATTCGGTGCAGAGCTTAGACCAAGACCTGTCGAGGCAGCAAACACCCGACAAGCAAGTTGTTCAAGCCGTAGAGCAGGCATTAACCAATATCTTGGAGGACGACAGGCCACAGACCGCGGAGGATCTGCGAGCCTCTCTGTTCGATAATGAAGACAACATGTCGAGCTTGTTTGGTAACGATAATGACTCTAATCGAGGTTCGTTTGACGCTGGCAAACCTCTGATTACGGCAAAAGAGGCTGGTAAGCCCACTCTGTCGTCGCTGGGCCTCGTCAGCGCCGCCTCTCGAATCGGCGTGTTCGTAGATGACGACCTCTTTGGAGATGAAGACAAGTATCTCCCAGACGAAAGTGACGATGTAGATGAAGAGGCGCAATCCGACGAGGAGGATGAAATACACGAAGCTGCCCCTGGAGATCTTGGGCTGGCAGAAGCCATCACGGCGCTGACGAACGACATTGATCGCTTGGTGGCACAAGATGCGGTTATAGAATCTCTGACAAAGAAGGCAGAGCTTACAAACAACGCGGCAGAGCTACGAATTCTAAAAAAGTCTAGGACGAGTCTACAAAGGGAGATTAGGCGCAAGGAACTGCAGCGGCAACAATACGTGATACAGGAAAGCGATAACAGCCTCTATGGAAGATCAGAAATCAGGATCAAATCCATTCAGGTGGGGAGAGAAGATGATGGTCGAGAGTTTGCTCTGTATGTCATTGAAGTCCAGAGGAACGCAGGTGAGCAGATGCCAGCGTCATCCTGGGCGGTGATGAGAAGATATAGCGAGTTTCACGAGCTGCACCAAAAGCTCCGCTCGATGTATCCTTCAGTGCGGAATCTCGATTTCCCCCGTCGCCGTGTGGTGATGAAATTCCAAAGTGATTTCCTTCGCAAAAGGCGTACAGCGCTGGAGAAGTATCTGCGGGAGCTCCTGCTTATACCCGATGTGTGCCGCAGCCGCGAACTGCGAGCGTTTCTATCGCAGAGTGCCATTGCGCAAGGCGAGGACCCGATGGGCCGAGAGAACAAGAAGGATATGATGACCCGCTTGTACGACTCGGTAGCTGACGGCATGGAGGATATCCTCGGCAACATCCCGGTGCTAGATCAAATCTCGGTCGCGGGACAGAGCCTCATTGCTGCTGCGACCAATCAGCTCAACACGATGCCGCTCAACGTTAGTGAAGAAGCATTTCCTGCTGCGGAGGCAGAGGCGGAGCTCGACGCCTTTGAGAATAAGGAGCTAGAGCCGTTCATCAAACCCATTTGCGACATATTCCTCGAAGTCTTTGAGCTCAACAAGGGGAACAATTGGCTGCGGGGAAGGGCAGTTGTGGTGGTGTTGCAGCAGCTGCTTGGTGGGACGATTGAGAAGAGGGTTCGAGAAAACATCAAGATGGCGGTGCAGGAGGACTCGCTGGTGCGATATGTGACCATGCTACGAAACGCACTGTGGCCAGATGATGAGCTGGCTCGAGATCGAAAACCACGTACCACGGCGGAGAAGAAGAAGACGCGGACGGAAGCCAGCCTAATGCTGGCAACTCTGGTTCCGGACCTTGCGGGAAATGTTGTAGGGCGGGTCAATGCTCAGGCGGCAAGCCGACGCCTCTTTGCAACGTTTAACAACTCCAGGCTCAAGTAAGATGCTCTTACCTTCCCCCCTCCTTCTCACACCCTTTATCTTTGTATATAAAAGGTTGTATTCTAATCAGCGAATGTGTAGTTCTCATCTGGTGTTTACGATACTTGATGAGATTGTCTCGGTCCTCTTTGAAGAGGCTTGAAGAGTTGTCTGAGCATCCGTTGCGTATGTTGGCTTGGCATTTTGAGCATTAACGAAGCATGGCGTGGGCGTATTCCAGTTTAGTTCAATCCCCGTATGCTCCTTGCCACCTCCTCTCGTCGTCCTTCTCTTGTTGGACCCCGGTACATTTTGTGTGGCATCACTGAGCTTGCTTATTTGGAAGCGGTTGGTAGGAAGCGGTATGATGAATGTTGTTATTAGTGATTGGGATACGTGTGACGATTTGTTTGGAGGCACATGCAAAAAGGTTGGCTGTTTAATTAATGCAGATTCAGATTATTGCCCGTCTTTGCAATAGAGAGTGTTTTGTACTTAGATATTGGTACAACGTAAAGTTTGTTATGTTTCATCTCATGACGCCGAGATGAGACCTATTATGAACTGATGTAAAGCCTCTCAATGATCTTCAATTATATTATAGAATAAAGACGATAAATCTGCCACGAAAGAGACATATCGGCGCAATACACGCTCATGTAACCCCAGCTTTAGCAAATTGCAAGCCCTTTCGGCACATCCCGAGTTGCCGGGTCTACGTCGCACCAATATGTAGATAACCACAGCAGCATCCGGGTTTGTCAACAATCTAGATCAAGAAATGTGATAAAATCTGCTGCTGGCCAATTAAAACAAAACCAGCAGATCTGATTTGCCGTACGTGTATAGATGTATAGATACAGTGCCTTATTCAGCCCGTCAAGAGCCTCATGCGTGCCTTGCCCAGGTACCGGAGATTGATTAATCCCGATCCGTGTGGGCTTCGCAAGTCTTGGGCGGTGGGGGTTTCCTGGCTGCTTGAGCCGTCAGCCATTTACCAGCATCTGCCAGCAAAGCTGCGTCGAGAACCACACGCATCTCTATTTCACCTGCTTTCCGGTCACCTGCTTCTCGGCTCTCTGGTCGACAATCGTGGACGCCATTCGCCAAAGGGGCACCACCTGCTGCCTGTCTTCCCGCCATAGCCTGGTGCCTCAGCCTTGCAATCCCGGCCTTTACCCGCGACCTGCTCGACACCCTCTCTCTCCCTTGACTCGCCTTGGGAACGGTGACGACGGATTCCTCGAGCAGAATATCTCTCGCAGTAGATAAACATCCCCCGCTGCCGTCAAGGAGACTGTTCGTCTGTTCAATTTTGCTTCCAAAATACTCCTCCAGCCACTGTTGGTCCATTACGCAGCCCCCGAAACCGCCAGGATGATGCCATCCGCGCACGTCTACGGCCACCACCAGTTTAATCCCCAGGCGGATTCGTCCTGGATGCACCAGCAGGCGGGCCATCACCAGCAACACGCCCACCAAGCTGCTGCGGCCGCGGCCGCCGCTCAACAACAGCAGCAGGCCCAGCAGCAACAGCATCAGCAGCAGCAAGCCCAACAGGCTCAGCAGCAGGCTCAACAGCAGCAGCAGCCTCACTATGGACGTATGCCTGGCGGCCACGCCAACGTCAACAATAGCATTGCGGCGTCTCACGGGCAGGATGGCGGACATGATAACATCTCGGAGGACAATCGACGGACAATGGCGTATATTGCGGACCTTTTGAGCGAGAATACCAGAGAGGCGGCCTTGTTGGAGCTCAGCAAGAAGAGAGAACAGGTGCCTGAGTTGGCTCTGATATTATGGCACTCGTTTGGTATGGAATTTCTCTATTATGCCTCCTAAACACCAATATCTGCTATTTCGGAGGCGGTACTGACCGAGATTATGTGCAGGCGTCATGACGTCTCTTTTGCAAGAGATTATCTCTGTATATACGCTTCTCAACCCTTCGCAGCTCACGGCGGCTGCATCAAACAGGGTGTGCAACGCGCTAGCTCTCCTCCAGTGTGTGGCATCCCACAACGATACGCGGACCCTGTTCCTGAACGGTAAGCCCAAATCTACAATCTCCCCGGTACATGGCAAATCGGGCTGCAGATGACTTACTGACCTCCAACAGCGCACATCCCTCTCTTTCTCTACCCTTTCCTGAACACGACGTCCAAGTCGCGACCGTTTGAGTACCTCCGCCTGACAAGCCTAGGCGTCATCGGGGCCCTAGTTAAGAACGACTCATCCGAGGTCATCAACTTCCTCCTCACGACCGAGATCATCCCTCTCTGCCTTCGTATCATGGAGACGGGATCGGAGCTCAGCAAGACCGTTGCCATCTTCATTGTTCAGAAGATACTGCTAGATGACAATGGCCTCAATTACATCTGCGCCACCTATGAGCGTTTCTATGCTGTCGGCACTGTCCTGAGCAATATGGTTGCTCAGCTCGTCGAATCTCAGACTGCTCGCCTGCTTAAGCACGTGGTGAGATGCTTTCTTCGGTAAGATTTCCCAAACTCAACAGAGAAGTGCTTAAAGGGGCAAGTTATACTGACATGAAAACGATGCAGATTGAGTGACAACGCTAGAGCACGTGAAGCTCTTCGACAATGTCTCCCAGAGCCTCTACGGGATGCCACCTTTTCGTCTGTCCTCCGTGATGATGCAGCCACTAAGAGATGCCTTGCTCAACTTCTGATTAATCTCTCCGACAATGTTGTGGACCCTAATTCTGCCGTATCTGCGCTTTAGGCGAAGATGAAAATGAAAGTAAGAAGAAACCAAAAAAAGCAGAAAAAAACAGAAGATAGGAGACGAGACGCGCAGAATTAGTGGACACCATAATTTGCATTGATGGGAGAGATTTACGGAAGTTTAGACGAATGGTTTTCACGACATTACGGACGGCAAAAGAACCAGTTGACCCAAAAAGTAATCTGCATTATTGATACCCGCAGCTGCTCGACACATCTCACCGCAGCATATTTCTCTCCATCTTCTTCCGAGGCGCTCGACATCGTCCTCTGCCTCGGTATATCACAAAGAGTGCGGGATTCCTACTCTAAAGAGATCTAGACAAACCCTAGGTCTTGAATGTACCATTTCCTCACAGCCAGGGTGAGGTGGCTGATGTATGCACTGTGATCAGTGCCCGTCCTTTTTTTTTTTCTCCCTCGTGATTTTTTTTGCTATATTGTTTTTATTTGTCCCTTTTCTCGCTTCTCTCTACGCTTTTTACACGGAGGAAGATAACAACGTATATTAGCGGGGAAAAGTTTGCATATTCTAGGGGCTTGCAGCACATGACTCTTCTTGGACCGCGAAGATATTCTTGGCAGGAAGGATTCCAGTCAGCAGCAAACATGAGCTTTGCGTTGATCTGTTGATTGCTGGCACGGTTATCTGGGCTCGCGCTAGGTTACTGCTCTTGGACGGCGAGAGAAGACTCGCCCTGGAAGGCGTCAAGGTCAAGGCGTTGGTTAGCAAAGGGGCAGGGGTGGAATAGTGTGGTTTTTTTGACATGGCCAAAAGAAAAAAGGTGAGCGGGAGTTGGGGAGACTTTGACGAGAATGGAGTACTGTGGGAGTAGATAGGTGTGTGTGTACGAGTGTCTGTATGTATGGGTAGGGGAATGTAACTGTATTGTCTTACAGCCTCATGTGTGTTTTGGGCCTTGATGTGCGCACAGCTGCAGGTTTTACTGATTTCGTCTACAGATGATCTGACTGACAGGCTCAATTGGGACAGCCAAGCTGGATTCGAACGCACGTACGTCACAATTGGCGCCGGGTTATTGGCAGGAAAATAAGGCTCATCACTTTATCTCGCGTGCCGAAGTCAGATTTCCATATGCCGTCCTCCTCATCCGTGCTTATTACAGCAGAACGGCATGGCGCTCTGCTTCTATTTTCTTATGTGTTTTTCTCTTTCAAGCCGAGGCTGACTGACTGACTATGTTTCTCCGTTTTGCCCAGACTGCCGCGCCTTTCTGAATGTTTCCTCTTTCGTTGGCTGTACCTGCCGGCAAGAGTCCGAAGCTGCAAGATGACACAGACGAAATGTGATACGATGAGCGTGTTTAAGGGAGGTGTGGGCGGGCCGCGGTCACTATGCCGGGACTTTTTGTTCGATGAGCTTTTGTGATAACCCTCACGCCTCTCTTTTTTGAGCTCTTTAGCTAGAGGGGGCGGGTAGATGGGGGAAAGGGGGGGGAGGGGGAGGGTGTGTGAGTGTTTTGGATCTTTTGAAGGCAGGTCAGTGCGTTGAGGACGTCGAGGCCAAGGCTAAGAGCCAAGAACCAAGCATCAAGAAGCTCAGGGCCACAGCATCTATCCAGATCTCGTTGATGAGGTGGGTAAGGGGGGCGTGTGCCTTGCCTAGGCAGGTATGTTGACGGACGAGGAAAGAAAGAGGGGGTGGCGAGAGGTAAGAAAAGAAAAATAATGGAGATGGACCAAGTTTCGAGGAGGCAAAAAGCATGGACTCGAGTTTGAGGGCGGATAGCAAAAAAAAAGAGGACTCGGGGAGGGCAACTCTCCGCGAAAGAGGAGGAGGGGTGTAAGGCAAATAGGGACGAGATTTAGGGCAAGGGGGTGTTTTGATTTACTTTTTTCTCTTTGGCTCGGTGGAATCTTGAATCAAGCGTCCCCTGTCGTGATTTTACGGTTTTTAGTTGTATATTTATTTTTGTTTTTAAGCCGTCTTGGGACTTTGGTTTGGTGTCTACAATACTGGATATATCAGTGCCGAAGAGTGGTTAGAGTCGGCGAGGTAGACTTTTCCTATTCGGTATATTCCCGATACGGCAATTCTGATTACCTGAGGAGCCCTAACATTTTTTGGGCTGCTGAGAGAGGCAAAAAACAGCTCGGAGGCAATGAGGAATACACGTTGAATTGGAAATGCGTTCGGAATCTCGGAATCTCTCGCCTGCGCAAAAAGAGCAAGCTGCTGCGTATGCTTTGGGGTTACCCATCTTTAATTTTTGACAAATACTAGCTACCTTACCTTACTGGATGTATGTACTAGATAGAGGTACTACCTTGATATGGAGAAGCCCGTGTACAAGTATACGAACTGTGGGAAAATTATGGAATGGGGGGTGTGTGTGCGCGGGCACTATCTCATTGCATTTCCCTGTAGTTTTTCTGCTGCATACCTGGCTATAGCATTTTCCGTATTTGCCCATCTGCTTTAGGAATCATTTGGTGCGCTGCGTTCTTTTGTTTGCCTTGGCTGCGATTTCTTGATTCATCTCGTTTTGCCACCAGGGGGGAAGAGGAGAGGAGAGGGGGAGGGGGGGCGTATGCAATTCTCTTTTTTTTTTCGCCCATCAGGGTATCTGTCTGTCTGTCTCATGCAGAGAGATGCATCCAGGGCACTCGTCCAGCCGGCAAAAGGAAAGAAGATGCGATCCCATGTGAAAAGTAACCATGGATGCTACCTGTACTAACGCTCGGCGCACAGCGAACCGACCCGAAACGAAACCGAGAAGAGCCAAAACGGCGTGATGAAATAGGGATTAGCCTATCTACATGGTACAGTATATGCGCGCTGCTCCAGGTCGTGACTCGGCAATTGGTTCGTGGGCGAGCTGATACGGAAGGATTTCGCGCAACGAAGCTCGGGCGATGCAAGATACGAAGTGGCCTTGCCTGGCCTGGCCTGACATGGGATGGGAGGGAGGGAGGGACCCCGTTTCTCCAGTCTCCAGTCTCCATTTTCCATTTTCCAAGCTCCGTTTCTCCATGCTATGTTTGGGCTCCGTATTCCGTGCCTCACTAATTTTCTGCGTTATAATAGCGCCGTAGCCGTGGTGCTATTGCAATACGGCCTCCTCCTTCCTTCACAGAGGATAATATATAAGGGATATATACCTAGGTTGCAGTACGGAGTAGATGCTAACCAAGTCTGTTGATTTTCTGCGCCCTCAAAAGGCAGACGGAATAAAGGCAGTGGCGCTCGGGTAAATCTCGCGGGATGCCGGAAATTAAAACAAGAAGGATTGAAGGAATGGGATGCCTACGAGTACAGCAAACAGGCAGCAAAAAGCGCCACCAACAGATTCAAGGACGTTTGTTTGTTAGGGTGGACGATGTGGACGATAGCGGTTAGAATGGTAGCATCGCATCGCATCGCATCGCATCGGCTGCGACCTTAATCCGGAGTCTCGTGTCCTCAGGTACCGATTGTCTCAAAATTGCTGCTTCAGGTACTTGCTTTGCACATCCAATGCACTAACAAAGACCGGCCCTCTGCCCCCCCAATTTTTTCCCTTCCCCTTCGCCATCACCGCCCTCGAATCCTCCTAAAAACTGCATCTCCTATCGGCCCGCCACGCTTCAAATCCAGAGCTACAAAAGAACGAGCAAACCCCAATGCACGTTGAAATTGGCCGCTATTTTTCGCGCGTCCGGCACATCACTAGAGCGATGCGGTGCGTGCTAGCGTCATGATCAGAGCAGGCATCTTGCTAGGCTCGGGCGGAGATGAGACGAGCGAGATTCAGTGTCTCGACTAGCTCAGGTCCGTATTCTTCCCTACAGATACGGCGGAACAACATGGCGGCGGCAGGGGATCAAATCGTCTGCGACGAAATCCTTCGACCAGATGTCGTTTCGAAGAGCTACCATTGGCCAGCTCGTTTCTCTCTCGTCATCCTACATACATGTGCAGCATCCATTTCATGAATGGGAAGGGGGAAAGAGGAAAGAAGCCAACGCCCAACAGCCAACGCCCAACAGCCAACGCCCAACACGTGTCATCCATCACAGCATGTGCCTTTGCACGTCATACGAGTACCCAGATGAGGAGCCCTCAATTGCCGGCCGCGAGCTAGTCGACGGCTACCAAATCCTTAAATTCCGACTGTATTGCACTAGAAAGCAAAGAAGAAGTCACAGATGCAGCGTCAAGTACAACAGATAGTGAGAATACGAAGCATGAGCACTTCAGCGTGCCCTGCTATAAGCGAGACACCGCGGCGGGGGAGAGAGGGGCACACGTGGGAAAGGTCAAATCAACGGCTTTTCATTTTTCATTACAGTCTGGTCTCGATATTCTATGGGGACTGGTACTTGTATCCGTATTGCTCCTTCGCGGCATCGACAATCTTCTTGTTCTCGGCCACCTTGGCGGCCTGCTCAGCACTCCGGCCCTTTCTAGGGTCATAAGACGAAGCCGAAGTGAGGGAGAATCCTTTCTGCACGGCAGGCCGGTTCCAGAGCCGGAGCAGCCACGCCTTGACGTTGGGAAACTGGTCATATGACGCAGTGATGAGCTCCAGGTCGTTGACCCAGCCGACCAGGGCAATGTCTGCGATGCTGTACTTGCCGCGGCCTGGGCCAACGACATAGTCACGGTCGGCCAGCCGGCCGTTGAGGATGCCATAGAGGCGCTCCGTCTCTCCTACGTAGCGCTGCATGGCATATGGGACCTTTTCCTTGCTGAAGCGCACAAAGTGGTTGGCTTGGCCCTGCATGGGACCAATGCCGCCGTGCTGCCAGCCGATCCATGCCTCGGAGCGTGTGTAGTCATCTGAATCGACTGGGAACGAGAAGAGGTTCTTGGTATCATAGCGACGCGCCAAGTATCCTAGGATGGCATTGCCCTCGAATACGGCCAGGTCGTTGTTGTCGTGGTCCACAATGGCGGGGATACGGCCGTTGGGGTTGACGGCAGTGAACCATGGTTCCTTTTGGACATTTTGCCCAATGTTGATGCCCTGGAAGGTGTAGTCGAGCCCGTATGCCTCCTTGAGCTCCTCGAGCACAATGTTGGCCTTGTGGCCGTTGGGGGTGCCTGTACGTGGACAGAGTCCCTGGTCAGTGACAATTGATCCTCGAGGAAGGGGGTTGTGATGTGCACGCGAACAAGGAGGGCCGGGGGGGGGATCTTGTATTTCCCCGGGACTATTGGATATTTTTCCCGTGAACAAGCATGCGCTACTGTTATCATTGGGGGCGGAAGCGACGGGAAGTTGACGAGGGCGTCTTGGCCTGGCAGGAACTTTTTGATTTCTCCTCGTGGCGAGACAAGGTTATGGCTGGAAAAGAGCCATGTGACGGGTTTGACCACTTGGCCGGGACCCGTGGCGAAATGACCAAAGAATGTCAATGGCATCTGCCCTTTGAAAGCTAGGCTGCCAGGATGCTTGGAGAAGAAGGCGCCGGTTTGATTTGCGTTGCATATTTGCATTGCACATCTACCAGGACTCTACTTCTAGACTCCCTCCTTGACTCCCTCCTTGACCGGTGCTTGGGCGTGGATAGTCGCTTAGCCTCATGATGAAGATCACAGCAGCATGCTCCCTTCGAGTACGTCATCAGGGCGCTTCTTGGCCATCGATGCTTGTCCTTGTACTGTAGCGGCCAGCTAGTCGCCAGCATTGTCATCTTTACGGGTATTCAAAACCGCCGGGCTCAATGCAGGCGCCGGGGGCTGGTATCAAGGCCAAGGGGCCAGGCCAGAGCCGGGCAGGAATAGCTTGCGATGACCGGCCTTTGGAGATTTCGGTGAAAAAGGAATGGATGACAAAGAAGAGCATGATACCAAACAGTACAGTACAGTACAGTGGATGTAGATGTAGATGTACAAAAGTGCTAGCACTGTGCTGTGCTGTACTGTGCTGTCTGTATACCCAATGATGTGCAGATGCAGATGCAGATGCAATGTAGATGTAGATGCAGATGGGCAGGTGAAAGGGTGAAGGATGAAGAGACACGAGTAATGGAGGCGCACAAAAGCGGTGGCTACCCTGGTGGAGAAGGCGAGTGCTTACTCCAGGTCAAGAGCTCGATGCCCTTTGTGGCAATGAGACCAGTTGGACGCGCCATTGCAGCTGTGCTTATGGATATGGATTGAGGCGATGCAGTAGCGAATAGGAAGTGTTGCGGTTGTTGCGGTTGTTGCGGTTGTTGCTCCTGCAGTTGTGATTGTAAGCGGCAAGAGGCGAGGCTGAAGAGCGAGCTGAAGGTAAAGATGAAGAAGAAGAGGAGAGGAGAGAGAAGCTGTCGAGTCGTCATTGAGGAGCAGAACTACCTAGGTACCTACCTAAAAAAGAGAGGCAAGTATCGATTAATAAGTACTCTCAGCCTCTCGCTATTTCTTCTTTTCACCCCTCCATGCCTTTGCCCGATCAGAATCGAGGTCTGCAGTAGTCAAGCAATCAAGCAGCAGCTCTGGCCTATCAGCTCCGGTATTCACGCCTACGTAATGCCCTCAAGCTTCGAGCTGTTGCAACGGCATCTCCCGTATTTGTCAGGGAGGGGCATCGATGGTGGCATTACAGAGTACCTAGGTACAGTGATTACTTGTACACATTACACATCAGCAGCAGCGAGCAGCCGCCCGACTTACATAACCAGGAGCATCTCCGGGCACTCCAGCACAGCACAAGCAACTACCTTTGCCGCGCGCGCCCGCCGTTTGGATTAATCAGCCTCCAGAGAGGTGCTTTTCCACGGAGGTTGCAGTGCGCATGTACCTACGGAGTAACTACAGTATCTGCTGGTTGTATTTTGATAAACACAGTTGCGGACGAGACTCCACGTGGCAACGAGACTGCGTGCAATGGTGATTTGAGGATGCTTACGAGAGGCTACTGTATTTTGGTTATACTCAGTACTTGGAATACTACGGAGTACCAGGCAGCATATTCGCTGTACGCATATGTATGATGTAAATCATAGTTGGTGTTGATTCGTTGTAGTTGGGCTCTGGGCATCATTGCACGAGCCTATTCCCGTTCTGCAAGAGGTGCATCGGACGCTATCAATGCATTAATAACACGCGCGCGTCTTCTCTCTGCTACAGGTATAGTACACGTATAAGCCGGCAGACAGTTTCATGGCAACACGTCCAGGGTTGAGAGAAAGGGGGGGGGGGGGGGGGGTAATCGACAGAGAGGCTAGTCAAGTTCAAACCATCCGTCTTGTCCATCTTGTCCATCTTGTCTATCTTGTCTATCTCTGCATCCATTGTCCAACGGGTGGTTTGATCGTCTTTCCATTACCCCGTGGCCGTCCCCGGCACTTGGCAAATCCCGCCGGTGAATCAATTGAGTCGCCGGATATCGCATGATATGACATGGCATGGCATGGCATGGGTTCTCCTTCATGAGGGGAAAAGGGCAGCGCGAGGCGACTATCCGCTTCCCCGTAAAATTGTGATAACCTACAACTACATGCACCGCTGCTGCTGCTGCCCTGCTCGAATACTACACTACGATGCTCATCAGACGAGGGGGACGTGCACGCAACAAGGCAAAAAATAGAAACAAGACTGAACTGAAAAGAGAGAAGGTAGAAACAAGAAACAAAAAAAGGGAGGGAGGCAGGACAAGGGCCTGTGATGCAATGACAGGGCCAAAAGCGAAGAGGCAAAAAGAGGCAAAAAGAGGCAAAAGACAGACAGAGACAAGGGGAGTGAGCACAGATGCTTGCTCCTGCTTCTGGATGGGACGCCAACACCTATCCCATGTTCACGGTTGATTTGATGCTTGAGTTTTGTCTGCATCGACGCAATGGCCTCGCGTTCGTTCCCAAGTTTTGTTTTGGCTGGACGTTGAGGTTGGTTGATTGGCACAGTCACATTGCATGGCCCTCCCATCCCAGTGCCTCATCACCGGGACAGACAGCAAAGATACAGAGTTGTAGCACGTTGGTTTCGACATTCCTAGTTTCGCATAGGGCCGACCACGTCGGTCGCCGTGCATGGCTCGTATGCATTCATACATTGCCGCAAGCGCTCGATAAGTCCACGTATCTGCATCTACTACCATTACTTGATAGCACTGCATTCTACTGTACAGTACAGTACTTGATACGGCGTCCCATCTTACATGGCCTTTTGGAACTTGATTCTTGATGCAACTCAACTCGTTCCACCCACAGCGGCAATCGGCGTCGTTCTGCCTGCACACAGCGTCGCAGCGAGGTTACATCCAAAACACACTCGCCAATGAAAGCGGCACTCCCCCATTTCCCCCGGACGAACCCGGGGGAATCCCAAAAAAAAAAAGGTAACAAAAAAACGACGATTGCAAATACTCGTAGGACAATTGGATTTGGAATGTTGACGCTCGTTTCTAAAGATAAAAGCGACTACCTGGTAGTATAGTAGGCAGCGCCAGGCGTATTGGCGTATCAGGTATTTTTGGATAGGCGAGAGGAGGCGCAGTAACGAGACTAACAAAACTCGCACGATGAGTGCCGAAAAGACATCCTGGGGGACCGAAACCCCCCCCCCCCCCCCCCCCCGCTAGAATACCTAGTAAACGCGCTGACGGGCGATCAAACAAAGTCCTACATACCCTCCCTCGAATCACGCTCTCTTTTCTGCCTATTACGAGTACAGGACTGGGCTGGACCCTGCTTGCACTACACTAGGCCTGTAAGATGCAGTAGCTACTAGGTAAGTACCTAGACAGACTCAACACACCCCTGGCGCTTGGAGAGATCAAGACAAGACAAGGCACGGCGTGGGCCTGTCCGTCGACGAATAGAGTAAGTCGTATCATTGATGTCCTCTTGCACTTACATAGTACTCCGTAGTAGTACTCCATATCTTACTCCATGGCCACGATATACTCCATCCTGATGTACCGGTAGATTCACAATCTTGCTACTCATTATGATGCCTTCCCATTGCCATGGTACGGCGCGAGCTTGTGCCAGTGGTTCATGTAAAACCAATCTGATGTAACCCAACCAACCGCACATGACTTACTCATCTCATCTCTCACTGCAACAGAAGAGCATTCTGAAAGAAGAAGCCAAAAACGAAAATGTAGAGCATCAAACCCCCAAGAGTCACTGAAAAACGTGGCCTTGCCGCCCTTGTCCATCCCAATCCTGCACCCTCCGCACGTGTCTCAATCCAGACATACCGCCCCAGCGCTTTAGTTATTATTCCATTATTTTTTATTTCTCTACAGTAGTACTACTTGTTCCTCTCTTCCATGCTCCCATGTGCAGATAGTAGATGCATCAAATCCCATCGTCAACACACGCCCCTCCATCGGATCCCTTCCGTTTCTTCCTCAACTGCACCTTGCTTTAGCTTACCTCCCCCATTGTGTGCTCGTCTTGTCTTGTCTTTGCCATTTGCCTCGCCTTGGCCCTTTATCTTGCGGTACTTGTGCATTCTTCTTTGGGTCTTCGGCATGACATGTGCCGCTGTGCGAAAGCGGCCTCGGCGCGGGAATCGTCTCACGCGACTTCCGATGTCCGTTTTCCCATCTGGGGCTTATTTTTCCACGTCTTTTTTTCCCTTGCGACGAGATAAAGCAGATGGTACAAGAGAAGTGAAAAGCGAAGAGGGAAAAACACCCCGGCCATCCATCTGTCGCCGTCGGCGAATAACCAAGTCCGGCAGCCCGTCAATTGCCGTTTTGCCTTTCTGGACTTGCGATGCAGATGCAGATACAGATACAGATACAGATATAGATACACCCGAGGATATATTATCATAGGTACGTACATCCCACAAGGATCACAGGTTAGTTTGGTCCAAGCCGCGTTTTATTGCATGCGGTGGGTCGTAATGCATTAAGTCGCTATTCTTTGCTTACTGCCTATAAATTAGGTAGTAGAGTAACAAGACAAATCGACAACTTGCTCCCATTATATCGTAATTTGTATCAGCAGGATAAGCTAAAATAAAAAGACGTCAAGCTCTGGTGTGATAAATAACATACATAAGGAACTTTATTTTTTCTTTTCCTGATAATACGTAGTTTCGTGTCAATTGCTAGTTACTTTGTTACTTTACACACAATTTAGTACCTACAGGAACTTGCGCACTAACTTATGCAACAAAGCGGGGCTTGTACTGGGCTAACTGTGGTGATCCTTGCGAGATGTACGAGATTGACCTGGACCTCTGAGATTGAGAAGAGGCGGGTTACGGACATGCCGTCGCTGCTTGCCTTGGCAAATCACGTTCCATCTGATCCTTCACACCCATCCTATAGCTCACCTGAACCTCGCTTCCAGCACTTGGTTTCTTTCAATGTAGCACAATGCACAGGAAGCTGAAAATGTAGCCCAAGCTCAGCTCAAAGCCCTGCAAGTGAGCAAAGACGGCCGCAGTACAGTAGATTCCTGCAGCCGAGTTTTCTAGAACAATTGCTTCTCACGCACAGAAAAGAAGCGAGACATGGAATGGAAGTGCCAAAGGAACCCCCCAAGGGGAGTGTGTGAGTGGGAGGGGAGGGGAAGCGAAGCGAAGCGAATCACGCATCTCGAAGGATCAGCTAGTGTGGTCGCTACCTATCAAAGGGCATAATCGCCAGATCTCCAGCAGCCCTCATTGGCCGCCTTCTGATCCTCCTACGGTAGAACGAACCTCATGTAGGTACAACGTATGTCATTGCGCATTTTGCCGTGCTTCTGCTCCCGCGGCTGCTTCTGCGGCTGCTTCTTTGCTTCTTCTTTGGGTTCGTCGCAGGCGGGATGAGATGGGGTAGGAGGACATGCTCCGTGTCCGTCAGAGAGGTGTGTGTGGTGTGTCGAGCATCGACTTGCGTACTTTTCCTGCCGCTGAGTTTTTTACTTGCGTATTGCGAATTGAAGGAATTGAGGGAAGGGGGGGCCGTTGTTCGGACCTCCCCCGAGTTGATTCATCTTGCAGAAAATTACACATGGCAAAAAAATCAAGGCAAGGGAAGGAAGGAAGGGGGAGAGTAGAGTCAATCTCTGACTGTCCTTTTTCCCCGCAGATCCCGAGCGAACAGGCGCTGTTGCTGCATATCCATGATCTTTGCTCGAAAAGAGCAACTCTAGCGAGACAATATCACTCCAGGAAACCTTGCAGAGCTGGCAAATCGCCGTCCAAAAGATCACGCGTTCTTCCCAAGAGCTTTGACACCCAGATTTCCTGGTAATCTCACGGGGTTCCCTCTTCCGCTGCAACCCTTCGCAACCCTTCCCCCCCTTCAAGATGTAATACACCAGACACAAAAGCTCAGAGAGGCAATACCGACAACACAAGCCGGCCGCGAACCGGCGTCCCCAGGCACAAGGCACAGGTCGCTAATGCTGCCCTGAAACGTGCAAGAACGTGGCATTAGGGTCCCTCATGGAGGGCGTGAAGGAAGCACAAGGCCGTCGTCAACGGCAAGCAGAGAGAACGCAGCAAGAGAAAAGCGGCATGGTGTCGTCGTCTTGGATCAGACTGGCGCGGTTTTTCTCCCCTTGCCTTGTCCCATCCCCCCCCTCCCATGTCATGAATTCTTCCCAAATGCCCCTCGGAAGGATTCACCTCGCCGTCCATCTCCATCTTGCTCCATTTGTCTGCTCGATGCAATCTGTCTGACCGGCCATCTTGGCCAAGTCGTGCCGTGCCCCGGCTCGCTTCCTCTCCCTCTCTCTTTCTCTCTCATTCTCTGCGTGCTTCTCATCAGCCTCCACGCCCCCATGTCTCCCCTCCCGCATCTCCATCTTTCATCCCACTCCACGCCCGACGATGAATACGGACGGAACGGGCAGATGATGCGACTGCTAGTGCCCACGACGCACGAGCCCCAGATGAGGTGCCATCAACTCTAACCGGCGCCCTGACAGGGCCACTCCTCCAATCAAGGCGCCAGACTCATTCCTGTGCAGCGGCTTGCAATGCCGGCACCTTGTTCGAACCAGCCCATTCGCAAAGGAGCCCACTTGCCTGTCAGTTCCGGCAAATCCTCATCCCCGTATACATACATTAATTAGTGCGCTACAGGTAATGCCACGCTCTCTGCAAAGGGAAACTCTGGCAGGACGTGGCGTGACCCCTGTCCGATCTTGTTGAGCCTATCCTGGGCAATTTATTTTACTTCCTTGGAACAAAATGACCGAAACCAGGCATTGGTCTGGCCCTTTTTTTTTTTTTTTTTGCTCTTCTTTCGTCTGGTTCTGTCCCCTCCAAATGCTAGTGCTACTTGGCAGGATGACCAGGGACGACGACGATCCGCTGAGCGTGGGAAATGCTAGTAAGCACATGGTCATTTTGGCCAGCATCAGACAGATAATGAGAGGGGGTGAGGAATCAATGTCACAAGAAACAGAGGCAGCCTCAATTGGGGAAAAAAACAAAGAAAATACAAGATTGAAAAGAAAAAGAAAAGAAAAAAGGCAAACTTCAACAGACCACCATCACAGCTGGATTCTGGGGTATCCCTCTCTCCTCCCCCTTCTTTTTCCTCCTCTCTCCAGACCTCTTCATCTCACGGACCACCTTCCCATCAATCAACCAGGCCATGTCGACAGAGTGACCAAAACTACTCGCACCACTCCCAGGTCCCCAAAGCATGGGCCAGATACCCATCCATGATCCACACATCACAAGATGCTCCTCGTGGAGTCTCGAGTCCTGCTCCTACCTGCCCATCCCTTCTCCGCGGTTCTACTCCCGGTGGCTTGGCACATCTAGTGCAATATCTCGAGAATCGAACTCGCCCAAAACAAGGTGGCAAATTGAGCCCTTTGCACATACGATGCGATCCACCATGCAGCGATTACCTGTGCCTCTAATGTACGTGGCTCCCATGTAAGCCACCAAGCAAAAAAGGGCCTGGCGAGTTTATGGAGACCTTGCTGTCCCGCGTAAGGCAATTACCGCAAAATTGATGACGGCACGATGCTCTGACAGGTACGAGTACAGCAGAAAAGTCCCTCCCAGTTTATGCTAATTGATAGAGAGAGAGAGAAAAAAGGCCAGCATGTTAGTTGAGTCTAGAATGAGGCCGAGCCGGCAGAGACGCGGCAGACATGGGGGCATCATCCATCTCATCACCCAATATGGGGGTCCTCGTCAAACCGCCTTTCTAAGCTCAAGAGATGGCCATTTTGCAATTTGGCCTCGTATCCAGCATCCGCATACCCCCCCATGAACAAGCAAAAAAGGAAGAGCAAGAATGAGATCATGACATACCTCCTTGTCCTGTCTGAATCTTCAGCTCAAACGACCCGCCGTGACGGGCTCAAATCAACGCACACTCCCCATGGAATGGATTCTCTGCGACGCGCGCGAGTCCTCAATGCCTGCCACCATCGCCTTTCGACATGCCGTCTTGAGCGTTGACACTGCCCCGGCACATACACCACGAAGCCTTCAAACTGGCCCACGACGTTGCATCGCGCGCCACCTCCCTCCTCGCGTACTAAGTTGGAAGGCATGTAATACTTCGCACATTTACTCCCGTGCAGTTAGCCTCAGAAAAGGGCCAAGATCCATCCGTGCACGAATTCACTCGCCGTGCTAACACAGAGTCGCATCGCACATCTGCAAGCGCTCGGGGGGATCTAATCCTTCAAATCCCCTCCCACGCTGCTGCCACGTTCTCTAGAGTAGTGCCACCCTCTCTCGAGCCCTTTTCTTACTACCTTACTAAACACGACTGGTACCTGGATTAGCCAGTCTTACCCCTGGGGCTTCTGGAGAATGCCATTCGACCATGCCGGCTCTTTCAGCTCAGTATGCGTGCATCTCGAAGACACGGTAGCATTGTTCCACGAGGCAGTTCTGTCATTGCTAGAACTGGGTCACGAGCCTCGTCTCTCTCCATGGAATACGGTTGCCATGGGTGAAGCCCATGTCTATTCGGCGTCAAGCTTGCACATATACGCGTACCATACTGTAATACCATACTGTACTAAACGAGAACAGGCATGTGCGAGTGAGTACAGCAAATACTTGCTCGTCCTTGTCAACCTGGTGAGAGAATCTCCAGCCGGCGACTAGGCTCGCTGCCGTTGCATATTACCACGTGCTCTGCCAACCCTCCAAATCTCTCTCGGGAGCAAATGGTGTGTACCAATGCTCCATATTGGTCCGACACTTGAGTTGACCCTTACTGGCTCAAGACTTTCGTGCAGTAACGCGTCAACTAGTATCGTAGAGAGGACAGGGCCCCTGGTTGCGGCTCCCCGACCCCCATGCTCACGACCATCCCAGCCATCGCCGACCTATCCGGGAATTACTGGCTGCTGATAGTCCTACAGTAGATACGGCGTCTTTCTCCTTGATGCCGCTTCACTGACATCGGCGACTTCACCTTGACACAGCCCGTGTACAATCGAGCATCAAGGTGCCATGTCCATGCATGAGACTCTTTCTGGAAACCAGTCCCCATGCTGCCACCGTGGGCGAGCCCAGTGGAACACAAGTTCGCCAGCCCACATTTCATTACATACTCCATACTACTACGGAGTTTTTGCTACAAGAATACAACTGTTACTCTCTACTCCTTGAAGCATAGACCTTACCTTGCCGGATATCGCGGCGGCAGCCGGCTGTTTGTCTTCCGCCTATGAGTCGCCTGTCGTGCCTGTTTTAGATATGGTTCTGACAGTCTGACTCGACAATTGGGCCCCGCAACAAGACAGGAAACGGCATTCAACACTCGCTTCAACTCCATCCCGGCAACATGATTCATGAAGAGACTCCCTGAGGTTATATGCCGTGTCAATGGACAAAGATAGTTTCACTTGACAGGCAAGGAGGACCCGCGCGCCTGTTTTGTGAACAGAATAACCTCCCCGGCCACTGATTAGTTGTCTTCTCAACTCTTCATTTGTCACGTAACATGTCTCTTTTCGGCAGGCAGAAACCCCCCCCAAAATTGACACTAGGTCAATGGCCAGAAAAACGTAAACTACGTTTACAAACCACATACACCCCAGAACACATGATATAGGATTGGCCCATCACTGCATGCATGAAAACATGGGTTCCAGGGCCAAGGAAAAAAAAAAAAAAGACCAGGCATCGGTAACCTTGACAGCACTAGGGCATCCCAACGCAACCCGGACGCTTCAACAGGTTACAAAGGGCGCAATTTTCAGGGTGGCAGGCAAGGAGAAGGAAAAAGAAGTCGAATGGAAAAACGCCAGCGCATGAAGCAGAAACACGCCAAAACACGGGACGTAGCAACCTACCATCCTATCAGCGTGAATGAGGCTAGCACGCGACGGAGCAGGAATAGTCAATTAGGCCGTTCGGTACGTAGGACCATTGGCGTACATAGTAGGCCGGCAAATAACCATGGTTAGCGTTTCGGGGGCATCATCGGAGATGTGGATGTGCCTTCGTATGATCCGTCGCCGGGGTAAGCGACTTGTCGAGATTCCCTTTTCAGTCAATCGTATACCTTTACGATCGCGCGCCGTCGATCATCAATCACAGAAGCAATCATTCCGAGTCCGATGCGTGCCGTCGGGAGGAACAAAAGACGTCTAATCCAGCATTAGTTCAGCTTGCATTCGATTCGCCCAAGGGGGGACAACGTGGTTTGATCTCCCTCGCTGCTTTTACCTCGTACTCCCCCACCTCGCACAAAAACCCGCCCAAAAAAAGAGAGTTCGATTAAGCTTGACATTTGTGCCTAACATTTCGAGACCGTCTTTGCTGTAGCCAGGCGGGACTATTTCTGCCACCGAAGCCCAACCTAGCTGGTTAGTTTTGCTTCTGGGACTAGTTTCGCCTGTCATTCGTGGGCTTGGGCCATCCCCCAATGTTTCTGTTTTGACTAGGGATGGGGAGCTGCCGGGCCCCTAAAAAGAAGGGAAAAAGAAGAGCACGGGTAAAAAAAGAAAAAAAAAAAAAAAAAAAAAAAAAAACCAGGGCCTTATCTGATGGCTAGTTTGGTGGCTGCCTGAAGAGAAACAGTCCATTGAGCGCCACATCATGTGGTCTTGCTCGGTGCCGAGGGAAAAAATGGAGAGAAAGCCTGTGAGGGGGAAAAGAGGCGCTGGCTAGCCCATTCCCACATGTTTCTGGCGTGTATGAAGTAGAGACAAAGAGAGACGAAGAGGTGGGAAGACGATGGGTCGATGTAGAGTGCGAGGTAGAGTAAGGAGGTATCAGGGAGTAAAAGTTGCGGCTCCGAAGACGGTGGACGCTGCCTAAAGGTACAATCTAAATACATCGTCAATGTTGCCCAAAGGGGCCGGAATGTGACGCTGGATGCAATGCTGTATGCAACGCTGTATGCAAGATGCTCCTGGCAGGTGCATACGGCGTCGCCGTGGTTAGAGGAGAGGCCAGCACGTGTTGAGTAATGATAGGGACAAAGCCATTACCTCATCTGTTGCGTCCTGCAAAGGAGCAATGGCGCCCATTGACTGGCTCGCACTCGCATTTGGGGCGGCAGATAGTAGAAGCAGCTGCAGAAAGCGACATGAATTTGGCGACATCTCAGGCAGCACAAGAAGGAACGGACAGGGTTCTCTGATATAGATGAGTCGAGTCGTCGGCATTGGAGCCAAAAAAAATAATAATAAAGTGGTCTCGACAATGACACTGTGTGAGGTGAGACCCGAGCCGTGCTCTCCCCGGCACTCGCCAGACTCTCTCTGTCCCCCAGCTTCCGGGCGGCAGTGCCAGTCAGTACTGTGCGTGTTATTCCCAGTTGCCCGGTATCAGAAGAAGATTGGATGCTCTGTGCACGGTACTGCTATCTGCCTCCTCGAGTGGAGTGGGAGCAGTGGTTGTAACAACAAGGGACTGCGATGGCACGGTACTCCGTACGGGAGTACGGATAGTATTATGCCAACGACTTGGGGAGGGGGGCAAAATGCATGGCTAGCACTGCAGAGCGTGCAGCATCTTGATGAAACATAGCCAGCCTGGTTGCCGCTACTGAAGGCGGTGTTGTTATCATTTGTGATATCACGATGCCATCTGGAGTGCAGTGACCGCAAGAATAACTAGAGACGCAAAGCAGCACCAGCAAAATTAGACGGTATGCTCCTAGCCTCGGCGAGACACCGATCACCAGGCGTTGTTGGCATCCTCCACAAGACTAGTCGAGGACCTCCCTGTACGCTGCAGGCTGCTGCGACTGAAGCTGCATTCCGGGGAGGCAAGAAGCTTTAGGGAAACGTGGACACTGCAGAAGTTGCATGCAGCCAGCTTGTTCCCTTGTTGCCGTGGCCAGTCCGTCTGCCTCTCGCTGTGGTCGGAGGCCCACACCAGCTCCCAAAGTTTGTGTGCATTGTCACGGGCTCCATACCTTCAGGCAAAACCCACATATGCAGTGCTGTGCTGTGTGTTGCACCGCAGCGCACGAGGCGTGCCCGCTGCGGCGGTGCCCATCCCGCCTTTTCTCCCGCAAAACTGAAGCTCCCGCACTGAAAAAGGGCGGTCGACCAGGGAGCAGTCGACGAGAGTCAGGATGGGGCCGGCTGGCCAAAGTCCACCAATGGTGGCCGGGGGTGCCAGACAGGGCACCATTGACGCACCGTGAACGGGTTGCACGGCATGAGCGCACTGGGCACGAGCTGTCGTCGTCGTCGAACAAGCTTCGACGCCGCCTTTCGGTGCTGGGGGTGGTCCTTGAGCCATGACGACGACGACGAGCGAGCGATGGACAGCCAGCAGACAAGCATCGGAGCAGAAGCAATGCTAGGAAGGGGGGCGGAAATAACAATCGCCGCCGGGCTGCGTACGCAATCCAGTCTCGGTCCCAGGGAAGACGGCGAGCTGTTTTGCTCTACCTGGCGGTGTCCGTCCTGTGTTACAGGAGCCGAGATGCCAACATGGCTAGCAATATGCTATGTAATAGCTCCATGCGAGCAAGTAAACCAGTAGTAGCAGCGTTTCCTACTCTTTCGTAGTCCCTGGACAAAGCTTCAAGATGGCTCCCCATTCCCCTACTAGCGTTTAAGGTAGCAAGAAGCAAAATGAATAAAATAAAATAAAACAATTAAATGGAAGGCATCCATTGCCGGTAGGAGCTGGATGTCGGCGACTCGAAACAGCCCAAACTGCCATCTCTAATGTCCAGCGACAGCCATGACGCGATACCTGTTTCGGGGGATCTGAGCAGAGCAAAAAAAGCTGTGCTGTGGGAAACCCAACGGGCTGGGGAGAGTTTCCCCTGGTTGCTCGCCGAATCTCTGGCACTGCACCACCGATTTCGAGACGGCGACCCGTTGTAACGCGGCCAGTGGCAGGGGAAACGCCACGTCTTGTCCTGGCCCGCAGATGGAAACCAAACGGTCTCGCAGCACCTTGTCTGCTTCCCGGGAGAGGGGTTCGGGGAGGGGAGCGGAGGCAGATCATTGGATCATTGAATGGGCTCTGGCGCCTCCGTTCCAAAAGAACCCTTGCGAGGGGGGCGCGTCTAAACGAGGTTAGCACAGATGCGACGGCAAGGATCATGGGGCAACCAGGTGAAGGGGAGGGGAGTGCACAGAACGTAGGGCTGAACCAGCACCGCATCCCAGCAGACAGCACAGGGCGATGCCAGGATGCAGCCAGGGCAGCCAATAGGCGGCCTCGGACGGAGCCCTGGTCTTCTGCTGGCCAACAACATCCCTGCCCAGACCTCCCGCACCGCGTACGCCCGCTGCACAGCGTCCCGCTCGGCATCCCCGAAGAGACGTTGAATTAATTGCTAGACTCACCGCTGGAACAACAGAGAATGGGTGAGTTTGAGCTGGGGGCCGCATCTCTGTCGTGGCACTGCACTATATCGGGTAGCAAAGTCAACCTGGCGTCCAAGAGCTATGGCCACGGTCCAGATTGTTGCATCTCTGCTCACCCAGCCCTACAGCCCGAAATCAAGTACCGACCGACACTCTGGGTCAGGCAGACAGATGAACCGGTGTGAGTGAGCCTGACGGCGCGACAGGCACGACGACTAATCCGATGCTCGGTGAGCTGCTCTCCCCTTTGATTAGCTCCCCGAAAGACAAAGAGCAAAAGCATCTTTTTTTGCAAACGGGGCCCCCTCATTTACCTGATTGCTTTGTGATTTCAGTGACGCTCTTTGTTGTATTGCCTTTTTTTAACTTTATTTCCCTTTTCCTCCTTCTCCCCGTGGTGTCGGTCTGTTTGGAGGGCACCACGATGCGTTGTCGAACAGCGACAGGCTGCAATGGCAGGGTCTCTGGCTGAAGCAGATGGGCTGCAGCAGCTGCAGCAGCGCCAATGAGCTGTTTCTCAAATCGTACGACGGGGGAGCCTCCTCGTCGATCAAATCTGCATTCTTGACGAGGGGGTCTGGGACTCCGTAAAGTAGCATGATTGCGTCTGCGGCGTCTGCAGGAGAGAAGAAGCATCAGGCGTTGCACCCACCCCTCCCCATGGGCGTGGGGAATTGGCGGCTCACGTGATCGGCCCTGGGAAGACGTGCAAGATTTAGCCCACAATTTCTGGAGCCGCCAATCAGGCTCCGCCCTGAATACGGTTTGCTGTTTTGGAACAAGCTTGCGAGAGCCAGCTGCCAAAAATAAGTACTCAATACTTACCCAGCTACATTGAAAGGCAGCAACAACCAAGTACTCGCAACTCTGTGCCGTCACCAAGAAGCTGCTCCTCATCTACCCGCCTCTCCCAGGCCAAAGGAAGAGGGCAGCCGGCCCCACCCCGTCAAACTAGCCCCCAAAACGAGGGTCTTGTTGATACTGCTAGCACTGCTCGTGCTGCTAATAAAACTGTGTCGACGCGAAAGCGAAGGGACTGATAGGGCCACGACAATGGCCCTTGGAAATTAGCTGTATGAACGAATGAATAATGGCACCGCATTAAGAAGAGCAGAGACTGCACAAGCTTCAGCCTCAAATCCTGCCAGGCGGTCTCGAACCCCCTGGGGACAAAAGAACCTTAAACCAGCCGTTGACAAGATGGACGGCGAACGCCTTGTGGCCGAGGCATACTCCCTCCTGACAAGATTACGAACCCGTGATACTCTTCGCTCACAGCGATGTTCGGCAGGTCCAGTGCGCGAGAATTCGTACGGTGCAAGCGCTGGCGGCCCCCTTGCAGCAGGGGCAGCGTTCGGGGAGTAGAAGCATTGACTCCGGGCTTGGCATCATGGCTGTTGATGATCGAGTTCTCTAATGGCATCACCGAGATCTAACCAGTGCGTGCGAGGGGGGTCCCGCGGCCGCGGCCACGGAGGGAAAGACCTACCGAACAGAAGAAGAGATGAACCGTTGGCCGGGGAAAATAAAGAAAGAAAAAAAATTAAACCAAAAGGGACATGGAAAGTGTCCCAAGCCCGCAGCGTCGGGTCTGCATATCCAGGCCGGAGGGTTTGTGTGTCCCTGGAAACTCCATTGCGACTCCTTGCATCACCACATTTCCCAGATTTTGGCTTTGCACCCAACAGCGTGAAACGGGCGCTGTCTCTGGCCATCTCTCCATCCCATCTTGCCTCCGGTGGGCCATCTGAAGCTTCCGCGGCAGTACTGTGCGGTACGAGCTCAAAGCAGTACAGCATCAATTGATTCCCCGGGCGTGGGGGCCAACCATGCGACAGTAGTGACCGGATGCGGCAAGGTGAAGGCCTTTCGAACTCTGGACCATTCTGCCACCTCCTTGTCGCACTCGCCAAGAGAGAGATGTCACCAGTCTAGTTTAGCAGCACCTTGAAGTGCTTCGTTCCAGGCAGGCCTCCCCTTCCCGTGTATGTACTGCGCCCTTTTTGTCCTGTGCTTGATTTCTTTGTTTTAAGCTCTTCGCTTGGGAAGCACGGCACGAGAGGAGAGCACAGCGCCCGCTTCGTATACTTGACTACG